GTTCAATACTCCTCTTCACGAGTCCAACCACGTGACCTACGATCTCCCTGCAGATAGTTGGCCATAACACTATACTAATCGACCTCTTAGAAGGATCTTAGTATAGGCGTAAAGATATAGGACCCTCTATAATAGCTAGTATCCTAGATTAAATCGTTATCTAGTATTAAAAATATAGAGAACCTTCCCTCTAATTAAGATAATCGCTATAAGTACCTATTACGATCCTACTAATAATAGGGTTATATAGCCTACTCTATCCTTCTCTATACCTTAGTAGAATAGAGCACTCTATATAAATACGCTATCTACTCTACTCTACTCTACTACTCTACTCTATAGAGCATAATAGAGTATATAGAGTAACATATATACACTTATTATCTACTAGGTATATAGGTAGGTAGGAACTTACTAGGAGGTCCTATATTTAACTTAATTAGTTATTCTAATAGTCCCTTTAGTATATACTACTATATACTACTTACTTTACTTACTTAACACTCCTCTTTATAAGTATAAATCCTATAACTAGTTATTCTCCCTAGAATAGTTAGCTATAATAGTACCTTACTAAATCTCTTTTTAAGTACTACCCTTATAATAACCTTACTAGTACTATACCTACTAACTAGTTATTTATTAATAGATTTTAGAAGAGTTATAAACTAGTTTAGATTAGTAAGCGTATATTAATAAGTGCATTAATTATAGATATCCTTTATCTATTTAAGTAAACTAAGGGTAGTAATACCTATACTATTAATATCCTACTTAAGGATATAAAGAATAGGATAAATTATAATGCTAAGATTATAAGACTTAATACTAAGGACGCTATACTCGATACTAAAGATAAGCTATTTTAATAATAGTAATAGTCTATATAAATTAAAAGGAAAAACTATCTTAGTCTTATAGAGTATATAACTTATAGACGACTTATATAGGACTTATAGAGAGAATCTTATAAAAATAGTATACTAATATAACTTAATAGATAATTAATCCGTCTAACCCTCTCTAGACTATCCGACTTATTAGTAAGTCTCCTATACTAATATAGTAGCTAGTTATACCTTCTATTAAAAAGGTAGCTACTCTAAGTTTAATAATAAGAAAGAGAAAGAAGATAAGTACTAGGACGAAGTTAAGAACTATACTATCTATACTACTACTTCTTACTTAAGCGGTATAGAAGGTACTATAATAGAAAGCTTAAATATAGTAGGAAGGAGTATAAGAGAAAGGAGTATAAGAGAAAGGAGTATAAGAGGAAGGAGTATAAGAGAAAGGAGTAGAATAGAATAGTTACCTTTTATTTATCTATATAAGTCGTTACTATAAGTCTTCTATAAGTCGTTTCTATAGAAAATTTATACTATTATATTATTATTTACTTACGCTAAATTTTAACTTTTATATATTATTTAGCGTATAACTTCTACGCTATAGCCTTCCTTCTTCCCTCTTATAATAATAATATTACTACTATCGCTAGTATACCTTCTAAGTATACTACTCTTACTTCTACTTCTAGACGCTCTACTTATAATAACTCTAGCGGCGCTACTACTCCTTCTACCGAATCTACTACTTCTACTACTAAGTCTACTACTACTAGCGTATCTACTACTCCTACTACTATATCTAATACCTCTACTATATACTTAACTAGTAGGCTTAACTACCCTTTACTACCTAATCGCTACCTTACCTATACTCCTACTTTAAGACGTCCTTATAACTAACTCTTTAATATCTATAATGTTTCTAATAACATAGATAAATACTATAATATATATATTTATCCTAGTAATAATAAGCGCGTTAATAGCTCTAGCCGCTATAGATAGACTAGCTTAAAGACCGTTAATACTAATATTACTAATAAGTAGCTAGCTTATCCTTTAGCTTATCCTATAAGAAGCGGCTATAGCTTAAAGACTATTAATACTAATATTACCGATAAGGAATTAGCTCGTCCTATTAGAAATATATACTTAAGCGCCTATACTATATTAGATATAAGACTCGCTAGAAGACTCGCTATATATAAGGAGGTTTAGCTAGAGACTAATAATAAGGAGAAAGTAGTCGCTTAGGCTAATTATAGTACTAGCTTCTTTATTAACTCTACTACTATAGCTATTAATAAGAACCCTTAGAATAAAGACGAAGATATAGCTAATACTCCCGCTACTAGTATTACTACTATACTATCTTAAAAGTAAGAATACTATCTATACGACATATAACTTCTTACTAATATTAAGATAGCTAACTCTCTAAGGGCTTTTATACCCTTTAGCGTCTTACTACTAGCGACTACCTAATTACCCTAAACGCTTAGAACTTCCTTCTCTAAGACCTTACTACTACCTATAGCTATAATAATAAGGCTAAGTTAAAGATAGCTAAGGCTACTCTAATAGATAAGGTTAACGCTATATTAATAGCTAAGGATAAAGAGGGTAAGGATACTAGTAGTACCTATAATATATATAAGAAGGCTAATATTCCTTACTATCTATAGAAAGATAAAAAGAAGGGAAAGGGTTATACCTATTATAAGGTTAATAGACATTAAAAGTATAATATAGCTAAAGTAAGTTTAACTCGTAGTAGACTTATATAGGCGACTTATATAGATAGAAACCATCTATATATAACTCGTAATAACTCGTAATAATAAAACTAGTTATTATACGACTTATAGTAGACTTATATTAGCGACTCGTATTAACGAACTTTACTAATTAATTATTTTTAAATAGGCTACTAATACTACTTCTACTATTACCCCTACTACTACTCCTACTATTACCTCTTTTACTACCCCTACTATTACTACTACTTAAACTAGTACTCGTTTCCCTCTTCTAAAGACCCTAAAGTAGCTCGTTAGTATATTTAGACTACTAGTTACTAGGCTAGTCGTATATAAGCTACTAGTCTCTACGCCGAAACCTCTATAAAGTAGTCTAAGACCCTTACTATTACTACTTATCGCGCTACTAACGAGGCTTAAACTATTCTTACTAAGGTCGGTTTCTACTCTTAAACTACTTATAGTTATACCGTAGCTACTACTTAGTCTCTATAGGACATTAGAAATATTACTACTTAGATTATTACTTAAGGTTATCCTACTCTAGATAAGGCTAACCCTATTATTACTTTATTCTATAACTATCTATTAGCTACTAAGGCTAATAACGCTAAGCTTACTACTAGAGTTAATACTAGTTTAGCTAAGATTAGTCGTCTAAGAAATAGACTAGTTAATATTAAGAAGGAGCTTACTAATAAGAAGGCTAAAAACACTAGAAATAATACTAGAAATAATGCTAAGGATAATGCTTAATAGATTAATTTATAGATTACTATAATTATAGTAGAGGAGGCGTTTTTAATTAAAAAGATACCCTTATTATATACTTACTTAAATTTACTATAGTAAGTTACTATATAAGTCGCTTTATAAGTCTAATTAAATAACTATTAGCTAGTGCTTAAAGCTTATAATTCGTTATTATAATCCCTTACTCTCTCTAGCCTATAGTTATTTAGCTTTACTCTCTACCCTAAAGGTACTATAGCTATTAACTATAAAGATAATAATAAAAGGCTAATAGTAGGACATGTTTATTATAACTCCTAGTAGTAGCGAATTATTACCGGCTATTAGAATAAAGGATAAGCTTAGACTTTACTATCTACTACTACTAACCTCTTATTATAGTTATATAAAAGATAAGTTTAATAGTTTATATCGCTATAGCTTCGATAAGCTTTTACTTTAGCTACTAATAAGAGATAAACTTTCCTAATAGTGTTAATTCGATATTATAAGTTTTAAGAGAGAGACAGTTTAGCGGATATATGTCTAAAGAAAGTGGCACTATCGATCGCTCATCTATTTAGAAGTCGCATCCACGGATTATATGCACTAAAGTGCCGCTACGAATGAGAGTTTTAGTAACACTTACCTTATAACATGGTTCGGGCTCTAAGGATGTGGTTAACACGTCGCTTTACTTTTGGCGTGCCGCACGAGTGGCCTAGGTGCAGTGTTTAGGATGGACGCATAGGGAGGCCTTAGTTATAGAGAAGAACACAAAACAACTGCTTGTCACGAAATCTTAGCATGAAAGTTAAGGTCTGACTTTAAACCAGGGTAATCTTGCGTTTCCATGTCCGATTGGCACGATCTCTCCGCTGGCTGCATGGCCGCTTAAAGGGAACATCAATCGAACATTGAGAAGTGCAGTAACAGACGGTAAGCATATCAGTAATCAGATGCTCAGGCTTCAGCTTGTTGTGATCGCAATTTAGGGTTGCAGGATTCTCCGGACGGTGCATACGCTTTGAGTAGATCGCCGATTCAAGCACTATCTCGAATGGCGTATTGGTACCTGAGTCGGGGCTTTTGCCGAAGACATGGCTCTCATCTTGCGACGAGCGCCATTTTCAAAGGTTGGTTGGAACATGTTTTCAGAAGCAGGCAGCCACCACGGTGGAAGGTGATGGTCTGCAGCATCTCGCTTCGACAAGACCGAAGCGGATCTTTACAGGCACGCGAGCCGACTCTGTTAGAGGCCCGTGCTGGCATAACGTGTAAAGCCAAAAGGCTAGCGGAGCATTATCCGTGTTCGTGAGGGTGGCAGTCTGTCGCGGAACTGAGGAAGGTCGGATTGTAGGCTTACTTACATCATTGACAGATGATTTGTGTTGTTGCTAAATGATTAGCACGAACGAGTCGGGCCATGCGAAGCGACGTAGATGGTACGGCATGCATGCCCTTCCCTATACTTGTGCTTTATACATGGCTCTGCTTTCCCGTTCGCTTTTGTAAATTCTTATATTCTCTTGCATTTTCCTCTTCCAGTCGCCCTTTCCACACCTTGCTACCTGGTGCACACCAAGCATTGTGCTTGCCTGCACAACCTTAGTCTCAACAAAGACGTCTCTCGGTCTCGACATCAACATCCGACAAGATGAATATCGCCGCCATGCTAGAGCCAATGCATGACGCGCCAACAGCACCGTCTGCCTCGTCGCCATTGCAGCCATCGTCGCTGCAACGTCTGCCTTCCATTACGCATGTTACGTCTGCACTGCAACAGCAAAACGAACATCAACCACTCTCATCGCACAGAATCCTGCAGCAATCACAACCTATGCCAGAGTTGCAGTCTTCATTGCCGCCGCCGCCTCGACATGTCCTTCCGCAACGCATGGACTCCATGTCTTCAACCAGTTCATCTACCCAGGGATCCACTCAATTCACCCCACAGCAATTCCCTGCATCATCCACACAACGCACAGTGGACGAAGGCGCATCACGCGAAGAGCTGTCGGCCTCGCCGCCTCAAGCAAGTTCACAAACACGCCATCGCGGTAAACAAACAAAAGCTGCTTGTATCCCTTGCCGTAGACGCAAGTCAAAGGTACCTTTCTGCCTGTCATTTCTTCCTTCTCCACTTGTGCTATGCCTCACCTTCTTTATCCTCCTACTACCACGTTGCAAAGCAATGAGTAAACTACAAAAGACACAGTCGTCTTCAAGCCAGACACGCAGCCAGAGAGAGCCGGAACCATGTTGGCTCTCGCTGAGTACTGCCTTGACTCTACAGACTATCCTGCATCTTGATAGGCACACATGCTACAGACATGAGCACACATGAATCTCGACGAAGCACATCAGCCCCTATATCCTTCTCTCCTGGCTGACCCCCATTCTTGCACAACTCTTCTCTCTTTCTCTTTTCTCAACCTCAAGTTACTCTTGCTTACCATATTTTCAACGTTCAGTGCGATGGAATTCGACCCTCCTGTAAATGCTGCATCTCAAAAGCCACACCCTGCCAATATAGCGTCACCCCAGGCGTAACACAGCAACAAGCTATGAAGAACCAGCTGGAAGCCTACAAGCACGTCTTGTCATTGCTTAGGGAAAGCACCATGGAAGATGCAGAAGTATTGGTCAAGATGATCAAGGCAAGGGAGAGCTTGTCAGATGCTGTCGCAGACATTCAAATCGCGACACGACAACACCACCCTGGATATGTATGATTTCTACAAGAGACTCGACCCTTCGAAAGCGATGACGACTTGTGAGAAGAGATTATATCACAAGAAACATCTGATGGGGGACTAGCCGAAGCAGACCTGAAACTACACCAAACTCTATGATAGAAAAGGCATGGCCCTACGAATCAGAAATGGAGAAGCGAAGCTTGAGAAGCAGGACGACCACACGGCCCAGCCGCTAGGAATCGAACAATACTACGATCGGCAAGAAGTATAGACCTTTGTTGCTACGTCCTGACATCTCTGTCTCATTCTCATTACCTTGTATGACGGGCACACAACACAGATACCCCGAGAGAAGGAGTCGATTCGAACAGCGATCTTATATTAACATCCTAGCCTATTGCTTAGGTACGGCCCATGGTGTGCTCTGTGGAAGAGGAGAACAGAGGTCAGCCGGGGAGGAGACCATCGGAACCGTAACGTTATGAAGGAGTACTGTCCGCTTCCTTCCATTACAAACACATCCCTTTGTTATCCAGCTCTCAAAGAAAGAGCCCGGCCCATTTTTGTAACATCAAACCTTTGGACCAGACTCCTTACATAAGGATTATCCCTTGGACTGTTATCCGTTGCTCATTGAAAGAATTCTAGTCCGCACAGAAGGACCCAAGTCCGCACAGAAGGACCCAAGTCCGCACAGAAGGACCAAATCTGCCTAAATTAGTGTCGTCATGACTTAAAACCTGTGAAGCAGGGGTCGGGTTTTTCATGCAGCGAAGCACTTCTTGAACGGATGTCTTAAGTTTTTGGAGCAGCACACTTCTTTTATCCTTAAATGCACTGTACAATCACCTGCACATGCTATCTCTAGCATACAAGTAACTTACAGAGATCCACCCGTACGTGCATCTTTACTATCCACTCCAGATCAGAACCTCTAGGAAAATTCCACGTTATACAAGGTACATATTTTGATTGATTCTTTCTCCTATTTAGGAAGCAAGAACTGTGATGTTCTTCCTTAAGCACGCGAAGGCAGCGGAGCTAACTCCACCAGAACTCATCTTCTGTCTCGTCTAACCCAGGGTTCATCTCGCCAAAATGCCATGGCAAATTCGGCATTTTTCTGTTCCTCTTCTGAACCATACGAACTACACTATGTGTTGCAGGTTTCGAAATTTCCAAAGATGCAGTGTCTTAACCCCATCTGTCCGTAGTCGAGGTTAAGCGAGGGTGTGCGATAACTTAGACTTTCGATTCAAACGTCTGACATCTCAGAGTTCAAATTCTTGCCGGACCTTCCGACCGGAGTGTTGTCCATCTTGGAGCCCGACCCCTGTGAGCCTTTTATTGGATCGCCGGTGCAGACTCCGGATGGGTGTAGAAAGTATCTTTTCGCGCACGCTCGCTCGGTGTGACTTGCCCAGAAAAGCCACTCCCGCATAGACCATGTGGGAAAGCAGGAATCCTACGCGCCCTACCCTGCCCTACCCTACTCTGCTCAAAGGGCAACTATCTACAAAGACTGCTTTTCTGCTGGGTAGCTTGTCTGTTGAGATGTTTCTAGATTCTTTAAGATGTGGGTTTGTTCTGCAATAGGTAGTCGCGTTTGGCTCTGGATCCTCTCTGGACTAAAGTTTGCGCCAATCTATGACCTTGAAGAAGCGACTCGTAAATCCTAACTTTTGAGATTTGAAGATGTAGGTCAAGACAGCCGATGAGGTGTCGTCTCTTCCTGGTTCCAGTGGACATCACTTGCTCCCTAATCACCAAACTCCTCTGCGCGCCATTCTTTCTGTTTTTCGTAGTTAAGCAAACCCGTAGAATTTCGTTTTGAAGGGCCCTCTTGGTGCAGTGGCCTCTCGCGCCACAAGGGCAGGTCCATCACCAAACCTTTGGTAAAAGGAGTTTTTTCGAAACCGATTAATTCCGCTCAGTGGCATGCCTTTCAAAACGAAATTCTGCGGTATAAGGAGGTCCTTGTACTTCAAAGACATGAGACAAAAAGAGTCCAAGTTGGACTCTCATTCACCACAGCGTGCTACTCAATCACGCAAGTCTGACACCGGCAAGGGAGGGAGGAGTTATCGAACGAACGGCTTTCAATTCAGGTCTGCCTTTTAAATTTTCTGGATGGCGATTTTCTGGGAGAATGAGACATCAGTATCCATTTCATGTTCATTCACTTTGGAAGAAGACAATCTGGACATAATGCCGCGCTCTCATATCACTTTCTCGGTCTGACCACCGCTTGCAGTGGGACCTTCTTTTCACGGCCCTTGGATGAGCGAAGAGGAGATCAATGATTCAGTCATCTGGAACTGGCAAGAAGAACCCTTGGAGACATAATACAGGACAAAAGGACCACGAAAAGAGACAGTCCAGCATCTCATTCCGGATCTCTCGCAAGAATTTTGAACCCACTCTGACTACCAATACGGTAGGCACCACCACACAGAGGGGATGGAGATCGGATGCTAACCTTCATGCCGACCTTGGTGATGCCTCCGATTTGCTGTGATCTTGCAAAGGTTGACGGGAGAGGCTTGCTCTGACCATCGGATGCGGGCGGCCACGTAGTCCAAAGAGATTCTCAACAGTTCAGCATCGGTTTTAATTCTCAAAACAGGTCAACGCAGCACAAAACAGCGGATGACGTTGATCCACAGTTGTTGATGATCTGTGAATTTCCCAGCGAACGGGACGCTCCTTTGGTGTCTTTGACAGTGTCACTGATGTGCCTCGAGTTTAGACCGAAGGTCGACTGCAATTCAACAGCTCCTTCGTGCTCATTGGCCTCTCCGGATACCTCTAGCATTAAAAACAGATTTGAAGAAAAAAAACATGGGCGTACGCAACAATGACGGTGAAAGCGTGCTAAAAGCCCAAGCATCACTTGGCAAGCCTCTATCGCCCATCTGCGGTGCTAAGTCCGCCTTTATAGTCTTTGCCGAGGCCTAGGTGGAAAGAAGACCCATAACCGTGGCTAAGACACTAGTAAACTAGTTCCTCGCTAAGGCTTTAGACACTTATAGGGTTCGTAGTAGAGGTCTAAACGTATTAACCTTTCTAAACGTATTAATTAGGGTAACCTTATCGTTATTAGTACTATACTACTAAGGAGGTTACTATTATTAGCGTAGAGAAAGAGGAATATAATAAATTTAAAGAAGAAGTAAAAGGCTTAGGATAGTATACGAGGTACTATTTTAAAGTAGTCTCTAATAACTAACTATATAATATTAAATAAGAAGATAGATAATATAGTTAGAGCCTTTAAGGCTAGCGAGTTCGTAACTATTACTAATACTAGTTATGCATATAGTATTAATCCGTAAGATTATAGATTTATTAGTATTTTTAATAAGGTTAGTACACTAACTAACTATTTAATAGGTTTAAATACTTAAAGCTCTATACGTAAGTAAGAGAAAGAGAATAGAAGGGCTTAAATAATTAGAGATTATTATCTAAATAAGAGTAAGGGTTAGTCTAATATATTAGTTAAATAGACGACATTAGTATTAATGTCTACTATTACTATATTACTCTTACTATACACTCGATTCTCTATAACTTAATCCTAATAGGAGCTCCTATACCTACGCTAGTTAGTACGAAATAGCTAAAAGACTTTCTTAATTAATATAAGGAAGTACACGTATAGCGATATTAGCTACTTTAATTCATGTATAAATAGGCCTATTATAAGGAGCTTATTAATTAGTAGTTTAATAAGTATAAGAAGATAGTTATTAATAATAAGATTAAGAGAAGGGACATATAGAATATAGATAAGACTAGCTTCTATATAGGGGTTACCTATAGCTAGCTAGTATTAATAATAGTATATCTTTCTCTCTAACCTAAATTCGCCTAGTTTCGAGAATGTTAACATTCTAATTTACCTAGTTTATATTCTTATCTAACTCTCTTTTAATCTAGTAAGATATTTAGCGTTTATAGGTTAGTTTATCTAAGGAATAAGAGTTAATAACCCTTATAGAGGCTATCTCTACCTCTAGCGAGGTTATTCTACCTCTTATTATTACTAAAGGTACCTTTATATAATACCGGCTTAGTAAGGATATTCCTATAAACTAGGTAATAGCTATCTCTAAAAGTTTAATAACTAATAATAAGCTTACTCTCTAGTAGTTAATCTACTTTAAGATATATATAAGACCTTTTCTTAATAATAAGGGTAACCTTCTAAAGTACCTCTTAATCTATAATAGGTATAGTAGCTATATTACTTATAAGTTTATATACTATATAAACATAAAGGGCATTATTATCTACTATCTAATCCCTTATACTAGTTACCTTATATAACCTCTTAATATTAGTATCTTCTAGCCTTATAAAGCTTACTATGCTTATATCCTTAATAAAGCTATTTTTCTTAGTTACGATAACTTTAATTACTTCGAATTTATTACATAACTTCTAGCTATCTAAGCTACTACTTTTAAGAGGTTAATATACTAAACTATATAGATTAAAGCTAGCCTTTAGCCTCTAGATTAACATCGACCCTTACTTCGAATTATTAGTAAGAAGTAGGTTAGACTATTACTATATTAAGTAGTAAAGGTATAGATTTAAGCGAACGAGGATCTTAAGGCTATTTTAAAGGCTTAAGATAATAGATTTACCTATCTTAATAGTCTCTCTAAGGCTAAATTAATACGCTACTTTATATAACACTATACTAACATAAATGCTAAGACTATTAAAATATAAGGAACCTCTAAACATAAGCGTTTATATAGAATTCTAGAGACCCCTCGCTACCTTACTAACCTTATTAAGGGCTTTTAACGACTTAATTGAAGACTTTAAGACCTCTATTTAATACCTTTAACCTAGCGTTAAATTGACCGATTTTATAAGAGTAGTCTAACTTTCGTAGTTACTAGTTAGCGAGCTATAAAATAGCTCTCTAAGACTATAGCTATAAAGAAGGCTCGTAATCTATAAGCTTACTAAGGGGTTAGCTATATTTAGGAGGGTAGAATTATTACTACTAGTAAGCTCTATTAGATAAAACTAGGAATAGAGGAGATAATTATTTACGAATTTATATAAGGTAAAGGGCTCTTTAACGAATTTAGTTATTAGGAGGACCTTAATAAAGCTATTAATAAGTAGCTCGCTATCTATAAGTATAGAGCTCTAATATAAAGGCCTAATAAGATTAAACTTAAAGCTAAATATAGCTCCTTTAAGAGGAAGCATAGCGTAAGCTTAAAGCTATTAATAAGGAAGAAGAATACTTAGAATTAGAGCTAGAGAGAGCTCTTAGTATCGCTAGCGCTATTAATCCCTTACTTCTTATAAGTACTCTTACTAGCTCCCTCTTAATTTAATAATATATAAGTACCCTTACCTTTATAATGGAACTTATAGTTTATACTACCTCCTCCTTTACTATATAGACCCTATAACTTACTATATAACTTATAGTTTATGCTACTAGTAACCCTTCTAATGTTAACCTCTTTAAGACTAGTAAATATCTTATTTTAAACTCCTATTATACTAGTAATATAGCTACCGAGCTATAGTGTCTATAGGACACCTTAAAGTTCGTAAAAATGATATTTCTATATATACTAAAGTTATACTATTAAGCATGTAAAACTTAATTAAGAAGACCCTTAAAATTTCGAATTTATATAAGGATTTATATGGTAGCGAGAAAATGGCTAATAATACGTTTAGACCGGATGATACGCTTAGAGTGCAGCCACGAACTCTATTCGTGTCTAAGCTTTAGCGAGGGACTAATTTATTAGTGCCTTGGCTACAGTTAGGGCTGAAATCAAAGAGATGGATCGGGGAGGCGGACTGCATCCCTTAACGAGGTGACCGTTTGGGAAGGTTCTGCGGCATGTTGCCGGACTTTTTCAGGTTTTAAACCAACGACATGTCCTGAGGTTGTTTTGTTCCACTCTTCCATTCTTGCATTCTTGCCTACGGTGGATGGGCTTTTGCTCTCTCGGGTCCATTCGCTTCTAAATGGTGGATGGAAGGCCGTTTTCTTTGAAAAGGGTGGATGGAAGGGGTGTCAATGTCAAGTCATACGACGATAGCTTACTTGTTTCCTACAGATTAGTATCGGGGCCACAATGAAAATAACACACTGAGAGGCTACCGCTGGGTCGGGATTGCATAAGTGATAACTCTTCATATCAAGGAAATCAAACTATGAAATGGATGGGTAAGATTTTTTATATCATAACTCACCATGCAGAACAACCATGACTTCGTTAACTTAGAGCAACCACTTCGATACGACGCAAACCCAAAGATGAAAAACTTCAAAAGGACCTCTCCTCCCCTTCAACAATGCTTGATGTGCTCGCAAGAACAAATAACGACAAATCGCAAACATTAATTGGCTACTCGACCTCGGGCGCCCATGTCTCAAGGACAGTCTTGACGCCACCGGTCAAACTCTTTGGTCTCCTTAGGTCCTGGATGATACGATCGCAGTCCTCGGGATGGGCATCCTGGAGCAACCGCAGCACGGTGGCGTAACCCTCGAGTCGTCTTCTGGATGCCGCTTGGCTGGAAACATCTTCTTCGGCCATGTACTCGCAGGGTTTTTGCTTGGTGATGCAGCTTGAACATCTTGGTCTTTTCCCGTCACACTGGAAGAGCAAGTCAGTCTCAGTGGTTGGCAGCAAGCAATGTTTGTTCTAGTGGGTCGAAGGGTTCGAAGGGTCGAACGATAGGAAAGGTATGTGTCCTTGACGAACCTTTGACTTTCGCTGCCGACATGCCGAGCATGCTGCCTTTGTGGTTTTTCTGCCTCCAGTGGAGCGTTTCCTTGCATGTTGTGAAGCTGGTTTTGTTGAGGCCTTTTCTGGGGACGCTTGGTCGGACGGAGACGGCGTTGCTAATGTGTCCATTTCAGGTCGCTGCAATTGGGATTGTATCATACAGGGTACAGAGTCCCTGTGGTGTGCTGCAGACAAATCGAGCGGCGATGTCAAGGGTCGTCACACTCCAGGGCGGGTGTGAAGTGAGATTGGTGTGAAGATGCAGGGGACGCAGTATCGCTGGGCGTGGACGGCAGTCTCAATTCAGACAAGTCTTCCTGTGCCTCTTGCGCATGTTGCCGAGGGTTGCCACGGATGGGCTTCTCGAGAAATAGAGCATGTTCCATATTTTCGGTTGGCTGTTTGCCTAGGTGCACTCCATGGAGTTGGGACGAAACGAAGAGTTATATCTGTTTTCCAAAACGACGGCGGAACCGGCAGGGTACTATCACTCACGGAGTTAAGTCCGAGCAATCGCCTTTGCAACCCCATAGATTCCATACAAATCTCAGGCTTCTCAGCAAACAGTGCCGCATCTGCATGTACGAAGCTCCACCTTTACCGGTCACTATGACGAAATAAGCAAGAACGAGGCTATTCGACAAGAACCATTGCACTTAACCCATCTCAAGCCGTATCAATATATTCTTCGATGCGCCTTGTTGCAATCGATTCGCAGCGACCGAATCGTATGTTCTGGTCGAGCCCAACGAAAACCCCCTCATTGTTCAGAGTTTCGAAGGATTTCAGAGTTGCAGTCGAGACCAGGGGTGTCGCGTCTAGACAGATGAACACATCGCGTTCATTGGCCAGTCCAACAATCGCATCCTGGTAATCTCTTGATGGACCCTTTAGACTACAGCCTTTTGCAGCTCCTCATGGCGCAACTAGACAAACCCATCGGGGTGCAGCACGTAATCGGAATATACCTAGCTGTCCAGATCCTGGTTGACAGCGCAATTCAACCGAGCAAAGGGCGCGACCACTCGAGAACGAGTAACTATCGTATCGCAGGATCTGATACAGTACGACAAACGACAAACAAAAACATCCCTTGCACTGCATCGTGGCAACAACCTCTCAGCTTCCGCTTCCATCTTCGTTTTCTGGTCAGCCAATCCGGCAACCAATACCGGCATCTGTTCGATGTTCAAATTTGTTGCCGAGGAGACCAATCAAAAGCTAGATTGGATGCGTCGCTACAAAGTCAGATCTATATCATGTAACTAACCCGTGGGCAAGCACGAGATATCAGAGGTTCGTCGGAATCGGCTCTTGTCTCCACGATGGTCATGACGGGGTCGCTTCCTGGCCGAAACTCTATTTCCTAATCGTGACAGGCTGACAGCGCAACTGAGACTTCATGATAGGCACGTGGAACATGTCAACATGCAAGATTGTGCAGAAATAAGGAGTATGAATACTGATTATATACATGTGCTCTACAGAAGGGGGGTATCAGTGGGTATCATGAGAAAAAAATCACGCGGACTCAACTCCGTGGTTGCCTTGAGTGCCGCGCTTGTGCATGCTATCTGCGATCCACACCTTATCCAGCGGAGATACAAGACTGGGGTTGATGAAACGCATGCCACTCTCTCTCGACTCGTCAACCGTCTGTCCATGATTGGACTCTTGCTGATAGCGGTGATGGTTGTCGGAGTCAACTCCGTGTTGTTCTGCTGATGCATAGTCGGCATGTTCTGCTCTTCTGACACTCTTCAGAGCGATGAATTTCATCAAAGGTTTGTAGGTTCTTCCAAACACGAGGAAGAACCAGACGCTGCCGACGACAAGAGGAACTAGCATGATGCTCCTCAACAAAGCCTTTTTGAGAGCGAGCTGACCGCCGACCGTTATCTGGAAGAGGATGATGCCAATCTGCACACGATCGCAAATCATGCTCCAGCTCTTACCAGTAGAGTGTTGGCGATGGTCCATGGCATAGAGAAGCTGGTACTTGTATACAAAACTTCCGATGACAAAGTATATCAGGCCAGAAAGGATGACCTTCCAGCTGTCTCGTAGGACGCTGTACACAACGCAGATGATGAAGATAAGAATAGTCTGAGGGAGGTAAAGGCCGTAACTGAAGCGAGGGGGTTGAATGAGTTCGGCATAGTCTCTGGGGGTCTTGGCTCCCATCAGACCGATAGGGTAAAGAGCCATGGTTCCGATTTCTAAGAGCCTAAAAGGAAACAGACCAAGACCTTGGAGGATGATGAAGTTGGTGTAAANAGGAAGCAAATTCTGCAATGACGACGCAAGGGTCCATGCAAATCTTGTTGTGTCTCTGAGGTTCTTGCCAATATCTTTGTACTGGTCATAGAAATTCGAAGCCGTGCCGAGAATGGTGAAGACAATGAAGAAGTTGAAGAAGGTAAAGAAGAAGTTCTTGGAGATGACCGAGAGTTCAACGTCGCCTTGCGAGGTCATACCTTGGCAATTGGAGAGCCCTGTGAGGTGTCAGTGCCTAGGTCATTTGGAATGAGTCAGAAGTTTAGACTTACAGTCGTACAGGTAGGGTACAATGGCGTTGAGCAAAGTGACGGCGATGGTAGGAAGCTGATTGGTGACGAGAGAACGGACCAAGGGGTGCGAGTCGAGAACTTCGGCCAGAGATGGAAGAAACTCGCGAATGGTGTCGGTGTTCAGGAAGGTGGCGATTGGGACAAAGGTTACGGACCAGAAGACGGTCAGCAGCAGGATGAAAGCGGTGATAGACCACGAGCGGAACATGCGACTTCTCCTGCTAAGATAAGTGTTCGACCAGACAATGTCGGCGGGCGCGGGGCTGGGATTGGCCAGCAGCTGCAACGGCGAGGGGTCGAGGACAGCTTGACAAGCCATTTGACAGGCAGCAACGCTGTCCATCGTGACAAATGCCAGGGGAACCGGCTCGAACGTCTTGGAGCGCAACTCCCTGATCTCGTCATCACATACACGGAGCTTCTCTTCGTAGTAGTCGATAGCATCTACTTGACGGCTACGCAAGTTGAAGCGTCCGAAGTAGATCTTTGCCTTGGGACGAACTCTAGCATAGGNGGTCTGAGCGGGCATGGCATCGTCGGAGCGGAGCAGGCGACGGTGTTCATCATCATCGTGCTCTTCGTCTTCAGGGTTGACCGAAGGGCCTGGAGGTACAGGCTGGGCAATCGGCAAGGCCTCCAAGTTTCGCTCGATTGAACGGTGACCTTGGTAGACGGTATAAGCCTCTTCGAGACGACGCAGAAGGTCGTTTCTCTTGACGATGTACTTGTCTAGCTCAGCCCATTGGCGGCACATCAGGACAGTCTCGACATTTCCAATGCCCAACTCTTGAATGAAATCCTTAATCTTGTCTTCGGACTGCAACTCTGGTGGAATGCCGGATAGACGGATGGTGCGGTCGGTGATTGTGGTCTGAGTACCTAGGTACTCTTGGCGTACTTCGATGATATTGCGTGTCTCAGAGGTGATGAGATACAGGGCGATGCCGGTGAAGACGTAGGCAAAGACTGGATACATCCACAAATAGTCCGTCTCGACTTCGGGCATCCATGGAGCAGAGTGGTTCAGGGGTGTCCATGATTCGCTTCNTTTGCGTAGCTCGTAGTCGAAGTCGTAGTCGGGTACGAAGGGCAAAGTCGAGTTCTTTTGTTTCTTGTCGTCGTCAGGATAACTGTCGTGGACGGGTTTGATGACGACGAGCGAGAAGAACAGGGTGATGGACAGGAACTTGATGGCCAGCTTAAAGAAGCGGAGAAAGACGTAGGCGTCGAGGCCGGCCGAGGCAAGCACTTGTTGTTCAGTAATACGCCAGAGCGGTAGCATCCATCCAAAGAGGTTGTTGGACAGTTCGGGCAGAGCAGAGCCCTGGTCTTTTGCCTTCTTCCTGGCTGCGTAGAGACCGCTCCATCGCGGCCGCAACACGCAGAATGCTAGAAAAGCGAAGACTCCCAGCGCCAGGGAAAGCTCGACCTGAAGCGTCGTTGATCGTTGCTTGCCCCTCACATTATTGGGGTCGTCCCTTCCTCCAAAGGTAAGTATTTCGTCCATTGCTGCAGTTGCAGATGTAAACAATGGAAGGTTGCATAGACCGCGACTTCTTCGACAGTCTCCGGACCAAAATCAGGCGCGCCGATGTCATCGTACACCGCAACATGGCCAATGCGCGGCCCCGAACCTTGTTCCCGAGGCTCAGAGACACTGTTTTGCCTTGTATAACCATCTTATCAATCGAGACCAGGAGGACACAAGTATTGAATCATGAACAGAAGATCGATATAACCATGATCTTCAGAGAATGTTACCCTGCTTCTGGCAGATGGTATATGAACTGCCTTTCCTCTTCAACAGAAACTCGATCTCGAAGCCTTAGGAGTCAATTCAACACCGCTCCATCCATACCTTACCGCTGACAAGAGTTCCCCCCCTTTAACAAGCCCCTGATCTCCAACGCTTGATCATATCAAGCCACCGTCTGTCCATGACCAACCCCATTACTGTTCCCATTCACCTTCCCAACCACCCCACTACCTCCCCCTTCCCCATCCTTCTTCCCCCTCTTCTCCATCTCCTCTATCTTCCGCAAATCTGCCTCCAACCTACAATCAAAACACTATTCCACGACCGCAGGTACATAGGGATGGCCATTGTGGTTCAACGTCAGTTGCTCATTGTGTTACTCGGACCAATCATCGCAAGGGTAACCGCGGAGTTCGCCCGACAGGCATTTGAAGACTTTGTTGCGTGTGTGGCGGCATTTGATGTAGTGAACTTTGCGCCAATGGCACATTTCTGTCAGATGCGGATGGTGAGAGGCAAGACTGTGGCTCTGGTTTTGTGATCGCTCAGTGATTGGATGATTGGATGGTAGACCAGCCTGAGGGTGAATGGCTGGTTGATGAATAGTTGTGGTTGACGGGTTTGTTGTCTGTTCGACGGATCGATCTGCTTGTAGCAAGTGGCTTGTTGATTGCAAAAGTGCTGGTTGAGCACTGGCTGATGAAGAATATACTGATGAACAAGTATTTATTGATGATGGTTGCAATAATTCAAGTTTCATACAGAGTAGATGGCAGACGCTGTCCTTGAATTCAACTTCAGCTCGACGCCTGTCGCTTCCTCCCAAAGTCCTCAGTTCATGGAAGGAACAATGCAGCCGTCAGTGCCTTCTCCCGGCAGCAACCAAAAACGCCCTTCCACAACAAACATAATGTACCAGATGGAGTCTTGTAGCACCAGATTTTAACCCCCTTTAATCAACCAACGCCTCTCATGACACTTGCTACGAAAGACAATAACGAAATACGAAATGTTTATCCAGAAAAGGTACATGTTTTACCTCCAGACAGTTTTGGCTGAGGGCACGTCTTTCCTTGCAGCCATGCTCTGTGTGCGGATGGGTGCCACACGCATGCTGCCACCTCCAATGTTGCTCTCTCGAGAAACATTGCGCATGTTGGATATGCTGGGTGCATTCTTGACCACAGGCGCCGAGCGTGGACTCAAAACATTGGTCGCCTCGCCTTTCTCGCTCTTAACCATCCGGCGGGCATGACTTGCTGTGAAGAGATTGTTCTCGTTCGCTGAGTTTGGTGATCCACTTGTTTGGGCTGAGGGACTGCGTCTACGATGTCTGTTCGAACCGGAGGACACGCGCCTTCGAATGGCAGACTGAATTTGCAAAGCCGAGTCTTGGAGCGATCTTGTTGGATCGTCCTTGTCGGAAGCACTGCTGCCTGTGTGATCATCACTAACAAACTCTGCAGCCTTCTGAAGACGGATTGGGATAGGTGATCTCTTTGGTTGGAACGTGCTGTTAGCTTCGATCTCGCGCAAAGGAGATAGGTTTTCGGACGCTGCCATTGCGAGGTTGGACAGGGCCGGCATCATAGGCGACCCATCATCTTTCTTGAGAAATCCTGCTTGGAAGCGGCTGTTTCTCGAACGGAGCTCGGATGATGGCACTGGTGGNNAGGGGGGAATGGGACTAGAGTCAAGGTTATCGGAATGATCGCCTGACCTGGACGACGCAAACTGTGAAACGTCTGGCTCGTTGAGTGAGGAATCCAGTCCTGGCGGTGTTGGTTGGAATTCTTCCAGCTTGCCGTCTTCAGTATCATCCCGCCATCTTACAGCACGCTTTGCAGCCTTGACTGGTGATGACTTGTTCTTCTTGGGTGTACCACCATTAAAAGCCACAGCTACAGATTTCCTAGCAGCTCCTAACTTTCGTCGCCGTGGTGATGCTGGAGTCGGTCCCATGTTAGGAGACTGCCTAAATTGTGGAGGATTCATGCTCGGGCGAATCTTTGCTTTTATCGGTGAAGGACCAGCCAAGTCGGCGGCCCTCTTCTNTTTGGGCGTTCCTGACTTGGTTGGCGGTACTGCCTCGATGATGGCAAGCCCGCCGTCTGGTCGGATGACTTGCGAGGTAGCCTCTGTGCACGAGTTAAGTAGCTTAGTGAGGACAGTCTTGGCTGCTTTGACAGCTTCTTCCTCATCCATTTGCATAATCTGACCGAGAATAGCGATAGTCTCAAAGTGTGCTTGGAGCAAAACTTGTACAAGCGCGGCATCGCCAGTTTTCTCCTGGTCCAGCACGGCTGATTGTACTTCTCTTTCAGCTCGGCTCCGCAACACCTCAACTTCCTGCTTCAAGCTTGCAACTGCAGAGGACGACATGGACGTTGAAGCGTCGACTTCTTGCAATTGACGCATGCCGTTCTGAAGAGCTGTGTCCAGCGAACGTTCCCAGTTTGCCTTTGCGAGACGCTTGTGGTAGTGCTGTCTGCTTCCCTCAAGTTCAACAAGTATTCCTGAAGCGGTTTTACGCATTGATGTCAAGCTGAGCGGTGGTTCCTCGTCCTCACGGTTCTCACAAATCTGGTCGAAACTACCGATCCAGGCAGATATGAGAACAATTCGGCGTTCGATTTGTCGTAACCGCTTCATGTTGTTGATATGCTCCTTTCGCTCGTCGCCCGAGTGATCGTATGCTGCACGAATTCTGGCAAGAGCTTCCTTCAGTAATGCGGATTTCTTGTCCTCGGCCTTCTTGAACTTGGTGAAAGCAAGTGACTCGAAGTCCTTGTGCTGGGCTTGCAGGTCCTTGATAAGAGCCATCTGTTCATCAATTTTCTTGAGATAGTCCTTGACGTGGCGGTCTACATTAAAGACATTGCGAACGGCTTTTGTCTGGATGTTTTTGGCTCTGTTGGCGTAGCGCAGAGTATTCTGTGTTTCGTCGAAATGGACAGAGCTTGGACTGACGCAGACGATCATGACTGTTCTGCAGTTTCCACCCAAACTGAACTTGAGGAGACGAGTGAGTTTGCTGTTGCGGTAGGGCACGTGGTTCTTCTTCTTGGGATCGCACAAAGCATTGATGCATGAGCCCAAAGAGAGCAACGACTTGTTGATGTTTGCACCTTCGAGCAAGCGCTCACCACGGTTCTTTGTTGCCGAAGCTCTTTCTGATCCAGCCAGATCAATGATGGAGAGGGTAGCAAAGGTAGTGGGTTCGGAGTGGCCAGCATTGCGATCCTTTTGGGCGACGTTGATCTGGAGAACGGCGTGCGATCTGGACGAGGTTGCGTTGGCTTCTGTTGGAGACTGTGTGCGGTTTTCGTTTCCTCGAATTAGCATATCCATGACTTCGTTTACNNCTAGGCGCGGGTTAGTCGAGACGGCTTGCTGTCGCTGACAATTGGCGGTACACACGTTCTGAGGGCGGTGTGAGGTGAGACCTGCGACTGAGACAGCCTGGTTGGCGTCTTCACGCAGCATCAATCCTTGACCTCGTTTGGTAACCTCACTGACGGGAATGAGCAAGTCGCGGATCGTCTCGTTGTAAATTTCCAGGTACGATAGGGTGACCTCGGTCTGCTTCTCCTCTTGCATCTCGCCGATCCTTTCAAACATCTCTTGCATGGTCAGGAAGATGATTCCCGGTTGTTGCGCTGTACCNNTCTGCTCAACCTATCAGTTTATGCTCTGGAAATTCCGAAGTTTCGACACGTACGTGATGGTATGAGTCTTTCCGCAGCCTGTAGCACCGTAGGCGAAGACAGTGGCATTGTAGCCGTCGAAGACGCTGTCGAGGAGGTTTTTTGTGGTGGCTTCGTAGACTTCGGCTTGTGTTGTGTTGTCGTCAAAGACGCGATCGAAGGTGAAAGGTTGATCCTTGGTTCTCTTTCCTCCCATTCCTGGTCGCATGCGTCCTTGTGTCGATGCGTCTTCCGGGTCGAAGATNNCCTGGAGAGTTTGTTAGTGCTTGGGCCGGGAAAGTGTCAACGTTTGGGCATACAAGCATTTCTCATCCATGACCTTGATGACGGATCTGATGCCCTTGCCAGCATGGCGTGGAACTGGCGCGGCAGCCAGCGAGCCATCACCCAGGAAGAGAGGTCCATCGTCAACGCGGGTCAACTGCGCAGCCTCTCGAATGGTAAAGGGTCTGACGCGAACAGCGACGGTGATGGAAGAGGCACCGTCAATTGCGCCAGCCATGTTTGCAACAGCTCAAGGCGATGTTTGAGTGTGAGGCAGCTGTGCGCAAGCAAGACGATGACGAGGAAGGGTTGACAGCCACCAGGGCGTGTCTGTGTATGAATTGGCTAATTCTGTTTAGTTGTTGATTTTCAGCTGCTCGAAGGTGCGACATCAACAAACAGAACCCAAATTGTGGGGAAAAGCTGCACCTGGCTGGTCCGCTGCAGTCCTTGTGCACATGTTACGTTAGGCGGTCTATTCCCTTGCAATCAATTTACTTCTAATCCATGCTATGCCATATCATATTGAATATGTCAGTGGGTCACCCAATAGTTCTTCCATTCGTGTAGGAATGCGCGATTTCGGATAATATGCAGACGTCCAGGGTACTTGTGGGGCGGAAGACCCTGACCTTGAAAATATTGATATATCTATTCTACCCGCCCACAAGCATGGTCACTGAAGACAGATTCGAGAGCCATCTGGATCGGGAGGATCGTTGAGATATGTGCCAGAATGATTTTACAGACGAGATCATAACACAGCATCCGAACGTTACCTGATTTTCGTCATGGCTTACTCGAGCTTGCATCGCAAGTCTGTCGTGACAACCTCGTGATCTTGGGAGCTATAGAATGCATACTATCAGGATGGAACAGTACAGTATCCACCAACGAGGGACATTTCATCAGTCTCTCCGAAACACCTGTGCCTTCTGCTGCTTTCTTCAGTCGGGCCACGACGGGACTTACAGACTATAACAAACACATGGTGAGGACCAAGTCAAGCTCACAGCAAATAGACAAGCCAATGATACTACTCTGAGTATGTTTTCCGGAGCTCGAAGACACTCATGAGTGTGGAGATGCCGGATCATGCTCGCGAAATTTGCTGAAAATCGAGCGTTCACACCAGTCTCATCTAAACGCGGCAGTGGCAGCAGTAGCAGCAGCAGCAGTAGCAGCAATGCGTCTCGAATGCCGTGATACGGTGAACAATGGTCAGATATATGGTTACTGGGCGAGTTTACTACAAGGACAGAGCGTGACAAGCAAGAGAAAAGACTGCTGAGCAGCGATCAATGGTTGAACGGCAAAGTAAAAACATGTCATTGCATGCGCCTCCATTATGGAAATGATCTTGCTCTTTCGAGTCTGAGTGATAGGCCTTTTGACAAAACTGTCTTAAGATTTTGTTTGTGGGTTTTGTGCATGGATTACATAACACAAGGGATGTTGCTTATCATGTCCCACTTGCCCTGCGCCAGTAACCTTGAAAGGAATTCTTTTCGTCCAACGCCCGCTTGCCTCTTTTGTCGTTTTGTGTGATGTCGTGAGGAGAAGCGAAAGCATTTATCGGACAATACCCTCGAATCTGTTCTTGAACCACTTGACGGTCTCGGCCTGGTTGATGCGGTGAGAGGCACCAACCTTGGTCTTGCAGCGGCGGCGACGAGCGACACGCTCACCGGGGCGCTCNNCCTGGGGCGGTTGTCAGTAACATGGTCGAGGTGTTCGGATTGAGGCAATGATAACTTACATGCAGCAGTAGAAGTCCATACCGTAGATACCAATACCGGGGTCGTACTTGATACCGAGATCGATGTGCTCGTTGATACCGAAACCGAAGTTGCCGGTCTCGGAGAAGTTGCGCTTGCGGAGCTCGTACTCCTTGACCTTGAGACCACGCTCGATGATCTCCTCAGCCTTGGGGCCACGGACGGTGACGTGGACAGCGATCTTCTCGTTACGGCGGATACCGAAGGTACGGACGGTGTAGCGGGCCTTGGAGTAGACGGGGGTCTGACCAGACAGCTGCTCGAGAACCTTGGCGGCACGAGTAAGTCTGTCACCAGACTCACCGACCGAGATGTTCAGGACGAGCTTGGAGATGCGGAGCTCGCGCATGGGGTTGCCGGACTTGTCCTTGGAGGCATTGTCGCCGGAGACCTGGTCGGCCTGCTGGTTGGAGTTCTGTCCGATAGCCTGCACAGAAGCGTGTTAGGGTATGTGTTCATCCATTTATGTTTGATCCACAGGCGAGGGAGAGGGCAGGCCTGCATCTGTCGACGACGACAACGACGACGACGAAAACGATTTGTGGTGTTGATGTGTGTGCGAGTGTCGAGTGGGATGTAATGATGCATCTCCATCTGTTTTCTCTTCTTTTTCTCCTCTTCATCCACATCCGAATCGTGTGAGGGCATTGCGAGCGTCGATGGCAAGCGTGGCGAGGCGCAAATCGTCGTCGTCGTCGTTGTTGAGGTTGTAGGTGCAGACCGTGGCTCCCTGCCGTGAAGGCGGGATTGTGCTCACCATTTCGTCGGTACTGGGCGATGTGTCGAAGAAGTTCAAAGTCGCTGCGCAAAGAGAGAAATCTGAGCGCTGGATTGATTTTGCACAATGCAGCTCCGTGGTGTGCGGCACGTGACTGGCTTGCTTCGGCATCAGCACAGACCACCTAGCATCACTCCCGAGTTCAGTTATGCCATGCTCTGTATGAGTGTCTGCTAACTGCAAAAGACATGTCCGGACCTTGCTGCAGAGTATGCCCATGCTATCAGCCCATAGACAATGTCTGCTGCATTATATGAGTTCATCGAGAATTAGTGCCATGATTAGGCACAACCGATGGTCTGTCTAGTAGTTATTCAAGCACACAGACAGAGGTTACTAGGCTCTGCACGTCCATGAACGGTAACATTCAAAGTAATCATAACTGCCACGTCGAAGGCTTCCTAAGACCTGTGCCGGACAGGATGACCAACTCGAGCCATATCAACACTCGAGAGCGGAATTTGGGAGGCTTTTCTCCGCTCGGCCTTCGCAGCCGATAGCGGGCGTCTCCACCTTTGGCAGACAGTGAGCGGCCGTCAGCCGGAACTTGTTCAGCACGCCGTGAAACATCTTCTCTCGATAACCATACCATACTAATCACAAGTCAAGATGGCGGCAGCAATCAAGGCCCTCAATGCGAAGATTCGCTCCAACCCCTACACCGACTACATCTGCTCGACCCGTGAGTTGCCCTGCGAGAACAAGACTTTGATATCGCGCCGCATCCAAGCACAATCACAACATCTCGTCTTGCGATCGCCTGTTCACCTACCTTGCAACTCCTATACTAACATGGAGGCTCTGTGCAGANNCTTCTGGGGTCCCGCATCTAACTTCGGTATCCCTCTCGCTGCCGTCATGGACACACAAAAGGACCCCGAAATGTAATTCTTCCTGCTCGATCGTCTACAAGACTGCGCCGACCGTATATTCTGCAAGAGCTTGGGACTAATACGCACACGCACCACAGTNATCTCGGGATCCATGACACTCGCTCTCTGCGGTTACTCTGCTACATTCATGCGCTACGCCATGGCCGTCACNCCCGTGAACTACCTCCTCTTCGGCTGCCACTTCGTCAATTTTGGCGCACAGGCTACTCAGGGATACAGATACCTCAACTACTGGAAGTACGTCTCTCAATTTTCCCGGCGCATGTTGCTGCACAATTCAATGCTGACACGCGCCCTTCTNAGCTTCGGCGGTAAAGAGCTTAGAGAGAAGGCTACCCAAGAAGCTTCTCACATCGCAGATCAGGCCAAGGCTGCCGCCAACAAGGTCGAGAGCAAGGCCAAGGAGGTCGCCAACAAGGTCACCAGCTCATAATCTACCAATATCTTTTCTATCTACCAGCAAACTTCATGCCCGATCCGAAGAGGTTGTGATGCCCCAACCACTTTTTGACACAGCCCTGCACCACCAAGTCTCATAATTAGCAGAATAGGACTCGAGAAGATCAAAAGCTACTTGCGATTCCAACCACGGTTCCATTGCATCTTCCATGTCATGAGCGAACATACACATCCTGGTGGACATCAAAAGCTTGATCTCAATGGCAGATTAGGCAGATATATCCAAAGATGATGTGGTTCTTGGACATACATATTATCTGTGATGGCGGGAACGAACAATGAGTCTTGTAGATAATGATACTTCTGTCCTTGCTGTGCTCTTAATGGCCATTGTAACTGCTCCTCAAGGAAATGTGCGTTCTGTGACTGACATAACACGTGTCGCGCGCCGTTGAAATGTTTCTGTTATGGGTTTCGCTGTATCCCGTACCTTGTTTCTCCGACTGTTCTACCTACCTATCTGATAGTCCCGATTTGGATGGCTTTAGGACGAGCTTGCCCGGCGGCCCGATCACGTGCCATTATATTGGCATTAGAACCTCTTCTTGAAACCCTCCAAGACACTCGTTCTTATCACAATTATCGTAAAGATGCATCTCTCAGCTCTTGTGGTCGCCTCATTGGCGTCTGTCTGTCTTTCTGCTCCTAGTGCGAGTGTGGAACAGCAACCAATTGGTGCTTCGGAGCCCAACAGCATCGGCTCAACATGGACCAAGGAACTGATTTCACTCCACCGTCACCTCATCTCAACTGAATCCATCAGCGGTAACGAGTACGATGTTGGAAAGTGGCTGTCCGATTACCTGAAGCATGATGGCTGGACCATTGAGACGCANAAGGTCAACAATGATAGCTCTCGTCTCAACATTCTGGCCTACCCGGGTAAAGTCCGTAACGCCGACCTACTCATCTCGAGCCATATCGACACTGTTCCTCCATTCTATCCTTACAAGATTTACTCCAACGACTCTGAAACTATCATCTCTGGACGTGGAAGTGTGGATGCCAAAGCATCTGTCGCTGCTCAGATTATCGCTACCAAGAAGCTTCTGGCCGAGAAGAAGCTTAAGGCTGATGATGTAGCTGTCCTCTACGTTGTTGGTGAAGAGGTCCATGGTGATGGCATGCGTGCTGCCAATGCACTTGAATTAACCCCTAAGACCATCATCTTTGGCGAGCCCACTGAGGGCAAGCTCGCAGCGTGGGTGATTCCTCGTCCATCCTAAATCTTCAACCGAGACTGACCTATACCCTCATAGNNTGGTCACAAAGGTATGCTAGGCTTCACTCTGAATGCGTTTGGAAAGGCAGCACACAGTGGTTACCCATGGCTGGGTCGCAGCGCGAACGAGGTACTCGTCTCATCACTCTCTGCATTGATGCAGCTCAGTCTCGAGCTCCCCAAGAGTGAAAAGTACGGTTCCACCACTATCAACATTGGCAAGATCGAAGGCGGAGTGGCAGGCAATGTCGTCGCCCAAAACGCCAGCGCTCAAATCGCCATCAGAATTGCAGCTGGAACACCAGACGAGATTGGCAAGCGTGTACACGAAGCCATCAAGGCCGCAACAGACGAATTCAAGACTCCTGGTCACGAAGACGAAGACATGTTTGAGATCGTCTTTGCAAGCAAGGGATATGCGCCCGTCGACATTGATCATGATGTTGATGGATTTGGCACGATCACAGTCAACTACGGCACCGACATTCCCAATCTCGACAAGCTCGATGGACAGAAGAGATATCTGTACGGACCTGGGTCGATCCTCGTCGCTCATTCGGACCACGAAGCCGTCAAGCTCAGCGATTTGGAAAGTGCAGTGCAGGACTACGAAAAGCTAATCCTGCATAGCTTGTCATAGAGTTTGCACGGAATAGCTGGGCGTCAGGGCATGACTAGGAAACATGATGCAAGCGAGGAAGTTTATGTTGTATAAGGAAAGTAAGAGCGCGTTTCGGATTTTCCAAACCTAATCTTAGAGAACGGTGTAAGGCTGCAAGAGGTTTTAGATGGATGTGACATGGATGCCGAGAGACGACCAAGAATCCAAGACGACCAAGACGAAAAGGTTCCGGTCTGTACGGATGTGCGGCAGACCTACTCTAATCTATTGCGTGATGGATGCGGGCAAGATAGGCAGAATATGCTGCCAAGGGACGATTGAGTGCAAGGCAACAAGGCAGGCCAGGTTTTGACGAGTCGAGTGCAGATATCGAGACGTAATTTGACCAAGTTTTGAGCAGTTTTTGATGGACCCTTCTAGCTCAAAAGGTGAAAACGTTAAGAAAAGCTTACGACGCTCTTCTGTACAAGAAATTTAGCTAGAAGCTAAGCACTCTTGGAAGGGTTGGCACCGTTTGTGCCACAATTAGCGCGTGGCTGCAGAAGCTTTCGGCCATTTGGTGAACCACTGTTGGTCGCAGAGCAGGGATCCAGGCGGCCATCTGGAGGCTGGTACGAGGATAGGCGAGTCGTTTTACTGCTCGCGTAGCGCCATTCCTTTGGTGGTCCTACGTAAGCAATCTAGCCCTCACCCCCCCTTGAGCAGGATCGGGCAGAGCAGACAAGTTCTGATAACCTACAGCATGCCACGCTCAAACGACAAGAGAGCATAGCATAGCCACAATCTTGGACAGCGCTCGCTCCATCGTCTCCGCAATTTCACATGATTGTCAACTGATTCGACCCGCCATCGCTGATCATCAACATGAGTCGCCTTGACAATGCGCAGGACGGGGGTCACGACAACTCTGAGCCCATTCACCTCAATGCCGACCAAAAACCCACGACAGGAGGGGCTCAGGACGCCGAGAAACAGTCGGTGAACGACGATGCACACAAAGACAATTCACATGCCGAACGCGCTCGGGAAAGGGAAGAGGCTCTCGAGAGGGAAGAGACGCAGCAGCAGCAGGACAGCCCCAAACCGGAAGGCGACAACGACGACCAGCCTGCTGGAGGCTACGATGCGACGCCCATACCCAAAGCTCCGCCAGGCTGGACCGTCAAGATCACCTTCCACCGTGCCACCAACCTGCCCATGGCCGACATCAACTCCATGTCGTCCGACCCCTACGTGCTAGCCCAGATCAACACCGACTTGCCTAAGCGTCACAAGGAAGATCCTCTTCTGCGTATGCGTACGCCAACAATCCGTCGCAACACCGATCCTGAGTGGAACTTTGAGTGGATTGTCGCCAACATTCCCTCGTCAGGCTTCAAGCTCAAAGCTCGTGTCTACGACGAGGATCCTACCGACCACGATGACCGCTTAGGAAACGTTCACATCTCGATTCACGATATCCACGAGAACTGGCCCGGTATTCAAGAGCAGCCCTACAAGATCATGAAGCGATCGGGCAGCAAGCGAGCCTATGCCATTCGTGCTGTTGCTGCCTGTATGAGCAAGGCCAAGCACATGAACGGCAGCCTCTATGTGAGCATCCAGGTGCTCGGTCGCACAGACATCGACAACGGTGGTCACGTCTTCACCGTCGGTCCGCAATGGTGGATCAGGCATCAAGCTCCCATGCTTGGCCGTATCGCCGGCCGCAAAGAACCCAATGAAGACAACTCTCAAACCGAGAAGGAAAAGGCAAAAACAGAACGCTACAACTTCCAGGCCAACCAGATCCAATTCCGTGGTCCTGTGCCAGATGGCCTCTACCATCGCTATGTCGAGTTCCGCCCTTTCGTCAAGCAAATGTTTACTTCTACTGGTGTGCGAGGTTGGGTTTTGTCGAAAGCCCTTCACCATCAACACGCTCGAGTATACAATTTCGACCGTTCTACTAAATGGGGCCACTTCCCTCAAGGCCCCTGCAAGGAGATGACACAAGCCTTCCTCGACTTAGTACATTACGACGAGGGCGGCCGCATCTTTACCTACGTCTTGAGTCTCGACTCGCTCTTCCGCTTCACAGAAACAGGCAAGGAGTTTGGTATCGACATGTTGAGCAAGCATACCATGCACAGCGACGTGAGCATCTACATCGCCTTTTCCGGCGAGTTCTTCATTCGCCGATTGAAGTACAAGAACGAGCCTCCTCCGCCAGACCCAGCCGACACCGGCAGTGCCAGCAGTGAAGATGGCGACCATGAACACGACGGCGCAAACGAGTCTCACCCTCCTCATGATCTCAATAACGGCCCTCCTAACGACGAACCNCCCAAAGATCCCGCACACTACCAACTCGTCATTGACAACGACAGCGGCACCTACCGCCCCAACGCCAAAATGTTGCCTCTACTCAAAAAGTTCCTCGCTGCAAACTTGCCCGGCCTCCACATTCAAACCCTCGACTGCCAAAAGNNGGACGAGAAGAAGATGAACCGCATGAAGCAAGCCCAACGCGACCGCAAAAAGAAGGAAGGCGATCATATCGTCTACGCTCAAGCCGGCAGCGACGCCAGCAGCATCAGCAGTTCTGACGAAGAGCAATTGGATAATCTTGAGCAAGCTGCTCACGCACATTACTCAGAACACAGGGACGAACCTTCAGGCCGTGGGTTTGCTCATCAACTCAAGCAGGATGCTGGGCTTAGGGGTAAAGCCAAGGTGGGGCATTTGAAGCGTAATATCCCTGGTGCTGGAAACGATAGGCCACAGGATGGCGAGGGAGGAGTAAAAGGAGCACGAGTTGATCAGTTGATGAAGTTGATGTTGTTAATCAAGGGGGCGCGGGATCGCTCCTGAGCTATAATAATGGTGAAGGGTTAGTTAATGGGTCTGTTTCTCTTGTTCGATTCCTCTACGATCTACATATGCTTTGTACAGATTAGGTTTAACTGTACTCGACATTCTTCCGTCGTTCACTTTTTGTTGGTCGACGTGCACGAGTTCAATATGTCCATGTATGTTTTTCTACGAGCTTGTGATGTCGAAAACTTCTGTCTCGGATCGACGTCTGTCTTTGAAACATTTCATTTCAGTATCCATAGCAGCTTCTTTTGGTTAAATGTGCTTTCCGTATCTAGGTATCTACACTCTTTCCATTCAGAAAGCTTATCCTGTCTTTACGCTATTGTCTCGGATGACTGGATTAAACAGATATACAACTATGACCTGGGAGAGAGCCAATTAGTACCAAGTACAAATAGGTGGGCTGAGTGTACGACCCTGTTTCTTTTTGGTGTTGGAAGTAGACTTCTCCCCTGTGTATTGGCTAAAAAAGCCCTCGCTACGCACTCTAGCTGTCGAAGTACACGATAGTTCCGTAAGAATGTGAGTTTGCACAGGAGAGACCTTGGTTCAGGCTATCACTATGACAAGGTTTCATGTTCAACAAGCAATTGTGCTGTCTATCTAACAGATCATGATAGCCTGTTAGTTGGAGATGAAGGAGAACTCGGCTGCGAGGTTGGAACATCTAGGCTTTGCTGGAAAAAGACAAGAAAGTGGCAAGAAGAACCAATTCGATATGACATTTGATTGTTAGATAACACAGGTATTTCCCTTTGAAAAAAAAAAACACACACCACTCCTCTTTCCGTTGATGAGAAACGCCGGACTAGACTATAAAAAATGCCCGACAGCTAGGATCCAAAACCACCTTCTATTTCCTTTTGGACTAGAATGAGAAGGAATACCCATTTACTCCTCATCCTCCATATCATCGCCAGCCTCGATAAAGACAAGTCTGGTGCCTTCGGCGGCAGTTTGCCAGATNNCTGTATAACAATATTAGCAATCTTGTACACATATCTAAAAGAAGGAGAAACTTACGTCAAGGTCAGAGTACTCGTCAAGACAAGACTCGAGTTGCTGCAGAGTGAAGCCCTTGGCAAGAACACGTTCACGGACACGACGGAGGTCAAGCTCGCCACGACCTTCACCAGTAGCAGCAGCACCGCTCTCACGCATTCCACGCACGAGGTTGAAGATGCGACTGCTGACACTCATGTCGCCACGGCGCGAGCGGTCGTCATCGTACAGCGAGGCCTTGCTAACTTCGGTGAGACGCAATGCCTCATCGACATCATCGGTAATGACCTCTTCTGCGAAACGCAGACGGGCGAGGGCTTGTGAGAGACGCATCACACCAAGCAGTGTACGTGGTGATGTGTGAGTGAAGGTCTTCTTGGCCGACTCGTCGCGCTTTTGTTGTTGGCGCATACGAACGTATGCACCGACGAGGTAGTCTGAGACGGCCTTGGGGATTGTGGGTCTGAATGAACGAGCGCGGGCTACCCATTGTCGGACCTCGTTGGGGGTGAAGATCAGACCACCGCCTGCAGGCTCGGGATGAGCATTGTGAATGTGAACGTGAGTTACGTGACGAGCCAGGTCTTCGTCGGCGTCACGGGAGGGAGTGTCGAGGATGAGGAAGAGGATATCGAATCTACTCAACAAAGCAGCTGGCAGGTTGATGTTCTCTACGGGTGAGATGCGAGGGTTGTAACGACCATACAGCGGGTTGGCAGCTGCCAGAATCGAAGTGCGTGCGTTGAGCGTTGTAGTGATACCAGCTTTTGAAATGGAGATGGTCTGCTGTTCCATGACTTCATGGATGGCTGTTCTGTCGGCGTCGTCCATCTTGTCGAATTCATCGATACAGCACATGCCATTGTCTGCAAGCACAAGAGCACCTCCTTCCAGAACCATCTCGTCTGTAACAGGATCTCTCATGACTGCAGCGGTCAGACCGACACCACTTGAACCGCGACCCGTCGTGTAGACACCACGCGGCGCAACCTTTGTGATGTATTTGAGCAATTGCGACTTGGCAACACCTGGGTCACCCATCAAGCAAACGTTGATATCACCACGAATGCGCATACCATCGCCCATCTCCTTGGTCACACCACCGATAAGTTGCAGAAGGAGAGCCTTTTTGACATCGAGGTGGCCGAAGATTTCAGGAGCAATGGATCTACTCAGGTATTCGTAAAGTTGGCCCGACTGTTCCAAGTCTTCCATACGGCGCACAGTGCTGGGAGCCAAAACCATTGACTCGTAGGCCTTCTTGTGTTGATGGACATATTGAGCCTCGAGATATGTGTCGGTCAGAAGGCCAGCCTTGATAGCCTTGAAACCAGTGTAGGGGGTGGGAAGGAAGATGCCAGCAACATCGACGACATCACCAGGGTTAATTTGGCGAGCCAAGGAGCCGTGGCAGTAGATGGTCAGTTGACGAGGAATGTGACCGACGGGCACTTGGTCTGACATTTCCTGGATCTTGACTTCTTGGAAAGCAAGGAATTTGGAGGCGCGTGTCGAGTGCAAGAGTTGACCCTTGACATTGTTCTTTTGGCACGAGTCTGAAGGACATTGAACCATGGGGGTGTACTGTTTCGTGGTGACGGGCTGGAAGACTTCCTGACCACAGCGATCGCAAGAGTAGGCGTTAACCTGGACGGCAGGCTTGACATCCGACACTCTGATTGCAATACCGCGGACTGTGATAAGGTGGCCTAGGTGCTCACCACGCACTTGACGTACGGCCATTGCTTTGCTGCTCTTTCCATCGCTAGACTCGGAGGGGGTGACGGGCTTAAAGTTGAGGGTGTAACGACGGGTGAGGGCGGGAGGGAAGAAGGAACCGGTAGCATTGACGTCGGTTTCATCTTCGAGGGCTTGCTGCATAACACGGTTCGCGTTCTGTCGTTGGGTGAGGATGACATCGATGACATCGTCCTTGAAGCTGACGTCGGAGCTGGCTGGCGGCATGAGTTTGTCGACGGCGCGCGACAGGATTTCAATGTAGTGGTGTGCGTTGCGCTCAATCGACGACACCAGCTTGAGCGATGCGCCGCCATCTTCCAAAGCGTTCTCGTACTGTTTCAGGTCGTCTAGATCGATTAGGATGTTGTCGACCTGCCTGTCTGCTACGCGCTGTAGATGGTCCATGTACTTTGGTTTTGAGCTCCTTCGCTGTGCAGCACCGTCTGCTGTCTCGTCCATAAAGTCGTATTCATCGTTATCATTGTCGTCAATGTTCAATTCGTCCAGCGCATCTTGAGCCTCAGTCGAGGATGCCTTGAATGAGCGCAAAAAGTCCTCGAAAGCAGCTGGTGATGGATTTCAGTGCTTTGTTTGCGCATGCGTCTTGAGTCAAAACAAACCTTGCTGCTCCTCGTAGTTGATCAGCGAGGGGTACGTAAGGAGCGCCATGACTGCTTGTGATGTCGCCTAATCTCGAATTGTCCGACACACGGCAGCTTTGTTCCAAGAAAGATTGTTACCAAGAGGTAATGATGGGTCTGGTGGCAGGGAGTGGGACTGTTGATTGCGGAACCACAACGCGAGCTTCGTCCACCGACGCGAATCCACGCGCTTGATTGGCTTCGCGTTAAATATTATTCTGACAATAGTAGCACATGCACCACTGGACCCTCTACTCTAGACCCTTTATCTTATGCAGTCCCTTTATCTTGTGAAGTCCCTTTATCGTGCCGAGAATATCTGGCTGGGAACATGTGCGGGTACAGAACATGCCATGCTTCTGGTCTAGTTCACGGTAAGCTGAACAAGTCTGTCTGTGACCAACTGGCCATGTTCTCTACCACTACCGTCAGGTACTACCAACTCCGTCCGCACCACAGCTGACTGTAACGGCTCGGACGAGGAAGTCTCTCTGATGTGACTTGGATGTCGCTTGATCATACAACTGCAGTCTTATGCATTATCACACTTGCAAGTTAAGAGGCCGGCAAGCCAACATGATCCAAGTAATGCGACCCAGAAGGAGACCCGATGCGAAGCTATTCCAACCGAGCCGCAACCGTATGCATCATGTTAGCAACCTTGTTTTAGACTTCTTCACATGCACGTCACGTCTTTTGGCACTGCATCTCGATTGCACCGCCACGCAATTGCAATCAATATCGTCCTGTGTACCCATGTACTCACCCGACGTGGCTGTGCTCTGTCAACTTGCCTGCTCGGAGCTCCCTTCAAACCTGCTCGAGAGCCACGCACGCCCGCCATGACCCACGATCGAGTAAGGCGTCATTCGTGAATCGCGTTAATTTAAAGTCGTCGGAAGTGAAGAAAAGAAAGAAAAGCACCCAACTCTTGCTGGCTTGTGCTCTCGCGTGTCTGTCAATTTCAAGAGTCAGGGTATTTGTTCCCAGCCTTCTTTGACAGGCAGGTCAGGCAACCCGGAGTTTGATGCCTCTCGCTACCCGTCAACAAGTGCTTGCGTGGGAGATGCATGATCATTTGATCTTGCAATATGCAGCTCCAAAAGCATCGTGTCGAAATCGGACGGGAAAGATCCAACGGACGGGCAGGTTAACGGGATTGAGTGTTACAGAAGTCAGAGAGATAGCTGATTGGACAATTCGCATGCAGAGATAGACGTAGCTAAACAAAAAATCCGGATCTTGAGGCTGACTTTCGAGGTCCGTGAAACGAATCCTTGCCGTCTATCGCTCCTGACAACCCACTCCCAGCCACTCGTGCTCTTGCCTTTAGTTTGCGCTTTGACGCCGGCCATCCATGCGCGACCCCTACCAAGTACTGCAAAAGACGACGTATTTTCCCTCTTCAAAAGCTGTCCGCCTACTCTTCTGTAACCACTTGTACACTGCCTGTCACTTTGACCTCATTGTCCAACGGTCTCTGACCGACATCACATTCGTTAATCTTTCCCATTCGCCGGGACCTGGTCCGCTTTAGTTGTGGCTGTGCCGTTGTCAACTGCACCGTTTGATTTCCCCTCCTCCCACCTCTGCCATCAATCGTAATCTACCCCTCGCCGTTGATCGAGGATTGTCATGTTCAAGACTCCCTCGTAAGTACCGAGTCGTCCCTGCTTGTCTAGATGCAGCTTGTTGATGTAATTGTAGCTTCAGGTCTTTTAACAGACCCGGCCGCAGTCGCTCAAAGAGTGTTAAGAGTGCGTGATGCCCATGCCCAATCTTACCAACAATCAACAGCGTTAACGGCGCCTACAGACAACGAAGAATCTTTGACACTGGACACAATGTTCCAACCAGCAGAAACACAACAATACTCTGCAAATGCCTCTTCTCAACGCCTAACAAAACCACGAACAAAGCACAATTCTACATGTCTCGGCAAGCCTGAAACGAGCTCCACCAAGGCCACCCCTATCAACGCTCTGAATGATAACGCCGAAGACGCCCGAGTGTCATTTTCCAACGATTCACCCCTTAGCTTTACAGGATCGACATCTTTTCGAAATTCCGAATCGCCCTCCAGACCCGCTACCAATTTATCTAGTGAAGGCGTCAGATCAAGGAAAGCTTCGACCACTTCGATGAATACCACGAAACGCCATACTTTTGCTGCCGACAACTCTGATGTCGACGTTGCTGCCGCCATTGCTCTGCTGCAAGAGCTGAAGAAGCGAGCATCTCCAGAGGATCTAATCCTTCTCCACAAGGCATTGCTTCCCACCAAGAATGTTGAGCGCACAATCGCTCCCTCTAGACCGGAGTCCAAGGAACATGAAGAGCCCATCTCCCCCCTTATCCGAAGAAGCTCATTGCTTCCAGCTGGCGTCAAGACTCGCCTATCTCGTGAGCTTTTGAGGAACTACTCAGAGAACAACGTTACAGTCCGTTCGGCTTCAGTTTCCAGACAACACGATGTGGTCGAATCTCCAAGGCTTGATGTGCCGCTCGATTTTGAAGCCCTGGATCTTGCTGAAGGAAATGCTGAAATTCAAGGTGGCCGTCCAACCACGCCATCCAACTTCTATCCTCAGATTGGCACATACAAGATGGGCTCTCTGCGCATAACTAACGGAGCTGCCTCGCCAGAGCCAGCTCGTCTCCTCAAACAAGTGGAGAAGGCAGGCATCCAGCAGAAGCCTTCAGTATCAGAATCACTATCTGGCGAAGGTTTTGTTACTGCTGATGAAGGCGAAAACAGTCCTGAGTGTGTTCGCCCGAGCCGTGCTACTGTCGTTTCCCTACGAGCACCACGAAGAAGCTCAGAACAGCAGGACAGAAGACTCTCTTCCGAACTTCGTGCTAGATCAAAGAGCAGAGGTCGTCCTGTTCGTCACAGTATCGAGATTGAGGCGAATAAATCTGCCCATCAGCCAACCCGTCCTCAAGTTACGCAACGTGCTTCCGAGTACGCCCAGGAGTACGCATCCGAGTTCGACTCACTTGAGAACCCTCACATGAGCAACGCTGCACTGACGACTACTGTTTCGCGTCTAAGCACAGTCCACGACGAGTCTCCTGTCGAGAGCGGCATTGATGCCCGGGAGGAGGCTCTGAGACAACTTACAGGCGACGTAATTCCCGCCAATGAGAAGATGCGTGAGACACAGTCACAGAAGCATCTCAATGTTGCCCGCCCTCCTATCACCAAGAGCGATAGTGGCTACAGCTCTGAGGCTTCAAGAAGATCGATTATCAAAGAAAGCAACTGTGATGAGTTCCTCCTCGCCGCTCTGGGTGCTGCGGATCAGGCTGAGCACACTCGCTCCAAGGAATCTCTTACAGCCGCTGCTGTCAGACCTTCTCTGGAACAGATTCAAGAAGACAAGGTCTCTTCTCCATCTCCCTACATTCAACAGCAAGTCTCCGCTGTGCAGAAAGCGGAGAGACACCGAAGTTTGCCAAGCTTCTTCTTCAAGAAGTCGTCTTCGAGCACCTCTGTCAACACGATTGCTACCACTCCCGTCACGCCAGTCAAGCAGACCAGAAAGCTTCAAAAGACTCGCCCTCAATCGCAAATCATTGTCCCAGAGCATGCTCAAGAGCCTGAGCCTGAGCCAGTGCTGCCAGATATCGAACCGGAGTTTGTTCCTGGCGCCTCGGAAGATCTTTCTGTCAACTTCTCTCGTCCTACTCGCAAATTGGAACGTGGTCCTTCTGCATCTCCTCAGACCCAGGAAGAGGATGAGAGAGATGGACGCGGAAGAGGTCGCAGTCGCAAAAACGATGTCACCCCGCAAACCGCCAATGCTGAGGGCTCGCCCAATGGGACCACTAGAAAGAGAAGCAGAAGTTTCTTCCGTTTCCGTAGCCGCAGCAGAAGCAAGAGTCAGCACCGCCGCGAGGAGGATATAACCGTCCTCTCGGTCGCCGACGAGCCTCTTCCTACGCACGACTTCTCCGATTTTGGTACAGTAGCACAATCTCTCGGTCAGTCGCCTTATGATATCGCTACCAGACGTGTTAAACAGATGGGGGCCTACGATCCGTCCAAGCCTTGGTTCCATCCTCACGAAATAAGCCGTGCCGCTCCCAAGCCTGATCTAAGCTCAGAGACACAGCAAAGCCGTGGAAAATCTGTCGAGCGCAGCCGTCAGGACAGAGCCCGCAGTCAGAGTCGCCCCCGCGAATCTATTGATGCTGTTCTTACCAACTCGAGGCCACCGACAAGNAGGGGAAAGTCGAGAAGATCGCAAAGCGCTCACAATATTGCTGTTCCAAGAGTACCTGAGGCAGTACCCGAGCTTCCAAAGCAGACTCAGAGGATGTCTGGCACCTTCTCTCGCCCTGTCTCGAAAGACGGCACTGTCAGAGTCGGCACTATCGACTTTGGCACTGGCTTCGCTCAGGGCCGTCTAGAACCCATCCTCACCAGTTCCGAGAAGGCAAAGACAAGACGTCGCACACAGTCTGTTGCCCCACGCGTACGTCCCAGAAGTACTGCGAATCCGGATGAGGCAATGCCTCAGCGTGAGATGCAGCAGCCAGCAAAGACATCCTCTCGTGACGCACCCAAGGCGCCTGCACGTGAGCTACCTCCGACACCCACTGAGAAGCCTTCGCCAGCCATGCCTCTTGAGTTGCCTCAAATCCCATCTCGAGCTCCTCCAAAGGTACCCGCACATGGAAAACAACCTAATAACACGCATCCTGTGCTCTCTGTGTCTACCAAGCCTTCCCACCTCAAGGAACCCACATCTGTACCCCATACGCCTGCCTCGCCAGGAACCCCAACAGGCAGGTCTTCTTGGGAGAGCCAAGCGCTGGCCTGGCGTGAACGTAAGCAAAGCCTCAATGACATGCTTGCGTCTCCCACAATCGAGAAAAAGGGCTGTTCTGCTTCGACCCCCGCTTCTCCAGCCATTCAGGCTTATTCACCTACAATGCAGGCACCTCGCCGTGCTCCGACCGTTGTTGTGTCTCGCTACATCACGCCTCAAGGCTCTGAATTTGCCATGCATTTGGGAGAGGAAGGTCCCTACAGGAAACTCCACTCCGACAACTCTCACAGAAAGCATAGATCTGAGGATCCATACAGGAAGTTCCACTCAGACAACCCTACCGATCTGCGTCCCGCTCAGGAAGACGTCGAACGCACCGACTCTAGCTCAACATATCACACCGCAACCTCCGAGAGATCTCAAGACTCGTTCGCTTCGAAGGACAGCGCAAAGTACCGCGCATACCGCCCTGTCGAAGAAGCTTACCAAGAGAAGCCTTCTGCTCCCCCAACACCCAAGAGCAACAGCACGCAGAAGAGATCCAGCCGTGTCCTAGAGCAGCCTCATCCTAGACCTCAGCGTCGCTCTACAGCACCTCCAGAGAACCAGGACGTTCCCTTTGACAGATTCAGTGGAGGCCTCGGCTATGGTTGGGAACGCGGTATCGGCTTTGGCGGCAGTGCGGGCACAAGACAGAAGAATGACACCAAGGCTGCCAGGAAGAGTGTGGCCATCAGTCAGAACTTTGGCGTTGATCTGAGTGATGTGCCTGTTTTCATGGTCAGAAACTAGGAATAGAAATGGTGGTTGCATGATGGGACGCATGGAAGGGAAGGGGGAGGATCTGCCAAACTGGCTATGATGAATGAATAGTATACACCTTTTAACAATGTCTATAGAACACTTTTTCGAATTAGTCTCTTTTCTTCTTTGATCCTATATGATCCATCGAGCAATTGCACTGTTTCCAGAACCCCCAAAAGGCCGTGTTGGTACTCTCTCCATGTGTGCTCAAAAGACCTCCCAAGCTGAAGATGTACACAATACTTTTGCAAGAAATGTGATTTCTACAGAGAGAGCAGTTTGAAAGTTATCTCCGCGGCCAAACTCATATTCGTAACAGAACAGTGCATTTAGATAGCGCCTGATACCCCCTGGTAGTCAATTGCGAGATCGAGGTGTAGCTGTATCAATGCAGGATACTTTTCCAAAGATTGTGGTTTCCACTGAGAGCCTTTGTTGAAAGGCAATCTCCATGGCCAGAACTCGATTCCAGAACGTAACTGTGCATTTCGATGGTCTATATTTCATGGGGGACGTGGGGGGACAAAACTGCGCTTCACAGAGGAAAACGACTAAATAGAAGAAATAAACATTAAACTCCATTATCTTTTATATTCATCTAATTCGTCTATAACTTGCTCTCCAGAGAACCAAATATTAAACGTGTGCAAGAGTGATGCCAGAGAATGATCTATCCTCGGCATCAACGACTCTCTTCTTGTTTTCTCCGTCAATGTCGAATCTGTACACGAAACCACCCATATCGGTGGCGTAGATGTGCTGGTTCTTCTTGTCGAGCTTAAGGCCAATCGCTTCGTGCATGTTACGAGCCAAGATGTTGTACTTAGGATTGTCGCTCGCATCTTCGACGTGTGTGAGGCCGCTCAAGTCAACACTGTTGATGGTGTTGCCCATTGGCGGGTCGCCTCTGTCAGTCCAGAACAGTTTTCCTGCTTCTTCGTCGATTTCGAGATCGATGGGTTCAGGGAGACCGGTCAATACCGTCTCGATATCTGATCTGTTAGCTGCGGTTTCTCCAGAAGGCAGTTGGAGTTTTGCTCTAAAGATTCTGCCTTTGCCGGCTTTACTTGCACCCTTCTGGGTCCAGTAGAAGTAGCCATGTTTGTTGTCGACTGAGATACCAACGCACCATCTCAAGCTGTCTTGGGTTTCTTCCTTGACCTTCCAGTCGCCTCTTTGAACTAGCGTTTCCTGATCGCTGCCGTCGAGGTTGCATCTCATGACTCTAAGGCCTTCACGGTCGCAGAAGTAGAGTTTGTTGTTCTTTTGGTCTACGATGAGTTGTTTGGGTGTGTGTACGTCTCCTTTCTTTATGATTTCCTTGACGTCTGAGCCGTCGAGTTTGCAGGATTGGATGCTGCCATCGTTCTCGGAGGGGACACCCATATTGGTCCAGTAGATGCGGTTGTCCTTTACTGAGATGTCGAGGCCATCAGGCAAGGTCAGGTTCGAAACTAGTGTTCTAGGCTCCTTGCCAGATGCTGATTGAGCTACGATCTTGCCTGCATGCATGATATCGTCCTTGGCATTCATTCCGAGGTCGAGATAGTAAAGAGTCGGAGCGTGCAAGTTGTCGTGGTGACCAGACTCTTCTCCGGTCGACTTGGTTGTGTAACCAGCAGGGTAGAGACCTCCCTTTCCGCTCTTGCCGCCGAGTGCACCTTTATCGACATAGTTGTGTTGCAAAAAGTCGACAGTGTCTTTTGTTGGAAGCCCACGCTCTTTGACGTAGTGCTGTTCGATGAAGACGACGGTATCCAGACCTACGGCGTCCATCATAGCGCAAGGACCAGCCTTACCCCCTGAGAACATCTCCACCCAGACGCGATCCAACTCTTCAGGGGTGCTGACACCTTCGCTCAGCACAGTGAGGCACTCACGCTTGATGGCTGCCCAGATTCTATTGAACACGAATCCCGCACTCTCTCTGTGGGCAACAATGGGGCTCATGCCACATTCCTGCAGTCTTTCAACATAGAAGGGGAAGACGGCCTCGTCGGTGAAACCATCCGTCATCAACTCGACGATCCTGTTGTCCGGCGGCATCATATAGTGGGTATTGAGGATACGTCGTTTCGTAACATCGTCAACCTTATCCAGCATTTCTCCGCTCTTGTAGCTGCTCGAGTTACTCGCCAAAAGACAGTCCTCTCTAGTCATCTTTGCAAGATCGGCAAAGGTCTCGATTTTGATTTGCAACTTTTCGGGAACTGCTTCGATAACGGTCCAGGCATCCTTAACCGCGGGTTCCAGGTCTTCGAACGCAATGGCCTTGCCGGGGTTCGAGCATGAGATGGTTTTGGCGTACGATGCGATATTTTGCTCAACGTAGTGGATGGCAGCATTGCGCTGTTCTTCAGAGGGATCGCGAACGTGTACGGTGTAGCCGGCAGCAGCCCATGTACATGCGATTCGTCGTCCTAGTACTCCACCGCCGAGTACGGCCACAGGGCGACCTTTGATGGCCTCCACGGAGAGCTCTGGCATTGTGTTTTGTATTGTGCCTTCCGTCAAGTGGTTGGTAGGAGATGCTGATGCAAGGGAATTCTATCTAGATGAGATGTTGTAACAATTGGAGCTCAGCTTACCTATGTTGAGCTCTCTATATAAAATATGCTGCGAGCGATGACGCGTTGGCGAACGTTCGGTCAGGGTCCTTGAAGCTTGCATCCTTTAACCGTCGACCGAGGTTCAACTGATTGTTTGTCATTATTATTCGAGAAAGCAAACACAGTACAGCTTGCGAAATCGAGCGTCATATCACTGGCAACAAAGCATGGCTCTGATAATGTCCCAACAGACCTGAATCGCAAGGCCGAGGTCCACGACCCGAGGCCAAAAATGTGACGTGAGAGTAGCTGAATCGTGGCCCGTGGGGAGGATGTTTGGAGAAGGAGGAAGGAGCAGTTCGCTGCGGAAGGCGATGGATTTGCACCCCGTCACCGCCGGGCCGAGCGGCAGGCGTCTCCTGCCAACGTCTATTGCAATAACAATCTTCTTCTGACCAAAACAATGCTTTATGGCTCGCTTATCACAAACCATAATTGCAAGATTGCTTCGAACATCAAAATGCACATTCGATCGCACCGAATGCGATTCTACTCTCCTGAACCAGCATGCCAAATACTTGTCTCGATAAACAATGCAACGCCCCTTACACCGCCATCTCAGCAGCAACATCAGGCAAGCTGGCGTTGTCTCCCGATCCACACCTACGTCTCTACCATCGTCACCACCTCTCTTGAGTCAGGCCATCGATACTAGAGTGTCGGTCACGTCGGGCCAGAGGTGAGAGATGTAACAAGAAAAGGGAGTTTATCATGTCTACGTTCATCTATTTTCTACTACTCGCATATACTAGTGACCATATCGTGTCGCCTATACTATTGCCCATACGCCTTCGAGTTTTGTTTAAGTCTAGAAGCAGAAAACTTGGTCCGTCAATCTTGAAACAGAGCCTGGCTTTTCATATCCAAGCTTTGGGAGCGCTTCCTTCATGCTGTTGACCAAAGGTGGAGGCCCACAGAGCAGGATCTTGTTCTTCTTTTGCGGTCCCGGCAACTCCTTCTGTACCAAATCTTTGTCGATGTAGCCCTTAGCACCTGTCCATTTGTCGCTAGGGCGACTGAGTACGTGAATTACTCTAAAATTCTCAGGGTACTTTTCTGCAAATGCGTCCAACTCTTTGCGTAAAAGCATATCCTCCTCAGATACGCTTCCGTACAACAGAGTGACCTTGGTCTTATCGCGAGGGTTTTCGCAAATGGCGCGGATGATCTGGTACATGGGAGTAATTCCAGTACCTCCAGCAATCATACCAATTTCGTAGGCAAGGCCTCTGCCATACTTCATGGCGCCTTTAGGACCTCGGAATTCGACTTCGTCTCCGACCTTGAGGTCTTCAAGATAACCACCTGTGAGCTGACCATCAGGGTACATCTTGATCACAAGCTTGAGTTCTCCTTTATCATGGTTGTTCGAGACCGGGGTATAGGACCTAGAAACAGTCTTGCCATTGACCTGACCACGGATACTGAGATGTTGGCCAATGGGAAGTCCGAGTACCATGTCATCTTTGGGAAGCTTGAACACAAAACGATATGTGTTCTTCGACAGCTTGTCCTTCTTGACCAGAGGCAATGTCTGGAAGTCCGAGGATTTGAGGAAACCAGCAGGCTCGGTGGCAGGCTTTGCGACTGTAGGCGGCTTGTAGTGTGTTGGCCAGTCTGAAATGGTGTGCTGTTTGAAGTGGCGGCCAAGCCAAAGCAGCAATGTTGCCGACGCCGAGAAGGTTGCAATGAAGGCAAGAAGGATACCCTTCCAGAAGCCACCGTGTCGGTGGTGTAGCCATCCAACGATGGGAGATCTCGCAATAAGCTCGTATGCAAGGAATGCTCCGCCTCCACCGATGGCACCCTTCAAGAGATTGCGAGCGAGTTTCTCAGTGGAAGATGATTTGTGACTCTGGTTGTTGGCTTGAGCGATCCTGACAAGCAAGGGTAGCTCCTTTGGCTTCTGATCTCCGATGTCATCCTCGTCTTCCTGATATCCTTCAAGTTTGCCGATGATGTATTGTCCCATGGTTTCGCGAGCATCTGACGAATGCCCAACATCTTCGAAGGCAGCCGTCGCGTCCTCGCCAGCAACTTCGTGCAAGGATTGCGCGCCTCCAGGGTGATCCTCGAGATATTTAGTGACATCGTACACNNTGCATCAGCAGTTAGTACAAAGAACGACGCAGTGGAATAACCGTTTGAGCATACCTCTGCCGTGAACAATAATCCAGATGTCGTCCTTCTTGTTGTGCTTCTTCACCTCCTCTTGTGAGATCTCCTTGGTATCGTCCGACATTATGAAGGATGTTACGCCTGTGGTGTAGGAATCAATTTCGATTCAACAGGGTTGATACATGGAAGTGTGCTGGGGTTGCCATTGTTGTATTTACAACTTGATTCAATGCATCGCCACAGATTCGAATCGACCGTGCACCGTCGTCATTGTACCGGTCTAACCTTCGTGCCTACAACTCACAATCTGATTTGGATGTATAGACGGAAGAGTACCGGCGCGAACGGTTCTCGGAATGGTTTGCATGCGCTTTGGCGTTGGTGAATTCGCTACCTCGGCACCGTTGGAGTCGTTGGTGAAGCCAAATCCTGCATCTCGACCTCCAACATCACCGAGGCATTCCAGCCACCTTATGACTTCAACTCACAGCTGGCACAAGTTTGACAGATCTCAGCCTGCAAAATCGTCTCCAATAACACGTTTCACGTGAAACTGACTCGATGGCGATTCTGCCTACCTAGGTCCGCGGAGTGAGCTTCACCGAGTCCAAAAGAAGACGCTGACCGAGGCGCCATCGCACCGAGTGCGCCGTTCGCTGGTCAAAACATACTTCCCAACTTGACCAGATATGACGTCGTAACGAACCATCGGGTCTCGTACTTGCTGTCCTCGACTGTTTTCAAGTAGTGACTAGATTCATATATCAAGCTTGACCTATGTTTGTGTGAGACGCCATAATACCACTCACCTGCAGAATTTCCGATCAGCCGTACTGCCCACCATGACTATCAAATCGTTCTTCTTGCTCGGAGAGGACCCGTCCACGGCACAAGAAATTGAAGTCGATTTTACTCACGATATCGATACTCTCAAGGAGGATGTTGGACAATATTTTGGAGTTGCCAAACCGGAGGGTGAGTAGAAAGGCATTGTCGATCAACAATATGCGTACTGATTCTTTTCAGGAATTGCTTTCCAATCAGGAGAGACACAACTAGTTGATCTTGCCGATGTTGAGGAAGCAAAGTCACCCATCGCCCTCACGATAGACGGCCGCGAGGCAAGAGAGCCGCCTGGACCTCGCGGTATCCCTATCGCAGGTTCCTATCTCGAAGTGTATCCCGATCACCTCGGTAACCACCAGAGAATGTTCGAGAGTTATGGCCCCGTTATCAAGACCACAGACATGGGCCGTACAACATACTACACCAATTCGCCCGAGATAGCAAACATCTGCTTCGCCGAAGGAGGCTACTGGGCAAAGATGATCAATAAAGATCATCCACTCTATCAAATCAAAGAACCCATGGCTGGTGTCTTCCTTGGCGATTCCAATACTGAAGCTTGGACGATTGTGCATCGCTTCCTTGCTCCGGCATTGTCACCCAAGGCTATTCGCCACTACACGCCACAGATGCAGAATACTGCCGAGCTGTCATTCAAAGTCTTCGACGAGCTAGACGAGAAGGGAGAAGCATGGAATGTCTACCCTTACATGTTCAAGATGGGCTCGACTGCCATTGGCAAACTGGCGCTAGGAATTGATCTCCACCACTTTGACAGTGTTGATGCCCCACTCCACGAGCTTGTCCTCAAGGTCGGTCAGAATCTTGAGTTGAACAAGAAAGTTTCGACTCGAGGAGATTGGTACAGTCATCTGCCGTTCGGCGAGCCCAAGCAGCTCAGAGACACCAAGGCTCGACTTGCCCAGCTTATGCAAGAGGCCATTGAGAAATCGAAGAAAGAGGGAGCTGAGGACCTTCCTATCGCTGAAGCTGCACTCAAGGCTGACTGCATTGCCGACTACCTGGCCCGAGCTGTTGACCAGGATGGCAACAAGATGCCTGAGAAGTATCAGATCCCTGCCACTTTGGTTGCTGTCGGAGCCGGGTTCGTAACGACAGCTTCGCTCCTTTCTTGGCTGGTTTACGGACTCGTCCAATATCCTGGAAACCAGGAGCGTTTGTTGCAGGAGCTGATCGACTATGGTGTCCACGACAAGACCACATGGACACCTGATCTCGCCAACGCTCTGCCTTTCCTGGATATGTACATCAAGGAGACGCAAAGATTGCACAATCCCAGTTACCAACCGGGTCGCACAGCCCTGAGCGACACAATCTTGCCTGGAGGCTACAAGATCCCCAAGGACTCAGTTATGATCGTAGCCATTCATCATATCCACAACAACCCTGATGTATGGGACGACCCCCACAAGTTCAACCCAGACCGATGGTCATCAAAGGCTGCAAAGAACAGACCCAAGGGGTCTTACGTGCCATTCGCCGCGGGTCCTAGAATGTGTATCGGGTTCAACTTTGCTCTGCAAGAGGTCCGTGTTATTCTGAGCGAGTTGATCTATCGCTACGAGTTCACAAGGGCTTCTAATGAGGAGGTCGAGTATGATCCTAGCTTCCAGTTGATCAGACCGATGAACTTGTTCGTCAAGGCCAAGAGAAGAACGACCTGGCCTGAGAAGAAGGAGGACAAAAAGTGCAGGCTTAATCTGCAAACGAAAAGATATAGATTAGAATATACCAGTAATGTCCAGACGTGTTTTGCAGATCGGAAGAATGTGCAATGCGCTTGACTTGTGTCGCGCTATTTCCGAATCTTGTACAAGACGAAGTTGTTGTTGCTTTCCCACCTTGTGCTGAAATCTGTTATTCCCATTGTGCACCGAAGTTAGCAATGAGCAAAGTGCACATTCTAGGAAAGCACAACCTCGCTAGAAGCAGGGGCATTTGCATCGAGAGCGGATAGACTGTGGTCTTCCAGTGGGTATGTCCTCTTTCTGAGTAACATCGTGCATTTCCATAACTACGAGCGTCAAATGCTTCCAGCACACGAGGTTGAAGGTCATGATAACAATGTTGCTTGAAGGATTATGTAAGCCGTGACTCGAGCTTGGCAGCCAGCTGCAGCATACGCACTGACGACGTGAAGACACGAGACAATTCATTCAATACAACACGAGGCATCGGCAACTGCGCCCAGAATGCCTATTCAATTGCCCGGCCACGAATTGTATGCTTTTACCATACATATCCTACCGACCAATCTCCTCCATGGTGTCTGCCCGATCTCCACGGAGGCCTTTTTCTCAAGCATGTCGGCGTTTCTGAATCCGCTCGAGTTACACGGACTCTGATTTGCCCAGACTCGTGCATGCGTGTATCTGCCAAGGAATATCTCGAGCGGGCATCTTTAGGCGTTTGGCCCTGAGGGCCATGTTACTCCATTCTCGGCCGCAGCAGTCATTCGATGTGATTGGAGGAATTTATCGACTCGATATCGAATGTGGAATACCCCACGGAGGCTTCATCAACGTTTATTGTGAATTCTGGATGCTCTGGACAAATTCAAGCGCTTCGACACAATCTCTTATGTCTCTCTGGCCAGCAAAATCAAAGTACATATGATCGTCAATCACCTGAGATGGCAAGCACTGCCGTGCTTCCTTGGGCATATCTTGATGCAGGTTGGCGCGTGCCCAGAGCAGCTACAACGACGCCACCAATGTGGGATGAGAACGACACGGCGAATTCGAGTAATGGGACCAATTAACGTTTGATCGTCGCACGCATTCGTCCACGATACCGACCGTACTCCGCACGTGTCACGAGCATTCCTCCATGGAGGATTTTAGCCCCATATAGCCGACGGAAAGTTATAATTCCGTCAAAGACAAAGGTAGCTATAAACAACACCATTCCCCAGAATACCATCCCCACAACCCCAGTCCACCCCCAGACCCGCTACATCCGCCCGCCTCCACACATTCTTATCTTCTCAGCCAGATCCTCCATGGACTCGACGGTAGAGAAGGGCACTGCCCAACACCTAGAGCACGCATCTGACACATCTGGAGACGTTCAACGCGATGGCAAAGGCCTTGCTGTCGCTTTCGAAGAGGGCAAGGACGCCGGCCTAAGCGAAGCTCATCTCTGTAGCGAAGAGGACAACAAGCGCATTTTACGAAAGACTGATCTATGGATGCTCTCGCTGCTCTGTATGGTCTACTTCCTCCAATCAGCAGATAAAGGGTAAGACATACCTGATAGACCGCGAAACACAGTGGCTGACTCAGGCAACAGTATTATCGGTCTTACAGCCGTCTACGGACTCAAGAAGGATGCACACCTCAAAGGCAATGACTACTCCAACATTGGCAATATTGGTTACTACGCACAGCTCGCTGTCCAACCACTAGCTGCATGGGTACTCGTCAAACTGCGATACCGACAAGTTTTGCCCGTCATCATTACCTGCTGGGGTATCTCAGTCGCTGCTGGTCTTGCCGGTTCTCGCAACTATGCTGGCCTCNNCCTGGCCTCAAGATTCCTCCTTGGAGCTTTTGAAGCTGCGGTAGTGCCTCTGTTTTCCATGATTACGATTGCCTTCTACCGACGCTCGGAACAGCCTTTCCGTGTTGCCTGCTGGTACAGCTGCTACGGTCTGAGCACTCTCATCAGCGCGCCCATCGTCTATGGCTTCGGTCGCATTCACTCCTCCACACTTTACCGTTATCAAGTGGTCTACCTCTTCTTTGGTCTCTTGACTATCTGTATCGGACTCATCACCTACTGGTGGGCACATGACAGCCCTGGAGAGGCTCGCTACCTTTCTCCTGAAGATCGCCTCAAGGCTGTTGACCGTCTGAAGGCTAATCAGCAGGGTATCGTCTCCCACAAGTTCAACTGGAAGCAAGTCATTGAAGCCTTCACTGAGTTGAAGTACTGGCTTTTCATGATTATGGTAGGTACAGGAGTTCATACTGCTTTCTTCCACTAACGATCGATANNGGTCATTGCAGTAAACGCCGGTGCCTCCGTGTCATCAGTTTTTGGCTCTATCATCCTTCAGAATCTTGCTGGTTTCACCCCTGATCAAGCAGTTCTGCTCAACATGCCATCTGGAGCACTCCAGTTCGTTTCGATTCTCGGCGCTTCTTACCTTGCATACCGCTTCAAGCGCAAGTCTCCATTCTTGCTTGGTCTTGTGTCTATCGTCATTGTAGGAGTTGCTTTGATGGTCGCGCTGCCAAAGACCAAGAACAACAAGGGTGGTCTACTCGCCGGATACTACCTTATCGCTTTCGTGTACGCCATCAACCCTCTGCTCATCTCGTGGATGGGTGGCAACTGCGCTGGACAGACCAAGAAAGCCATCTACTACACCTCCTTCAACGCTGGTAACGCCATCGGTAACATCATCACACCCTACATTTTTGACTCCAAGTTCGCACCTCAATACGTAAGTAAACTAACGACGTAACTCTCGCAAGGCACAAATGGCTAACAGAGTATCCAGGTCAACGCTCTCAAAGGCATTCTGGTCATCTGGATCATCCTCTGGGCAGTCGTCGTGCTCCAGATCTTGAACATCACTTGGATCCAGAAGAAGAAGGGCAACCAGCGTGAAGCAGCAGGACTCCCCAGAACCTTCGAGGACTACTCTATGACCGACAAGTTCCATGAAGCTGGTGCAGAGGTTCACGGCGAGAACGGTCTGCAGGATATGACCGACAAGCAGAACCTTTACTTCTCTTACTTGCTGTAAAGAGCTGGTTTTACTGGTTTATGATGCTTGAACATGTACTCTGTTGCTAGCTATTATGTCAATGATTATTTATGATTTTAACGATTTACCATGTTCGATTTGAATTATTGTCCTCATCTTGAACGACTCGATTCAACTGGCTTGACATTTTCTTATGCTTCGTAACTGGACGCCTACCTCGGGCTGGAAAGAATGGAAACAGCTCTTGCATTGTGCTCCACCGTCCTTCGCTCATATTTGTAAACAACGAGTTGTGCAATGTTGCTTCTATACATCGAGCTCTATACTTCGCGAATAGGGTGGTGAGAGCGCTTTAGCTCACAAGGAGCATGCTTGCGTGTCCAAGACGTATGCACCTCATCTGAATCTGTCAAGGCATATATATGTAGCTTCAATGATCTTGAAGAAGTAGGTTCTCTGTTTGTCTACATCAAGCTTAGGAAAAGGCTGTATCATGTCCTTCATTAGATGTTTTTGAACAGATTTCTCGTTGCCTGCTGATAGAGCCTAGCGAACAGAATCATACTCTCTGTCAGCAGAGGATTAAGTGCAGTCTGGAGAATCCAAGTCAGAAGCACTGATGATGGCTCAGTTGTGAGGCCTCCAAGCTAGTCGAACAGGATACGCACTTTTAGCATTGAGCCTCAGCATAAGCAACTCTCTGTCCAGCAATAGCTCCTGAGAAGCCCGAGGTCTGGCAGTAAGCACCCTTGACTGTAATGGCATAAGAAGTCTCATCATCGACAACAGTAGTCGTTGTGCCATCACAAGTAACAGTAGCAGAAACCTGACTGATGCTTGCCTGGCTGCCAGAAGAACTGCTTCCACTATCCGCTGTCGAAGGCGCCATAACACCAGCAGAACAAGCAGCGTAAGCGTTGCTTTCAATAATTGTTCCATTGGCAGTAGTGAAAGTGACTGTGGTGATCTCTTCTGCAGAGGCACTAGCGCCCTCGTTGTCTGCTGCACAGCTGGTGGCTGCAGCGGCTTGNNTCTCTCGTTCTGAACGGATTGTGCGTCTGATGCATCTGCTACTGTCGCGTTTGTTACGATCGTGACTTGGCCTGCTGCGTTGGCAATGGCGGTGGAGTTTGCATTACCAGTCGAGGCGGTAGAGCTATCACTGGTGGTATCTTGAGCAGCACCCGCAGCGCTAGATGAAAGTTCAGTCAAGTGTTTCTCTAGAACGAGAATAGGATGCTTCGTACCTTGATGCATTACCGCTTGCAAATGTGGTCGAAACGACGGTAGTTCCATTGGCAGATCCAGAAGCACTGCTCATCGAGCTTCCATCGGGAACTTGTGTAGAATTGGTGACAGTCGTGATTTGAGAAGACGTGGTTTCATTCTTATGGAAGTTGCCAAAGAAGGAGACGAGAGTACCTTCCACAGCAGCTTTCGGGATGTGCCAGTTGTAACCACTGTATTTGATCAGAGGAAGTGCAGTCGAGCCATGTGGGACGTTGAGTTGGAAGGTGGTATCCAAAGGAAAGCACTTCTCGGCAGTTGCTTTGTTATTTGCTGGAACAGCCAGGACTTGTGAAAGGGAGGCAAGAGCGAAGGTGGTGAGTGTCAACTTCATATTTTCTGGCGTTTGATGTCGAGAAAGAAGAAACACATCGTTTTGAAAATGAATAGCCAGAATATATAGTCGCCTGTCCTACAGCCCTGCAAGGGACACGGCTGGTTGTGGACTTGCACTGCCTCGAATTGAATCACAAGATTCGAGCTATCAACGTGCTGGCTCCGTGGAGGCCTCCCGTCATGAGGTTGCTTCCATAGTCTGAGACGATCTGTGACTGTGAGTCTACAGCAGCGGAAATACATCTGCCTCAATCAAAAGAGATTATAGATATTTCTGTTGCTACGCCAGATTAACAAGCACACGAGTCAGAGATGAAAGGCCATATGGAGTTACACTACACATGAAGCAGATATGCTGAGGCAACTTGTCTTCCAGTGCATGCCTTGTGAGCACGGCAACGACCTACCCACCAGTCAAGAATAAGTTTAATGCTCTTGCCGGCGGTAATGCACCTAAGTGGAGACCACAAAGCATATAGAAGTTTAAGCTTCCCGTGCATTTGAGCCTCGGAAGTCTGTACTGAATCGTGTCGAAAAGTTGTGAGTTACATCACGCCTCTGGTTGACAACTACCTCAAGTCTGAGTCTGCAGTCGACTACATGTTCCCGGTGGTCAGTGTACTTGTTGTGGCAGAGTCCTGGCTGTAGTCATTGCGTACACCAGATCCGGGGTTATCGATGTGAGTGTCACTACTTAAGGACTGTGCACTCTGCTCGTGCTGATCTGCAAAAATCAGCGGCCGCGGAATGGCAACTCGGAAGCATTGATGCGGACACAAAATTCCTGGTTTAGTCGCGATACACGTTCGATGGCTTGTTAAGATGTCGAAGTGACAGCAGAAGATGAGGTCCATCTTGTAGGATGACAGACGAACTTTGGCAATAAGAGAGTGCCGATAATTAACCTTGTAACTGTTATGGTACATTATGTCTATTTGACGAGTGAGGCTTGCTTTATGAGGTGACAGATCATGATTCTACAATGCTATCGTTTCTGTTTCCATCTCTCTCTCGATTACTTGCGCCTACTCCTACGCTGAACTTCTATTGTCTCTGACCTCACCTTCCATTGTGGTCGACTTGTCTTCGTCAATATGGATCTTGAACATCTTCGAAGCCATGCCGTAGCTCTTTCCTACAGCTTCACTTCCGTAGACCCTCATTTCCTTTTCGTAGTCTGATGTCGCTCCTTCATAATAACCGTTCTGCAGCAGTCTGCCTAACAGAGCAGAGTCTCTGACTGCAGTATTCGCTCCCAGACCTCCAGCAGGAGTCATTGAATGTGCTGCATCACCTATGACAGTAACGCGAGGCTGATTATGCCAAACAGGAACACCTGAGGGTGTCGAGATGGTGATCTTCCAGAAAGCCCCTTCGGATGTATTAGATTCTGTGAATAGAGGTTTCACTTTCGGGTGCCAGTCCTTCGTGAGTTCTCTAGCGATGTTCGACGCGGTCTCGCCGACGATGGTGTAGTCGTCGTTCGGAGCCTTGATAACGCCAGGTTCGCCAACCATAGTCCATCCAAACTGTGTCTCAGGATCATCCATATCACCAGCGCGAACGTTTGTGATCACGGCAAAAGTACCGCTGGATCTGCTGTTGTCGACGATTCGGAAGACACCTTCGCCTAGTCCCTTGAAGGCTGTCGTGGGTGCTTGTCCATGTATACCGCGAGCTCCTGTGTCGTAGACCTTCAATTTGCCATTCGATAGTTGTCTGGCGACATATGAGTTGATGCCCTCGCCTCCAACGAGCATAGAGCCTTCTTCCGATTTTGTGCCATCGCTAAAGATAGCTCGCACTCCGTCGGTCGTCAACTCATACCCTTTGACATGCTTATTGAATTGGACAAACTCTTCGCAGCCTTCCATGAACAAGTTTCGCATGTCTCCGCGTGCGATGCCGACAACTTTGCCCTCTCGCGAGTTCAAGCTTTCGTTGTTACCACTACCACCGCTACTGCTGTTTCCAGCTGCTGCTGCAGGTGGCTGCTCGATAAATTCACCAGTAAGAGCATCGATCACTCTCATCCCGCCACCACCAGTTTTACCACATCGGTCGTAGAATTTCTTCCATGCTGCTGGACCCAACGCGGATTCAATGGCATCAAGACCTTCCGAGGAGAGCCGAAGTCTGTATCCTTGGCCTCGAGAAGCCAGCGACGCATCGCGTTCGAAGACACGAAACGGTATTTTGCATCGCAGAAGTGAGCGAGCGAGTAACAGTGATGCCAGACCGGCGCCGGAAATTAAGATCGGTTTTTGTGTCATTGCTGATGTGATAACATATGATGATTGGAATTGATGGTTGTATGCACTCTGAAGGTAAGCGTCATTAATATTGCTGACTGATCCACCCTGGTCCCCGCCCCCGTCCCCGGCTCCATCGCTACTTCTTCGGCATTCTCTTCGCGACAGCCCTTGCCACTCACCTCAACCCGGAACGACGTCGCGATCCTCATACGCCTTCAGGTCTGCAAAATATCTGGATACCCAGGCGATACTGTGAAGACCAGAGCTCAGCAAGAGAGCCACGATGATGACCCAAGGGAAGATGCAGAACACAATGGTTTGTAGATCACATTCAAACCACAGCCCTGCAACGGCGCCGAGGATAAACACAACAGATGATATCTCCCCTTGCAAGCTCTCATTATGGCGACGGAGAGAATATACAGTCGTTGCAATGAAATATATGATCGTGGCCAAGATTAATTCGGTAATCGCTGGGACTTGTACGGGACCAAGCAGGAGCTTTGATACGGTCAGCTGGTTCTCACATGGACTTCGAAGAAACTGACCCAGACGCTGTTATCTTTCGTGCACAAGGGAAAGTTCTCAACCATTCCCCACGAAGTGATGACAAATGCAGCTGCTGGCGCCACAAGAATCAATGCAATGATGTCGTGGAACAAGCTTGAATCCATAGACACAAAACCTATGTCAGATCTTGTTACGGGCATATCGATTTCCAGACACAAGAGATCCTCTTTTCGAGAGTGATATTCTCCCCTGCTTGTCGCGAACGTGCTTCCCCCGACTGGTTCGGCGTCGAGATAGGCCTTGCTGTAGTCATGTCCATTGAATGGGCGGATGCCCGAATTCTTAACAAAAGAACCTGCAAGATAGCAGATGTGCCCTTTCCATGTTAAGTCAACTGTATCAGCGACACAACCATTTTCTCGATCGAACCCGATATCGACAGTGGATTTGCTAATCTCAATAGTCCTGCTGTCATTTCGAAGCATCCTCGACATGCATACAAACAATGATGGCAGAGACTCTGTGCCAACTTGTCCTCCAGCACGACGAGAGTTGAGCCTCGGCTGACATGGATATTCACTGTCCACTCTCACGGTCTTTTTGGCTGGGGGCACATAACCATAGCTACCGAACCCTCGCATGGTTCTGTCATCTGGTGTAAGGCTGACCAAATTAGTGACAGCATTATTGTCCAGCCAGCAATCCGAATTATGAGGAGAGATAGAGGAATCAATGCCTTGCACGGCCACGATGTCGATTCCATATTCTGTGTTCGAGATCCGGGACGGAGAATCCCCCATACACACTGAGCCGTCTGCAACATACATCACGGGCTTTGATGATTGAACAGGCGCTTTGGTCCAGTCCAGGATTGTCTGGTTCGCTGTAAAATGAGTCAGTATATTCCTGGTTGATATCCTCACTGATCTTGGAGGTACTTTTGGAATTTGATACGACGATGTCTCCAAGCAAAATATTACTTCTCTGTTCCCGGCAGTCGTCGTATGATCCTGCCCATGGGAAATATTTTTCTCAGAGGCCCAGTGACCATATGAAAGGGACATCCTTGTAACCCTGTGATTGTCGTTCGTAAGGAGATGGTTGTTGAATGGGCAGCATGCAGGCATATGAACTGTCATATACAAAAAACAGCGAAAGAGGGTGAGCAGCGCGCCCCGACTATTAACTCAAGTAGGAAACATTACACCGTTCTTATCATTGCCCAATGGTGGCCCTCACCGGCTTAGGTTCGGCTGTCATGCATCATTACGCGCCATTGATGCAGCCTCGAAGCTCGCATGCATATAAAGCACTGCCACCACACCAGCCAAGTTCCTTGTCTCACTGCCACCTTCTTACTGCTCGGAAGATTACTGTCCACATCTCTGAGCTTGCTACTGACGTATGGATACGCTGGCAAGGGGCTGAGCACTGTTGGAGCACTTCCACAGCCACCGCCCTGAATCCTATGGCCAATTGATCCAATTAAGCAAGAGTTCACCGCTCTCTTCGTCACTACGTAACACCATCTGTGTCTATTGCTGGTCCAAGATAATGCGGCCGATCCCCAGCGACTTTCCATTGTGTTCCTCGAACTGAGAAGTTGGTCGAGTCAAATAAGTGTACTTCCTCCCCGTCGCTACCCTGTGTGAAACAAAGGATCGAATTGACACTTGTTCTACCTCACATCGACTGAACCAAAGCCACAGTAAGACAACTTTTGATCATGTCTTGATGCCGAGCTCACATAGCTTTTACAGTTTTTGTTGTCATGTCCGAAGAGCTACTTGAAGAATATGCCCACGTGCTCGGCACCATGACTGGCTACGAGACCATGTATCCTTCTGCTCCAAAGTCCTCAACTCGTTTTCGATTCTATCCTCAAGCACCATATGGCCTGGTTCAGTTCCTCGGCTTCGACTGGTACCTTCGGGAGGCCATTTCATTCTGGGTTTTGTCCATACTAGGCCACGTGTGTCGCCATTTTCGTAACACAAACTCACCGTTCCATATCATCGTCTCCATGTCAGTGTTTCTTCAAGTGGCTTCTGCTAGACCAATCGATAAGGCCACCGGTCAATCTCCAACCTCCTGTATACCGAACACTCCTTCAACCGTAATTGCAGCTATCAGCGCCATGTCCCTTATAATCGTCTCCATCTATCTTCTACTCCAAGGCGTCGGGAACATTCCAGAAAAAGTATATTTAGCTCTTACGGGCTTTACATCAATTATGGCCATGATGGTCGTCAAGAAGAGCGATCAGATGCCGATCTACGGGTAACGTCCCACCTAGCACAATTTCAGAGGCTATGTACAGGATCTGCAGGCTGACTCCTTGTACAGACCGTACATAATCAGTTACCTCTGGCTCATATTAGCCACCATATTAGTACATATCGAGAGGCACCGATTCCCAGAGAGCCAGAGGTCAGATGCTGCTACCTTCGTCACCGTTTGAAAGTGCACTAACGAATCTTAGGGATCTTTTCATCATTGTGCTCTTCTTGACATTCCTTTCTTCCTGGTGGATAGTTACCAGTGCTCACCCCAACGACTTCATGGCGGCTGTACCGGTGTGCTTCATCTTCAGCATCTTCATTGTAACCCGTCTTCGCCGCCTATTGTTCGCTCTTCTCAATGCTATTATTGGGATCCTTCCTCATACCAACGAGGAAAGGACGGCAGATAGGTCCTCTGCTCCAGGAGTGACATCCTGACCAAGCTAGCACAGGTATGCTTCACGATCGTTGTGATACAGCTGTTGATGAAGATCAACACCACACCTCCCAATGCTGTGTTCGCATTCCTCAAATTCGATTCATGTTGTCTTCAATTAGATCAAGCACACATCCCCAACCGCTGTTATTAAATTATATTCTTCCCATCATTGACTATCCTTGTCTTGATCACACTCTCACCACGCAGCGATTTCTTGAAGCCACACTCGCATACATAGCAAAAGTTGTTCTGTATTATACTTGATGCTCACAAGGCAAAAACAAAAATGCAAAACATACAGCAGCAGGGATTCCCACGTGGTCACCCACCGTAGTACTAATCTGCCGTTCAACTGCTTATGTATGGCAGAGCGGACGGGATGCCCAGTTTTCAGCTGACTGTGGCCGTATGTGCTGGAACATCAGTTTTTTTTAAAACATATACTACAACTGATAACTCTTGCATGGTTCAACAACTAGAAGCAAGATCCTCAACATCCAATCGAGTTCAAGAGAAAAAAGGTTCACAGAGACATGTGTGGGCTCAGAGCACAGCAATCGCACACATCAAAGGCAGAAAGAATGACACACAACTTTATATGGATCGCAATTAAGAAATTGGCTAGTGAAACAGAGTCATCATGCTATTCGTGCCTGTCATAAGCTGGCCCTCTGGTATAGGCAAGAGGAGACTGCGCTGCTGCCTGCATAGAAATAGAGACTAAAAGGAAAAGATTAAGAAACATTACCGCCGCATTCTTTGGAAGAAAACATAGGGCTCAAGGGTATAGTATAATGCCCAACCACGCAATCATGAAACCAAAACAAAGCGAGTGCCACACTTAAGCAGCGACTCTCTCCTCCTCGCGACCGCGGACAGAGCCGTTGACGACGCTAGCATCCTCCTCCTCGTCATCATCCTCGTAGCGGTCAGCGTTGTGGTGCTGGCTGGCGGGGATCCAGAGGTTGCTGTCACGAGACTGCTCCATGGGGGCGTCCTGTCCGGCAAGGTCGACGGCCTCACCCTGGTGGCGGTTACGGCGGCGCTGAGAGAGGGTACGGGTGCGGGTGGAGAGGGAAGAGGTGACGGCAGCGTTCTGCTCGACCCAGTTGGTGAGAGAGTCCTCGCAGTCCTGGATGATGCTGTGAAAGTTGTTAGTATCACGAGACATTCTGGGTTACGTCATGACAGAAACTTACGCCTTGCTAGCCTCGTAACCGTCGTATGCGTTTCTGGTCTCGCCAGGGGTGACGGGGGTGTCGTCAATGAGCTCCAAGAGGTGCTTGCCGTAGCCGGCGATGATGGCCATCTTCTCGGAGTGCTCACGGAGAGCATCGAACTGGTAGGTGAAGGCAGCCTTCAGCTTCTCACGGGTGATGTTGGAAAGCTGGGCCTCGGCGACCAATGACTCGGCCTCGGCTCTAACGAGCTCCTGCTCAAGAACAACAATCTTGGGGCTGTTGGGCTCCTTGTACTTGAGCTGGGCAATCTGATCAGTGATCTTCTGCTTNNGCCTGTCATGATATTAGTAAATGTCACGGGAATGTTCGAAGCGATCAGACTCACGGTCTCTGCTGGGCTGAACGGAAGCCTCAATGTTACGGATGCTCTTGATGGTAACACGGTACTGGTCGTACTTGTCGACGAACTGGTCCTCGAGCTCACCAATCTCGTAGATCAAGACACCAAGCTTGTCGGTAACATCGGAGACATCATCGTCACAAGCTTCACCCCAGATGCTGAGTTGTTGNNCTGTGATTGGGTCAACTCATCAGATTTCTAAGAAGTTTGTGGCAAGGATTCAACTTACTGCGACCTCCATCCTCTCTCTGCCGACGAGCTCCATAGAGCGCATGACGTTCTTCTCCATCTTCACCAGCTGCGACAGCTTCTTGGCGAGATCGGGTCCGAAAGCTCCAGCGGCATTTCTGCGGAAAGAGTGGCCNNTGGGATGAGTTAGTTGCAAGTAATGCGACAGAAGTCGATGTCAATTACCAATGTTGCTCTTGCCGAAGAATCTACCAGCCTTGGTGGAGGACGACGGGGNAGGAGGGTTCTGGATCTGCGAGGCAGTGGGTGCGCGCGACTGGCGCATAGAGTAGGTGCGGTGCATTGTGGCGGTGGTAAAAAGTTAGTCGTGAGGATGAATAGATTCAAGCAGCAGCGACAGCGATGCGTAGATTTGTGTTATGAGGAGTTGGATGGAAAGGGGGAAAGATGAGTGATGCGAAGCGCCTCTTGAAGAATGGAAATCAATGGCGTGGGCGCATTATTGTATGCGGAAGCTGCAGACGTCATCCTCGACTCGGTTGCCCCGTGCACCCGGTTGATCTGGATCGTCTCTTTATCGTCGACAAACCTCCACGAAAATCATTTACGATGAATCCCCATGATCTGCCAGTCCAGAACCTCAGCAGAGAGAGCTAGATCGAGCGAACAATCGCTTGACCCTCAGCTTGAACCTCGTCTTCACAGCTCTTCTTGATCTATACCAGCTCAAGTTCAATCCCTGTGCGACATTTGACGGAGATTGAAGCGTTGCCCATGACATCATTCTATAGCGCCAAACCTTGTCATTGAGCATGCGCAGAACTGCCTGGCCCTCCAAGCCACAGAACACCGCCAATCCTGCTCAAGCCCTTTGATTGTTACATCTCTCGGCACCCGCGTGAGGATCTTCGTGGCCTTATATTCTGATCTACACACACGGCTGTGGCTTGAGCACGATGGTGGAGCATCTCCATACCAATATCACATGGCCCCTGTTCGAAGCGACTTGTTGTTGCCCAAAGCGTGGCCCCTTCCATTCCCCGTTTGGCTTTGACAGCTTCGCACATGACAACCCAACTGCCAACTTCCAAATAGTCCAACAGCCACAAAACACCTCGTAACCCACTTTCCTCTCACTCTATACGACATTCCGCCCTTGGCATGGTCTGCTTTGTTCAAGAACTCTACGACTCCGTAACATCTCCTCTTTTCAATCAGCTCGAGCTCGGCAAGGTCATCAACCCAATTGTGCCAGCTACTCGAGTCAGTACTCGAGGCGTTCTGCAGCTCTCTGGCCCAGCTCAATCTACCCTTTCCAAAGATCTCTCCATTGACTGACATCTGAGGTCCTCCTTCAAGAAGAAATGTACGCACAATGTTCTTGTCGGGCATCACATCTTGATGATGGTCAATGTGCTGAAGCACACAAGCATGAATTAGCACCAGCCATTCTAACTTCAGCAGCTTTTGTGTTTCACTGCATACCGTAGTGCAGATACCGCAAAATAAGCACAGTACTGACTTGCCTAGAAAGCCATCAAACCATCATTTCATCCCGGATTCATTGCCCACAAATATACACACCTAAGGAACCAGTANATATGTATACACATTCGGCGTCCCACTTACAATTCTAAGATCGTCTTTCGAAATGATCTGGATGCGACTATATGGACCACGATCCAATTTCTGACGACTAGAGCAGTGCATTGAACAGCGTTCCAAAAACTCGATATGTACAGGTTCTTTGGCGAGGTAACAGTCAAGGCCCTTCTGGTTCTCGAGTTCCAGAACAAAGTCGTGGGTAAATTCTTTGTTGAAAGGTTCCCAAGAGCGGTTCTTGCCTTCACAGCACTATCAGCCAAAACTTGNTCTCAAACTTTGGATCAGTGGTTNGCCGAATGTCGGATTCAACGATCTCGTCTTCAAAGCCATGGAAAGTATCAGAATATTTTACAAAGTCCGACCATGTGATGCCTGATTGGTACCTGTACAACACAGCGTGGGCAATTCTTTCGCTCATAATGATACTGGCCTGGCAATCTCGTTCCAACAACAAGATTTCTGATTGTTGGTATGGCTGGCCCTGACTAGGCATATCCAGCTTAGAAGGTCGTGCCAGAGTGGACGGCCTTACGCTGATTTTCGCCTGTCGCTGACATGGCCAGAAGTACTGATCGAGCACGAGCATAGTTGTGCAAGATGCACGATTCGTCCTCTTGATTTATGCGTCTGCACAAAGGCATTGGCGTTTGTTTCCGACGGAGCTTCTCCAAAAGTTGAGGCGCGCGCAATTGCTTGGGATTCGACGTACGAGGCATTCAGACTCACAGAAGGGCAACTCTTTATGTAACCCCCATCCAACTCAACTTCCCAGACTTGTCTCGCAGCCGATTGCGAAAGAAGAGGTGGCTGCTCACAAGGAGACTATCCCATACATCCAAGAAAGGGAATAAAATTCAACTACGCCAAACCAGGTCCATCTGGTTTTGATGTCCTTCAGAACACAACCAGGGTTCACCTTGATAGCGTACAGCCCTGACTCAGGACATCCATAATGAGAACAGACACTCAACTTCCACCTTGAACAATGTCAAAGGCAAGCGATTTTGCCAAGTCAAAATGTCGGCAGGATGACCCTGTTCACAGTATCACTCCATCACAATCATACAACAATGTCGAAGCAAGGTCAAGAACACAAGTTTTCTTCGTAGAGTAGACTCTTCGGAGCATCACAATACATAGATATCACAAGCACAGAATCAAAAAAATCAAATAATCAAGCCAAAAACAAAAAATTCATATTATTATGCTAAAACCCGTACCAACCCATCTTTACCACTACCTACTTCTCCCTGCAAAAACCAAAAGAACTCAGCTTTCAATCCTTCTTCTTTTTACGTCTAGGAGCAAAGCAGTCATACTTAACATCCCAAAGCCAGTATTGCCACCATTTACGATAGATACAGAAGCGGCAGTGGCCGTGAGGACACCAGGTGCAGTGATTCGATGAATTCCAATTAGGTGCGAGGCATTTACAGCATTTCCACATGATTGCGGAAAGTACGCTGGGGGTTATTCGAGTGCTGAGAAACTAGATCAGGAAGCAACATGTGTGTGGTTATGTATGAATTGTACTTTGCGTGGTCGAATACTCGCCTTTGTTGTCCGTGACAATGGTTGAGAGGGTACATCAAAGAAGGTATCGATATTTAGGACAGAGTACAAAGAACGAACCTTAGGGGCCCAAAAGGCATCGTTTGCGCTTAATAGAATCACAAGTTGATGTGAAAGAAAATAATCAATTGCATTGTTGTTGCCCTATACCGATAAGCGCGAAACAATAGCTCAGGCCTAGAACAGATGCTGGGAAGAGCCAGAAAAACTTGAAGCCACCACCACGCAAACCATCAAAGAGAAACACGAATCCAGAACCGTCGTACAAAGTCAAGAGCTGAGGGACCAACCTCATTCTCACACAGTCCAAGCCTGAGACCTTCATCAACGCAGGTGGTGTTCGGACACTTCAACCCGCTGAGAGAGCCTTTGGAACAGCGGCCACGCCTCTATCACATCTTCTGACAAGTCGGAGACTGTGTTCCTCTCAACATCCAGGGAAGATGTGATGGTGGTGAGATCCTCTGAATGAATCACGTGGTTTGACATCTCCCAGTCTGTAGTCTTGTTTGAGAAACGATCTCTTACGAACTTGAGCCAAGTAGGTCGTGATGCCTCGAGCACATTGAAATGGTCACGACGAGGGTACTCCTCAAGACGCACTCGGTTGGCATGACTTGCTTTTTCGTACGCACGTCGAGTGCACTCAGGAGGTATGGCTGAATCGTTGAGACCTTGGATGACTAGCAACGGCATTGATGCCAGAGCGCCTTGCGCGGCTGCGTGCTGTCGAGTCCATGCTTTCAGTACATCATCGTTCATGGGAGTTGCAGCACCAGGGGCGATGAATTGCTCATCCCTGAGATCGAAAGTAAGACCTGCGGTTGCAAAGAGACATGATTGAGCAGCACTGGCGTATTGTATTCTTTCTTTCAGTGCTTGAGCAGCCCAAGGCATCTGATAGTCTGGAGAAGCCGCCTTGATCCCCATGAGAAGTAAAGGAGTCTCAGCTTTGGCAAAGAGTTCGTCGGAAGAGATCCCAGGAAGTATAATGTCGTAAGCTGTGGTTGCAAGATCAAGTGCATTCACTGCGGGAGCGATTGCTACTGTGCCCACATACCCAGAGCGAGAATATTGGACTAGTGGATGCTCAGATAGCTTCCATACTGCGCCGCCGCCCTGTGAGTGACCAATACTCATCCACTTGACGTTGAATAGATCCGGGAAGACTTTGCGTACGGCCCTCACCGAGTAATAAATATCGTTCGCATGATCGACTAGGCTGAGGTACTTGTGAGAAGTGTAGTTAGTTCCAAGGCCAACATAATCGGTAGCGACAATGGCGTATCCTTCAGCCAACAATGGACCGAAAGTATCGAGTCCCCAGAGTTCCATTGCTGAAGACGGAACACAACCACGATGCAGACCAATCGTGCTGTGGGCCCAGGCAATCAAATTCAACTTGACCTCTGTGTCATGAGGGTTTGGAGTAGGAAGTGCGAGGAATCCGGATGATGGCGCCAGGCTGCCGTTGGCATCAACTGATGTGTACTGGAAGCGATATGNTCTTGATGCCGCGTGGGATCTGCAGATTTGACGCATCGAAAGNNACTCTATCTTCAGAATGTCTCCAGGGGACGATGAGTTGAAGTTGGGAGCTGTTGCATAAAACTCTGTATCGAAAGACTTCCCAACCATCGAAAGATCTACTCGATTCGTGAACTCGAGAAGCATCTGACAAGTGAGATTGCAGCCATGTCGAAAGGCGACTTCTGGTCCGAGATCGAAGTTGGTCATTTGGCCAGGAGAATCGGCCAACGACAATTTGGCGGTCATAAGAGCAGCAGCCAAAGCAGAGTAGAAATGCATGATGCTAGTTCAGAGATGAATGTCAAAGAGATGATGATGGTGATGTTTGTGTCAGAACGGTGAGAGATGTTCAGAGTTCAAGTCCGACTTAGTGCATGTAAGTGAGGAAATTTACAAGGTGGTAGCTCTTGCCAGTCGAGGAACAGACTCAGCGTTACGACTCACAATCGACCTACCGACAGCTTCCACACCTCATGCCTTCTTGTTCTTTCCCTCCTGCCATTTTCGGCGCCGTTTGGACCGACGTGAAAAGGCGAATGAAGTGATCAGCATTACAACTCGCATCACAATACATAAGATTGACAGCAGGAGTGGAGAACACTAAATATATTCAGCTGGAGCTAAAACAAGCAAAGAACCAATGGGTATCGAAACTAGAACAGAAAATGCAATGCTAGAGATATGAGTTTGCAGCGGACAAGTAGTACGAGCCAGAGACAGTACTCTCTCCAAGGAGAAAACAATATCATCATGATGCAGAAATCCTCACCATCTGCCACTGGCAGCAGCCGCATCAGGAGGGAGTTGGAAAGCGTCGACGCCGTCGCCAAAGAAACTCGTGTACATGTCGCCTGAGAAATCCAGGCCCGACAATGCAACATCAATGGCTTGCTCGAAATCCAATCCCTGAGTCCACTCGGCACCACCGAGCTGCTTAGCAAAACTGGGATCGAGCATGCTAGCATAGGCAGAGGCATCATTAGCAGATACAGCTTGATGGACACCCGAACCAGGCGTGGACATGACGGTAGATGCATAATTTGCTGGGTTGTTGTAAGCATCGCTTTGAGAACGAGCGGACTGATCGTGAGAAGGGTACTGCGATGCTGGTGTGTAGGGAGAATCGAAGCTCCAGCTAGATCGTTGGTGTGACTGCTGAGCGCCCGCAGTAGCGGCCTCACTCAGGACACGCAGACTATCGTTGTCACGCGAAGAGAGGCGCTGGTTTTGAGCACCGCGAGCATTGGGTTCTTTTGAACTCTCAACACCGTTGGGATGAGAGGTTATCCACTCACGAAGAAGGCCGAGAATCTGGTGGGCCTTCGAGAAAGCCTTCTGAGAACTGCCCTGAGACAATGCAACGAAGCACTGATACACACGATCCAGGAACTCGGGGGCTTTGATATCTTCGGGCTTGATGACTTTGCCCAGCTCCGAGCCTGGAAATGTGGCGGCGACATGCATCTTGATCAAGACCACAAGAGCATAAACGATACGGACGAAGTACAGGAGAGCAGGGAGTGTAGAGACGGTATCGGGGCCAAAGTCACAGAAGGTTCCGATCACGTTGTGACATGCCTTGAGGCAGGCCTCGATCGAAGCCATCTGCTTCTGGCTGAGCGTTTCAGAAAAGTGACTTCCAGATTTGAGACTTCCTTNCTGTCAAGATTGTCAGTACGAAAGACACGCATGTAGAATAGACAAATACATACCACTGAAAGGCACTTTGAAGTCATCTGTGTTATGGTTGACATGGAGACCGATTTCGTGGAGATACAAAGACGTGACATGCTTGTAGAACATCAGGGTAGGGAGCTTCAAATGAGCTGGTAGCTCCTGATCCCACTTGTCGAGCTTCTCTTGCAGTACCTCGAGGGTATAAGCGACCTTTGGATCCAGGATGGAAATTGAGGCGGTGGGATCCTCCATGGCGAACGAGACGGAGATTTCATCACAGATGCGCTGCACCTTGATGTGCTGAGCGAACAGGGCATCGGTAGGGGCAGCGTCGGCCGAGCTCTCCAAGATGTCGACACACTCCTGCATATAGTTCGACCAGCGTAGGAGATTAGGACGGCGCAAGACCTGCGAGACACTCACCGAGGTGTAGTAGCACGTTAGCCATGCTCTCCGCGAATCAATGGCATCCGAGTCCACGAGTTGACTACCAGGACCAGGAGGTAGGTCGGCGCCGACTCCACCGAAGCCACGCTTGACCTTGTTCGGATTGAAACGCTTTCCAAGACCAACATCGAGAGACATGACAACAGCCATGTGAATAAGCATGTAGAAGTTCGCCTGAGCAGGGCGGTCTGGAGGCTTGTGCCACAGGAAAGCGACCTGCAGACCCTGGATGATCTCGAGACTCTTCAGGCCTTTGCGAATGACGGCAGTAGCAAGCACGTCAAAGACCTCTTCTGTCAAGGCATCTTGAATTTCAGTCTCGACAAACCTGAAGCAAGCAGCGGCGGTGATACACAGAAACAGAATAGGCTTGTTCTCAAGCGTCCATTCAGGAGTGGCATCGGCGGGTAGCACAATGGCTGGGAACTCAGGAACTAGGCGATCCTTGAAGTGGGCGAAGATTGTGCAGCACGAGTGCCAGTCGATGATCTGGCGAACGCGTTGCTTGACATACTCGCCATACTCGTTGTAGATGGTTGCGTACAGTGGCTTAGACGGGTCGTCAAGGCGTCTGCGCTTGCGACGGTCCTCAGCTTCATAATCGATATCGCCAAGAGGTGCTTCGTGTCGGTTAGGGTCAAACGTGGGCTGAGGATAGGCATCGGGTTGTAGAGGCGATTGAAACGGGACATGGTGGGACTGCTGCTGTTGGTGCAGAACCTGGGTGAGGGCATCGATCTTCTTCTCGAGCTCGGCAACACGTGTGTCGGCCTNTTTCTGGCGACGACGACTTGGCTGGGTGACGATGCACTGGCGACCAGCTTTGGCACAGCGCTTGCACGGCTGACCGCTGTTGTCCATGTCACAGCGCACCTTGAGACCACGACAGGCCTCGCAAGCTCTCGAGCGTTTGGCATCGGCGGCCATCATAGCAGCACCACCAGGGCTCATGTCTACCAGCTCGGCGCCACCAGCGCTTCCGCGTCGGTCGCCATCGTCGTCGCTAGGAGAATGACCGGTGGGCAGGGCGGCGGCGTATCCATAGTAGGGCTGAGAGACGTCCTGGGCCTGCTGGGCAGTCTGCGCGGCATCTCTGTACAGCTTGATCTGAGAGTCGGAGCGCGTCAGCGCCGGCGCGGGATACGGAGCAGGTTGATGCCGCGTTGGTGCTTGAGCCACTTGTGCTTGAGCTGCTTGGGCTTGTGCCTGTGCTTGTGCTTGATACGCTGCCTGGACGGCATCACTGGCCTCCAGACGCGGATCGATGGGTTGCGCGCTCATGGTGCCGACAAAGGCTCTTGTATGCAATTATCCTACGGGTCCAAGACGCGTCTGGCTGCCGAAAGCTCAGAAGCTGCTGACTGGGAGGAAGGCGCGCACGGGCCCACCTGCTCTTAGCTCGCTCGCAACTCTTTCCAATTCGTGACTGCTCTACCTCTCGCCTCGACGTTTCCAATCTCATCTGCATCTTGCCTTTTTATACGCGAACAAATGAGGCTGCCTCTTATTCGAGACGCTAGAATAGCTTGCTGTCATTTTGCTTGAGATAAAGACTGTAGAATCGACTCGTTTCCAAATCCCTCAGTCATGCAATTGATGTGTTGGACACGTGCCTCGACCTCGTGTTTCCATCCACCCTTTGATGCACGCTCGATGAAATTTGCACAGACATTCCAATCTGCCCATCTCAGCTCCTTCCTCAAACTCTTCAAAGCAGATCACACACTCCTGTGCATTTCCATCTTCGTCGAAACAGTCCTTCTCGGTCGCATGATACACTAGCATGCGCTGCCTCGCCGTATTGGCTCCGAGTACTGTTGCCGCTCGTTGTGGCACGCTGCCAACAGACATGGTTTCAGTCTCACCTGATCCTGTCTGATCCGGTGTTTCGGCAGTTCCTCCGTGGCTGGGTCCTGCTAGATGGCTTGAGATGCAAAACTGAACATGTTGTTCCCTTGCCTCGCTTGTACCTCTGTCGCCTTCTATACCAAAAGGATAACTCCTGGTACCACACACAGGGCATTCATCTTCCTCACCCAACACTTCCCGACCTTGCGGTTGCTGCATTTGAACCTTTGCAGCCTGTGCTGCTGCGAGTGTCGTGGGTGTATGCGAGGAAGAACGGTATCGTGATCGTGATAGATGTGCAGTATCATTGTCTGAGCGGGTGCGAAGTCCCTGGGTTGATGACCTCGGACGCTGAGGTACACTGGTCAAAGCCTGATACCTCGCTGTATGTAGTTGTGGTCGATACGATCCTCGCCTATCTGTTGATGGAGGCGGCGTGCAAGTGAAATCGCTCAGCGTGCGAGAATTGTGAGGCGCAGATTGGCATGTGGTCTGACCTGAATCCGATATATTCAACGAGCCAAACAGCCTGGCAAAACTTATGCCTGATGTCGTGCCTTCATCTGCGGCATAAGTCAGAGCACGTGACCGTGCTGATGGTGGCGGTGACCTCTGGTCGTCCTGCTGCTGAGGCGGAGGTCCATAATTCGGATCGGGCACACAAGGATTACAGACCCGGACTGTCTCTCCACCACCCAGAGCCGGATTATCAGGGTAGTCAGAAGGTCCTGTACTGCTTCGGCTTCTGGTGCTGCCATCAGGGTTCAAGGGCTCTTCCGGAGGATGTACAATGTACTGGCGCGGTATCGTAATGCGATGAGGCGAACAAGGTCCACAGACGAGCCTGCCGCATCTTCTACAATGATGTCTCCGGTTGAGAAAGGTGAAAGAATTCCCACAGATAGAGCATGCCGAGAGCTCATCGTCCGGCTGCCATCGTGGAACAACAACCTCATCAGTCATTTCTGCGTAGATTTTATTGGAAGTCAAGCACAATCAGCGCAGAGAGCTACAACAAAGCAGAACATTGAGGAAGTTGGGAGTTGAGTAGCGGTGGGCTGGCCTGATATGGACAAGACGGCAGCTAAAGCTCCGACCTCCCTCCGAGGCTTATCTCACACCTTCCTCCACCATTTGATTTATCACAGAGACTGATACGCGTTTGTACGAGCGAACTGTGAGAATGTAGCCATCTAATAGAATTATACACCAAACGAACGCCACGCTACTCAGACTATGTACATATGATATCCCCGTTTGTTAATTCCCTAGCTTTTGCCACCAACTCCATCGCTGCTGGACTATAAAATTTTGCCAACTAAAAGGAAGAAAGAATATTACGCCATGGAATCAGATGACTACGAGTAATTCCACAATCATCGTGGTGCATTTCTGGATTCCATGCTCATGGTTCGATCGTTGGTCACGATCTCAGCTATGCTTCCTTCACCAACCCCTGCACTCTGAAAGACACTGTCGCTCGTCACACGCTGTTGTACTGTACCCATACTGGTGGGCCTTCCGTTGTCGCCCACACTGTTACCGACATGGAATGGGTGACGCGGTGGTGGTGATGCTGGGAAATAATCCTTGTCGGTAGCCTTCGAGGGCACTCTCACTGGCTTGTCGTCTTGGTCGAACTTGATGCTACCAGTCCGAGATATAGGTCGAAGATATGGAGGTGAAGACGGTCGAGTGTTTGTGATGTCGCTCTCTGAGTCCGACTCCTCGACTTCCATATTGTTCCACGTTCCCCCTAGGCGACTGCCCATGTCGCCATATCCCTCAGGACTGGGTGATCTACGAGCGCCGCCCATCGACTGCGGGTCCGGTGAGTCCCTGTATGGCTGATAGTTCATGGGCGGCGAAGTCTCCAATTCTTGCCCTTCTTCATCCTCTAAAGGCTCACGAGTCATGTTGGCAGGCATGCGAGAACTGCGGACTACCTCGAATCCCTTGCCTTTGTCTTTTCTCTTTCCACCAACAAGACGCTGGAACCATGTAGTAGCAGACGAGACAGGACCTACAGGGTCCGCGGGCCCAGTCTTGAGTTTTCTGGCCGGTGCATTCGAGAGAGCTGGACCTCTGACACCGTAGTAGAAATCAACTTCTCTTACAGCATAGTCGGTCCTCTCTCTAGGTGGCAAATCTGCCAAGTCTGGGTCAGAACCACCTCTATGTTGAGTGCGTAAGTAAGGAGGGACAATTGAACCACCCTCTCCGAGATCGTCAACACCTGCTGAATGATCTGGAGAATCTTGATACGGTAGCCTGTTCCAATCACCACTTGTTGAGTGTCGACTTCTAGCACCTGGAGTGTATGGGTCATTGGTGTTCCTGCGTGGCCGAGGCGCCCGATAGTACGGGTCTGACAGAGGTTGTTCTGTCTTGATCCCCAAGATTGGGCGTTTGCCAGGGTTACCAGCTCCCGCGACGGAGCCTGCAGAAGGTGGAACGGCACTATAAGGAGTAGTTGGTGTTTCCATCGTTGGAGTGTACGCGTACTCCGACTGATTGTATTGATCGAAACCGTTACTAACACGATTGTCAGGCAAGTGCTGGCTAAGCATCATCTGGGAGCTGGCAGACATGCTTCTTGATCGTCCTCCCATCAGGTTGAGCGATTTGGCGTCCGAGTCGTTGGCTAAGATAGCGGCATCAGACATCATGCTACCAGGTCTGTTTGCTTGCCTACCTGGTTGCCGCTTGCGAAGCTGACGCCAACCAAACGATATCAGACCTCCCCTCTGTGCTCCATGCTGAGGATCGCCTCCTGCACCTGCCATGCGAGCGAAGACTTCTAGCAGAGTCTGTAGCGCGTTCATGAAGAAACCAAAGATGAGGACTATACCATGGAGCAGAAGAATAGCGTAGCCGATCCATCCTTTGGGCGCCTCAGTAACACCAAGAGATGGCACAAACGCAACCATGAGGAGAACGGTCGCGAGTCTTGCTGAAGCAAAAAATGTATGATAGGCGTTCATATGGGTTGGCGAATGGAAAGGACGGAACGCATGGAGGGTTAGTATGAGAATAACCTCGCAGATAGCCAAAATGACCAGCTGTGCAATGCCCGAAGGCTGTACCGCGCCGATAGCGATACCCCGGATGAAGGTGAGAATGGCAGGAATGAAAGCAAATGGAGCCGCCTCGTCAGAATAGGTATTGTATAGTGGACCGTAGAGCAGAACAGTTGGAAGATCATCGAAAAGGTAGGCGCGCGGTTTGGTGCGAAAGATGAGGTTGAGGATCCAGAGAGCAAGGACGATGATGGCAAGTAGGAGTATGACGGCCATAGCGACCACAGAAGGAGGCGATCGCGGAGCCACTATCAATTGAAACATGGAGATAGCGACAATGGGCAGGAGGAAGTAATTGAAGATGATACGCACTACCATACCACCACTCAAGGGCCAGTTCTTCTTTCGAAGATCTTCTTGCTGGCTGTTGGCGAGAAGACGAATCAGCCAGCGCAAGAGGAAGGCCAGCTGACAGAGGAGGACAACGGCAATTGCAACGACGAGCAACCAGACAGCCATACAAGCCCAAATGTCACGCACTGCAGTCATGCCCACCAGTTGGCTCATGCGAGTCATGCCGTAGGTTCCGTTGGTGATGTAGATTCCGTCCTGAAGAGATTGAGTGCCGTCTCCATGAGAAACGTAACTCGAGTTGAAAAGCAGAGCGGACCAGCTCACCTGCTCGGTGACTGGTGCATAATAGCCAGGGTAGTTGAGGCTAAGCGCACCCGTCAAGAAGATAAATTGTATGTATTGCAAGCAGTCGCCAAAACCGGGCGTCACAAGACGCAGCAGATCCTGATCACGACCATAGTTGGTAGTCCATTTGAAGGGATTGGTAGAACCCCAAGGAGAGTAAATGCCGGCAGCAGCGGTCGCAATGGCTACGAGTATGAGAATGGCGACAGGAAGGTATGTCAGCAGGCCAGACAAGGTGTGTCCGAGAGCTGGGGTGATGTTGGCAGAAATGCATGCAATGTCGGGCGCGCCGGCATCACCGGATTTTGCGGTAATGGTGGTGGCAATGGTTGCGAAAGCATACGAGCTATAGAAGTCATGGCTGACGGTGAAGGCCGAGAGGTCGTAGGGATCGTAAGGAGTGGCGTTGAAGGAAGGAACCAAGGGACACGAATCGTTGACGGTCGAATTGCAGAAGCGGCTAGGGACGGCCTCGTAGGCGTCAAAGGTGAGGACTTGGTAGCGCTGGAAGAGGGTCGAGTATCTGTTATTCGAGGGTGAGAGGTCGACTATCTTGCCAAAATCGTTGTTCGGATCCTCCCATGACGGATCGTTAGGAGGCGGGTAGTTGCCTTGGGTGGCCTGGCCGCTGACATTGCCGTAGATGGTGAGATTCAGATTGTGACTCGGGGCAGATGTGTTGAAGCGTGCGTCGACAAAGAGCGGGATGAACTGCAGATGCAGAGGGTTGGAATTGCGGATGTTCTGGTCCAGGCAGTTGTCGAAGTTGATGAAGGCGGCCGAGACTCGCGACGGCAGGGCAGACAGGACGGCGCAGCCGAGGGCCAGCGCCGACGAAAGAGGGCTGCATCGCATCTTGTTGCTCAATCTCAGGTCTCTCAGGTCTGGTCCACGAGCATGAGCATGTGTGAACAGAGAGCGCCCGTCTCACGGCGGCATGGGTGTCTTTGTCGTCGCTGGAGCGCAGAAGGATGATCCAACGTTTGACAGCCCCGAGGGTTGGGAGAAGCGTTTCCTCGACGAGTGGAGGCTGGTGTATATACGAGTAGATAGGTAGCTGACTCTTGCTAACGATGTCAATATCTTGCTCTGCAGTAATCAACCAAGTCACAGTCCTTGTCGACAAAGCAATCCACTTGTTACAGAAATCTCGAATTGTTCTCCGTCCGCGAAGAATAATAATATCATGATCCCGATCCTAGCCAAGTCGTCCCAAAATAGTACAACCGACGTCCCCACGGGCCACACTCTATGACGCTATTTGTGCCGTTTCTCGCCCGTTTCTCCCAGCATGCCAGCACCGTCCGAGGAAGACAAGTCGTGTGCTCGATCAGATACGACATGGACGAATGACACGACACCCTCTGATGATTGAGCTTGCATATTAACTTGGGTAGCAGCGTCTGTTTTAGACCTGTTCCCTGCCGGCGAGTTTCACAGACCCGAGACGTGTGCAATGCGGATAGCAGTTCCAGCTGCAGTGATCATGTATCAACTGCCAGCACAGGTCGCTCATCCTGAGCTCACGGGTGGAATGATGGCAACCTCGTCTCCTTCGGTGATGAGCATATCAGCATCTGCCTGAATATCTACATATTCCAAATTCACAGTGAGAGCACAGCTGTGCAGGATTCGTTGTTTGATTGCAGGGTACATGTCTTCGAGTCGCTCAAGCAGCGTCGAGAGCTTCATGGGGGCTACCAAGTCATCGGATGATTTGTTGGTGAAGGATGCGGCAGAGGCGAAGTAAAGAATGCTGAAATGACCAGCTCGTGGTCGTGATGTCGACATGATGGCTGTCTTTCGGAAGGGTCAGTACTGGGTGTGATTCGAGTTTGCGCAAGGCGAGAGGATAGGAGGAAGTGGGTAGTAAGGAAACAATCAGTCTCAAGATTTTCTCATCGTCTAGATCCCGAAGGATGCTAAGATAATACATGCTATTTTTTCTTGACTCATCATATGAAAGCAACACAGGTTCAAAGAATAGTGAAAGAGTACTGACCTTTTGCAATTGTTTGGTTTAGGAAGAAAAGAGAGAAGAAAGCTTTCGGTGGACTCGTCGGAACAGCTTTGAGTGGTGGTCTGTGCTGAAGGTTATCTTATCGCGCGTCAGAAGCATCTTTGGAGAAGATGATGATGGAGCATGTGAAGATTCAAGACTCAAGAATTCGCTGTTGCCACAGCTCTGCCCACGCCTCGGCCTTCTTTCTGCAATTCCACACCAATCGCAGACCATTCAATCGACTCTCTGAGGCACCTGACTGTCGGCACCGAGGCTCTCAACATGCTCAGTCTCCGTAGCGATGCGGTGCGACGTCGTCCGGACCTTGCCAAAATGTGCTGGAGTTGCGCCTTGAAACATCACATCTCGCCGATACCTACACGCCCCCTTCGTAATCGCATATCATTGCCGCAACAGCGCACATCCAGGGTCCTGTTCTCTTCACAAGCAAAGGTATCACTTTCGCCTTCATCTGTCCAAGAAGTCCACTGACTTTTTTTTTTTACAGCAATTAGATAAACCGCTTCTCGACCCTGTAAATGCTTCAGATCCGCCCGCATATAACCATGCAATACAATCCCTCGATCGACTAGAATTTCCTGACAAACCTCGGAGTGGCGGTATACGAGAACAATTGCGAAAATGGCAGGAAGAACATGGCCACCAAAACACTGAAGTCAACGAACACGATGTAGACGCTTCGGGCGAACAAACCAATAATTTCACACGCTTGGGTGACCTCGACAATTTCCGCCGACCAGACGAGGATCTCGAAAACGAACGCGACGACTCTTCTAGTCTGATGACCCCCGGTAATCTCGAAGACTGGGATCCACACCATCGCTTCTTGCGAAAGGGCGACTTGGTCATGCTCGAGTTCCCTCGCTCCGAGAGAGAACCCATACTTGCCATCTTTGTACGAAGAGTTGGAAAGCCTGTACAGTCTCAATTCTATACCATACATGGAAAATGGATTCACGGCACCGAGCGAAATATCCAGCACGCCGTCCTTGATTTTGTGCCTAAGAGCCTTGTTGACCCTATTGTGTCCTATCTTCCTGACTCTGGCATTACCGAAGAGTTGCTGGACAGGGCCCAAATGTTTGACCTCAGTGTTCCTAGGCATGTTTCAGCTCCTTTGGTCACAAAAATGCTTGACTTCCAGAACAAAAGCGAAGAAATTTACCGCCAGAACGCCACCACCCTCGACGGCGCTCACCAGTCCTTGGCCCATCCTACCGACCTCAAGTTTGGTACCCTCGACCTGATAACTACACGCCTCCTTGGAAAGGATGACGACCCAACGAGCTCACAAGAGAGAATCTATGCTGTCCGCACAGCTCTTTCTCGAGGAGGATTTGCTTTCGGGCATGATCGAAGAAGCCATCGTATCACCGGATTCATTCAAATCCGTTCTAAAGAACAAGTGGCGAACGTCGAAAAAGTACGCCAGTGGCTCAGAGCATGGCAAGACGATCTGGCGACTTTCGCAGCAGGCAAATCTCCGAGCCATCAGTTCTCGCGAACCGGACAACATGTTGTCAACTTTATTCACAAAGCAAAGTCGCTGATCGAAAAGAGCCGTGGACTTCGCGAAGTAACCCTNTTCGGTCGTCTGGGTATCAGCAAAAGNCGTTTTGATATCGAGAAGAAAGATGTTATGAAATACGACTTTGAAGCCGAGTTTGACGATAACGACCGCGAATTGATCAAGTTCTTCGAGGCGTGGTCGTGCTCTGGCTTGTTCCTGGGTCTGCCTCGTATTGAGGCCTTGCCTCCTCTCATTCTGCAGGCAACCGGAATGTATGAGGAGCACAGACTGGATCCAAAAGCTGGGTTCACCTTCCTGCAAGAGATTGGCGTTCTAACTCCTCACGAGAACCGAGTACGTTTCGACAGCCATCTGCTTCTGCCCTCGTCGCAGCACTCCAAACCCCTTGAACAACTCATGACTAGAGTCATGAACATGGATACAAAACCCAACTTTGTGGATTCAATGGCGCATTTACGCAAGGACTGGGGTGATCTCACTGTTTTCTGTATTGATGGCGAAGGTGCTCATGAGATTGACGACGGCATTTCAATCGAAGATGCTGGGGACGGTGAACACTGGGTCCACGTTCACATCGCCAATCCAACCGCATTCTTCGACCACGACAACCCTCTTGCTAAGATGGCTCGCCATATGACCGAGACAATCTATATGCCGGAGCGTGCCTTTGTCATGTTGCCGAGATGGTCAACGCAAAAGCATTTCAGTCTACAGGCCGAACGTCCTGTTTTGACTTTTAGTGCCAGACTGAATTCCAAAGGTGAGACCGTGGAGCAGAAGATTCAGTCCGGTTTCATCAGGAATGTGAAGTTCTTGACCCCTACCGAGGCAGCACGTCTAGTCGGTGTTGCAGGCGGTTTGACACCGGATGTTGTTCTGAGAGTTGGTGGTGAACTACCTCACCGTGAACCCAAGAAGACTGGCAAGCATTTGCTCGACCACGAGATTGAGATGCTGAAAAAACTGCAAGTGCTTGCAGAGAAGCGTCAGTCAAAGCGCCGTATGGCTGGAGGTCTGTTCCTGGATTCGGCTCGACCTGAAATAAGCGTCTGGTATAACGCAAAACGCCCTGGATTGCCGTGGGAGCATCCATCCAGAGTCAGAGCACGATACGTGGAAGGTGATCCTCTCATCGAATACCGTACGAAAGCACTGACTTCCTGGTTCTCATCTGGCGAAGGAGTCTCTGACATTCTTGTTCGTGAGCTCATGCTTTTAGCATGTGAGATTGGTGCATCATGGTGTGCAGAGCGTAACATTCCCATTATCCATCGAGGAACAGTAATCAGTCCCGACACCAACGATGCGAAGAAATTCTATGACGAGGTACTGGCCCCAGCCACAGAGAAGAATGGCGGTGAAGCTCCTATGCACCTCGCCATCGAATATCTTTCGAACTCTGGTTCTACGGTTCTATCAACGAAGCCTTTGCATCATCGAGTCTTGGGTATATCTCATTACAGCAAGGCTACCTCACCGCTTCGTAGGTATGGTGACATGCTTCTACATTGGCAGATTGAAGCAGCCCTACGTGCAGAAGCGCAGGCAGGTGATCGGCTCGACTTTTCTCGCAACGAAAAGCTGCTACCCTTTTCTCATGGTGCTCTGAATCTCATAGCAAAGGGACTTCAGCCTCGCGAGTCGATGATCCGCCGCGCTACTACCTATGCTGAAGAACACTGGCAGGCTACAGTGTTTTTCCGTGCCTTCAACTACAAAGAGTGCGAACTGCCAGCTAGGATGAATGCTTACGTACACATGCAGCCTAACGCGCAAGGTAAGGAGGTGGCTGTTATCATCAAAGAGTTCAGTCTCGGTGCTTCAATGAGTCCACCACANGGGTCCGGACTTGGCGAGGCCAAGCCAGGTGACACATGGGAATGTGAGATCGAGAATATCGATGTCTTCATGCGAAGGATCCTGTTCAAGCCTATACGTTTGGTCGATCGCTGGGAAGGTTAGATTCGGTATAGAGATTGGTCATGTGCCAGATAGAATAAAATTCATGCAGAAGCGAATACGCGAACCATTTAATATCGTCTTCTGAGGAGGGGTTCTCAGCTCTGAATGTCACTGCCTCCAAAGGATTGGTGCCGAGTGCACCTTGATGGACTCAAAGACTCTTATGGTTTTCCCATGACATTGTGGAAATGACACCATGTTTCAACATGCCCATCGGACCCTAGACCTTGTCGATCTTCTTGGTATACACCCTCATGAATGTACAAGGTGCAGGTTTTCCAGTGAAAGCTCAGAAGACCCTTGGTTTAAAGTGGTCGTTTCGACCAGTGAGTTATCCTAACGGATTAAATTATCTGTGCTCCGTGGAGTGCCCTAATTTTGGGCGATGTTGGCTAAATAGGCAGTGTAAAGGATAGGAAGATGCGGGTGCCCGGGACGGTGGGTCTGCTCTTTCACGTGCTGATGGTCGAGATTTGAAACGCGAGATCATGAGATGACGTTGCGCCTCGTCTCAATCCGTTTAACAACATGGCGTGCGCGACAGGTCCTGTAGGGCGGCATCTCACACGTATAATTGGTCGAAAGCAGACACACACCACCACAACCCTGCATCCTGCATCCTGGATCCTTCGCGGAACCGGTACCGTCGTGAGAACCTTGGCCAGGGGCTGGTATTGTCGCATGGCAAGTCTTGGAACGCGAACCAGACGGATCTCTGTATTGCATACTCGAATAAGGAACTTGCATCCACAAACGAGATGGGAGTAAGGGAAGCGCCATCCGGCCAAGCCACTACTGTGGTTGTACCTTCCTCGCTGCACGCAAGCGATATTATGCTCATACGCCTGAATCGCTGACAGAGCCCTGTGATCGCTGTCTCCAACGGCGACGCCAGCGATCTGGTTGACGACAAGCTACGGGGACTCGGCCAAGAATGGTCCCTAAGATGGCCCTGTCCTTTCGGACTCAATCTCGTGCCAAGTCGATTGTCCCGAGCATCTCCATGAGCGACGCCCGTGCATGGGAACGACGGCCGTTGTGGATGTACCTAGCCTATCGTACCTAAACGGGATGGGCCTTGAGCTGACTCCATGCGCTGGGAAGCAGCCGACTATTGGATACCTAGGGCAATTAGTCACAACTTCGACCTATTGGAGAAGATATCTGATAGGCGTTCCTCGTTGTTAATGCCGCGACACACGCGTCCGTCCCATCGGTCCCATCGTTAGGGACCAAGGACATGCGCACAAGTCAAACACCTAATTTCTCATGACGCTTATTCAGTCTGCAAGCCATGCTGCACAATGCACATGGTATTACTTGTTCTATGACTGCGCCTGTATAAGCAGGGACACTCTCCGTCCACATGCATTGCAATTTGCAAACCTGTTAGCAAGCCACTTGTAACCACCACGCTAGCGATTGATTGCTGAGCAGCGCGTACAGTATGAACCTGCTCATGATGATGGGCTTTTGGAATTTTCATGTTTCACTGAACCAAGATCTCACTGGCTATGTACTGTAGGTACATAACGGCTTGCATGGCGACCTTATGCTGACTAGTGGCTCGGTATCGTGTCGCAGTATTGCGACTCTGGCAATTGAGTGGGTCACGATGGGGGTTGTTCGTGCTAGTCAACCGTCTTCTGAGGTGATTTGGTCGTAGCTCTTGCACCTTCGGTCAAAGCCGAAAGTGTATCGTTATCGCCTCTAGCAAGACTACGCTACATGTCTTTGACCAAGTTGTCCTGGAAGCCGGAACGAGAGACATCGGTCTGTTGCGTGAATGAACAGGGTTCTTGTTTGAAGGAATGTGGCGCTTCTTGGTCGGTCCCTAACCGTAGCCTCGGATCCGACCCTTAACACCCACCACCATTCATCAACCACCCGACTCGCAGGAACATGGCGCCCTGGTGCATGAGATTGACGAGTCTAGGCCTTCCAGTCACCATGTATCCTCATCAGGATCACGATCAATCAAATCCTGCAGACTTGATGTACAGATTCATGTAAATGTGAATCGTTGACGGTTTCTGGATGCTATCTGCATGATAGTGGGCAACACCAATCCGCAGACAACTGAATTGAATGGAGAAATATGAGATCTCCATCTCAATCTCTTGACTCGATGATCACGGTTCCCCAGAGTCTCAGCCATCAGGGACGTTTGACAGGTGTCTCTCGAGACCTCTAAGCTCGGAAGCTCGGGGTTGAGTCCTTGGTTGCGTTGTCTAAACTGGGGATGTGGGCCTCACCACTGTTGTCATTAGTCCATTCTCCTTTAACAGCCTTAGCCCCGCCGCTCAAAAAGCATAGATTGAACCTTCTGTTGCGTCGTTTCATGCTGACGTGCCGCCAGAGCATCCGTGTCTTCACAGAGGGTGCTTTGACATACTAAAAGGACTTTTGCTATGTTAATGATTCGAATCCCTCAGGCCAGAGTCATGAGCAATCTGTTAAAGTTCTGATGGAGCAAACAAACCCTTGGGAAACAACGGGGATTCCTACCATCACCCACACTCCGCAAGTCTTGTCGTCGTCCTCATCCCGGGCCGAAAGGTCCCTGACTGCCTCAGACAAGAAGCTTAAGAAGCAAATCCAACCACGTCAACTTCTGAGTTGCACTAAATGTCGAGAACGCAAGGTAAAAGTAAGCTTTCCCAGACCCCAGGCACTTGCACAATTGTTAAAACTAAGCTTATTGTGATAGTGCGATCGCACGAAACCATGCTCTGCTTGTTGTGCCAGAGGTCTNCCCAAAGAGTGCCACTTTGTCCTCGGAGAGGGCGCTGAATTCGGACCAATTCAACAATCTCTCGAGCTTCGAAGACTGCGAGCTGAGAACCAACGACTGAAAGAACGTCTTTTAGCCGACAGATCATCGCTTTCGGAAGGCAGTGAGACCGAAGAAGGTTCTGCCAATGTCAGAACGAACTCCACCACAAAACAATCGAACCGCCAGCGGCGGTTTCGTGCGAGTGAGCAGATTGACAGCATCTATTTCGGATCTCCAGGGCTGGCGAGTGTCATAGCCGATGTGAGTGCGATGCATGTGGTACAACAGGAATGATCCAACTGACAAACCTCCTAGTTTGCGAATCTCCAAGTGGAACCAAAATCGCTGTCGCATGCAATGCCTCGAGCGGCTGACATGTATACAACTCAAGATTCCATGTACCCGTTTCCAACACTATGGCCTGCCATGACACGTACGCAAGGCCTGCTACAATGTCTGCCCTCGCGCGACGAGCTCTACCACTATCTTGACGTCTTCCGACAGAAGGCGCGAGGTTTTGCTTTTCCTTATGTGCCTGAAGACTTGACACAGAAAGAAGTTGAGCGCTTTCTCGAAAATGCTGAAGAGAACGCTGAGAAGGTTCCGGATTTACTCGCACTCATATTCGCAGCGCTAGCTTTAGGGGTGCAGCTTGACACATTCGGAAGTCGCAAAGAAGCAGAAACAAGCACACTTCAGAACAGCAGGGGCAAGGGCGAGATATTCTGTAAGCTTGGCGTCTTTCTAACTCCCTTCTTCTTGCTAACATCTGTAGCTGTCGCGGCCATGCAAGCGCTTCGGCTGGCATCCTTCACCAGCCGTCCCACTCTGAAATGCATCAAAGTCATGATCATGCTTGCTCCTTACTTGACCAATAGCGGACGGTTTCTCGATGCTTGGTCTTTCTCGGGTCTCACGATCCGACTAGCCCACTCGGTCGGCCTGCATCGCAATCCTCGTCTTCTTGACCCAACACCCTCACTCCGTGAATCGACGGTACGCAAGAATCTCTGGTGGTGGCTACTACACATGGATCAAGAATACTCGATGACACTCGGTCGGCCTCTGGGCATCTCGGGACTAGGAGATTGTCCGCCNCCTGACCCTCTCACAACGGATCCAGTGGCCTTACGGCTGAGCGAATTCTTTGACCAGCTCACGATCCATGGACGACAAATTTTGAGCAGTAATTCACTTACAGACTCAAAGATTGACATGTACACTGATCGCCTGATCGCTTTGTGGGATACGATGCCAGAACCTCTGCAATTTAACAGCTCCTGGATCCAAGAGGAAACAGTAATTCCTGAATGGCCAATGGAGACAAGGGCGGCGAGTAAGTTACACACCTAATCTATGGCTCGAAGCACATACCGCTAACCACCATTCTACNNAGTTTCTTACTGCAGCATTCACAACTACATTATCCTGCTCAATCGTCAACGTATCGAGAACAACCGGAAGAGCCCAGACTACCGACCACGTTCACCAGGCTACCCTCAGTTCGCCGGTGTTCCCGATTACACCCTTCCTCCAACATCACACACACCCTCACCATCTCCCATGGTGCCGCGAGGTAGACCACTAGTGATAGAGTCTTGTCTAGCACTACTAGACGCCTTCCAATTCTTCCATAAGCGCGTTCCCTCTGCGCTCGTCGATTGGACGATCGGCCAGCAAGCCTTCAACGCCTGCATGATCCTGTTAATCGATGGCATTGACCGCGAGAGCATCGAACATATCGGAAGAGTAGAAAGAGCATACACGGTGTTTGTGGAGATGGACAAGGCAGGAATGCACCAGCTGACAGGATTGGCCATGTCTCGGATCACCGACGGTCTCAATTGTCTCAGACAACAATCCGAGACACACAAACGGTCGATAAATGTCGAAGCCATATCACCCATGAATGTGCAACACAGTCACGAGGGTGCTTCTCACAACCCCTTTGACTGGGATATGGGTCAACGGCTGCGTGACCATGACTTCTTGCATGAGCCAGTCATGGGAGCTACGGGCATGTTCTTACTCGAAGACCATGGCCTCCAAACTACCTCTCGATCCAAAGCCGAAGCTCCCCCTGGCCATGTTCACACGCCTGAAGCCGCTGTCGTCCCCTCTTCGGAACAACCAAGTTACAAAGCCGGGTTGATGCCTCATTCGACACTGCTGGACCCACGACGAGACTCTGCTCATCCTCTCGGATACATGTCTGCTAATCATCCTGCTGCCAATATGTCAGCGGTACCTGTTCACTATCGCCAACTCGCTAGCCAACACCTTGCTGAGATGCAGCCCATGCCAGCCTACAGTCATGCTGAGAGTTATGTCCAGCATGCACAGCAATCCCATCACGGACTCTACACACCACCTCTGCCACGAGGAGGAGGAGCAGCGCACCGAGGGTCTTTGCATCCACAAAACCAACGACCGCAGTAAATTACCTTTGCAATTCTCAACAGGCTCTTGAGAGAATCAAATTCATGTTCTGCAAAGACTTGGTGTTCTTTGTCTTTGGTTTCCCTTTTTCTTAAACATCTTGTTATACATACCCAATGTTGTTAGCGTAATCTTATGCAGCAGAATCCAATGACCCAAGAAATCATATCAACGTCCTGACGGGGAAGAGCAATCGAGAAATTCAGCAGTCATAAAAAGGTAAGAGCGGGATTCAAGAGCAAATATAAGGAACATTCTTCGTCGTGATGCTATCTGTAAATCTGGCAGGTGTGCTGTTGCCGCCGCTTTGCTTGCGCTTCACTACTTCTTTTTTTTCGCCAAAAAAATCGCAACAAAGACAAACAACAAACAAAAAACTGGTCGTGTGTAACATACAAGGCATTCAAACGGCCATGTCAAGAAAAACCAAAAATCACAAAGACTATCAGGAGGCCAAACGCCAGGCAGGCAAAAAGTTCAGAGGCGGAGGAGATGCAGACTCTAGCCACTTCCATTCTCTCCCCCAGTCTTATGGCGGAACATCATGCGACGTGTGCCACCGACTTTGCCCATATCTGCCCAGGCGGCGCGATCAGTCTCGCTTCTCTTTCTCTCAACACTACTGGCTTGTTTGGCTCGACTCATCATTTCTTCAACCCAGCGTGCTTTTTGCTCGTCAAGCTCACGGTTGCCTCTTGAGTGTTTGGCTGAAGGGCCTGCGAGGCCGATCTCCTGGCCTGACCATGACGAAGGAGAGGCGTTTAGGAAAGTTTCTGCGGTAGACGGGCGTGAAGAACTTTTAACAGACCCGGTCGGAGTGCGATAGGCACCGTTGCGTGTGGTAGTAGGCGTGAGGTCAATGGGTTGAGTAGTGGCCGAAGGACTGCTGTGTAGCATATCCAATGGCATTGGGGCCCCAACAGCACCGAAAGACGAGCGACTGTGTAGACTCATGCTGCTGTCTGGACGATCGAGAACACTTCCAGGTCTGCTGAGTGGTGTGCGAGTTTTGGCGCCTCCACCAATACGTGTGCCGCCCACTTCCAGCTTACCGTCACTAAAAGTACGATGGCCGTGGTGCTCTGCGTATTGACGTAGGTACTCGCCGAGATCAGCCCAACCACCACCTACACGGACCATACAACGTTCGCCTTCGCCGACCAGACGAACGAACAGTTTGATGGGTTGTTCTTTTCCTTCCTGCGTCAAATGGTACATCTTTCCATCCGCATCGTTTGCGTTCGACTTTCTGGATGTCAAATCAGATTGAACGGCAGAAAGAGTGAGTCCAGTGCGAAGCGGCTTGCTAGATATCGCAGGACGTGGTCGAGAGGCACCAGGAGTAGTGGTTGGCGCAGGGGACGGTTCGCGGGACGGTTCGCGGGATGGTTCATGGGATGGAAGCGAGAGAGAAGGCTTGAAAGCAATACGAGATGGCAGAGCGCTCAGAACACGGCTGACATGACGATCCAGCTGTTCAGCATTCGACGTATTACGCTTGTGTCCCTTTCTAGCCGTCTCTGGCTGAGAAATGCTGCGGTTGGTTTCTAAAGCTTTAGGTGTAGCCTCGGGTTCGACAACGTAGCGACGCTTTTGAACTTCAAGGTTGAGTGGAGGAGGTTTCGTGGCCCCAACAGTTTTGGCGGTGCTACTTCTTTCTGTATCGGAACGCACTGTCAATGGAGGCAATCCGAATGCTGGTGGTTCGCCACCGAGTTCTTCTTGGTCATCGTAAAAATCATCTCCTAGCGGTTCCTTGGTTGGCTTAGCGGTGGCTGGGGCCGAGAGACTAGATCGTCTAGACACAACAGGTATTTGAATTGTGTTCAGCTCTGATCTCGAGTGAGCCTCGATTGAGGTCACAGAAGCTCTCTTGATCATTGAACGCCTATTCTTAGAGTTGAGTTCGTTGTCGTGATCGTCAGATTCTTCGAGTACCTCCTCATGTCCAGCACCTACAGAACTGAAGTTGCTCCATGAAGCGTTGCTCGCGTGGACGGNGGATACCCTACTTCCTGGTGACGTCTGCACCTGCTTGGCCCTGAAATAACCCACCGGTGAAGCATCTTGAACCTCGGGAGTCGCATCAAATGACCCAGGCGTTGGCAGTTCCGTGATAGGCTCAAAGGGTAGGCTCGTGGTGCTAGGTCTGGACAGATGTCTTGGTCTTGGACTGACAGGTGATGATGGCCCACTACGGGGTCTATGTTGAGAGATGTCGTTAAGCATTGCATCATCGAAAAGCGGCTCCTTCGAACCCGATCGTTTCGATCTGAACATCTTTTCAAAAGGATTGCTTTCTTGGGATGGTGGCCGCGATTTGGTCTGTGGCGTTCCAGGTAGACTGTCGACAAACATCTTCTCAAACATATCAGAGGCCATAGGATCCTTGGGCGTGTGGATTTCATCATCATAGATTCTGACAGGTAGAGGCCAGTCCTCTGGAGATTCGACAAGTGCTGGTGAGTCCCAATTCGAATCCAGTGTGGATTTGCTGTTTTCGGTAGAGGGGAAGTAGTCTTGCTCGATCTCTGGTGTCACGAATGCATCCATTGGCCTTTGAAGGTCTTGTGGAAAGCTGATAGGAGCAGGCTGGGAGACGGCACGAGTTGCCGAGGCCTGCTCTGGACTAGAAGATATCACTGGGGCTGGCGATGACGAGGATTGCGCAGGAAGTTGGGATACTTTTGCNNTGGCTCCCCTATCACCATCTTTCTCTGAAGGTGCAGGTGTTGTTAAAGATGCAGAGCGATGGAAGTGGCGGAAGCCCTCATGATTCTTGATGCCCAGCCCTAGTCCTTTGCGATTGCTTGTTCGGCTGGAAGTAGAGCTGTTCCTGGAATGACTAGAAATGCCGTTGGAAGTATTGTTGGTCTTGTTGAATAGCTTTGTGAAGGCCATGGAAGCATGTTCAAAGGGTCGGACAGGACTATTGACAGACTTTTGCAGCGATTGGGTACGCTCAATGCCTCCATTGAGGAAAGCTGCTTTGGCACGAACACTATTCATAGCCGGAGAAGCCTGCTCTGAGGCTGGCGTTGGGGACGCAGCAGTTACAGCAGGAGATCCTGCGTCTGGAGTTGGCGCAATCGAGGATACAGGACTTGGTGACGCGCCCTCATTATAGCTGACAACAATAGGTACATGCCGCGAGCGTGAGAGGTTTGATGACAACGACTTGAGGCTGCCGGCCCGATGAAGNNGGGAGTCAGATGCTGACACAGCCGGCTGAGAGGTACCAATTGGCGAAACGGGTACCCTCACCAAGTCTTTCGAAACGTTGTCGCTTTCAATGTCAGAGGATTCATCTAGATCAGGCAGGAACGCGGAATTTATTCCTAAGATGGGGCTTTCAACTGGTTGAACAAGGGCATGTTCATCATCTTGACCCGCAGGTACAGAGGTTTCTTCTGTAGCTGGGTCAATGTTCGGACCAACCTCTGAAGATGTGGCTAGCTCCGGAGGAGCATGGACAACGGCAGATTCTTCACGGTCTAAAAGACCCACAGAGGATGTAGAATTCCCGCCAGTAGCTACACCAGCAGAAATGTCTTTGGCGTGGGCAGACACAAGCAGCGGCATATTGTGACCAACTATGTGACGCTCGGTTTGAGTAAGCCAGTCACTATAACTCGCTTCAAGCGATTCAAAAGTATCGATCCAGGCATCTGGGAGTGTTTCTTCACGTCCTTCAAGGTCGTCCAACATGGAGTCAAGTCGTCCGCCAACTTTGCCCATGCGTGACTCCAACTGTTCTTGGAGAGCGTGGAAAGCACTGCGTACAGCAGGTGTATCATTCGTGTCTCGAAGATGTTGAGCCATGCCAGACCAAGCATTATCCAATTCAGTCTTGGCTTGATCGAGGCCTCTGAGATAGCCAGGGACTTTGCGCAATAGCGTGATGCGCATCGACCAAGTATCTAACAAGCGACCTAGACGCGAGAGATCGGGCAGGGCATGCAGGATTGTGGCAGTGATCAAAGCAGTAAAGTCGTCGAGGCGCTCGTAGAGTTCAAAGTCGGACGACTTTGGCTGGACGTGTTGGGAGAGGACATAATCCTTAAGCTCGTCAACATCCCGGTTGTACAGGGCTTCGCGGATGTCCTGAATGCGTTGCTCGTATGCTATAACCTGGCTTTCTCGAAGGCTGCCCCAGTAGGGACCTTCGACGGCATGTGTGGCATGGATCGGAGGCTCGAATGAATTAGCCCAAGGCCATTGTTGCAGTTCGGCGTGCCAGGCTTTGATGTCCTTGCACGTCTGGGCTATCCTGATGCCAAAAGCTCTTTCTGAAGACGAGGCCTTCTCAATCAAGCGTACTAGAGCTGCCTGGCTCTTGCTCTCCTCGCTTCCCGGTGTCGATGTGAATGCTTTCAATGTGCGAGTTGGAGAAAGGTCTCGGCCTAAAGGATCGTCGGATTGCGAGCGATTGCGGTTGTGACGCGAAGGGGAAGGAGATCGTGAATGCGATGGTGAAGGTGAAGTGGCCGAATAAACTCTCGCCGGTGGAGCGAATCGCGGAGGGTCAATGGCCGGATTACGTGCCATTTTTGATTGTTGTGCCTTGGATGCGGTATGGGTCAAGATGGCTAACCGGTCATGTCTGTTCCCTCATGGCCGTCGGACTTTTGAAGGGGTGGTCGCACGCCCGGTAGACGGCGTGCTGGATCAGTATGAAACAGAGACAAATGCAGACATGAGACCTGAACCAGCTGTCTTTTTAAGGATTTACAGCTGGCGCATCGAAGATGGACAAGAACGAGCAAGAAGAAGAGCGAACCAAGCGCAGAATGTACAAGGACACCAATGAAGCGAGCCCGGTATCGACATGTACTCCGCTCGGCATGTACAAAGGATCGTCTTCGGAGAAGGCACGATTGAGACACAATCGCTTGGCTTGGCGCTTCTTTTCAATCTATGTCGACACCTTATCTACCCTAGCAATCTGCACCCGTTTTGCTGGCACGTTATCTAACCTCCTGTGTAACGGCGCCTACTGTGGCACGCGTTTTCGCGTCCAAGTGTCGTGCAACAAGCAAAAACTCCTGCCACCGAGTCGCGACGCCCCCAACTCCGCAAACGGGAAATGCATGAGAGATCAGCCTCCGTTAGTGCTTCTGCTTGTCCTTTTCCACCCTCTGCTTCTGAACCATCTTATCGAACCTNNGTAGCACCTCAGTCAGCGTGCTCCAGAATGCGTTGTGACGAAAGTAATGGACAAACCTGTTGTACGCGCCGACACCTTCAATGAAGGTCGTGGCTATCCACAACCACCACACTCGGCTTCTGATGTTGACGTTATGCTTTCTCAGTCGTCCACGTGCCATGTTCCACGTCTCTGCTCCGTGTATAACAATCATTCCGTACCAGATGAACGGCTGTATCGTCCAACAGAATCGAGCGAACCCTTTAGGTACCACAGCAGAGATAAAGCTTCCCGATTCGAAGTTCGATCTGGTCCTGAATGCCACAAGTGTCATCGACACTATCGCAAACAGCACAAGATACAGTCCAGTCGGTGCTGTGAACTCCTTGATGGTGATGTCGCTGCGGTCGAGTGCTTCGAGGCATTCTTTGTCCATCTGGACTAGACGCTCTCGTGCTTCTCGAAAAGAGGCCATAGGAGGCTCCAAGGGGGTCCGGTAATTCAGACTGGCGCACTCGAAAGCAATATAATCGAGTGATATATCAGAGATTTTGCCATGGTAAGCCTGGTAGCCAGGCAGGTGATGATAATTTTCGAGATAGCGAATGACCTTTGGACTCACTATTAGCGAATAGATACTTCTCCTGACTGTAATGGTACTTACAGAGTCATGATGGTCTGCATTCATATGCGTGATGATGCGAGCCTTTGCTGCTGCATCTTTAGATGCCTGGTCACTCATGTTGTGTTCGCACTTGGGAAAACACCTGGGAAGAACGATGATATCAATACATGCTGGAAAGACTCCCGAGGATCAGATAACGAAGCCGGCTCGGGCTAGGCTCCGTATGTTTCCCGGTGGTCAAAAGTCGTGACCAGCCCTCCTCTCAGTTCTGTGAGCTCCTCAAGTGGCTCATACTCGGTGCAGAGTCCGGACATGTTTAAGGCTTCCCAAAGACCATACTTGTCATTCAAGGATAATTAGCAGCCTACATTTATTTCTGCCAGATATTGAAGAGCTTTGTCAAGACCTCGAACCTTGGAGATGTGGAGACTAGGATGGGATAGGTGCGACACACCGTCAAGACTGCCATCTGGAGCTCGTACGAGTGTCTCACGAGACTCATGCAACGAACAGCACAAGAGGTACGTTAGAAAAGTAGATGTGCTAGGAGCCGATTGATTGCATGGCACCTATGGTTGTCTGAGGCGAGCGATGTGCTTGCAGAAGAACTCGAAGCACAGCGACGCAAGATTGAGACATGCCTCTCAACTCTTTCGGTTCGATCTCGATGACAACAAAAAGCAGTCTCGATCTTCGCTCAATGACCTTGCTAAAACCTCAGGCGCTCCATTTCCCAGCTGGCCAGAAACAAAATCATCATCAATGTCACTCAACCTCCTCGCTCCAAGGAAGCGAGCCGGTCGGAAGCTTGAGCTGCCGTCAGCTAATGCACAGACGCAGTTCGATCGTGACGCCTCAACACCTGTGGCTGGCCCTGACATCGCCCGCAATCTGCAACTTCTCGCGAACTTGATGCATTGGCTCACGCGCGATCAGCACGCCTGCATGTTCAAGTGCCCACTTCGGTCCTCGAGAATGTGGCTGGTGTTACGTCAAAGGACCGCCCTTTGACACTCATGCGGGTTTTCGAAACCTGTTCGGGGTGTCCAAGGGTGCTCTGCCAGTTTTCTAAGTATTAGCCGGGTCTGTTTCCAATTCTCTCAACTTTCTTTCTCTTCGCAAGCATCTCCAGCTCCCCACACTATACCTACTACATCAACTACCACATTCACACATACCTACCATGTCGGATAAGCAAGCCTCTGCCGGCGCCGAGGGCGGTGCCAGTGCCCCCGAGAGAAAGAAGCCCCAGAAGCTGGGCCAAAAGAAGCCTCAACAACAGCCCACTCCCGATCAGTCGGAAGGAGACGGTGGTGCTGAGGCCGAGGCTGGAGGAAACGCAGAAGCGGAAGCCGATGCCAGCGCCAACGCCGATGGTGAAGAAGAGGCCGAACCGGAACCTCAACAACAAAAGTCACGTCAAGCATCTCAATCTCGCCGACGCCAGAGCCGTGGTCGCGGCCGTCGCGGACAGGACAGTGACACAGAATCAGTCGCTAGAAGCGATGCCTCTGCAAACGGTGGACGCCGTCAACGCCAACGCCAGAAGAAGCAAGGAGGCGGTGGTGGTGGTGGTGGCCCTCTGGACGACATCACTGAGAACGTTCCTGGCGGTGATGCAGTTGGCGGAGCTGGCGAGATGGTCCAGAACACCGCAGGACAGGCCGTCGACCAAGTCGGAAACACAGCTGGTNNAAAAGCACTTGGTGGTCTGACTGGAGGTGGCGGTCAACAGCAAGGTGGTGGTGAAGAGGAGGAAGATGGCGGCAAGGGTGAGCAGCTCCGTTTGAGATTGGAGCTCAACCTGGACATCGAAATTCAACTCAAGGCCAAGATTCACGGTGACTTGACCCTTGGATTGCTGTACGTTCACCGGAAACTTTTCTCACTTGACAAAACTGACATATTACTANNGGAACTAGAATCATTGCTGCTGCACATACGCTCAGTTTGCGTACGACCAATGTTGACGACACTTATAATGGGATATCATGGAGTTTTGGCACTTGTTGGATTACCATATGTTCATTGTTATCCTTTCCTTTCCTACCATCATGTAAAGTACGTTTAGATCGAAGACGAAGAGACGACTTTTACCCATCCATTCAAAATATCTTTGGCACATGCGACAATCGACTCCTACACTCACACTTCCTTCATTGCAGCCCAACCTCGTATGATCAACCTCAGTCTGCTCCAGGTATCTCGTATCAATCAAAGCTCGGGGACTCGCTTGGATCTTCTGACAATCTGACGTCGATATGTAAGCAAGAAATGAGGCGCAGCGGCTCGATCGCGAATAGTGTTTGAGCGATGGAACCTCGCGAAATTTCCTTCTTTGCAAATTGGAAAGACGTGGCCGTGCCTTGATTTTTTCTCCACATGTGAGGAGCCACTTTTTACGTTAATCAAGCCACACATTCGGCAAAGGTTGCGGTTTCAGCTTCCACCCCGCTGACAACCCCTGCTCGAATGTCTGAATCGAGACGCTTTGCAGCCAAACGCGTGGTCTGCAACGAGCAACGCATCGGAGTTGCGTGCCAGATGACGTGTGGCTGGTGCTGCATCAGCATGCAGTGCGGATCCCTCAGGAAATCAGGTTTGTGTGGCACATTGGATGTGATCATGGCGCAGTGAGGCGCGGGTCCCAAACCCTCGCTAGGTATCTGCTGCCGGTAGACGGGAGCTGTGGTTTCTCGAGATCGAGAGAGCGCTGAGCAGGCCCTGATGGCATGAGCGTAAGTCGGTTTTCCCTGTCTGTCTTCCATTTGCATTCCCGCGGACGTCACTGGCACTTTCTTCTTGCTTGTTGCTTGCACTGTCTTGCTGCCCTGACCACTGGCCAACCGTGATTTCCTTACTCGAGACCATACAATCACATTTCCATTTCCCTTCCCAGAACCAATTCACGGGAACATCACAACCATGCCAACGACCGACGAACAGAGGGTTGAAGCCCGCCAGAATTGGGACCCCGAGTATCCCTCCGGAGACGAAAAGCGATTCCCTGGTAGTCAGGCCGAGCAAGAACAGAACCAGAGAACTGTAACACAACAAAAGAAGCACAATGAATACTACAACAAGGAGAAGCGTGAAACGGGTAAACATCAGCACATCTCCAGCACCTACATCAACAAGAGACTAATCTAACCTGCAGGTCTGCAAACCGAGCGCTCCAGATCCTCATCCCGCCGCGCCCGAAGAAAGCGAGTAAAGAACGACCAAAGAGACGGCAAATACATGCACACAAACTCCCTCGAAGCCCTCGAGGAAGCAGATGCCAACGGCGAACTCCACGAAATGCAACCTTTCGAGCGCATCGGTCCTGACTCAACATCCATGGACGGACCCGTGACCAGAGCTCGCGCAGACAGAGGAGAGATCCCTATGCGAGGCAGCAACCCCGACCAGCCATACTACAAGAAGCCACCACCACAAGTGCAGTCGGAGCTCGATGAGACTGATGGCTTGAAGTTGAAGTTGGATGCCAATCTCGATGTTGAGATTGAACTCAAGGCCAGTATTCGTGGTGACTTGACCCTGTCTTTGTTGTAAGTACCCCCTCAAACTGGTGGTCAACCAAGTGACTTCTACGACCTTTGCTGTCCCCGCATCGGAATGAAGAGTCTAAGTATCTATCGCAGAGAATAACCGCGTACAGTGCATAATCGGACTGGCTCGCTCAAGTCGAACCCCTCTCCACCAGCCGACAAAGTCACTACTATCCGCGAAGCGGCTTTTCTGGCATGACCATGTAATATCTCCAACATGTGTACGAAACTGGCACCATTCATGATGGGAACGGCGGCGTTTGTGTTTTTATTGGGGAGCGCTTTCTTTCTTCATATCTCGATACTCGTACTTATACTCTGGCTAGATACGTACTGGTAATCAATTGTTCAATGCAGCCAGCTAGCCGAAGTGCTGGCACCACCGTGTGAGAAGTCATTGCTGAGCCGTTTCAAGACCAACCCCCTTCGTGCATTGAATCCTCCCCGTGTGCAGAGGTTTATAACGCGTGTGGCTATGAAAATGCACAATAGTATCGAAAAACAGATTAGAGCCCATTGAGAGCCAATGCGTTGTCAGCTCTCTTTGGCCATACCTCTACTTCTGAAGATGATCGTGTCTTTTTCAAGGATAGAGATGCTTTCCGCTATATTCAAAGTAAGAAAAATTTACATATTTTAGCACACGGAGACGATGGATTGTTATGCGACGACAAATGATCTGTATACGATGCAACTATTTTATATACGTAGCCAATTCTACAGCCGTTCGATTTGATGCGTCTGGCTGGCTTGCGAGCGACAGCGCGCGCGCGAGAGGGCATCATATCGATCCGTCGCTATACAGTATGGTCTTGATGTCAATTTCACGCTAAATTCTTCGCAGCAACTCATTCGCTTCTTCGATCTTGTCACCTGGGTGTTTTATACACTGAACGCCCTTCTCTTGTTTGTACTGGTCCATGTTCGTAGTAATGCGTACTGGTAAGAGCTATGTTACAGCAATAGAATGTTCCTACCCACAAGGTCTGTCTCTCATCCCATCGTCTCTGCCTCATCACTTCTGCTTCTTCGCTCGCTTTCTGCTGCTTGGACTCTTCCCATTGGCACCTTCTGCCCTTCTCTTTCGAGTCGTCGGCTCGGCGCTCTTCTTGGAGTTTTCTCTTGCAGCTTTCTTCCACATTGCCCAACCTGGTCTTGCGAACAGCTGCTGGGGCTTTTGAATGAACGCAATGCGCCCTACACCGGTTGCCTCATGGTTGGTCACTGGTATTGGTTGCGCGCTCTGTATGATCTCTCGGATGCCGCCATCATCGTCAAGCTCCTTTGCGTTTTTGTGTTCTGTTCGGCTCATGGCTCTTGCTCGCTCAAATATCTTTTCTTCAATCGTTCCTTTCAGAATCAAAGTTTCTGCGTGAACTTCTCGAGTCTGCCCAATTCGATGAGCTCGTTTAAGAGCTTGTGCCTCGATTTGAGGTCTGTTTACTGGATTGATGAAGAAGACCCTTGAGGCTGAGGGAAAGTTCAGACCGAAAGCAGCCTGGCCAATGTCCATCAAGAGGACACGATGCTCCGCTCTCTGATTGAACCTAACGATATAATCTGACTTGGTGGCTGGCGTCAGAGATTTTGCGTAGATGAGGTAGTCAATATGAAGGACTTCGAGTGCTTGAGCAATGTAGTAGGCGGTATTGTCGTTGTCGTAGAAAACAAGTATCTTCTCGTCACGGTGGAACTCCCCAATACGGGAAAGAAGGTAGCTGAGTTTGACGGAAGTTGTGCCGACGATTCTGGTCCTGTGGAGCGCTGAGCCGGCTGGCAGTCGTGCATCTTGAACTTCACTTTGTGATTCGGCATGCACAGTGGGATCCTTGCTACGTTTCGGAGATCCAGATTTGGGTTGTTGCAAGTTTGATGTCTTTGCGCCAGTAGATCGCTTGCCCCCTGTTTGACTGGTTGCAAGTGAAGACGAGGGTATGCCTGCCTTGACAAGCACAGATGATGTTTTATCTTCTGCCGCCTGCGAGTGGAGAACGGACAACGCCTTGATTCCAATACCAGCAAGGCCTTCGGCGGGATCAGGAAGCCCGGTCTGACCATTCACATGGTCCTGGGCTTGAATCAATTGGGTTGCGCCACACAGCAATTGCGCGACTGATGGATNCTGGTGACCAAGCGTTAGCAGCAGTCATGCGTAAAGAGCTGTTTCAAGCATGGGCTCGCGGCGTCAACAATGCCAACACTCACCTGCTCTGTCGAAAGACCAGAACGCTGCAGACTCAGTAGGCCAGTCTTCTACGAATAGGCCAACCTCGTGACTTTTTGTAAGCTTCTTCCAGCCCTCAGAACCAAGCATGACTCTGGCTTGGCCAACACAACATCTGAGTAATCGCTCATCTTCTTTTGAGCATGATTTGGTCGGCTTCTTGATATAGTTTTCACTTTGCTCTATAGCAGCTTCCATATCAGACGTGCTGAAACCAGTCCAATAGAATGCACTCGCTCGCAAGTTGTTCAACAGCTGAGTCCGCTCTTTACCGCTGTTCTTATGGAAGATATAGTCAATGTCGGTCTTCTCGCTGGTGACAGCATTGGCTGTCAACACGAATACAAAGGCGTTCACCGTCAGCTTGTCGTAGAAAGACGGTTCTAGTCGAACGATCTCGTGCGTTAACGGAGGCAGCTCAATGTCCCGTTCGACATCTCCAGACTGCGTTCGGATGACAATTGACTCTATCGTCTGGCGTAAGCACCTTGAGAAACAGGAGAAAGTTCGAGTACGTGGTCGAAACATCTCGTGACGAAAGAAGTAGTTGAGCCAGTCAGACCCTCTCTCATCTTCGGCAGAACACCACGGCCTGATCCGGAGGAAATTGGATGCTAGTGAGCCAATGCTGCGGACCGCTCCCATTTTCTCATCTTTCGCGCTGTATGCTTTTCTCTGGCTGAGTAGCGTGTCGCGTCGAAGAGTTTCTGCTGCGGAGCCGGAGTTTGGATCTGCACCATCAGGAGTGAGAGGCGCTGGAGTTCCAGGATGTGATATAGGTCCAACCAAATCCATCTCTACACCGATGAGATCCTTTGCTGGTGTGCCGCTGACAATCCATCTGTGAGAAGCTTCGACCAGCTTGCTCGCTACATTTGCAACTCTGGTGTTCTCGGCTGCCATGCCATGGCCTTCATCGATGATGATTCTCAGAAAGTGTAAGGCTTTGAGTGGTGATACATACAGGTNCCTGTTGGTATATGTTAGCAAGCACGTCTGTCAAGAAGCTATTGAACTTACATCAGGCCGTATACAGACACAATCTCGCGTCCGAGTAGCTCCAATGTAGGGACAAGTACATGATGGTGGGTATCGTGACATTCGGCGACCATTGGCGTCAGTGCCATCTCTGTCTTCATATTCGAACCGATTTCGGCTGAAAAGAATGAGATCAAACGTCGCTAGTGTTTCTGGCGGAGGCAGAGCCACGCGATTGTCATCCATGACTAGCGTATTTAGAACCCCTGTCGTATGCTTCTCCAGCTCGGATTTCCACTGAGACAACAAGTTTCTTGGTACAACGACGAGGGTAGTTGCCGCTAATGTTACCTGCTTTGGTACAGGTACTGTAGTCTTGCGGTTCCAGCGAATTGGCTCGACAGGTATCTCGTAAGAGGGCGCGTTCTGCCGCATGAGATCAATACAGTGTCCCATGTGTTCGCTAGTGAACTCTTCGTGCCTCTCGAAGAATGAGGGCCACGGAGCAGAATGCCGATTAACGGCTGATATAGCCATATCAAGGAGACTACCAACTTTTGATCTGACGGTTACTCGGTCATATTGCCCAGGCGTACACGGAAGATAGCCACGAGTCGCGAGAATCAGTGTGATGCAAATCAGAGTCTTGCCTAAGCCCATCGTTTCAGCGAGTATGCCCCCTTTACACGATTCGTAGAAGCGGGGACTTCGGAAAAATGAGACATCCCAAGGTTCGTAATAATAAGTTGAACCATCAAGAGCGATATGCTTNNTTTCAAGTCGAGGATCAAGCTCGAGCTTGTCCTCACACTCTTNTTGCAGCATCTGGGCCGCGGATCGTCGTTGATACGGATATAAGATGGTCTTCAGCCCAGGAAGTTGAAACTCGGGATCAAGGAGATCCAGCAGAGTCTCCCGATGGAAGTGACTGGTGACTACCTCCGATGTTGGGTTCGGAGATGGAATGTTGTTGAACAAATAATACAGAGACCCTTCTTCTCCAGATGCGTACATGTCAAAGGATTCTTGCACGTCTGGTTGACCATTCCAGGCACTGTGGGAGATGTCAANGTTTTGAATCAGCGAAAACAGATGTGTGTCCAGTCCACGGTCTTGCTGAATGAAGCGATGCCCAACATCACTGGGCAGAACATAGACTCTTATTACAGCCTTCGACGGAATGCTTACAAACAAGCGAAGGCGCCGACGAGCGAGGAGTTTCTCGATGTCATGCGCACTCTGCTCGGAGAGACCTGATTCGGTCAGAGTGGCGAAGTGAGTGGCTTCCTGCCAAGTAGGCTCCGCATCAATCACTCGTCTCAGGACAAGTGACCCAACAGGCACATAGTTGCTCAAGTCGTTGAGGAAATGAGCCGCTTCTGGTGATATAGATGGAGGCTGTCTCGAGGTGGTTTTCGGGGTCGTGTGAAGTTCTGGGATGATGGGATCCGCATCATCATTGCTATCGTCGCTCATTAGGGTGACGACGACTGACCCTCGACGGGCCATCATCTCGTCGATGCTGGCTCGAGCTGCTGATATGGAAAGTGCATTCGAAGTGATGTACTCGCAGATGTTGTGGTAGCCGTGATGAAGCGCATGTGACTGAGATGCTTATTCACTTTCTGATTTCAGGGCGGAAAGAATCAAAGTCAGTGCACAAATAATGAGAAGGTGCGCTTGATGATATTGATATCGTGAGGTCGAATTGTGAAGAAAGTGGTCCGGCGAGCCCTTCGCAAATTGACGAGGTGCCAGCGCTGTGGGAAAAGCTTCGAGTCCAGATTCTCGAACATAACTTCCCTCGTTCGATTGAAGCTCACAACGCATCCATTGGACCAAAACACTACCGAGAACAAAAGAGCAAGTATGCGGACTATCTATGGATGACTGCGTCTCCTGTATCTATAATTGATCATGGGAAAGACGATTCTATCGCGTTTTAAGCTGGTTGGCAGGAGAACCCTGGCACACACCAGCAAGCAGTTCAGTCCAGAGATGCCCAATCTGACCCAAGACAACAACAACAACAACAACAACCTGGAGTCACACAATCATTGATATTCGAATTACCTTTCTCGAGTAGCTTCCGAGCATATCGTACATTCTGCTTGAGCAGTCCTGTACGAGTACGAAGAGAACGGAAGTTGCAGGCTCGGCTGGCGAACAAGCCACAAAACGCTGGCGCACAACCAAGCTTTCCATTCTTGCATGGTGACACTTTGGCCAAGACCTCAGGTGACAACTCACAGAGGTTCATCCTGTCAACCTTCAACAGCTCTCAAACATGTTGGATTGATACAAAGCATCTATATGGTTGTGCTGTACGACCAGCATTATGACGATGCCAGCTTTCACGCCAGAGGTCTTGGAGATTGGCTGAATGCCGTTAGCGGCTGAAGACATGGTATTCCGGGCGTGACGCGTCAGGCAATCACTTTGGGTCACGGTAGATATATCGGACGCTGGGCACTGAATCTTAGCAGGTGAGCTGCTAGTTCGGATACATGGTTGACTCGCAATGGCTTGCTGTCTTGTTTTCACTCGTACAATCCTTCCCTCCTTGGTTTGTTTAGAAGAGAGTGGTGCCGCCGGTGCTAAAACAGAATCGATTTGATTGCTCTCAAAACGAGACACGAGTTCGCGACCAACCACTTATCTCCCGTCACTTATCCGCAGACATAAACAGAACCGACCCGGGCAACCTCTCCAGAGAACCAAAGACACAAACGACAGAATGAAGCTCTTCGCTCGACTCAACGTGATTGTGCTGCTCGCAATCTCGGCTCTGCTATTTGTGGCATGGAATCTGCGTTCATATCATCCGATCACGCGAGCAAAGAAAGTCTGGAGTCGCCAGACGACCGAGATTGTAGTGTTTGGAGACTCATGGAGCACCAACCGCCTCGAACTGCCTACCGCGCAAGCACCAGCGCCACCCAACAAGAAGCTATGGGTGGATACTCTTTGCTCAGAGGTGTGTCGTGTTTGGCGTGCATCTTGACTCATTCTGACCCAGACANNGGTTGTTTGCGACCGCATCTACGACCTTGCCCAATCACTGCCCTCCCATCCTTCTCACCGCCGTGGTCCTGTGATCGACAACGACATTTTCGCCAATCTGACCAAATCGATGAACTTTACTGCTGGCTCTGGGAACGTTGGAGATTTCGGGCATCAAGTTGACGTATATCTCGCCCAAGACGATGCTAGATGGCAAGATGACGGAGAACAAAAGGGCTCGAAGACCACCACAACCATCTTCACCGTCTTCTTCGGTATCTGGGAGCTCTGGGACTTTGTAGACCTACCAGAAAAGGCCGTATTACCTGCTGTGGTCGATTGCGTTGCTTCCATGTTTGCGCAATTAGACCGCCTCGTTCAAGCCAAGTCGGTCTCGTCGCTTCGTCCAACCATTATCATACCCACGGTGCCGGATCCCAGTTTCTTCCCTCGTTGGATCAGCCAGCGTACATCTGCCAACGGAACAGACAAGTACGGTCAGCTCCAGCGGCACGCCGTCATTCTGACCGATCTCTGGAACAACGTGCTTCAGAAACAGGTCGCCGTTTGGGATAAAGCTCATGTTGTCATGCCCGATTTTGATGCTTGGATGCTCGAGACGATGCGCGAACCCGAGATCGACGAAACCGACCTCACAGCAGTCTCCAATATCAAGAAAGATGCCAAATTTACCGACTTGACCCAGCCCTGTATCAGTTACACCGCCCCCTCTAGTGGAGATGGAATCGAAACCCAGCCATTTACGATATGCGATGATCCGTCGCACTTCTTGTTCTGGTATGTCAAAGCTTGAGCTGGCTTCTTTGTTTGAGTCCACAATCTGATGCGCTTTCCAGGNGATGATACGCGTTTGAGCGGCGCCGCACATGAGCTACTCGGCAAACACGTTGCTGAAGTTCTCCGTAACCACACCGTTGTCAACTAGATCTTGCGAAACCAAAGTCCAAAAAGATCTAGACAAATAGTCCATTTCTCTTGAACTGATTGGATTGAAAGGTAAGGTGATGAAAGCGAGAAGCCTTGTAAATACTTGGTGCGGTCAAAAGGCGGACGATTGCCTTCAATAATCGGTTTGTTCGCATTGTACATGTGGTGCGTTCCTAGGCCAATCTCCTTGCGTTTGGTCGGAATGTCTCACCTTGGCCCGGCTTTCCCGCATGCGGAAATCTACCCACCACCAGAACAAAGAAGTGCCAGCTCGGGTTGTCTGTCGCAACCTCACCATCAGGCCGGTTCTGTCCAGGACAATCGGATATGAAGGGCGCTCGTTCGTCATGATACAAAGAAATGGCAGGACCAATCGCCGGCTATGGCGACAAGAAAGACCAGGCGTGAGCGTTGTTGAATAATGGCCGCGAGCCCCCGTCTTTGGACCTTTGTTCGCGTATTGACATGAGGACGTCAAAGACGGCATTTTGACAACAAAAGAGTGCATTCCTGGCCATCCCCTTCCAATGTCTGTCATACGAGTACCCCTATCGGACGCTAGATTTTCGACATTGTCGCCGAATACTACATCATCGACTGCTGAGCCTTCCCATGCCCAACCTCAGATCGTCTTTACTAGGCAGTTGTGGGAGAGAACGATGCCATCTGCAGAACACGACGACTTGAGCACAAGTTCACAAGGTATCGCAAGCAACGGAGGCGTCAATTCGCGCAGAGTGTCGACCAACATATCCATTGCTCCACAAGTGCAGCACTCACCCAAGTCTCGGTTGTCAGACACGCCACTGACGCCTGAAGAGTCACCGCCTTTTCGCGACCATCGAAAGAGGAGCGCTGACGCTCTTGATCAAGACGAACTTCAAGACGTGAGCCCTTCGCACACCAGGGACGGTAGCACTGAGTCAGTGGTCAACTTTTGTCTGTGCCAACCTGAGCCCAAGGTTCTCAGACCTAGAAACGGTCAGTACACGTGATGCTTCCTGCCACTCAGCTTGCGCATGCTAACATGCTATNNAGCTTTCATCCTTTATCGCCAGAACCGCCAGGCTGCCGTGGTCGCTCAAAACCCAGGTCTTGCTAATCCGGACATCTCCAAGATCATTGGTGAGCAGTGGAGAAACGAGCCTGAAGCAGAGAAGAACCGGTGGAAGGCATACGCAGAGGTTAGTCAGATCGAGATGCCATGTCAAAGATCAAAACTCATCATACGACAGGAAGAGAAGCTCCAGCACCAACAGAGATATCCCTCCTATCGCTACCAGCCCAAACGCTCTGGACGGCGAGGCAGTGTCTCATCTGAATCAGGCTTCTCACAAACAGACCTTCGCAAGTGCCAGAAGTGTGGAGGTCGTACCATCATCCATCCGACACCAAGCACGCCCTCTTCAGCACGAGAGCGGTCTGACAGACCTCGCAGTCTCGAAACTAGTCCCTCATCAGCTTATCCTCACCCTCCACGTCTGAACACATTCCAACTTCCTCCTCCAACTCCATCGTCGACCACAACACCTTCTACCCGTTACCTGCCTATGCTGAACAACCTCTCTCTATCATCCCCACACCCTCGCAACATGGCTAACGGCCGTCCATCTCAGCCATTCATGGTTCAGCGCGGCGAAGACGAACACTCATCCATCCTGTCACCAGACTCGAAGCGACGCAGATTTGAATCCCCACAAGGAACATATGTTATGTCGACACGAACCATGCCTCCACGACAGAATGCAGGCCCTGGTACACCCTTTCCCTTTGGACCGCAAGGACAGCCACAGCAGATGGGCCCACCTCATCAGTTCCAACCTCCCCCTGGTGCGCAACATGTGCGCAGAGAGAGTCTACCCCGACCAGCCGATCTTCTGCGAGGACCTGTGCCACCCAACATGATGGGACCTCCACCTCGTCCTGGACCAGGCTACTCACAACACAGAGCGAGTCAAGGTCAACGTCCTGGTGGACCAGAGCTCAGTTTAACATTACCTCCTCTACAAGCTGGCACCATGTCCGGCCCTCCTACATCCACCAGAGTAGGTTCTGGTCAGCCACAGAGCGGCAACAGAGGAAGCGAGTCGAAGGAGCCCGACAGACGCAGCGTCGGAGAAATCATCATGTCCATGTCATTCATGGCCAAGGTACAGATACTCGGCCGAGTTGCACCACCTTTCTCTACCAGCGACCACAACAAGTGGCGAGCTACCATTATCGCTATTGAAGGTGATGATCCCGAAGCTGCTCGCAACGTAACAGATTGGCTTGAAGAGTTCTTGGGTCGCGAAGGTGACATGGTAGTCAAAGTCGTTGATGGTCCCAAACTACCAGAAGGAAAGGATGGCAGTGAGGTCGAATTTCCAGAGCTACTACGAACTGTGGCCGAGTGGCATGAAAATAGTAAGAAGATTGAGCAGCTCGCACGTGGAGACAAGGAGAGAAAGGACAGCGACAGCAGTTCACAGTCAGGCTCCATGCCTGATAGCGAGGCTATGGAAGTCGACTCATCTCACGGCAGCAGCAGGGTGGTGATACTACTGCGCACTTATACGGTAACAGCATCCAACGTGTTTGCATCACGAGTGTCAATCAAGGACGCGTACAAGGCAGCGGACCACTGGCAGTGGACGGCAACGTTGTGGCGCGGAATTGTCGGACCAGACATGACGGTTTATGTCAAGGAGGCCGACAGAGCAGAGGATGGAGGAAAAGGTGGAGTGGAGATCAAGGAGGAGAACCGGATCATGGCGGTCCGACGTTTCAAAGGCAGCGAGGAGAACGGCGGAGTAGAGGGGATTGAAGCGGGCACGTTGCGACGTCTTGGGTTTGAGGTGGGCGAATGGGTCAGGAGTGGAGGGGCAACCAAGAAGGAGTAGATGCACGTGGGGAGACATGACATGGAACAGTATACACTAGCTATTCTCTATACAAGACGGTATGGCATTCTGGAAATGTCGCTATATGGATGCTGTTTAGTGAGTGCATGTGATAATGACGGCAGTGCAAACAAAGGAAACGCTTGGGGCGAGGGGTTGGTGTGGGGAAGCGTGCGGTAGGGCTGTCCATGTCAACAAACGACGGCAGCAATCAACACTATCAATCCTTCAACCTTTTCATCATACGCAAGCAACAGGACAAAACCGGCCAAAGCGCAATCACAGCTGTGAAACAAGTCTCGTGTGACTGATAAGATCGGGTGAGGAGGCCATGTATCGCCAACGTCTTCATTCCTCGTTAGCGGCTGACGGAATGAGCGTGGCAGAGAGCAGCTGAACAAGGGATAAGACTCCTTCGCCTACACACACAGCATGGCGACCTTCATGCAGACAATGTTGGTGCAATCCTCCCCTCCCCGTCCACACTTCCCCATCCAGGCCCGACCGCTGCCTGCTCTGCACTCGCATGTGCTGGCCGCCAGCGAGTCGTGGTCGCAACTGTCGCTGTGCTTCGCAGACAGTCCTCGCAGCACCCACACCACCGCCTCATCGTCATCACCTCTCCAGAACCGCTTCCGCAATGTCTTGGAAAAGGGAGCCAACTCAGATGCTAACATGTTTGCGACGTGCAGCAACGCCAGTCGTGGCACGCGGTCCTCGTTCAGACCTGCGCGCGCTGCTAAGGGCACAAACAGCTGGCAGCTTAAGCAGTTCGCCGAGGCCACTCTGGGAAGCGGCAGCTTGAGAAAAGTTGTTCGCCTGCCCGAGGGTGAGGACAAGGACGAATGGCTGGCCGTCAATGTCGTCGACTTCTACAACCAGATCAACCTGCTGTACGGCGCAATCACCGAGTTCTGCAGTCCACACTCATGTCCTGAGATGAAGGCCACAGACGAGTACGACAATCCTTTGCACTTCTCCCTCCACTGTCCAATTGCTGACCTTCTGTGCCTTCCAGANTTCGAGTACCTCTGGCACCACCCTCCCGAGTTCCCTCGTCCCGTCCGTCTTCCCGCCCCCAGCTACATCTCCAACCTCCTTTCGTGGACCTCGAATCTTCTCTCAGACGCAAACGTCTTCCCGACCCACCCAGGAGTGCCTTTCCCTCCCACCTTCCAGTCCACAATCAAACAAATCTTCAAGCGCTTGTATCGCATCTACGCCCACATCTACTGCCATCACTACGGCGTCATCAGGGGTCTCGGTCTAGAGGCTCATCTCAATACTGGCTTCAAGCACTACGTCTTGTTTGTTGAAGAGTTTGGTCTGGCCGATGAGGGTGGCAGAAGGGATGCCAAGGCCGAGTGGTACGGTCCATTGGGCGAATTGGTCGAGAGCATGTTGCGCAGCGACTAGTTCTGCGCGCTACATTGTTCCATCATACACTTTTCGCTTTTTCTATTGGCCTGATTAGGGACAATCGGCGTCGTCTTCATGGACTTGGCATGTGGCTATGGGTTTACACGGTATGAGCTTCTTTTATTGTCCTTACTACTACAGTGTTTTTTTCTTTTCTGGAGCATCAATTCACGATACGGATGAGGTTGATCGAGCAATCTAGATTCGGAGACTATCCAAACTTTACAATTCTCATTCTTGCTGCTTTACGTTCTGCGACCAAGGTAACCATAGTGATGTATCCTCCAAGATTCAGAGGTTGATCTTGCGTGTCATTATGACTCGGCCATCATGACCATTTACTTGCTTGACTCCTCGAAAGGAGTCTCGTATGGTGGTTCGGCCTGAGGAGTCAAGCGAGCAAGATGACGTCGTTGACCATCCTGCCAATCAAGAATGGCNNGGCTAAGAAGGGTAATGTCAGCATGTTTTCGAAGAGAACAAACGACGATTTGTAGCTTACTGTGAGCAGTGACACGGTTGTCCCAAACAATGACAGTTCCAGGAGCCCACTTGACTCTGGCCTGGATATCCTGCGAGTACGCAATGTGGTCATATAGGAACTTGAGCAAGTAGTCCGACTCCTCCTTCTTGTATCCTACGATGCGTCTCACAAACTGCTGGTTCACGAACAAAGCCTTTTCACCAGTGGCAGGGTGTGTCCTAACCACTGGATGAGTGTTGGCAACGGGATCACGCCTTACGATGCTGCCACGAGAAAGAGCGTTTTGCGCCTGTTCGTGCGCAGAATGCAAAGCCTTGAGGCCATGCAAACGCTTCTGGAACTCTGGAGACAATCTGCGATAAGCTTCTGCTTGATTGACGAAACAAGTGTCGCCACCTGCAGAGGGTCCGTCCAGGATGTACAGGAATGTGGTGCCTGGAGGCTGCTGTTCGTAGGTCACATCGCTGTGCCAGGTTATGCTGTTGGTGCGTTCCTCGAAGTAGTCTTTGGCGGTTGTGTCGGCTGCGGATCTATGAACCAAGTGGACTTTTGGGAAGCCCTTTGGAGCGCCAGATGCAGGGTGGATGTGCGATGGCCCAAAATATTCGGCAAAGTCTTGGGCTTCTTGGATTGGTAGGTCTGCAAAATCTTGATCACGGAAAGCTGATGTTTTTGTTACTATCAAAGTGGTGGTATACCAATATTCGAATTGCTTACCGACGACTTTCTTTTGTGCGACAAAGAGAGCCAGCTCGTCCTTGCCAGCCTTGTCGAGTTTGCTCAGCTGGATACCCTTGACTTCTGCACCAATGTTGGCAGTAAGCTCCTCAACCGAAGTGGCTCCTCTAAGAAGGTTCTTGGAAGATGGATCGGCATCCTTTCCATGTTCATAGGCCTCAAAAGGCTGGTTGGGTGGGTACTTTCCTCCAATGTCCTTCTCGTTGTCCCACACAGGAAGGTAGTGAGGATACTTTGCTGGTGGGTGCTTTCCAACACCTTTCAATTCATTGTCGTAGTTTGTCGTCTTGGGACCTTGAGCAAAGGCCTCTTTGTATCCTTGTTGTAGTTGGTCTTTCACAAAGATTTGCTCGGCACCCGAGTCTTGGGTAGAGTCAATCAAAGCAGGAGCCATGGTTGTTGGTCTGTGACACGAGGTAAGAGCAAAAAGATAAACTGAAGACTAAACGGAAGGAGCTACCAAGCCACTTTTGAACCCAGGGTGGAAGACCGGCATTTTCACCGAAAGATCGACTCAACTACCGACAAGAGATACATCGTGGACCTTCCCAATGTAACCCGTTGATCAAGTCACAGAGTCAAGGATGTTATCCTAGAATAACTTCTCGCCATTGCGTGCGATGGTCGGATACAGTCACGCCCCACCAAGCGTGTCACGGCAACTGCAGCATTGGTCAGCGAAAACGCATCTCAAACAACATTCGAATCCTTCATATCAATCACAACATCACAAGCCTATAGAAAGTCAGTATATAATCAGAGGAACAACAGGCTAATGTGTGGTCCAGCAGATGTCGCCATCGTTGCCAATGTACTCCGCAAAGCACGCCATAGCTCAATCACTTCCCAATTAGGAAATTATGGACGTCTTGCTCTAACAACATGGTCCATCACACATAACAGAGTGTTTGATGAATGATGGATAAGGTCTAGTGCTCTTTCCTTGCTCTGTGTTGCCATCGGCGAGAATGGCGATGCCGCGGAATGTTACTCTTGCGATGCATGCTCAGGAGGGGTGGTATCCACTCACGGTAAACCATCGTGCTGAATACGCGGTCCACTATCAGGCCTCAACAATCGTGGACTATCCACTCATGTTATCGTTTCCGCCACGATGATGGACGTGTCGTTGCTTGCGTGCGACTAACGTTGAGCCTCCTGAGTTTCGCTATATCACGACTGTAGTGCCTGCATTTACAATTTCTTTTCGTCCATTGCTCCCAGCCATCCCTCTAATCAATCCTAAAATGACCGGAGTGGAGAAGATAGAGAGCGATACGAGCTCCAACAATTCCAATCATGTCTCTGACACCAAAGCTTTTCCTTTGGCTACGGTCGACGAGCCAGTGATTTTCGAGGTGGCAGGCAAGACTCAAGAGTCTGCATTCGACACTGAATCGTTCGAAAGCTACTACAAGCCCATTGAGAGTTATGAGGGATACCACAGATGGGATCCTAGTTTCCAGTGGGAAGCCAAGGAGGAGAAGAAGCTTGTCAGGAAGGTTAGCACTCCTTGCGAACAACTTACCAACTCTCACTGACACACTATGGCTCTANNGATCGACTTGCGTATCTGCTCATGGGTCTGTTTCATGTTCTTCGCTCTGCAACTGGACAGAGGCAACATTTCACAAGCCCTCTCGGACAACATGCTTACAGATATTGGAATCTCCACCAATGATTACAATACTGGACAGACCATCTTCTACCTTTGCTTCCTGTTTGCAGAGTTGCCTAGTCAGATGCTAGGCAAGAAGATTGGTCCGGACAACTGGGTGCCTATCCAAATGGTCTTGTGGTCTTTGATTGCTGCCTGTCAAGCATTCATCCATAATCGTTCCGGCTTCTGGGCCTGTCGTGCACTCTTGGGACTCATCGAAGGCGGTTTCGTATGTCTACCCCTACCACGAAAAGCTCATTGTCGTCATCTGACTTTCCTANNGATTCCTGATAACATCCTTTACCTGTCCTACTGGTACAAGACACGAGAGCTTCCCATCAGACTGTGCTACTTCTGGTTCTCTTACCAGTTCACAAGTATCGTGTCGGCGTTCCTTGCCTTCGGTTTCTTGCACATGCGCGGTATCAACGGCATCGCTGGCTGGCGCTGGCTCTTTGCTCTCGAAGGCTGTCTGACCGGCATCATCGGCATAATATCCTGGTTCTACATTCCACCCTCACCCACCCAAACCGCATCCAAGTTCCGCGGCAAGGATGGCTGGTTCAATGAAAGAGAAGAGAAAATCATGGTCAACAGAGTCTTGAGAGACGATCCTAGCAAAGGAGACATGCACAACAGACAAGCCCTCTCCCTCGGCATGTTCTGGAAGTGCCTCAAGGACTACCATATGTGGCCTATCTACCTGCTCGGACTGACTTGGATGGTACCGGCGTCGCCTATGACTGCCTACCTCACACTAAATCTTAAGAGTGCTGGCTTCTCAACCTTCCAGACCAACCTTCTCTGTATCCCGGCCTATTGTTTCTTCATCATCAACTTGCTCTGGCTTTCGTATCTTTCCGAAAAAGTGAACGAAAGGTTCCTCATAGGCACAATTTCGCAGTTCTTTGTACTGCCCTGTTTAATCGCGCTAGAGGTCTTGCCCAAAAGCAGAAGCCACTGGGCTACTTGGATCCTCAGTTGTCTGGTTTATGCTCAACCGTACATCCATCCGGTCATTGTCGCAGTCACATCTAGAAATGGTGGTAGTGTACGCACTCGAGCTGTGGCTACGGCATTGTACAACATGTTTGTTCAAGCATCGAACATTTACTCGTCTAACATCTATCGCACCCAGGACAAGTGAGTCTTTCCATCCTGTTTCAAGTTTCCGATATCTCGTGCTGATCATATTCTACAGNNACCCTACTACTTTACCGGCAACAAGATCCTCATCGCTATTGTCTGCTGGAATATTTGTGCATTCGTCGGATGCAAGATCTTTTACGTTACTGTGAACAGGTGGGTACTAATCTCAATTGCGGTGTGGAATCTATACTGACAAACTTCATCNAACAGACGTCGCGATAAGAAATGGAATGCTATGACCAAGGAACANAAGGAACACTATCTTTCTACTACGACTGATGAAGGCAACAAGCGTCTGGACTTCAGATTCGCGCATTAGAAAGGAACATGATCATCTACGCAGGGATGAATTGCTGTGTTGATAGATCAAATAGAGTGTTCTTCATTCAATCGTGTACAAGCATCATCTTCGGAGAGCAGTGACTCCCACCTCTAAGAAGGAGGTTTGTAACCATCAACATCCGTGCTGTTACTCAACTCCTCAAACTTCTTGACGTTCTCCCTGTACTGATCCAACTTCTCATTAATGCCAGCATAAGCATCAGTGCCAATCACACATCTCAACGGCGGATCCTTCATCACCGCCAACTCATACATGCATCTAGCACCCTTTTTAGGGTCACCAGCCTGCGTACCATTTCTCTTGCCCATAGCAGCCTTGGCATCAAGATGATCATACTCCTCATTCTTGTTGGCGCCAAAGTCCATACTTCTACCCGCCCAGTCGGTGCGGAAACCACCGGGTTCGATGCAGGTGAGGGAAATGTTCCAGTCGGGTTTGAGCTCTTTGGACAGGGCTTCGGTGTAGCCTTCGACTGCCCATTTGGAGGCGCAGTAGATGGAGAAGAGGGGAACACCGCGTTGGCCGCCGATGGAGGTGACTTGTTGGATTACACCGCCTTGGGGCTTTTGGGCGCGCATGGACTCGAGGGCTTTGCGGGTTACGTCCAGGAGGCCGAAGAAGTTGACTTCCATCTGNNTGAATTTGGTGTCAGTGGTGTGATATCAAAGAAAGGTGGAGATGATGCTTCTTACCTGCTTACGAATCTGCTCCTCGCTCAAACTCTCAAATTCGCCGGCGAGACCGTATCCAGCGCTNNGTGGTCAATCAGCATCCTATCCCCTAGTGCACAATGTGGATCGAGTCAAAACTCACTTATTGACAACAACATCCAAGCGTCCAAACTTATCGATAGCCTNTTTGAAAGCAGCATTGATAGACTCCTTCTTCGTAACATCCAGATCTACAGCAAGATAATTCTCACCCGTTGCTCCTTCGGGCTTCTCAAGCTTGGATGAGTTGCGAGCAGTAGCGATTGCATGATCACCTTCCGAGATGATTTTCTTGACGTACTCGGCACCGAAGCCGGTGGATGTTCCTGTGACAAAAAANNAGACTTTTGGCGACATTGTTTGATTTGAGATTGAATGGTTGGATTGGTGGTACACAAGAGATGCAGTGAGTTGTTCGGTTTGATATATGGGTTCTATGTTTGGGTTTATGGTGGACGTCACCGTTCGTCATCGGCATTCAAAGCCGTTAACTCCGACGTGACATTGATGGGCAGTTTCCTCGGAGCTTCCAACCATGATCGTTGTTTCCTCTATCCCACAAATTACAAATCGTGTCAAGGTCAATGGCTAGTGACGACAGCTTATCAATGCATATCCATCAATCTTGTCCCATCCATTTGAACACTTCTGCACCCAAAGATTCTTCCCGCTCGATTCCGGTTCCCAGCGCGAGGGTAGTGCTGAAGTGATTGTGACCTTCGAGCAGCACTTCACTCAGACTGTCTTGTCCGAACCTCTCTTTATACTTGTTGACAAAGTCTTGAGAGGGTTTGAGAATCTCCTCTTCAGGATCTAAAGTGGCAGTCACGACCAACAATTTCGCAACCGGAGTCTGTGCCTTCGACACGAGTCCCAGAGCACAATCCTCTTCTAGTCTGTCTTTGTAGTATGCAGTCAACACCTCAGAGCGATCGGCACCTGCTTGCTGGAAGTGTGCGGGTATGGAGACTAGCATGACTCCTTGGACAACTACAGAGCCTGTCTGGACAGACTTTCTGGATTCAGCGAGTGAGGGCTCGAGGAGCCAGGTTGCAGAGTGTACTGCACCGGCAGAGTTGCCCATGATCCAGAGTTTGTGGTTGCCGGTGTTGAAGTGCTTTTTGATCCATTCGAGAGCACCTGCTAAATCTTGACCTCCGGATGGGAAAACGGCACCTTCGCCTGTGCGTCTGTAGTCGGGGATTACTGTGACGAAGCCTCTTGACTGTGTTTTGTTAGCTAACTAGGTTCGTTACTCATCTACCGACTTCATGCATACCGAGAAGTAATGTCCGATGTTTGCATAAACCAAGTCTTTAGCTGTTGGCGGGGTAGGCAGACGCTTGTCGCCTGACACAAGACCACCTCCATAGAGAAACACCAGTATAGGTGTATCTTCAGAGATTTGCTTCGGGCTGTAGACATCGAGCTTTTGACGTGCATGCGAGCCGTAGCTAAACTCCTCTCGCGGCGTCGACTCAATGCTGTTTCTGTTCTTTTCATGCAGTGTGGCATATGCCTTCATCGTGGGCATCAAGCCCGGCCAGATTTCGCGACCAAACTCAGGTAGTTGGTCCATGGTGTTGAATAGCTGTACTGTCAAGATTTGCTGAAAGAAGAGGACAGGGTAAACAAAAGATGCGGCGTGGATGAGGGGTCGTAGGAAGCTTCGAATGTCCCGCATTCTAGTGCCGATGCTTTCTGCAATGTGGTGGGGAGTCTACATATCCAGATCTTCTACTGTTTGTACACAGTGACGAACGACAGCTAGCCCTAACGGATTTCGGCACATCGATTACAAACAGCGAGGAAGGTCATCTTCGAACTGTGCAAGCGATGTGGGAGGACAAGATGAGAGCATTGGTTGTCACTTAGGGCTAAGTTAGGGCAAGATGTCATCCGGCCGAGCATGGCCGAGCCCTAAGTGCGATCGACTTGCTTCAATCTTCATCTCGAAGGTTGGGGATGGCCTCGATTGAACCTTTCACGGTAGTGAGGCTGTCGCTTACATCTTGCAACATCTCTTGAGATAATGGGACCATGAATAGGATCTGGGAGAGCGAGCGTGTATAATTCTCATGCAGCAAGAAACATCTACCATCGTGGCTTCCCCACAATCCCCACAGAACGCCTCGAGCAGGTCACGTCCAAACTCAAAACCACTTGACCATGCCCTCGGCTGGGGCCCCACAAGAGAAAGGTTCGAGAAGGGGTGTAGGGAGAACCATGTGGCTTGTTTTGGGATGGAGCGTACGGCAATCACGGATAAGGGAATTCCTAAATGGTAAGCAGATCTAGGGCAAGCTGGTCAGGCAGGTGTCTTGTTAACGGCGGAGCCACGAGACAGACCTTGTTGTATAAAGTCCTGGAGCACACCCTGATGCTTATCAATTGCAAACCTCCTTCTGATTCCTCTCGTACTTCTTGTATCGTCAACCTCCAATCTTGAATCTTTACCAATCGACAGACTTTCATACATCCCAAACCACAACCAACCATGCCCATCCCAATCCTCAGCGAACCACCAGGCAAACCCAACTCCAGCTACGTGCTCCCCGTCTACAATGGCGAACTCTGGACAATCCCAACCTCAAACTCAGTCATGCGCATGCTCGTCACCGAAAAAGAATCCAAAGGCGACTTTGCTGTGGTCAGCACAGGAGGTCAACAAGACAACCCCATCGGCTTCCACTACCACCGCGAAGCCCACGATGTGTTTTTGTGTCTCAAAGGCAGTATGAATGTATGGGCAAACGATTCTGCTCGCACACTGTTGCCTGGAGATTTTGCCTCTGTGCCGCCGAATGTGGTGCATCAATACCAGATCCTAGGTTCGCATACCGAGTTTGCTGGATTAATTGTTCCTGGAGGTTGGGAGGAGTTTTTCAGGTTTATTGGGGAGCCTTTCGCTACTTCGCCGATGGGACCTCTGTTTCCTACTCGCGACAATAGGAATCCTATGGAAGTGCTGGTGCCGAAACTCATTGCTGCAACTGAGAAATTCGATATGGTGCCTAAGCGCGACCATAAAGGTGCTGAGCCTACCTTATGCACAAACAAAGACAATAAACACAGCAATTCGCCAACAGAGCCTTATTTCCTCAAGGCAGATGCGGGGCCTAGATATGCCAGTGCGGGTCTGCTGGTGAAACCTCTCTGTCAAAAAGCAGATTCAGACGGCAGGTTCAGCATTGCCAGACTGGAGGGCTCAGCAACGATAAAGTCGCAGTATTTGGCTTACAACACTTTGACCTTTGAGACCTCGCATCACTGCTTCTTGGTTGATATAGGAAGTTTCCGCTTGACTGTTGATGGCCAGAGTTCTGAAATCAGTGCTGGAGAAACCATCTTTGTTCCTGCTGGCCAGGAGTTTACGCTAGAGGTTGCGAGCAGGTATGCTGCTTTGTATGTCTTTACCAATGGAGGTGGTCTGGTGGAGATGTTGGTGGGTATAGGCAAGGAATACGGCAGTCAGATTATCGCGGAAGATTTCCCCACTGATGCCGGCGAGGTCAATGGACTTCAGGAGAAGGTCGGTGTCAAGGTCGGTGAGCCTTTGTGAATTTGTCATGTAATAGATAATGAAACGAAATGATACTCCGCTATGTCGACACTAGAGAAAGAATCTTTATGAAAGACAAAAATCAAAAAAATGTCATGAAACGGTCATCGAATATGTGTTGCTATGAATTTTGTGAGAAAACGCTGAGAAACGACAAATGTGAGGTATTAGAGCCAACAACTTATCGGCCACCAACACGAATGACACCAGCAGCCATGAGCTTCTGGACCTTTGTGCGGACATCGGGGTTCTTCATGTGCTCCTGCAGGGCGGCTGGGTCACCCTTAGCTTGTTGCAGGATAGACTGCATAATGGGATCTTGCAAAATGGAGAGGATCTCAGGGTCACGCTGGATGCGCTCCATGGTCTCTTCCTCAGTCTCGCCTTCGCGAGCGCTGTACTGAGCCTGAACGGCCTTCTGCATCTGTTGCTCAAGCTCACGGGTGTTCTTGCCGTCCTTGTCGTGGGCCATGGCTTCATTGCAGACGTCGATGACTCTGTTATATTCGCGCATGGCGAAGAGAGCCTGGGCCTTGCGGAGGTAGGCACGGATGAAGTTCTCGTCCTTTGCAATGGCGGTGTTGCAGTCGTCGACAGCGGCAGGGAAAGTGAGCAGCTTGATCAAACAAGCGGCACGGTTTGAGTAACCGCGAGGATCCTCGGGTGCACGCTTGGTCATCTCGGTGTAAGCCTCGACGGCAGCGGGCCAGTCGGCCTCCTTGAACTTCTGGTTTCCGAGCTCGCGAGCCTCCTCGGCCTTTGCGGGGTCCAGGTAGGCATCTCTCTCAGACTTGATCTTGGCCTTCTCTGCGGCGCGGAGCTTGGTGAGAATATCAGGGGTACGGTGCTCGGTAAGAGATCTCTGGTAGTTGTCGATGGCGTTGGGAAGGTCGCCCATCTTCTCGTAAGAGGTACCAATGCGACCGAAAGCCTTTGCGATGAGCTTGAAGTCGGCAAAGACCTCGCGACCGTGCTCGACGGCCTGTTTGCATGCCTCAATGGCACCTTCGTAGTCGCCCTTCTCGAACTTGGCAGCACCGAGGTTGTTGAGGTAGGTAATGTCCTTGTACAATTCCCAGGCCTTGGAGTAGTGCTCGATGGCAGCGTCGAATTGTCTCTTCTTGTAGTTCTCAGTACCGAGAGCCTTCTCCTTGTCTGCGTCCTCCTTTGCCTTCTTTTGTGCGGCAGCCTCCTCATCTTCAGGCTCAGGTTCCGGCTCGGGGGCCTTTGCGGGCTCGGGTTGAGTGGGTCTGGCGTCAGGCATGGGAACATCCTCCTCAGCTTCTCCTCTCTGCTGACCACCCTGCTGTTGTTGCTGTTGCGAAGGGTCGGCGAAAGACATGTCGATACCGAGCAAAACACTCATGACCTGCAAGAAACGGGGGTCCTGCATGGCCTCACCCATCATATTGGGGTTGGACTTCATCTGGTTGAGCTTGTTCATAAAGGCGGCATCACCAAGCAGCGAGGCAGTCTTGGGGTTGGCTGCGAGCTTCTGGATCATCTGAGGGTCGTTGAACATGTTGCCGAGTCCACCAGTTGCATCTGCACCGTCGGCATCTGCTTCAGCCTGGATGGCGCGTCTGACGGCCTCGAGACCGGACTTTGCTTGAGCGTTGTTGGGGTCGAGCTCTACGGCCTTCTCGAAGGCGTCTGTGGCATCAACTGCGACATTGTCAGTTTGGATTGTTCGCGTGCGCTGCTGAGCGAGAGGAACTCACCGAGGTTTCCCATGCCGTGCAGAGCGGCACCCTTTCTGCCCCAGCCCTTGGCCCAGTCGGGCTTGATCTCTGTTGTCTTTGTGGCATCGTCCAGGGCGTTTTGCCAGTCCTTCAATGATGCGTATGCGCCGGAGCGGTTTGAGTAGAGAACGTGGTTGGAGGGGTCGAGTTCGATGGCCTCGCCGAACTTCTGGCTGTGTGTCTGTTAGTGCTGAGAAGGTGCAAAGATAGAGTCGAGAGCAACTCACGCAGCGCCCTGGAAGTCCTTTGCGGCAAACAGCTTGTTGCCTTCAGCCTTGAGTGCGTCGGCCATTATTATTGCGAGATTCGTAAAAGCAAGGGGGTATCAAAGAAACGAAACAGTCAATTGATCAGATGCGTGTATGAGAAAATGCGATGATATGTAGCTAGCAGCTAAAGGTATTCACAGGCAGAGCGTCAGTGACTTGTATATTTCTCGTCGAGCTCTACCGAAGCGTCTAGAAGATGGTGCCAAGAGCCCCTCCGACAAACACTCGCATCTCGACAGAACGGCAACTCCAAGCGATTAAGTAGATCCAACTTCAAAACACGTCTCGCCATCACCTGACGTTACTACCAACAAAACAATACTAAATCATGTACGGCCAACCATGGTGTCGTGACGGCATCAGAGTCGAAGACCTCGCTCTGCAATATGCTCCCAAAAGTGGTGTCGACGCCTGGGGTCGCGAAAAGCAACAACCACTTCTCCTCTCCGTCTCACTCTCTTTCCGCTCAGGCTTCGACACGGCTGCCAGTCAAGATGCTCTCGATGAAAGTACCATGCACTACGGCATTCTTTCCAAGAATCTGCGTGCCTTGAGACCCGTACAAGATTGGGAAACCTTGGACAGCTTGGCTCATCGTATACACCAAACCATCCTCGAGACACCACCTGGCGATGCTCTGATTCAATCATGCCAGATTGAGATCAAATTGCCCAAAGCGAGTCTGCTGGGTGATTACGTTAACTATGTGTATTTTGTCGAGGATGAAGAGCATACTGGTAGAGTCCTGCATCTGTCTCGTGTCTTCATTCCTACCTTGATTGGTGTCAATGACAATGAGAGAACTGCAAAGCAGAAGCTCTATGTCAGTGTGTGGATAGACAGGATACAGGCTGATGACTCCGAGTCATATACTGAACTGGAACGCATCCTCACTCAGGTGAGTAACAAGCATTCTGAAATCTGAATCGAGTCCAATACACTAATTTCTCAANNACAGGCAATTGAGCCCACAGAGTTCGAGACCCTAGAGTCGTTGGCCATCTACGTCCTCAAAGTCTTGAAGATGAACTACGAACCTCTAAAATCTCGAGAGACCAGTGTTCGTTTGAGACTGGAGAAGCCTCAAGCTGTTCCTCATGCCTCAGCCCCTATCATCGAAATCGTAAGGACGTCTGATGAGTTGGCAGCTATGATTCAATGAGATCAGCAAATAGCATCAGTCGGTCGTTGTACACTCTGGAGAGTCGCAAACCGCCGGGCTACGACTGTCACGAAGTCTTGGTGAACGACCGCTATCGATCAGAGCAATCCTCAATTAAAAGTCATAATGTCTTTGGAAGAATAACGCGTCCAAGCTATGTCCTAGGATTCATGAAGCGCAGGAACATCGAAATAGAATAAGCATCGGGTCCGACTAGAGTGCATCAAGTAGCTCTCGATAATTCTACAAGTTTTAGAGACTTCAAGTGACTAGTTCTGACTGCTCATGATTCAACATTGCCCAGCAGACTACCTCACGTGCTTCATATCAACTCTTCAATCATACGCTTTCGCTCATCATACAAACCACCTATATATATATACAGTTATTTTTACACAACGGACCACTTCGGTCCATCCAACAGAGGGGAATGTGTCCGGTCTACCTGAACGCCATGCCCATCATCCGTCCAGTCCAGAAATTTGCCAAACATGCTTGCTCTTGTAAAACATCAAAAACATGATTTTGAAGTTGCTTTTGGCTTCCCCATATGCATTCAAATAACATTTGATTCTTCGTCGTATCGCGTTCATGAGTTTCTGACAACACCAACCTTGGCGGGNNCTACGAAGATTGTCAGCATTGTCCTCGTATATTTTTCTCGTACCAATGTACTTACTCTGATGACTCTGCCGTTGAGCTTGAAGCCCTTGGACTGGCAGAAGAAGACGGTGCCGTCCTCCTTGTCTGGCTGAGGTGTTTGGAAAGTGGCCTCGTGCTCGTTGGGGTTGAACTTGTCGCTCTCAGCGCTAGGGTCGAATCTCTCGAGGCCGTGCTTCTTGAGTGTGTTCATGAGGATAGTCTCGGTCATCTTGAGACCAGAGTGGAGGTCTAAGAGGTCCTTGTTGCTTCCATCGAGCTTCTCCTTAGGGACAACGGAAAGAGCGCGGTCGAGGTTGTCGATGCTGTCGAGCAGGTCTCTAGAGAAACTCTGGAGGGCAAAGTCCTTGGCTGCGCGGACCTCGCGCTTGGTCTGTTCTTGCAAGTTGCGGTACTCGGCGATCTGACGCTTCCACTTGTCNNCTGCAATTGATTGTCTCAGTACTGCTGTCTTCTCTCTTTCTGGGTCTGTATGCGCTCAACGAACCGTGACGTCGGCGACCTCCTTCTTCTTGGCCTCGAGCTCCTTCTGAACAGGGTCCTCCTTGGTTGCGTCGGCAGCCTTGTCTGCATTCTCAGCTGCGGCACCGTTCTCCTTGGCGCCAGTCTCAGTCGAGTAGCTTCTCAAAGCGGCGACAGCACGACCTTGCTGGACAGCTCTGAATGAGAAAGGTACTCTGCTCTCGACAGCCTGCGAGAGAGGTCTGGCGGATCTGGCGAGGAATCTGAAGCTCATGTTGTGTGGAGTGTGGCGACTAAAAGGTAATGCTGTAAGAGGATGGGCAACAATTGAATGAAATGTACAAAAGTGTCTTGTGACGATGGATGACTCTCTGGTGGTTTTTTGTGCCAGAAGTAAGTCGCCGTCGAGCGGGCGCGATCGGCGTGTAGCTTCCGATATTCACCTTCGCCTGAGACGAATTGTTTCTGTCGACTTCGATTTTCTGAGTATCGTAAAGAGAGGCACTTCGTCCAGTCTGCTATCGACAGGATCACTCATGCACTAGAATTGCATTCACGATCAACTATGAGTTGACCTTTCCATGTCCCAAGCACTATCGACAACATTTAGTGCTTTCGAAAGACACAATCCATCTCAGCATGGCCTTCCAACTCAGAGCTCAACTGATGACCTGATTATGATGCTTTAAGTGGCCAGACTCTAGCCAGCATAAGTGTTTGTTCTCGAGCATTTAGCAAGGAAGGAATACGGTATGGGAAACCTGACCGCTACGACAGGATGCGGACTCAGCCACTCCACGTATTGACCGTATCGCGTATTCACCTCTAGGCTCCAGGGTTCTGCAGGCTTTCAACGTTGCTCAATTGGTTTAGACGATTCGAATTCTCGGTCTTTTACTTTGCAATATGCTTGTTGATTGGTCTTGCCTCATGCGCATGCTGGCTTGGCTACTCAGCCTGAACGGCAGGCGCGACTGCAGTTTTAGATGTACAGATATAGGTAGGCTGTTTCGCTCTTTCTTGCACCACTCTTCTCCACCATAACCACTCAGCATTGTTATCATGGTACAATCATCGCCCGAACCTGGCATTTTGCCTAGACAGTCTACTCTGCCTTTACAGATTGGACGGATACGCGCAGCATCAGTTACCACCGCGAATAAAATTCTAAGCTATGATCCGCAGCCAGGGATGTGGGCCGCAACTGGTACAGCGATTGCACATGCTCCAAACCTCACCGACTTGCGGAAGAACAACATCGATTTTGATGTGGACGGACATCTTGCGACCAATCTTGAATCGTCAGAATCCGTTAACAAGGAACGAGCAACGACATTGCCAAACATCTCGCCAGTACCGTCGACCAACACATCAAGCGGCGTTGACAAGAAACCATTGAACACATTGGTACAAACCTTGAGCCACTCGACAACGAATTTAGAACCACCCAAAACGTGGAAACAGACTATCATCACTGGTCTCGTTGCCTTTTGGCGCTTCTTCAAAACACCAACCGGCTTCCTCATCACTCTGTATGGCCTCAATGTCGTGGCTTGGGGTGCCATGCTCTTTTCCCTGATTCTCAAAGCAGCACCTGCCATGAACCATCCCGATGGTGGTGATGCCGACTCCTCGCCTCGCAAAATTTGGATTGAGATTGATTCTCAAATACTGAATGCACTCTTTTGCTTGACGGCTTGGGGACTTGCACCGTGGAGGTTCAGGGACCTCTGGTGGCTGTGCGTGTGGCGCTTTGGACGTGAAACCCAGAGCCGCTCAAGCGCAATCAGAAGATTGGCAGCAAGAAACGCCAGCTGGTTCCGTCTGCAAGAGAACTATCTGTCGGAACATGAAGAAGACGGCGTCAATCCGGTGTTGATACGTCGAGAAACCTTTTCAGGTGAAAGGGCACCTCCTACAGCACCTTGGAAGATGGACTTTGTGGTATGGATGATGGTGTTGAACACACTCCTGCAAGTTGGCATGGCCTACATGATGTGGAGATACAATCGGATCGATCGTCCGACTTGGGGATCCGGTTTGTTCATTGGCCTAGGATGTGCAGTGAGCATGTTTGCTGGCTTGATGTCCTGGTGGGAAGGAAGGAAGATCAAGAAGATCGAAGGACCAAAAGTTTTGAAGGATAAGGAGAGTACAGAAGTCTGACGATATCATCAACGAGCCCACCTTCATTAATACGTAATATCAGACACCACGTTGAGAGCTAGTAGGTATGCTCACTTTCTCTCACCAAGAAAAAGATTCTTTGTGTTGCACATCGCAGTGTTCGACCACTACATGTGTTTGTGGGATGGATGACAGAACCCGATCTTCTATCAACAACACTGTCGCAGCCCAACTCCCGCTTAACACTTCTAGCGTGATCTCTTCGCTTCATAGTGCAAGCATGTGCCTGTTAAGGCAGTTCGCGTCTGTTGTTCGGCTTGATGGTCCGTCGAAACGAAGGCTTCAGCTCGATCTGTCTAAGTGCGCGAGGGTCAATCTTTCGCTGTAGTCTCTTGAGTTCGAGGCTTGCAAGGGCTGCTAGGTCATTCTGTGCACAGTATCAGCTAGGATGATGTCTGTCGGTAGACTGCATGGCGCAACACCTGCTCGGCTGGCGCAGCTCAAACATTGGCCGAGGCATCATAAGCCTCCAAGTCAGCTGTCACGCGGAAGATCGTGCCCAGTATCATGTAGTTCGTAAAAGTAGGCAGAGATGGATGTCATAATCAATCTGATCCGCTCTCGACCTTGACCGACAGTCACGATCCCGAAGTTCCTCCGTGGTTTCTCATCCCATCCTTGTGCATTTTTGACTTCATCTCCTCAAACACACCCCGCAACCCCGTAATTTCTTGACCTGCATAAGGTCCTCTGAACTAACCCTTGAGCCTCAATCGAGTATAGCCTGAGTCCAGACGACGCGAACAGATGCTTAGCCGAACGGACTGTGTGCTGCACCGTTCCTGATCTATTGGATTGCACCCTGTAGATCGCGTACGGAGTCTGCTAGCGGCATGCCTTATAGCGAGTCTGCATGAATCTCCAGAACATGCAGCGAAGATGGATGTTGTATGCCAAGGTCGCTAGAGGATACTTTGATGCTTCTGCACTCGCTTAACAACGGCTAAATGCATCGAGTTTTCAAACGACAAGCTGTGGCCTCGAACTGTCATGGCTCTTTGTGTTGCGTGAAGCCATGAGCTTCAAGCTTGCATACCGTACGAGTAGGCTCTCAGTGCCAGCCGGATAAGTTCTGGACCACTTCGCTTGGAAGTAGACGTTCGGACGTATCAGCACTCCAAGTTCTTTTTATCCAATTCTTGACGTGTTCAATCGATGCTTGACAGTGCTATAAAAGGCTCTTTGAAACGCACGTAAGTAAACCAAGGAGTCACAGCATCGTTCGTAACCTCTAAAGATGATTCCTGCTCTTCTGCTTGCATTCGTTCCATCCGCGCTTGGCATCTCCATCTGGGGACAGTGCGGTGGTCAAAACTGGTCTGGCAGTGGCAGCTGCGACGCAGGCTTGTCTTGTGCCAGTGTCAACCCTTGTAAGACAAGCTCAATTCATGCAAGGCCAATGGATCGCTGACCGTGTCCAGACTATTATCAGTGTGTCTCTGGCACAGCTGGAGCTACTACAACCTCGACAAAACCAGTCACAACCTCTGCCAGACCAACCACTACCACTTCTGGCGCAGGCACGACTCTCACCACGTCCCGCACGGCAACGGGTACTGCTTCAACAACCTCAGCTGCAGGCTCGACCAATGTTGCTGGAAACATCTTTGCTGGTAGACAGATCTACGCAAACCCTTACTATGCTTCTGAGATCGCCGCCGCAATTCCATCTCTCCCAAGTAGCCTTCAGGCTAAGGCAAGCGCTGTTGCGAAAATCGGTACCTTCGTTTGGCTGTGAGTCTCGCCACTGAAGTACATTTTCTGAACCATGCTGACACGGCTAGTNGACACGGCCGCGAAAGTCCCTACGATGGACACATACCTCAGCAACATTGAGAAGCTGAACGCTGCTGGCGGTTCTGAAACCATCGGCGCATTCGTGGTCTACGATCTACCCAACCGTGATTGCGCTGCTCTGGCCTCCAACGGAGAGCTGACCGTCGCAAATGATGGTCTTACCAAGTACAAGGCATACATCGATTCGATTGCTGCTATTGTCAAGAAGCACTCGTCGACCAAGATTGCTCTTGTAATTGAACCTGATAGCTTGGGTAACTTGGTCACCAATGCGAACGTCGCCAAGTGTCAGGAGGCTCACGATGCTTACATCAGTATGTCTACCAGAAAGTCCGTTCATGATTATCAGGCTAATATGACTAGGNNCGGTGTCGAATATGCAATCAAGACTCTGAACTTTGATAATGTCGCAATGTACCTCGATGGAGGACATGGTGGCTGGCTTGGATGGCCCGCCAACATTGGCCCGGCCGCTGATCTCTTCGCAAGCATTTACACAGCTGCAGGCAAGCCCAAGGCTGTCCGAGGAATTGCTACTGATATCTCCAACTACAACGCCTATCAGCTTGCCACAGCTCCTTCTTACACCCAGAGCAACCCCAGTATGTATTGGTACATCTTGATGCAAGAAAACATGCTTACAGTGATCCCCCTTCCAGACTTCGACGAACAGCGTTACGTCAACGCTCTTGCTCCCCTCTTGACAGCCCAAGGCTTCCCAGCACACTTCATCATCGATCAAGGACGTTCGGGCGTTCAGCCAACATCACAATTGCAACAGGGAGATTGGTGCAACGTCATCAATACTGGCTTCGGTACTCGCCCCACTACAAACACTGGCGACCCGCTTGTGGATGCAATTGTCTGGGTCAAGCCTGGCGGTGAATCTGATGGAACCTCCGACTCTACTTCTCCCAGATACGATGCCCACTGTGGATATGCCGATGCTCTTAAGCCTGCTCCCGAAGCTGGCACTTGGTTCCAGGCATACTTTGAGCAATTGCTCAAGAACGCAAACCCTGCATTGTGATCTATGCATCCAGCAACGCATCTGGAGCCGGTCGAGGCAGGGCTGGGTTGACGAACCCAGGATGAATGAGAGATTGAAGCTATGGTCACGTTCGCTTGCTTATGGATCCCTGATTGTCTGTCTTTCCCGTCCATGTTTACCCAATGTTTGGTTTGCGAATCTTCACTTCTTGATAGTCGAGTTTGTAGCCAGTCGAATTGATCTTGACATTTAAGCGGGATTTCCTTGGAAGTCAGATGCGAAGAACGTGATGTAGAGCCATTTCGAGTCATCACATCACATGGCTGCCACCTCTATCACACCGCGCAGAGCTATGCGAAGCCGATGTAAATTTTGGGAACACTTGAGGTCATTCAATGTATAGCTACATTCTAGAACCATGTTTATGGCATACAAAGATGACCAGCCATGCTTGTAACTCCAACCGGAGAATTTTTCCAGGCGAGAGCTATTCATCATGCAGGGTCAAGATATAGTCCAGATGATCGACAAGTCTGTCAGGTACCCATCGTAAAACCCCGCCTTGGTAATTTAAGCATGGTTCTTAATATGCATGCCAGACTTCGCGTGACTTGTCATGGCTACGGCCGCATGGATATGGTGACACAGACAATGCAGCCACGTTTCATCAATAGCTCGTCTCGAACTTTTGCAAATATTGATATTGACTTTGACGGAGGATGTATCGTATGGTGAAGATCTGTTTGGCGTGCTGTTCCATTGGCGGAGAATAAAGTGAGAAATGCACTTAGACGAGGTAGTTTTTGATCAGCTCCTCCTGGAAGAATGGTCTCCGGTCGTGGTCTGGAGGCTTAAAGATTTCCTCAGGCTATTCATGCTATAGCATGAGTGCAGAGTAGTGGGTCGAGATTCCATGCTGATGGCGACACGGCCCGTCCTTCCACACGAGAACAACTGCCTGGATTTTCTTAGCCACCAGCCAGCCATACTCCAAGCGAGATCTGTATGGAGCTTTAAGGACGTAAGCAGAGCTTTGCCAATATGATGTCTTGTTCCTTGATGGTCCATAGCATCTGCATTCCCTTACGATCACCTTTCGACGAGTTGAGCCATCCATTCGTTGTATACCAGGGTTCAATATGAAGATTTCTGGGAGCGGTACAGGTAGGATCCAGAAGTTTTTCCTTGTATCCTCGCGCGGAGTATACCTCCTTCGTGTCTGGGGTGCATAGTATGTAGCGGGGGCGGGGCGGCACGACGAGGGGAAGCTTATGCAAGGCCTTAATTTCACCACCTTCCTTGAGTCTCCAGCAGCCAAGCCGGATAAACTCTCAAATAAATTGATCTGTTGTTATTTTGACCAGTAAATCTAGTCACCTGGCCATCTTCCAATTTCTGGCCTCGAACGTTGCAAGCGAGCACACATACAGAGATGGAGACATGCAGGTATGCGAGTATGCTGATGGGGAATCTCGAGCGACGACAAGGCCATCTTTGCTTCATCCGGATCGTTGGCAGTAGCGAGCTTGCTGAGGGGCATTTGGTGATGCCTGCCTCGGGTGGACAGGGAGACGACACGATGCTCGCTCAGTGGATAGCAACAACAACATCCTCGAATACAAATATGGTCAGTCCATCGCTGTAGAACATTCAGATCAAACATCTCCTCAGCTTTCTTCTTCCTTATCAGCTTCTTTCACACCGATCACAATGATCTCTGCCTCTACTTTGGCAGCCCTCCTTGCTTTGGGCCATGGTGTCCTTGGACAGCAGGCTGGCACCTCGACTGCTGAGAACCACCCTCCCATGAGCTACCAGAAATGTACCACTGGAGGTCAATGCACCACTGTCAACACAAATATTGTGCTTGATGCCAACTGGCGCTGGTTGCACTCGACCAACGGATACACCAACTGTTACACTGGCAACAAGTTTGATAGCACTCTTTGCCCTAACAATGCGCAATGTGCTGCCAACTGCGCTCTTGATGGAGCAGGTAAGCAATGATCCGGTTTCTTTTCAATGTTACATACTCACCACATCTTTGTCCANGATTACTCTGGCACTTATGGTATCCAAGCCAGCGGCAACTCTGTCAGTTTGAAGCTCAAGCAGGGCAACAATGTTGGCTCTCGTGTCTACTTGATCAACGGCAACAAGTACGAAATGTTCAAGCTGAAGAACCAGGAATTCACTTTCGATGTCGATGTTTCTGGTCTTGGTAAGTGGTATGATACCTAAAGACCATAGAATCAGGAGCTGATTGGTCCAGGATGTGGTATCAACGGTGCCCTGTACTTTGTCAAGATGGACGCCGACGGCGGTCTTGCCAAGTACCCTACCAACAAGGCTGGAGCAGCCTATGGCACAGGCTACTGTGATGCTCAGTGTCCCAGAGACCTCAAGTTCATTGCCGGCAAGGTGGGTAATTTCTCTTCTTTCCTTGGAAATCATCACGCTAACTCTCGTACANNGGCAAACGTTGAGGGATGGAAGCCATCGAGCGGAGACCCTAACTCTGGAAGCGGAAACACTGGTTCGTGCTGTACTGAGATGGATATCTGGGAGGCCGTAAGAGAAACATGTGCCATCCTTCGATCCGACTCTTTACTGACCGTTTTTGCANNGAACTCCATCTCCACCGCCCTTACTCCCCACCCTTGCACCACCAACGGTCCTTGCACTGGCAACACCACTTGCGGTACTGGCGAGTCTCGCTACGACGGCTACTGCGACAAGGATGGTTGTGATCTCAACCCCTATAGATGGGGTGCCCAGAACTTCTTCGGACCTGGCAAAACTGTCGATTCAAAGGCCAAGATGACTGTGGTTACACAGTTCATCACGAACGATAACACTGCTACCGGTACACTCACTGCCATCCGCCGCCTCTACGTCCAGAACGGCAAAGTCATCCAGCAGGCCAACACCAACGTTGCTGGTATCACCCAGACCAACCAGATCACCGACAACTTCTGCAAGCAGCAAAAGGCCGTCACTGGTGACCCTGATTCGTTCTCGCAGAAAGGTGGTCTTGCAGGCTTCGGCAAGGACCTTGATGCTGGCATGGCTCTCGTCTTCTCTGTCTGGGATGATTATGATGCCAACATGCTTTGGCTTGACTCCACTTACCCTGTTGGCTCCAACAAGGTTGGTGCTGCTCGTGGTACTTGCCCCACCACCTCTGGCAAACCCGGCGATGTTGAGTCTCAGCAAGGCAATGCTGCTGTCACATTCAGCAATGTCAAGTTTGGCGCCATTGGCTCTACCTACAAGGCTCAGTAGATGGCAGGTCCCTCTTATTGACACGACCGAGTAAGACGGGCTCTCAACTCCCGACTATGATGAGATGGCAACAACCCCTTACACTCGTTCAGAAGGATGTTTCTGAGATGAAACGTACCTTTCATGTCGCTCGTTTGCATAACTTAAGGGATGAATATGCAGAAACCAGAATGTCAAAATGTTTTCCAGTATCAATTCTGTGTTCCATAATATGATAGTAGGACTTGTTGACTGTATGGGCACGAGAACACAGTTTCATTACATTTCAACAAGAGAGTAATGTATGCTGGCTCTGACCTTGGGATTGTCGCAACCAGGCTTCTACAGTCGCAGCGCGAACTATGCAAGTTGTAGCAGTGGACAGCGATATCTGAGCGCACCATCGCATCCAGTGAGAACACAGGATCATAACCTTGTGTGCCGAGCAGCTTCGAGATCCAAGAATATTGTGTCATGTAATAGCCATGTTCGGAAAGGTGTCGGCGAGGAAGAAAGATGCGGCTGTCAAGCACGGCATCTTCCATGTTTCATTGTCCGCAGTTCACCTCCGTCACTTTTCCTACACATCACACATCATCGAGACAAAATGGGCTGGTTCTGGGGAAACAACAGTAATAGCGAGAGCAAGGATGCGCTGAACAGTCTGGATCCGTCGTTGCGAGAATTCTTGGACAAGGAGTCAAAGACGCGCCAACAGCAACAGCAGCAGCAACCAACACAACTACCACAAGACGCTCCCTCATATCGCTCACAAATCGGCATCGCTGAAGACACATCACAACCCACACAACCTCAGACGACAAACGAGAATGCCGCACCGTCACAATCGCTCTTCCAAGACGGCAGATACGCCCATCTGTGGAAAAATTACCGCCCGCAAGAAGAAATCGAACAAGCCGGACGCAGCGAGAGCGAACAACTAGCCGATGTCATTGACACGTACAACGACCGCAAAGCCAGAGTTGCGCGAGCAGCACTTGAGAACTGCGCATTGGAACAATGGGCCGAGCACGAATGTTTCGAGGCTGGTGGCATCAAGGCAAAACTTTATCTGTGCAAGGAGGAAACACGCGCTTTCAATCGGTGCTACACCATGCAAGCTCGCTTCCTAAAGGCGTTGGGATATATGAGTATGCAACGTACGGCCGATGAGGAAGAGCGCATTCAGATGCATGCAGACAAACTCTACCACGAGATGCTGGATCGCGAAAAGGCTATGAAAGAGGCAGAGGAGAACAAGTTGCCGGCACCAGAGTACAAGCCTCTCATCACAAGCACATCGACGACCGAAGCTCTGGGCTCCCAACAACCGACTGCGCAAACGCAAACAACAAGAGAAGGTCTAGACATGTACACGGGAGAGAAGCGCAAAGCTATCGAGCAATCTCTGGCAGACAAGAAGGGGTCTGAGCGTGAACTCGAGATTGAGCTCATGGCTGCCGAAGCAAGAGCAAATGCAGAGTATGCTGCTGTTGTGCACGAACACTATGAGGCAGAAAAGAAGATACGAGAAAGCAGGAGAGAACGTGGTAGAGAGACTGTTGGAGATACCATCAAGAGAGCTTGGGGCTGGGACTCCGAAGTAGATGTAACCACATGCTCGTCGTATTTGAAATGAACAAGATACAGCAACGATGAATTGTCAGAATTGAAATGTCAAGTCTGCTGCATAAAAGATGTAAAGTCCGCAAACGCCGAAGGAAAGTGCAAACATGCGTCAAAGCTCTTGCTAACTTTATACGCGCGACGATAAAAGTCCTTTGAAGCATTGTCTTGATTTCTTCCTGCTCATAGCATGATGCTGTCCAAGAGCTTCTCGGAACTGTTATGGCGGCGATCCGCATTGTCGTCAGCTGCTTTCCGCTGTGCTAGAACAATCTCGACCAACAGATTAGCCTCTCTACCACACACTCCTCTGTTCGAAGCTATTAAGTCGCATGATCCAGAGAGCTCGGCCGTAATTCACTCCCTGTCAGGCCGTCAATTCAGCTATGGTTCACTCCTGAAAGACGTTGCAATCGCCAAACAACGACTTGCCAATGACGCTGGTAGAGATGCTGAAGCCTTGCAAGGCGAGCGCATCGCTTTCTTGGTCGAGAATAGCTATGACTATGTAGGTGCGCTGACCTCCTGTTTCTTTTTCTCTTTGATTTCCCCTTCTACTCTCTCCTTGTGCCCTTCTTCTTGCCGGTCCTTCTGGGTGAGACCGATTGCTGAGGCATGTGGTCAACANGTGACGCTACTCGCCATTCTAGGGACCAATGCCATTGCCGTACCGCTATCGCCTGCCTTCCCATCTGGAGAACTGAGATATATCCTCGATCAGAGTGGTGCGCTTATGCTGGCTGCCTCTTCGAAGTTTGCGACCAAGGCCGATGATGTTCTGGATGGCGAGCTCGAGAAGAAGCCCATTCTGTCGCGTTGGGAGAAGATCGTGGAAGGCAGCAAGATCAGTCAAGATGTGGTTCTTGAGGATATGAAAGAGGACAAGGGTGGCATGATGTTGTATACCAGTGGCACGACCAACAGACCTGTGAGTCTTCTCAGTCGTCGCGAAACAACCGAAGTCCTGACAATCAACAGNAAAGGAGTGCTACTCCCGCAATCCACTCTCATGGCTCAGGCAAAGTCCCTCTCCGAAGCATGGCACTACTCGCCAAACGACCACTTCCTTCACGTCCTGCCTCTTCACCACATCCACGGCACAGTCAACGCTCTCTTGACACCCCTGCTTGCTGGCAGCACTATCGAATTCCTCTTTCCCTTCACAGTCGATTCTGTCTGGTCACGACTTGCAGCACCCTTCCTTCCAGCCACATCCGAGCCGACGAANAAGCCAATTTCCTTCTTTACTGTCGTACCTACAATCTACAACAGACTGCTACAGTCACACAACACTCTTAGCCCAGAAATGCAAAAGGCAACGAAAGAAGCTCTGGACCCGAAAAACATGCGCCTGAATATCAGTGGCTCAGCAGCTCTGCCAACGCCTACAAAACAAGCTTGGACAGAGTTGAGCAATGGCAACGTACTTCTTGAACGTTACGGCATGACGGAAGTAGGCATGGCTCTTTCATGCGGTCTGGCGAACGAGGATCGAGTAGATGGAAGTGTAGGTTGGCCGCTGCCATCCGTTGAAGCTCGTCTGGTCGACCTCGACACAAAAGCCGTAATTCAGCCTGGCGAAGAACTCGATGCGAACGGAAAAGAACGTAGTGGAGAGATTCAGCTGCGTGGACCCACCATCTTCAAGGAGTATTGGAATAACCCTACAGCTACAGCAAAAGAGTTTACTGAAGACGGCTTCTTCAAAACTGGCGATGTGGCCGTTCGAAGAAATGTACCTTCTGCAGGCAAAGGCGCATCAGGAGAATGGGCACAAGGACCAATGTACTTCATCCTCGGCCGTCTCTCAGCCGACATCATCAAAGTCGGTGGCGAGAAAGTGTCAGCTCTGGAAGTAGAAAGAGAGATGCTGTCACTACCTGCAATCTCAGAATGTGCCGTAGTAGGCCTGCCATCCGAGACTTGGGGTCAAAAACCAGCTGCAGTGGTTGTATTGAGCGAACAAGGCAAGACTGCGGGCAAAGGTGGAAAAGCATTTGGTGCTATGGATTTGAGAAGAGGCTTGAAGGATAAAATGGCTGCGTTCAAGATTCCTCAAGAGTTGAAGGTGGTGGAAAGTATTCCTAGGAATGCGATGGGCAAGAGTAAGTTTTGTTTGTTGTTTCCATGAGACGGTTTTGCTGATTTGAATTGTGTGCANGTCAATAAGAAACAGCTGGCCATTCAGGTCTTCGGACCTCAAAGTTAGAAGAAGGTGTTTTCTGACCTTGCAAGATACTGGACTTCCTGCTTCAGAGGCAATGAATCGTCAAGTTGTAGCAAGACACGATGAGGAAGGCACGATGAGGCATAAAAGTCCCTGTCTGCATTTCCGAATGAGTAAAATCAACCCCTCCAATGAGAACGCCGCATAAACTCCCTGTAATGTACATTTCCAGTCGTTCTCATCATCGCTTCATATCTCATCGCATTCATTTTGCCATCGCTCTGCTAGTCAATGCATTCAAACCTCGACGCCCTCGCCAAAGACCTCGTTCTTGACCAACTCATACGCAGTCTCTCCCTCATCTTCTCCAGCATCAACATTCATACCCAAAGCCTGTCCCTCTTCAACCATCTCCTCATCATCAACTTGTTCCTTCTTGATCTCAGCAGCAAGTTTGTCAGCAGCGTATTTGGCTCTTCCGGCAGCAATGGCCTTGGCATTGTGGATTTCTTCTTCGGTCTCTGGAGTGCTGATGACTGGGTTCTTGGTCTTGGTGCCTCNTGACTCTGGCTTTGGACTTCTTTGCAGGTGCTTTGGATTCGTCGTCGGAGTGGACAGGAGGAGAAGAGCTGGCCAGAGTTACGGAGGAGGAATCAGAGGGCGAAGACAACTGTTTGCGCTTTCTGGATTTGGGGATGGTGGATTTCTTGTTGGCTGGAAGGGTGTTAGAAACAGAAGTAGTGAGGCAGAGGCAAAGGGTCAATAAAGACAAGGAGGGAAGGTGCGATAAGCAAACTTGTGAACTCAGAAACGAAAATACTCACCATTGTCACCCTCGATGTCGTTGCCAGTAGCACGCAGCTTCTTCTTGATTTCCTGGAAGCAAGCACGAGCCGAAGAACCGTTCTTGTAGCCAGCCTTTTCGGCGAGTTTGTCATAGTCAATNNCTGTTTGTAAGGTGTTATTGTCAGTTCTCCATTCTGTAAACAAGACAGTGAAAGATGAGAGGGTTGCAAGTTGAGATTGTTCGGAACGAGGTGCGCATTTGGAGGAGCGAAATGGATGTGGAAAAGAGTGTCTTACCTCAGGAGAGGTCTTCAGACATTGGAAGGCGGCAGCCAGAGCCTCGACATCGCGCGAGGAAAGTGCGGGTGCCATTGTTGTGGTTGCTTAAGGATGTTTTGGTTGAAGATGTTGAGGTAAAAGTGTGTGTGGAAGAAAGAGGAAAGGAAGAATGGCGGTGGTAGAGATGATGAATAAATACTCTGGGTCAGCGAAGGAGCAAAGAGTGTGAAAACGAAGAGTTGAAGAGTGATGAGAGAGAAGCGTAGGGAAACTGCAGTGAGAGTAGAGCGTTGCGTAAGTGAAAGTGAGCATCATCCAACGACAACAAGAAACGAGTTGCAAGTGAAGACTTTAAGCACGAAACTACGAAACATGGGTACGAGATAGTCTCGCGAACAGACCGATCGAACATCTCCATATTACGCGGTGCACAGTATCAACATCCGTTAGATGCAGAATCAGAAAGTAGACTTTTGATATTCCTCTTTGTCATGTTTTCGCAATGTGCAGTCTATCTTGCATCCCTACCCAGATGCACTGCTTGCGATGACCATGTTACCATGATGTTGTCTCCTGTTATACATCTCATGGATCGAGAGTAGAATCGCAGTAGAACCGCAAATGCTTAGACCTCCTCGAACTCCTCCTCGACGACCTCGTTCTTGACCTTGACAAAGTCCTCGTCTTCATCATCTTCCTTCTTATCTTCATCGTCGGACTTGGTGGCCTTTGTCTTGCCCTTACCCTTGGCCTTGGCCTTGGGGGTCTTCGGCTTCTTAGAAGGGGTGGATACCTCGTCGTCGTCGGAGTCACCGTCACCAGGAGGCATGACGATGGGAGGAGGGCGCTTCTTGCCAGACTTGGTGGCAGGGGTCTTAGCGGTAGGAGTCTTGGTGCCGGTAGCGTCCTGAGTGACCATCTTCTTCTTGAGGGCAGCCCAGGCGTTGCGGCCAGATCCGACGGTGAGACCAGAAAGCTGGGAGAACTATGGGTAGCCAAGTTAGTCACTGATATGTTTGAGATGAGGTGAACAATGTACCTTTTCGATGTTAAGCTGTGAAGATGTTGTTAGCGATGAACGATGTTGCATTAGAATGGCAGTACATACCTTAGGTTCACCCTCAAAGGACTGGCAAGCGGCAACTAGAAGCTTGATCTCGCGCTCAGTAAAGCCTCCGGTAGCCATCTGGTGATGTGATGTCAGTCATGTGGGTTGCGATGGGAGCAAGAGAATCATGTTACTTTTGATGATTGTGGTGAAAGTCTTTTGTTGGATGTGGATGATGTGCACGTGTAATGTGCAGAAGAGTGTAAACGCAAATGCGAATGTGTGGAGATGGTGGAAGAGAAGAAAGAGAAGTGAATGAGTGTGAAGCACACTGTTTTGTCGGATGAGTTGTTGTTAGAGACACGTCTTGGATTGGAAGCGACAGGGCTTTATGTGTGTTTGAAAACGAGATCCGAATCATTGATGTTTCGTCGGGCCTCGACGAAATCGTCTTCAACGATATGACATTCGACGGATTGGCCCTGGCAAATTGGCCGTCCTCGACGAATTGGCCATCCCCGACGAAGTGGTCCTCGACGGGATTATGAGTGAGATAACACAGCTTTATGTGGGTATAAAAACGAGATCCGAATTGTTGGTTTCATCGGGCCTCGACGAAATTGTGCTGAATGAGGTCGTCGAGGTTGCCTTTGACGAAATAGCCTCGACGTAATGGTGCTCGACAACGACTAGATTCTGGACGAAATGGCCTCAATGAGATCATTCCTGACTATGTCCGGGTCCTCACAGATATTTGCATCCTCGACGACATTCTTTCGACGATATTGTTCTCGACGAGTTTTGGATTAGGGGTTGATGTGTATCGGGATACGGGATTCGGATCGCTGGTGTTTCGCTGGACCTCGACGAAATTGTCCTCGACTCCCAGGCGAGACGTCTATATCCTCGACGAACTGGCCGCCCATTAAGGAGTGGTCCACGATGAGATTTTGAACTGAGGAAAACACGGCTTCTTGTGTATTGAAGAACGAAGTTCGAATCGTTAATGTTTTGCCGAGCCTCGATGAAATCGTCCTCAACGAGGATGTCTTCGTGGACACGTTTGGGTCCTTGGCCAATGGCCTCGCCGAGATGGGCCCTGGACGAGGTTATTCTCGACGAGATTAGAAACGTAATCGATGGGGCCTGCTAGATCGTTACTTCCGTGAATGTTAAAGCAAAAACTGACGCAATAGGTTGTTGACATCTATAATGTTATTGACTGAGTCTCTTGAATGCGATTTGGATCGTCTGAGGATACAAGTCAGGAATCATCTTGGAATCTGTGTCGAAAGTCTGGGGCCAACAAGATGATATCAAAGACATTAGCAATCATATCACGCTTGAATGATCTACGAGGAAGGAAACAAGCACAGTAACAAAGAATAACAGACGAGAAGTCTCAACGAGGCTGAATTTGCACATCGGGGTACCCACGAAGATTGATTTCTTGACCAGCAGAGTCTAAAAAGCGCTTCAAAGTTGATAAACCGAAGCGTGCATATGAGAGGAATACGTGTCAAGAACAGCGAAATAATCAAATGCTGGTTGACTTGGGTTTCCAGTACATGGCTTTTAAGCCGCAGTTGTCTCGACTGGTCCGCCAACCGCCAGATGCGTGAACAAAGCACTCGACTGTGTCATACAAGATGTACAAGTCTGCCATTTTCTGTGATCACCGCTTGACCTTCTTCAACTCTGCTTTGGAGCGACGAGTGTTGGCTCTCCTTGCCCTTTGTTCAAGATCTTTTCCTCTTGACCCAGCATGGCGGAGCACAGGCTGTAAGAAGCCGTCGTTGTGTACACCACCAACCATATAGCCATCGCTATCTTCGTCAGAACTACTTGGCTTGTCTGAGAAGCCGTCTTCGACATCACCAGCACCCTTGTTTGACAAACGTTCGGGTGGTTCTTGGACTCGTGGGTCGTACTTGTGGCTTCTTCTCATATGATCAATCAAGCGGCTGACCTTAGGAAAGACGTATTCGGAGGAAGGACAGTGTGGGCACTTGAGCGGATCTGGTGGCTGCCATCCTTGAGGATTGTGGGCCAACGCACGATGACGCTTCAACACAGGGGCAATGTCTCCTGACTGAACCAATTGTTCCTCCAGCTTCGCAATCTGATCGTTATCGTACTTGTGTGCCTTACGCATATGTTCACGCCAGCGGAAACCATGCTCAAGGGGTTGCATGTTACGAAAGCAGTTGGCCAGAGGGCATCGCCAGCTTGCAGACTGGGTGGAGCGAGAACCTGAAGCACGATTAACAGGCTCAACTTCGTCAGCAGAAGAATCTTCGTTCTCAGGCATGGTGTAGAGATGCATGTCTTCTCCAAACAGATCTCGGCATCGATGACGAGCTCGCTCAATCACGGCAGGATCCCAGCCGATCAAGCTCGCTATACCCAAGACCTCACTCCAATCCCTCAGGCCAGGTCTGCGAGTGTTACGTCGTTTCTTACCACTTGGAGATGTGGTTTGGGTTTCGGGCTCAGTTGACGATGCTCTGTTGCTAGGAGATCGCGAGCGTCTTCGGGGCTTCTCTGGCTCATATGTCTCATCTTCTCCTGAATCGTCGAAAACCACAAGATCTGTTGGACTAGATGGACGAGAAGCAGTTCCAGTGCGGAGGCTGTGTCTGGTTCGCGTGGCAGTCTGAGGCTGAGCTGGCTTTTTGGCTCGTTTGTTCGATGTTTTGCTGGACGATCTGTTGGGCGTGGAGCGTGATCGAGAGTTTGATCTTGCAGAAGAATCTGAGGTATCGCCGTCTCTTGCACGAAGCGCATGCGCCTGTCTACTCTGATGCAAGGCAAGGAGGAGTCTATCAAGCTTCGACATGACGTGGTTGACGGTCGGGTCGAGAAGAGCATGCGAGCGATCGTCATCGGCAGAAAAGACCGGACGCGCAAGGTGCTTGTCTTCAATCTTCTCGCCCTCGTCTTTGATGGATGGGTCTGGACGCGGGTCATCAAGGGTCTGTTCTTCCTGCTCAACGATGGATTGGTCGAGCGACGAGAGAGGAGGTAAATCGTCGCCTACAGACGGCGAAGAAGGAGCCGAACTCGGACCGGCCGAGAGTGAGCGAGTTCGTCCTCGTCTCACAGGAGAGTAGCGAACAGGAGTAGTAGTGGTTGCAGTTGTGACATGGTGCGACTCGGAGACATGTCGATTCCTAGACTTCCAGTCGTCGTGTGCTCGTGCGAGCATGACGGCATGCAACTGCTCTCGCAGACTGTCAGCCGGGGTAGGCTGGTTGGCGTTGCGCAGAGTGTAAGAATCGAGTCCATCGTTGGGACGACCAAAAGTCTCGTTGCCGATGGGAACAACATCAGGAGGGAGAGGCCAGGCAGTCCAGTCGGATTCGGGATACCACGGCTTCTGAATGTCCTGGTTGTCTGGTAGCCAACGACTCTTTCTGCTCCAGGGCTTGTATGACGATGGAGTTTGTTGGTTGCGCAAGCGAGCCTTCAAGTGGTGGGCACTGTACAAGTGATGGCTTAGATCGTTCGCGTTGACCTGATCGAGCGAGATGGCAAGAGAGCGATCGGTGTGGGTGTGGTGTAGCCAGGCGCGGTCTGATCCTCTGAAGCGATTGGGCCGAACGTCGACGGCGCTGGCATCTGATAATGCTGACGGACTTCTGTCGCCTCTTGAGTCCTGCAACTCTTCTATGTCTCCAGTCGCGACCCGGTGAGGTTCGTCTTCAAGATGGTCATTGTCATTGTAATCGTCGTGACCGGCAGCCGTGTCTGGAGAACCTTCCGAATGCGCCGTAAGTCCTCGATCTTCGCCGATAGTGCTGATGGAGAAGTCGCTGGCCTGGCTAGGTGAGGGCGGTCCACTTTCATCTCCGCCGCCAAAGAGAGACATATCCGACGTGGGAGTGAACGATTATCCGCTGCATGCTGGTGTTGATGTAGAAATTTAGTTTATTTGGCAGCTGCGACCGGATCCTGTACGTAGTTTGCGGGGAATGCTCGTTCGTGCACCTATATTATGTACTTTGTGCATCCTCGTCGTGACTTTCTCGTCAAGCAAACTTGTAATCGACTCAATACATCACGTAGACATCTCTCAATACTGACAAACAACTGCACATGCATCAGTCAGACCAGACAATATTAAACTGCGGTCCATACACTTATACAGCGGGGACCTGCAAGCTGATGGACGTGGCACGGTGGTCAGGCCTTGACCATCAAATTCTGACAGCTGCTCAAGTTGGACCTGCGACCCTGGGCATCTGAAACCACGTCCAAGTCTCCAAGATCATCTCTACCTCTGCTGCCCCTACACAGATAGACTCTCTCGGAGTCACTAGAGGAGCATATCGTAGCAATCAAATTCGATCATCATCACCGTCGCGTCAGGTTCAAGTGGTGCTACGAATTCGGTTCCAAACATTGTGAGTGAAGCTGCATCACGTCGTCTTGGAACTACATCCGACCCAGACAGACTCTGAATGCCATTGAACTCTTTCGATAAAGTGCACAAGCGGTGATCTGCGTCCTATGCGTCGTATCACTGTAGGCATAATCATATCATGTGGAGATGAGACTGACAATTTGAATATTGAAGCACAAGATCTTGACGATGCGTATCGGTCACGAAACCTTATGTTGACTTCGAATCTTCTTTTGACCGAATCAGATAAGGCGATGATCAGACTGTGGACCTTGCGCAAACTGCTGAACCTTGCGAGAAGGGCCAGTCTATGTCGACGCTCGCTTAGAAGAGGACATTCCCCTCGGAACTCCTTGAGATGGAAGATCGTTCATATTCGCTTGTGAGAAAGGTTGTTGTTCAAGATCGAGACTGGACATCGACAAATCTGAAAACCATCTAACGGACGGCGCCGACGAACAGCGCCGAACGACTTTGAGGAATCAAGGTTTCGAAAGACGACAGCGACAGTAGCGTTTTCTCGGCTCCCTGCATAATCCCAGATATCTAGCTTGCATGGTTACAACTGCTGTGTGAGCTTGTTCGTTGCAAGTAATAAATTGGAGATGCCACCCGGTGGGTTCATTCTGGACCGAGGTACTCCGTTAAGATAGTTAAATACCTAGACAAAGGCTCGCGGAGCCGGGCTCTGGCGGTCACACCGTCGGTATACTTTTTGGTTTTGAGTTCTCGCTCCCGTGAGTCCAAGCATGAGCGACGGCGCAACCGCGTAATACGATATTTGTGACTTCTGTGCTCCACGCATGATGCGGTCAAAGCACCAAGGTTCGTTCGGGCGGTCTCGGATGGCACATGGTCATAATTGTATCTCTCTTGAGTACTCGAATATGCTTTTGAGCGTCCCATCGTACACCCTTGGGTGCTTGTTTCAGGTTCTCGTATGGTTCTGTTCGGCCCCATTTCCACATGGCATAAATGTCATGGGTAGAAGCTTCTTTCTCGAGTTCTCCAGAGGTGCCAAGGATGAATCCTTCCCGAGAGCTCAGCCCTAAGAAGAGGGTCGTAAGGGGTAATTGTCGCATCTACTCCTTACAAAGCCTTTACGGTGGTCCAGTCGAGAAAACTAATCTTGAACCAAGCTTGAAATAGTTAACCGACCAGCACAACAGCTTGTTTCTCTGGCCCGGTTAGCTGCATCTGAAATAGGTACAAACGCCCGCATTCTGATGGAAGTGGCAGAGTGCCAGAATTCCACTGATGCTAAGCCGTTTGAATTCGGTACTTGAGGAGAACCCGGACCGATACGTAGGCGGCTCCCGGATGGACTGCAGGTTGTGTGCTGCAGACATCCAATTCCTCTTTGGGATTTGCGCTCGTCCCAGGAGGTACATCGATGGTTGTATACCTCTTTTTGCCTCTGTCTGCTTCGGAGCCAGCAGGAACAGATATGCACCGTGGAAGCACTGTCATCCGAACGTTGAATTTGGGAACTACAAAACCAGCTTGGACTTTCGAAGCAGCCAATCCCTTGCCGCCAGACACCGTGGATCGCCGACATCACGCTATTGTGAGCATCTTTTCACGTGGCCGATGCCCCGTCGGGGAGGGATGTGGCGGCCTCCCGGATGCGTGTCCGCAGCGTCCATGACACACCACGCTTGACCTGGATACCAAAAACGTCTTGCTTGCAAGTCTGGATCTCTTCGAATATGCAGCCATCAACAGCACCATTTTCTGAAAGAGATGCTACATCGTACTATGTTCGCATCCATCTCAAGTTGCATGCCGTCGTTGCTGACGCGTCGTAATACTACAACGCTTGCAAGTTGCAAGTTGAGTCTTTCTGAGCTAAAGGATTGTCTTGTAGATCATGTTCATTCCAGCCTTACCGGCTCGTGACTGGATCTAGACTTGGGGGTGTGCGACTTGCTGCTTCATCTGAATAGTCGGCTTGTCCATTCTAAGTCGTTCCGACAACCACAGATGTCAATGGTGGCTGTGTCTTTTTTTTTTGCAGCTAGAGGAACTCGAGTCCATCAAGGAAATCCACTACAAGGGATTGGTCTCCCCAAACCTACCGGATGTCTCTAATTGTACCAGTAACGCCATCTTTCTAGGTTGTCAATTGCATGTACGCAGGTCATGCATATGCGAAAGCCATACATAGAAGCGTTTGGCGCGCCCGATTTGACGTCAATGAGCAGGTATCATAACGGACCGAAGCTAGGTTTGAGGAGATCAGGTTGATAACGGCGTGGATAGAGATGTGGTGAGATGCTCTTAGCGCAACGCTGCTTGAACTTCTGCAGTCTCCCGAAACTTTCGATACCTCTTGTCCGCGCAAGGGATTCGCAAAGGTGCAATCTAAGTTAACTTAAACACCGATCCCAGCTACCCAAGACTCCATTGCCATCACTCCATGTGTGCCTTGTTTCAAGGAGCAAATTGGGATCCCTCGGACACTACACACTTGGCTTGCCCAACTTTCAAGACTGTACCTATAGATTCGTGTTCGTCGACATTTTTATTCGAATTGATTCGATCCTGCTCTGCAACCTCCAACAGTCTCAGCATTGGCACGACCCCGCTTCAAACGCCCGCGACACTGCCGCTGTCAAAAGACATTTCATTGCATGGGCTACCCCATGATCTTCGAGACTTCCAAGTCATGAGTCGTCAAGCTGTATCCACAAGCCCTCCTACGCAACCGAGACAGAAAGCGCTTCCAGGTCCGGCACCAGGGTCCAGTCCTTCCAAATCACAATCATCTGGATCAAATTCAGACGTCGATTCGGCAATCGGTGAACCACGTCGACGAGGCACACGGCAATCGAAACCGAGATCAAGAAACGGATGCTGGACATGTCGACAGAGAAAAGTCAAGTGCGACGAGGTTCGGCCGATCTGCGCCTCATGCAGTCGATTAGGGAAAGACTGCGAATGGGGCCAGAGATGGAAATTCGACGATCTGAGTGTTCGCACACGGCGGAGGCACAAGCACGTGTCAACCACTGGAAGCCCATCATGGGATGAAAAGAATCCATCACGCATGATGGCTCGTCAACTGTACACCAGGCATCAACCTACACTACCAGCATTCACCGCACTCAGCAACGAAGATGAAAGAGAAAGAAAAGCACTAACACAACCTCCCGGAACCTTCAATGTCATCCTCACACCGGATAGTTTTGATCGGCTACCAGAATATGGCGGACTTATCAGACGATATCGAAGTGGAAGCGGGTCTTCCAGATATGGCTTCTCAGAAGACCCCAATCTTGTCGTTCTTTCCGAGTTCGAAGATACACCTTACTTCATGGCTCTTCCCGAACGCAAACCTTCCTTTGCGACTTACCCAACCCCAAACTCTTGTGCATCTTCAGCCCCTCGAGACCTTACGAATCATGGTACCGCAGACATCGACGAAGTCATGGCACATTACAAAGAGTTCATATCCAAAAGGATGATGCCCCTTGGATCAAGGTTCAAGCTGAATGAACACGGTCATGAAGATGTCATTGTTCAAGAATCACGATCCTTCCCACCTGTAAGTTCTACTCGTCCTCGCTGGAGCTTCCCATACTGACATACAACCAGNTTATATCACGCAATCTGTGCAATCACATTATTGAGTCTGGCGCTCAAAGGACAGCGACATCTCCTCGCAGGAGCCTTTCAACACTATCAACAAGCCATTGCAGCATGTATGTCAAGTACAAATATGTCACAAGGCGCTTTTGTATATCTTCACTTCATTCTTCTCTTATACGACATCTGTTGCGCGACTGAGAACTGTTCTCCGGACGGCATTATGTGGTCACAACACTTTCAACACCTCGCACGACTAGCATACTCCAGGGACTATTCTGAGGTGAACGAGCTACAAGCCTATGTCCTTTGGTATACCCTTTTCCTGGATGCCCAGTCTTGCCTTACTGGAAACTCAGAGTCTGGATTCTTCGTCCGAGCATATCTGTTGCATGGTTCAAATCTGCCGGTTTGGCGCAGACCAGAGAGCGTGATACAGCAGCCAACCCTTGAGACAGCAGGTTTGACCGCCGTTTGCGAGCTCAGCAAATACATGTGTGGCCGCTTTGCTGAATTGAGTCAGCTGGCATTGCAAATGCGAGAAGACGTTGAAGTTGGCCGTGGTAGCATCGCAGAACATCAAGAGGCTGTGATGACATTCAGGAATGAGTTGTCCTCCACCTACAACATAAAATACCCGGCTTTTCTACCTCGGGATTCACCAGAAGCAGGAACAAGACTGCCAGCTCTTGCTCGGACAGTATTTGATTTTGTAAGTGTGGACATTATTTTTTCTTTTTTTCTTTCACATGCCCGGGCAGAAAATTTAATCCTGCAGCATAGGATGCTAACAGTACTTTCANNGGCATCTCTCCAATATTCTACCGCCATGGTATATTTGCACACCAGCATGTATCGTGGCCAACGCAACCACCTATCGCCTACCCAACGCAAGGAGGTTGCCAACCATTGCCGTCACATTCTCGCCATGGCTGCATTGGTGGTTGCAGANAAAGGCACTGAACAACATCACATCATTCTCTCTGTCTTCTTGGCCGGCGTCAACAGTGCCAATGACCACGATAAGAATCGTGCCATTGGCATCATCCGCGCCATGGAAGGTACCGGCATCAGCTGTAACGTCACCAAATCCCGCGAGCTGCTCGAAGCAGTGTGCGCGGAACAGAGAGAAAGAGTCCAGTTCGCCGGCAGCGCTATTGACGTTGACTGGGTGTCTTTTGCCAAAGAACGTGGTATTAGACTTGTAAACATGGGGCTCTAAGTCCTTTGTACGATTAGTATATGGCTTCTTTCTATTCTTGTATATAGTATTGGCTTTGGGGTAAGGGGGGATTTTTTCTTTTGGTGGAAATTTATGATACCCTCAAGGCAGGCGCATTTGGTAGGCGCTGTTTTCGTTAGATACCGTTGACATCAATGCCGTTGACGAGTTTTGCAGTGACCATGCTCGTTGCGTTGCCTTCTTGGCCTGCCTTTTCTTCCTTTTTGGTGACTTCGACCTCTCTCAATCTCTTGGCTTCCTTTTCTTTTCGCTCGCTGTGTCGGTCACCGAATAGATCAAAGTGCTCTCTCATGACGAGAGTGTATTTGAACAATTCCTCCATGACATCGACAACTCTATCTCGATTGCCTGAGGGTTTGAGTCTGCTTCCACCTTCTGCCTTGATGAAAGCGTCATGATCTTGTTCGTCAAGTGCGTCAGTAAATTGAGTATATGCCATGGGCACTGAAGATTGGTTAGGAATTGCGAACATGCGCATCCATCGTCCGAGAACACGGAGAGAGTTCACAGTGTTGAATGATTGTGACCCGCCAGAGACTTGTGCAATTGCCAGAGTACGTCCTTGGGTCGGCCTCACCGAACCTGTACTCAACGGAACCCAATCGATCTGGTTCTTAAACACTGCTGTNNCTATTGCAGTCGTTAGTAGAGGATCTATCTCGTTCTTCAGTAAGTCACTTACGAGGTTACCATGTTGTTCAGGAGAAACCCAGACATGGCCATCACTCCATTTACTCAACTCGCGAAGCTCTTGCACTTTTGGATGTTGATGTTGAACATCATCCTTAACCGGCAAACCAGAAGGATTGAAAACACGAACATCAGCACCCAAACGCCACAGTATGCGCGAGCATTCAAAAGCCAACAATCTCGAGTAGGATCNTGATAAACATCTTATCAGCAATCATGACTCACAACCGTCAAAAAAAGATCAAGATGGATCTAACCTTTCCCGCAAACTGCCATACAAGACCAAAATCTTAAGTCTGTTGCCACCAGTCTTTGCCAGATCTGCTTCTGACATTTTCAAAACTGTGCTGAGTTCGGATTGGGAGATCCAATCGCTGTTTGCCACTTCTGGACTTGAAATGAATGGTCGGTATTTTGATCTGATTCCTGCATCGTCGTCTTGTTCGGGGATTGCCAGTGTTTTCCCTGCATAAGCTGGATCTGGGACCAGGAAATTGGTTTCTCGCATGACTTCGGTGTTGTTCAGGTCGCCGTGAACGCGATTGCCAGCCATGATGGAGTATTGACGTAGTTGTAACCTATGGTATTGTCGTTGTGATACTTGCGCCCGGTAGAAAGCGCGAAATGTAGGAGTTGGCGTGTTTTTCAGAAACAGCAATCTGCAAACCAGCATTGTTTTTGTTGGAAAATGCAATTGCCCTTGACGGACGATAACAGGGCCGTGGCATCGACGGGTACTATGTAACCGCGTGCACAGATTCCGGCATGTCACTGCCAAGACAGCAGATCACGGCACTGTGACATCGCGGCGATGGCGATATCTCGTACCGAATTACGTCCTTTCCTTGATATCCTTCTCTCCACCACTCGCTTGCACTCCCGCATGGGACGTGTTGCGGGGAAGGAACCGGTTTGATGGGATTGCGTGAGGCTTCACTTGCTCTTATAATAGTCCTGCATCCTGTTTGATATCCCCGAGAAAGCCGCCATCTCGGCTTCTTGATTTGCAACAACAAAAGACAAATGCCACAATCGTTTTCCAATCCACCTTCCGCTTCTGCTCACAACTCTTTAAGGTCTTGCAAGCCGTCAAGCTGTTTCCAACCTAAGCTCTACACATTATCAATCCTGTCCATGTGATAGCTTTGGCTGTCTCAAGGACAAATCAACTCACTCTGAGGTGTTATGCAAAGCGGATTGCGCTGTAAGTTGATGAACCACAGTTAAGTTGGTGTAAAGGATCCGAAGGTGGACTGGAAAACGATTGTATCTGAGTATACTCGATCTGACCGTAACTTGACGCGAGTCAGAGGAATTCTTGCAGAGGTCACATTGTTGCATATGTTCCGTAGTGAGGCCGCCATCATTGTTTGCATGAGCTAAGCTATTACATTCGGTATCTACTTGGACCAGCCTGAGCCGTTTCGATAGTCTGTTTAGTTGTCATCGTCGTCGTCATCTTCATCATCGTTGTCCTCGTTTTCTTCTTCACCGCCATCAAGTTCTTCGTCATCGCTGTTTAGAGAATCTGGATGGTCGTCTGGAGGCGGGACATAAGTACGCTTCGACAGCTCTTCCAACCAATCCGCCATGCTCGTGCCTGGTCCAGCGTAATGTTTTGCTTCTTGTGTCAGTCCAGATATGTCCTCCTCACCGGCCCCGACAGGCTTGAAAGAGCAAACTTCTTCTATGTCAAAGGGTGCTCTACCACAATGTATTTGCGAAGAGTGTCCTATGAGGACTGATTTGAGTCTGAGACAAGTCTTCTGGCTTAGCGCGGTTGCGAGGTCATGAAGTAGTGCCTGCCAACAATCTTCGGGGTCGCTGGCTGATGAGGCGTGAAGCTTTACTTTCCATAGGCTGAAAGACTCTAGGTCAAACTTTGTGAGCACCTTCAAAAGTGTTGCAGCTGGGATAGTGAGCATGCCCAGTTCGAGAGCAGTCAGATGAGGCAATGCAACGGAGTTGGTTGCTGGGCTAGAAGCTGGGGATCCGAGCCAATCCAGGAAACCAGAAGCAAAGGCTTGACTCGGTTCAAAGTTCAACCTCAAAGTCTCAAGTTTTGGGGTGCGTTGTAGCAGTCGCGCGAGGGGAAGATTACTGGCAGTGTCGGACTTGGTCGGTGCAATTGTCCTGTGGTAGTAGTAGGGCGTCGTGTCGTTGCCGATGGCAAACATCAACTCCTTCATGTTGCCCAGTACGGGCCTGACCTTCTCACCCAAGTAGCCGTCCATGATGTTGAAAGATTGTTGGGTAAGCATTGAACGCTTACGCAGGAACACGCGTATGCTCTCCGGCACAACTTTGGCATGACCAAGAGCGTAGAACAGCACAGGCAAGATAGGCTCTGGAGAGATGGTCTTGAGTCCACGCTGGCTGTGTCTGTTGTCTGCGTCGTAAGCGGGCAGACCGTCCCAGCCAAAGGACCAACCCCAGCTTTTCCATGTAGCGAACTCTCCATCGCGGTAACGGCCCAGTCCATTGTAGTCCCGCAAACCCACGATGCGCAGGTTTGGCAATTTGGAAAAGGCTTCAGTTAACATATGGAGAGCCTGACCAGATGCCATGAGGACGTCATGATCAACATAGCCAGCCTTGTACATGGCCTTGCCAGATAGAGAGATCATCTCTGGGTCTGAAGGAAAGACATGGGTACTGATGACAACCTCAGAGATCCGAGAGGCGAGGGTTGGATGGTTGGAGATATCGATCAAAGCTTGAAGGCTGATTTGTTCGAGCATGAACTGCTTTTTGGTGAAAAATTCGCGAGCGAAACTGTCAAACAGGACGGCTTCGATGTTCTTAGAAGTGAGCCTGAATTTGCCAAGTTCAGAGGTGGTGAGGAAGGCTGAAACACGCAATAGCAGCTCGGGTGGCAAGTCTAGTAGAGCCATGGTGAATGAGTAGATGTTTGGATGAATTCAATGAGAAAGTCTGCGGAGTCACTGTATATCAAGACTCATGGAATGAGCAAGTGACTTGGAAGGAAATGAATGGTAGGCTGAAATGGCGTGGCGCGCGTGGTCCTGAGGCAGCAGCGGGCAGCAGCGTCGCACCTTTCTCGCCAAGCTCGCCGCTTCTGCCTGCTATTGCAGTTCAATGCGAGTCAACTGATCCTTCAAATAAATAGACAACCCTTGGGCCTCTGCAATCAACGGACTCAGTCTCTCATCACTGTACCGACAAGCACAATTCAGTCATCACCACACCACTACTGACTATCACAACCACCGTTATGAATTACGCTAAGCTCAAAGTCGCCGAGCTTAAGGAGCTACTCACCCAACGCGGACTGTCGGCTACAGGACCCAAGAAACAACAGCTCATTGACGCCCTTGAAGAAGACGATGCCGAATCAGGCGAATCACCTGAACAAGGTGACGCTGAAGAGGAAGAAGAAGAACAAGTCGAAGTGCAAGCAAAGACAACTGGAAGTACACGCTCGTCTACAAAGAGAAAGGCGTCCTCACCCGCGCTAGCTGGCCCCACTTCCAAACAGCCNAAAAAGGCAAAGGCAGAACCCGTTGCTGCCGACACTCCAACAGATACCAAGTCTGCTCCTAAGATCACTGAAGCTCAATTCGCACCAGCAGGAGCAAAGCTCGATATTCCTATCGATGACGGTGTCTTTCCCTCGTGGCATGTCTATGTTGATCCTGACACCGGTATAATCTACGATGCCTCGCTCAACCAGACCAATGCTTCCAACAACAACAACAAATTCTATCGTGTTCAGGTATGCACCCATCCTCTCCCGTGTGCTGATATCACCCAAACACAGCTGCCGAAATGCACAATACTTTCCTAGCAGCAGTAATGTCCACAGAGATAGCCCAAGGCAACCTTCTCTCTCTGGACAACACCTCTTTCTGAATACCATTGTGCATTTCGGCAGCTCAAAATATCCATAGATGTTGACAAGGGAGTGCTAACTCATATTGTANNGCTCTTAGAGAACTCATCGGGTAACTACCAAACATGGACTCGCTGGGGTCGCGTTGGCGAACATGGACAAACAGCCATGCTCGGCGACGGCTCACTCGAAGACGCTTTCAGTCAGTTCGAGAAGAAATTCAAAGACAAATCCGGCCTCAAATGGGACGACAGAGGTGAAAAGCCAAAGCCAAAGAAGTATGTCTTTGTCGAACGCAACTACCTCGCCGACGACGATAACGAAGCTCCCGCTCAATCTGGTGCCTCTCCTGATGGCGATGAAAGTGCTGCATACACCCCACCCAAGTGTACCCTGGAACCACCTATCCAGTCACTGATGGAGCTCATCTTCAATCCCAAATACTTTGCCAATACAATGCAAGCCCTGAACTACGATGCCAACAAACTGCCTCTTGGAAAGCTCAGCAAAGCCACCATCACCAAAGGCTTTGAGATTCTCAAGGAGCTGTCGGCTTTGATAGGCAATGCATCAGTCACTTTCAGCGATTTCGAGCAACTCAGCAACCAGTACTACAGCTACATCCCTCACGCATTCGGAAGAAACCGCCCACCGATCATCCGCACACTCGAGATGCTCAAACCAGAGATAGAATTGCTGGACAGCTTGAGTGACCTCAAGAATGCAGATGAGATCTTGAAGAAGGCCAAGGAGACGGCCGGTCAGGTTCACCCTCTCGATTCGCGCTTCCAAGGGCTCGGCATGCAGGAAATGCAAACTCTTACGCCATCCAGCTCAGAGTTCTCCGAGATCAGCCAGTACCTCAACAAGACGTGCGGTTCTACCCATCACGTTAAGTACGAGGTGCAGGACATCTTCCGCATCCAGCGTCAGGGAGAGTTCGAGAGGTTCGACAAGAATGAGTTTACGGTCGGTAGTGACCGTCGTCTCCTGTGGCATGGTAAGTTCCCGAGCAATGGTAATCTCATTGCAACAAACACCGCTAACTATCATTGANNAGGAAGTAGGGCATCAAACTATGGTGGCATACTTAGTCAAGGTCTTCGCATCGCTCCACCAGAAGCGCCTGTCAATGGTTACATGTTCGGCAAGGTGTGTTGTTGTTAACCTCAAAAACCAAGCTTATGCACTAACCCATACAATAGNGGTGTTTACCTGGCCGATATGTCCAGCAAATCCGCTGGATACACCTGCTCATACAACTCTGACGGACATGCTCTTCTCCTCCTTTGTGAGGCTGAATTGGGCAAGCCAATGCAGACTCTTACGGGTGCTAGCTACCAGGCGGCCGAGACTGCCAAAGATATGGGTGCCTTGTCTACATGGGGTCAAGGCAGAACCGCGCCCAAGGCCTGGAAGGACGCTGGATGCATTCACCCCTCTCTCACTGGCACAATCATGGTTTGTTTCTCTAACCCGAATTTTGANCAGAACCTTTTTACTGACTTGCTGCAGCCGGATACCACTCAAGACCCTGGCGATACCAATGTTGCTGGTGCTTATCTTCAGTACAACGAGTACATCTGTTACGATGTCGCTCAGATCCGCCTGCGCTACCTCTTGCGTGTGAAGATGTGAGGCTCCTGATAAGAGAGAGAAGAAGAGTCGTTTGCTAAGCGCGGCGTTGTGGAGTTCGAAAGAAGGACCATCAATGGGGATGGGCTAAATATTTTAATCCTCAACCTTTAGTATATTGCTTTCAGCCAATATAATTATAAAAAGTTTGCTAAGCAATGAATGCTTGAACACCCGCTCACTACTAGACAAAATGCGAACGTGCTCCAGAACCTGCCAAGTGACCTTGTCGACGCTAGGGTCGCGGCTCACTTTACTGGTTTCCTTTCTGCCAAAGGCCTGCTTCATAGGAGACGCAAAGGTTTCTTGTGTCGTCCAGTCATGCGATCGAATAGCGATGTCTGGTTGCTCGGCGTCTTGGGCTCTATCTGAACCTCTGGTCTAATATCTGGTTTGGTCTCCATCTTAGTCTCTGCCTTGGCTTCGCAGGTGACGATGTCTTGTGGCTGATCTGCTGTCTCCACTGCTGCAGGAGCTGTCGATGTGATCTCATTGCGCTTTGACAGATTTGTCCCTCTACTGATACGCTCGGCAAGCATCGATGCGAATACTTGGCTGATCATGGGAATGCATGGTTCCTCAGGTGAAGCCATGATTTTGCGAAATGCGAGGTCGGCTAAGTACTCGAAGTCGTGTGCGTTTGCCCAATTGGCCGTCTTGATAAGGAGTTCAAAAGTGTGGCGAAGATGGACTGAGATATCCATAGGATTGATGCTGATTTTGGCCTTCTTCGTGTTCTCTCGGAATCGTGCGACGAAAAGTTCAACGCATTCGCTCGCGGTAAAATCTGGGTTGGCAACAGATCAGTATCTCTCTTTCAAGAGGGTTGTGGGTAGCTGGGGATGTTTACCTCGGAAGTTGACTGTGTCAGGGAAGCGACTCGAAAGACCAGGGTTCTGCGACAAGAGTGTATTGATGTCTCCGTCATAACCAGCCAGAATGACAATCAAACGTCGACGAAATCGAGGCTTAGTGACCTATCAATATCACACATCGGTTATCGCCGGGCGTGCTTTGAACTTCGGCCACAAGGGTGTCAATCACAGCAGCCTTGTACCCGCCACTGTTTGAGCCGGCTTTGTTCTCGTTTAATCCATACGCCTCGTCTATGACCAGCACCTTGCCTGCGGTTGAGGTCAGAATCCCCTTAGTCTGTTGTTCGGAGTGTCCTATGGCAGACCCGATGAAATCGGATGGGTTGATCGTTATCACCTCGCTACTTGAGAGAAACCCCATGTCTACCAGTATCTGACCATACAGCTTTGCGACACTTGTCTTTCCGGTTTCAGGCGAGCCGAGGAAGACTTTGTTCAGACTGAACTCCAAGATGGGCTTCTCTCCAAGTTCTCTGTGATAGTTGAATTGCGATACTTCGATAAAAGACTTGACTGAACGTTTGACTGCATCCAGACCAATCATGTCTTGCAGTTTCCTCCAGGATGAATTGTCTGTCAGAATTGTGTCTGGCTCCGGTCCGATGAGATCAGTCTTGGTGAGTTCCATGTCGATTGTCAAGGCGCCCTCGCGTCTTTCCAATGCCAGCCTCTTGGCTTGTCTGTCGGTAATTCTCGAGAATGTAGCTTGAAGAGTGCGAACATTACCAAAGCCCTCACGTCCGCGTCCATATCCAACACGACGAGCCACAATACGGCAGTAAAGCCCATCGAGCCCGCCATCGACGAATGCTTTACCATTGGAGTGTTTGCGGATCTGTTCTTTGAGGATATGCAGCAACTCGGCGTCTGTGTAATCTTCGAAGTGGAACTGATACGGAAACGGCTGGAAAGACCTGGACTGTGAGCAGAGAGCTTTTCCATCTGCTTCTTGTAACCAGCAAGGATGAAGATAATCTGGCCAGTGAGGTTCTCCATTTCGGGCAAGAGGAAATCGAGGATATGTCCACCTGTAGCTGCCAATTGATGTGCTTCATCAATCACGACGACACCTCCACCAACAGCTTTGATCTTGTCTAGATCAGCGATTAAATTACCCACACCACCAGCAATCAAGCGGGCAGCTGTAGTCTCTTCGATACGACTTCCTAGAACTAGGCTCATGGATACCAGGAATTCTGCGTAAAGGCGTCCAACAGTAGTTTTCCAGTGCCAGGATTTCCAACAAGGATTGTGCCAAATCTTTCACTTCGTAGACTGGTGCCCTGACGGCGACTGGTGTCTACTCTGGTCATGATGTTCAGGAATTGTTCTTTGACGGCCTCGAGACCGGGCATGGTCATTAACTCATCGATGTGCTTATTGCTGGCGTTTTCGGTCTGCTTGCGACGCTCCCATTCTGTCTTGGATGGTGAACTCAACGTCCATGAGGCGGTTGATGCTTGCATTGGTGCTCATGCGAATGTCGATGGTCTTGACGCCCGGTAAATCCTTTGCAGATGTGACTGTTTACTAGGCTCTTTTGAGGATGGAGCTTGTCAGTTCATGCGTTAGGTGTGATTTTTGAGCAGGTGGAATGCTTGGAACGGTTCGAAGTGTGTGATGATGGTTGTTTGTTGCCGAATGTTGCTTCCATCAACGAGTGAAGGGATGAGGATTGTTTGACTCACATACTCAACGCAGTCGTGCTTTGTCAAAGTGAGAGATGAGCGAGACTTGCTAGCCGAAGACAACACCGCGAAGTTGTTAATATTGGAATGTAAGGGGTCTGAGGCTATACTTATCCTTTGTTTTTGATCTCACAGTGACATATGTGTGGTCTCAGATGACTCAGGCTGTTGGTTGCTAAGGCCTTGGGACATCACTTACTCAAAGCAACATACTGAAGAATGAAACTTGAAAATGTTTAGCCCATTGATGTCTTTCAGTCTCCCCCCTCCCTGAGTCTTAAAGATATAACTGCTACGGTCGGAGTACCGTAGCAGAGGGTAAAATACACGCTATAAAAATGCACAATTCTATCCAGGAATAAGGATATAGCCAAAGAGAGCTGATGAGAAATCGCTTCTCAGTGGACACTGTCCTATTTTCTGATAGTATTGTGCATTTTTATAGCCACATGCGTTACAACTTTTCGCACATGGGAGGCCAGCTTCAAGCTTAGCAAGTTGTTCTCTCTCCTCTCTTCCTCTCGAAAGCTGGCATTGACAGAGACAACTGGGTATTCTGGTCGAGGATGGTAGCGAAGAAGATGATTGAATTAATTATGTAGTGGTGTAGTGGCATGCCGCCTGCTCTGCTTCGCTTCTTTTGTGAGGCATGAGTATGGCAAGATCCATTTCAGTACCATTCGTGTCCCTCCTCTCCCTTGTGTTCATCCTTGGGGTTGAGATTCAAGATTCTTTGCCCAGGACCAGTATCAGCACTCTGACTTTCGAAAGTACCCGAAACAGCTCTTGTACCGATTGTGGTCAAAGAATCATAGTTATCGATTGCACCGGTAATCGCCGCCCACTCGGGACTTTCGGGAGAAGAGCCGTCTCCAAGATCACTCCATCGCGTCACCACAATGGCATGTTTAAACAACTGTCTCGGGTCTTTTTCCGTTCTGTCCTCGGCCAACTTGACCTCGACCAAGTACTCTGTCGGACATTGGGGACATCTGCGCATCGGCCGGCATTCTGAGCATAGCGTGATGATTGCGTTCGGAGTTGGTCGTCTACCAGCAACCTTTGCCAAACCCTCATGCAGTGACTTTTCCGGCGGTACTGGCAGATGACTCAATGCGCATTTACAGATCTTCATCAATAGACCATCTCTCCAGTGTGCGCAGACGGAGAAGTAGGGCAAGTAGTCTTCACGACTGTAGAGAAGCATGCGCTCAGCAGCTGGTGTCAAGCCTGGTTTTGTAAAGGCAGTACTTTGAACACGCATCAGGAGATGTCCTTTGAAAACAAAGTAACGAGAGCTGTGAGTCCATCTAGGTTCATACGGTTCTCTCCAGAGACGCGCCATTGTCGTTGCTTCGATGCCGTGGTCTAGACCGTATTTCTTGCCTCTCAGAGCCAGTTGAACGAACGTGTAGGGAAGTGTTCGGCCTGTTGTGATGCGGATTCTTGGTTGAGGCATGAGGTTGTTGGTGGCATGTGGACATGTGAATAGAGGATTGAGTACGCTGGCAGGCTTGAGTTTCTCCTCGCCTTTCTGTGTCCGTAGATGATATTTGTTGCAGACGAAGCAGAAAAGGTGATTCGGTAATTTGTCTTGACATCTGTGCAAAAACTCGAGTCTGTATGCTGCATTGTTGGGATGATTGATGGTCTGGAAACAAGAGGATCCCACACGGTCCAGCAAAGTTTTGGACGAGAGAGCAAGGCAGGCGCGATCAATCATTTCCAAACGCTCTGCAATTTGATTCCACAATTGGGGCGACAGACTAGCAATCTGCGCTTCACCAGGCGGCCGATTCGGATCCAATTCATACTTGTTCAAGATTTCTGTCACAGTGTCGAACGAGTCGTGCGCAAGACTGTGCAGCATCAAAGTGCCATCCAGAAGCTCTCCAGTCTGTTTGTCGATTTTAGGACCAGTCTCTCGCGCTTCTCGGATACGTTCGGCTTGTGTTTTGAAAGGAACGACTTGAACAGAGTCCTGCCTCGAATCAAGGGAAGCTCTTTGTGAGCTTTTGCGCCCCGACGCTACACTCTCGCCAGCGCTGCTCTTCCTTCGAGGAGTGTTTGTGTCGTCGACTGATTTTCTACCAAATGTAGAGCGCAGTTTGTCCCTGAGGCTTCGACCGCTCTTGCCTGAGCTCTGTACGGCAAGGTCGTCGGTCATGTTGATGGTTGGCTTCAGTCGTATCAATCCTTTGGTAGCTTTTGCTGGAGCTTCGCGATCTCAAAGGCGATGCGCCCAGTAGATTGGATCTGATATGATTTGACAAGAACTCTCCCCTACAACGGTATGTATATCAGACAAGACAAGTTTGATCCAGGTCACCTTTGCTGACTGATGTTTTTTCGAAACCGCTTCACTATTATGACGATGCACACCCGCGAGGAGCCGCGCCGAGCTCACGCCATGGTCAAAGTTTCGAGCGGACCCGTTTCCAGCCTAATCTCACGTCTCACCACCACAACAGACATCATCACAATTCATGCACGAATGAATACCATAGGAAAAGATGATGTTGGATATCGTACAGCTTTGGTTTGGCGGAAAAAGGAAACTAGTCTAGAAAAATGTACAAATTCACCAAGAAGCTTTTGATATAATCTAATCGACCAGAAGGCTCTGGAGTCTGGCTTCGGTAGCAATAANCCTGGATGTTAAGTCAGTATATGGCAACAAGGATGATGAAGAGACGCAAAAACTCACGTCGATAGCCTGCTTAGTCTCCAAAACTCTTCTGCACTCTGCGACCCAGTCCTTGCTCAGGACACCGGCCCAACCTCCGAGAGAGTTCATCTCTCTAGCGGCACCATCAATATCACCCTCCTCAAGGAAGACCTGAGTACGGCTCAAGACAGCCTCAACATCGTCACCCTCGGGCATACCGGCACCTTGCTTGTTGAACATGAAACGAGAAAGGACGGCAGAAGCGGCGTGGGAAGCGATACCGGCATCTTCGGGTAGAAGAGCAGCCTTGCGAACCTCGGAAGCGACACGACGGAAACGATCGATCAGGTGAGCAGAGCTGGGGACACCGCGTTGGTATGCGGTAGGGGGGATACTGGCAACAGCAGCGGACACAAGCTCGTTGTTGTTGCTGATCTCCTTCAGAGCGGCGAGCTCGTTGACGAAAGGAGTAGGGTGGTCGTGCTTGGAGATGGCGTTGCGGACAGACTCGAGAGCGACGTGCAAGTGCTGGGTAGCCAAGTTGCTGTCAACAACCTTGTTCCACTCGCCGGTAAGCTTCTCAAGCTCTGCGACGGAGCTGGAAAGCTCGTCAAGACGGGCAAGACGGCCGTTGCGCTCCTCCTCGACACGGTCACGCACACTCTTTGCGAAGCGGCGCTGCAACTCAATCTCTTGCTCAACCAGAGCGTTGCGGGCACGCTGCTCGGCAACCTTACGCACAACATCGAGCTCAGTCGAGAGCTTGTTCTGGTATGATTGCGATAACTTCTCGCGCTCGCTCTCGTACTCCTCGCGCCACTTGGCTTCCTGATCTTGCATTTCGGCCTGCAGACGGCTAACAAGCTCCTTGGCAGCAGTGTCGAACAAAGTGTGGGCGTTTGAGATCTCGTCGGCAGTCTTCTTCTCGGCTTGAGCCTTGAGGGTAGCAATATCCGAGACAATCTTCTCGACTTGGCTCTTAGCAGCAGCCATGGTTGATGCGTACTTGTCGGAGGAGTCGGCGTTGACGACGGTAATGATGTTGTTGAGCATCTTGACGACATCCTGGACGACGGGTTCGGCGGCATTAGGCATGCTCATCAGGTCGAGAGGGGCAGCGGTAGCGGTAGGTGTCTGGGCAACTTGGGGAGCGGGGGTCGAAGGCTTGGAGGCTGTTGTTTGCGAATTGCGTTCAGATTTGACATCGTCCTTGGGCAACAAATGGTGCGACTTTGATTCCATGTCGAGGCGGGGCTTACCGTCTTTGTGGGCTGCTGTCTCAACGGCAGCAGTGCGCTCAGCAGGAGTGGCCTCTTGGGGCTGCTGAAGAGGACGAGAAGGCTCGAGAGCACTGACGTGACGACGGTCGGTATCAGAGCTGACCTCGTTGACTTGTGCTGTCAAACCGCTGTTCTTTCCAATCTGAATCTTGTTCTCGCCGCGGATCTGGGGGTAGTGACGATCCTCGAGCTTGCGGCCAGGGAATCTCTTGCGGAATTCGCGCTCCTCGAAGTATGCGACGGCATCCTCGCCGAAAGGTACGTATTCAGTGAAGAAGTCGTGGAAGTTGTCCGAGATGAGCGAGTAGTAGACACCACCAGCGAAACCAAGAGAAGACAGAAGGAAGAGAGTGGTCAAGAAGCGTCGGAAACGACCACGGCGTCNTGGGCTTGGGTGCGGGAGCGGCCACGACCTTGGGGCCAGTTGTAGAGGCAGGAGGAGGAGGGGGAGNNGAGTGGCACCAACGGCCTCAGGAGTAGGAGGAGCTCTAGGGATGCCAATGGGTGCACCTTCAATTGGCGAAGCGGGAGTTTCGGCGCCGAGTTTCGGCGGCTCGGGCACATCGCTGACGACCCTGTCGCTTTGCGAGCCAGGAAGGACAGCCTCGTCGGGTCTGCGAATATCGGCAAAGGCTCTCTGGATGTGATTGTCAGCACGCGACCGTCAATTGGACGGCTTGATAGACGTCAGGCGGGTAGAACGCACGGAGCGGTTGAGCAGCAATTGCGAGACGACGGGCGAGGCGCGTGGGGCGCACAGGCGAGCCCGACTCCGAATCAACGGAGTACGAAGCATTATGACCGCGGAACAGAAAAGAAAAGAGGGAGGTGAGGGGAGATGGTTGCAAAAGCAGCTTCAGCTTCGACTTCGATATCGACTTCGCTCTCCAACTGTCCGACCAACGTCTTGCACGCGTGCACGTTCCTGCTCCGTCAACCGGATTCGCCCGTGTATCGGGACATGTTCTCGAAGATATGATTGCCATCTAAGATGTAACTCAGACATCACGTGATTGGCTGCTGTAGCTCAGTGGTAGAGCGTGGGATTGCAGTTTCTGCAACTATCCTAAGGTCCGTTGTTCGACCCAGCGTAGCAGCTTTTCTTTTGCCTGCTCAATAGGCGACATGAGCTTCGAGTCTCGTTTTCAACTCGTCGGCAAGCAATGTTTTCTTTTGTTTGCGCCATTAATAATGATTTCGCGGCAGGAGCGAGTGCCCGACGTATCTGGAGGCTCTTCACGACCAGTTCACCGCCGGAGTTGACGCCGGCAAGAACAGGTAGAGGTCCAAGCTCCAACGCGCGATCTTCACGTTCTCCCACAAGAGGGGCCTCATTCTTCCAAAAGTCTTCCAGTCGCTTTCTGGTCAATTGCTTGATATGCATCTGCCCGACGTTCTCTGATACTCATCACGCCGAGAACAGGTATGCATCGTGATGTATCGAGAGATCGGTTCCCGAGGGATTACTCGATGACGCCTGGCTGATGACATTGATGGTCTCCATCCAAAATGCGGGCACTTCTGACGACAGCACTTTTTGTGTTGAGCATTCAGCACATATAGCTACCCATCGAGCGGGGAACTGTAGCAAAGCAAAAGGTTTCTGTTACATCGACTCTTAGCATACGCGTGGTGCTCTCTGTTTGGATCCATCAATTTCACCATGACGACACTTCACAGATTGACATTTCGAGCTCTTCCCTCAGGTACAAGTAGGGCAGCTCCCCGATCACTCATGGCTGTTTCCCGTCTTCAGACACTTTCTCGACACATCCAACCTCGAGCAATCTATACTCCTACCACCCAACGTACCTTCACAACCACATCCACCATGTCTTCCCCCAACAATAACGATGCTTTCAAGCTCTCTGAGCTCTTCAATGTCAAGGACAAGGTCGTGGTTGTCTCTGGTCAGTCCTACCCTATGACTCTTTCTATATGAAGTCCACCTCCTCTGACTATGTGATGTACAGGCGGTGGCTCAGGTATTGGTCTCATGGCCACCCAGGCATTCGCCGTGAACGGTGCCAAGGTCTACATCATTGGCCGTACAAAGGAGAAGTTGGATAAGGTCGCCGAGATCTACGGCAAGGACATTCCTGGACAGATCATTCCTCTGCAGGGCGATATCTCCAAGAAGGACTCCATTGCTGCCATGGTCAAGGAGATTGAATCAAAGGAGAAATGCGTCTGCATTCTCGTCAACAAGTCCGTCCAGCACTGATTCGCTCGCCGTTGGTCACTTTCGCTGACATGTACCAGCGCCGGTGTCTCATCCAACACCCTCCAAACCGAGGCCAAGTCGGCCGAGGAGATGAAGGCCAACCTCTTCGACAACTCGGACTCAAACATCGAAGACTGGACCGACACCTACAAGACCAATGTTCCTCAGTGCTTCTTCATGACTATGGGCTTCCTCCCTCTGCTTCAAAAGTCCACTGAACACCAGCACGGTTACTCTGGTTGCGTTATCAACGTAAGTTGGATTCGAAAGACGAGTCTTGTTGGCAACACTTTGTGGTGTTGCCAACGTTGCATACCGTGCTAAAAATTCCAATAGGTATGCTCTATCTCAGGAATCGTCAAAACCGCACAACACCATTTCGCCTATAATGCTTCAAAGGCTGCTGTCATCCACCTCACTAAGATGCTGGCCTTCGAGATTGGCAACAACGGACTCAAGGTCAGAGTTAACTCCATCGCTCCTGGTGTCTTCCCTTCAGAGATGACCCAAGGCGAGAGTGGCGAGAACCAGAAGTCGGAGCTCCCTAAAGAAGACTTTGAGGGCAAAGTCTTCGCTCAACGCCCTGGTAACGACAGAGACATGGGTAATGCCATGCTTTTCTGTGCCACAAACACTTACTTGAACGGTGTCGCTATCCCCGTGAGTTCTATCGTGGTTTGAAAGTGTACAACTTTGTGAGGTCATGCTAACTGTTCATCTTTCCAGGTTGACGGCGGCTACATCTTGCAGCACGGCTCTGCATAGATTAATACGTGAACAGTGAGGGCTACGGTACACTATTATGAACTTAATGACAATCCAAAACTGTATCAATTTTGATGATATCCCGTCTAGGCTTCATTTAGGTGATGCCAAATGGGTTCTCCACAAAACGTTCCCAACGACGCTCACATAATGAACGAAAAGATCATTTCAGTCATCCGTCAGGTCGACCACCACTGCCTTTCTTTTCCGTCCACGAGGGCTTTGGGATTTCTGGACAGTTTCTGCAGATGCAGCTGCCTGTGCCTCGGATCCTTCAGCTGTCTGTCCGAGCTCTTGGATCAATTTGTTTGCACGCTGTTTTCCTCTTCTTCTTCTTCTTCTTCTTCTTCTTCTTCTTCTTCTTCTTCTTCTTCTTCTTCTTCTTCTTCTTCTTCTTCTTCTTCTTCTTCTTCTTCTTCTTCTTCTTCTTCTTCTTCTTCTTCTTCTTCTTCTTCTTCTTCTTCTTCTTCTTCTTCTTCTTCTTCTTCTTCTTCTTCTTCTTCTCGTCGTTCTCGCTGAAGCCTCGACCTTAGTCATCTTCGTCGGCTTGACCCATGACCTCACGCTCCAGGCTTGCGAGGATAGAGGGTGTAGCCATAGTCATCACAGATAGACAAGAGCTCCTTGGCTCTGAGGCGGTCGGCATCTTTCAATGATTCGATGTTGAGGTTTGATTGCGTGTACTTGTGCTCCAACAAGTATATGGCTTGCTTGAGGCCGAATCCCGATTTTCGTGTGTCTTCGTGTTCTGTTGATGTTGAAGAGACGCTGCTATCTTCGCTGTCTTTTGAGAGTTGGGAGGGAGGTGCGTTGCTCGAAATCGCTGCTTCCACTTTCTGCTGTTTCCAGTCGGCAAGGATTGCATGCAGCTTCCTTCCCGCTACTTCGGATCCTGATTTGCTCTCCTGCTCTTGAACAAGATTATAGGTAAGGACCCACCGGCAGCCAGATGTGACTTCCAGAACTTCATGGGTGACATTTGAGTACCTACCTGATCAGCACCTAACGTGGTCGCAGAAGCTCAACCATCACTTACCAAGCCAAACACTCGCGATATGACGTCTAGAATTCATGCTGCTTGCCATTATGGGATAAAACAACACTTCCACCAAAATGCGCTGAAGGCAGACTAATCACAAGAGTACCGAACATACCCTTTGTCTTCTCAGAATCTGCATGAGGTTTGAACATTGCGCCTTTTTCGTAGAGCAGCATCTTGTATAGTTCCGCCCTGATATCATTCGTTTTTACGCCCAACCCAACGCAAGCACTCCTCATCAGAGTATCGACATAAGGCTGCCATTGGTCGCTGAGCGAGAATTGACTGGGATCGAGTTCCCAAGTGTTGCGAAAACTGGTATCAACAATGGTCTGTTCGCCCTTGCCGAAAGGTGCTCGACGCGAGACGTTGATAAGTTTCTGAGCATCTTGCAAGCCCAATGGAATGTCAATCTCAGCATCTTCTTGATTTTCATCACCCAAAAGACGAATTTCGAGGTTTACAGGAAGTTTCGAAAAAGATTTCATGGTCGCGAAGTCACCAGAGCTGGCAATGTTGTCAAGGTAATTCAAGAGATCCTTCTTGATGTCGCCGCTGAGGCCGTAGACATCGCGCTCGTTCGCAACGGCGACCTTCTCGGAAGACGATGTTACCGTCGCCGTACTTTGATTGTCACTCCAGATTGTCGTATTGATGCGAACGAAAACAGAAGATGCCTATTTGCTCGAGGACACGGCTGACGCGTTGGGCCGATCGACGATCTGCAGTGGCTGGCAGGAAAACCACGCGCTGACAATGAGCTTGCAGCTTTCTACCTCACTCAGTACGCAAAAGATGCACAACCTTATTTTCGGATGATAATCTCATTTCGACTTCTGCATGACAGGCAAGCTCCCATAGCCATCGCATGATGGATGCATAATCAATCCATCGATTCATCCAGCCTCAGCCTTAGTCCTCGAAGGATTCCCTCCGGAACCGACTCCAGACTTCTTGTCATCTGTATCTCGACGCATATTGGCCAGGTACTTGCAATCCATACACCTTTCCGGTAAAGCCTTAGTGTAGAATGTACCATTCCCCGTCCGACTTTCGACTTCCTTGTCGTCGGCATCCCAGCCTTCGCAGCGCATGCCTGTACGATCGGCGTCGATACATTCGACAGAGTCTCTGGTATAGTGCTTGCAGGCTATGTAGTAAACGTGTCGCCAATAACACATTGAGTGAGCGAGAATTTTTGTTTTCACGATCATTGATTGTTTGTGAACAACATTTCTGTTCTTGTCTCAGTTTGAGTTATAAATGTGTCTGATCGCTTGCTTGCCTGTGTAGTCTTTCCTGCTGGAGTTGGTTGCGTATAACTTCTCCTTGGTGCATAAAAGCTAGATTACATGTGCTGTGTTGCACGAAGCTGCCAGTGACAAGTCACGATCGATGGCTTATGGTTCTTGTTTAATTAAGGTTGTGGCAGGCTGGGGCACAAGACACTATTTGTTGCTTGCTCAGCATGGTGCAGCATACCGGCTTTCCAACATTCATACATTGATTGATCTAGGCCCTCATGAACTAGCCAAATGCCGGCATCACAGCATCACACTGTACACAGAAATAGACTCCCAGCACGAACCAATCAATTCCGTTCGCACCAGCAAGCCGAGTCGCCAAAGAACGATCTGGACCGTCTAGATCAGCCAATTGCCGGAGACGTCAGCATCATACAAGGACAGACCCCCAACACCAACTGATCACTCCATCCTAGCTCAGCAGCCCGAGCCCCCGAACCATGGTTCATGGCTTTCATCCTTCTGCCATGTTCGCATCAGGTCGTTCGTGGTTCTCTCCAGCCATACGGCAATATCGACATTGCTTCATCACCGCGGGTGTGTATTTCGCTCCGCTGGAGGAGCTTGTGATCTGATACTCGTTTTCGGCGTTTGTCCATTCTTCGCATTGCCATCCAAGTCGTCTTGACATGTCGCAAGGAAGGCGTTTCTTGGCGTGATGTTGGCAAAGGATATAGTACTGCCAGTACCAACGGCACATTGTCTGAGGATGACTTTGGAGAAAAAATCAGACAAAAAGTAGTCCAGGACATCTGTGTTGCTCTGTAACAATCGCATTGCCAGATGTATGGCAATATATAGCTTATCCATGATGGGTTTGTGTGCTTGACGGATCGTATACTGTGGTGGCATTTCCTGAGGCTGCTGATGGTTAAACAAGGCTTGCATTAATTGGCGAAACCTTGTTATAGGTGCCATGCCGCGATCACACCACGCCGGCGCACATGTGTTCAGCCCAAGTTTCAGTAATCCGGCTGAGGGAATTAATGAGGCATTAATAAGGATAAACAGATGCACACACGTACATAAGAGTAACCGTGGAAAAATCAAGTTCTGAATACGAGCAGCAGGTCAGGCTTGCTTCCTGCTGCATTGGGTCATGAAACTATACTTTTAGTCTAATCGTTGAAGTTGTTGTACAATCATGAATATGAAAAAATCGTTGAGTAGTAGTCGAGAAGTCGATCCGACGCATCTAAGCCCATTTGCCGAGAAGAGCCATCAAACCGGCACCAAGGCACATCATAAGGAAGGCAGTCAAGACAGTCTTGATGCCGGCTTTTTGCATGTAGGTCGAGAACATGAACTCGTGTGCCATGAGCTCGACAAGACCAGTGTAGATCAGGATACCCGCACTAATGCTGTCGAAAACACCGTTTGCGATCAGGGTGGTCTGGCTGCCAGGAGCGAAAGATTGACGGACACCAAGACCGATGGCAATGGCGATGGGAGTGCTGATGGCATAGCCAGCACCAAGAAGGTAAGGAGACCAGCGCTTTGACTCAGGCCATGGAACAGCAGCGAGACGAGTACCCAGACCAAGACCTTCGAAAGATTGGTGGAAGACAAGGACGACGTATAGAGTGGAGAACTCATCACCAGAGACGGCCAAGGTCAAGCCGATGAAGATGGAGTGAAAGATGACACCAAACTCGAGGATGAAGAGAGCAGTCATTTGGGCAGCATAAGACTCGCTGACAGCACTATTGGCAGCTTGCTTTTGGGCTTCGGTCCATCCGGCAGAAATTTCGTTGTCGACATGAGAACGGGCATGGCCAAGGTGGTCGTCTCCACGGGCGTGAGGAGTGGTAGGGCAGTGAGCAGTGCTTGTGCTAGCACGTCCAGGGTGCATCTCGTAAGCAGGATCGGCATGATCATGGATCTCAGGCTTCTTGCCATCGGTAAAAGGCTCAGGCTTGATACCCAGGTCGTCTTCAGGTTCCAAGTCATCATGCTCATGGCTGTGGCCGAACTTGGCATAACGCATGGTCATGAGCTCGACAAAGAACAGCACAAAGATGGTCATCAGCACGATGCCTTCGACCCAGTCGTACTCGGTAATAGGACCAGTCAAGCATTCATCGGTCAGGGCATCATTGGCAGGTGCAAGTAACTTTGTTCATCAGTACAAAGGTGGCATGCATTTAGAAGTAGAGCGAAGACTTACATGGATAAAGGCAGTCGCTATGATGACACCAGAGCCGAAGTACTTGGCGATGAAGAAGGCCCAATCCGGAACGCCTACACCTCTGTGCCTAGCAGCGAAGACGGGGAACCAGGTTGCTGATCATCAATGTTAGTATACCGTGCTTTGATCATTTCTCATGTGCAAACTTACAAANNACAGCGCGCAGACACCGATGACGAAGATGGACGAAATACGGACGCCCATACGACCATCGTATTCGTTGTCTGCAGCACAATTGCCCATAGTGGCTCTGACGAACTGGACAAAAAGCGTTGAGATTTGCTGTCTTTTGCGTATTTGCACTGACGAACTACGAATCTGCTCTTAAAGAGGCAGAAGATTGTCGCGGCAAGACAGCAAGCTAGAGATTATGAGCAGCGCGACAGAAGATGACCAGGAGAGAGATTTAAGTGTTACATAGGGACGAGGGAGCGAGGGGATGACTGGCCGCGGCCTACATGTGGGAAAACACCTTGATGGTCATATATGCAACGAGTTTTTACTTGATCTGCTCTAACAAACTTTAGCCGGCGAAGCTTCGCAAATCCTGACGCGCTCATTGGCCGCTCAAGCCGGCTCGCGTGCGATAAGCACTCAAATGTGGAATTTTGCGTTCTTTGGAACAATCAACAGGCCACCTGCAGCACGTTTCTCTGACTCGACCGGCCCTATTCTTCCAAGCATTTCTTCCGGCTCGAGATGATGACATCCTGTTCATCTTCGTGAAAACACCTTGGTGATCCCCAACATACTCCACTATGATCCATAATCATATGGAAATGAATATTGAGAATCCTTCGTGCCTTTATTTACGAGCTTGTTGTACATGGCGCCGAGAAGTTTTGCGTGAGATTCAACTTCCGGAACTCAATTGCCCTCCGGTGCCGCATGCTGTTGGCATATCAAAAGGTTAAACACCGTAATACATCTTTGCACTCGGCAAATATGCAGGTTCGAGTGCTTGGTCTTCGTCAAGACTTGACAAGAGCACTACAGGGATCGCGAAGGTTTAACAAGGGTTCAGAAGCTCATACCCAAGAACGTTTTAATCAGCGCCACATGGCTTTCTACCTCAAGATTTTAAAATTCGAACGTCGAACTTGTTGACCGGACCATGTTGCGGGTTCCACTCCGAGTATAGCATCCTTTGAGTTCAGATGGTAGTATGGCATTGGCTCTGCAGTGCTGTTCTACATGACCAGCTATTGTCATACACGACCTGGTGTGCCTTCGACAAGTACACCAAATCATGTATAAGTAAGTTATCAAGACAAGCTCAAGGTTTTGACTGCCTTTGTCACTTCTACCTCAATACTTTGAACGATGTCAAGCATCTCAATTGATTGACGGTCATGCGATTGAGAGCGAAAGTATTTTGCATTCTCAGCTATCACCAATCGGCCCTTACTAGTATCAAATCTGTTTTGCAGCCGGTGATGGATCACAACTCGGACGACCTTGATGTGCTCGGTTCTATTCATTGCAATGCCAATAGATTGGGATCAATGGCATTCGGTCCGGGCATTGTCGGCATGTCTCGTTGAGCTGTTGAGCTGAGAGAAGTCAACGCGATAAAGGCCTGAGGAAGCATACTAAGACTACTGTGGATACAGCACAATACGGACTCTGGCGCCAGTCTTGGAGGAGATTACGTCGGGACAATGTGCTCGGTTCCGATAGCATCAGGCACTAACTCTGTCTTCAGTATCCGACCAGCCCGCTAGCAAGCGCAGTTCCAGCCCAGGTGTACTCGAGCCACTCGAGGACTTGCAAAAGCTCTTTTGTCTTCGAGATTGCCTCGTTNNCTTTACATTTGTCAGCACTCGTGTTTGGCAGAGAGAACAACAGAACTAATCTTACGTAGCCGTCGATGAAGGGAACCTTGGCCTTGGCCGTCCAAAAGTTGGATACGTGAGCACGCACGAATAGCGTCAACACTAGAGCAGCAGGCGAGATGCCAAATCTCACAACTGATGGCAGGGCGTTGGGCGCCAATGACAATGTAGTAGCTGCCATCATCGAGGCCAGGATNNCTGAGGTGGACGATCAGTACAATGGCTCTCTAGGCGCAGAAAGGGTGTCGTGTTGTAGAGGATCACTAACACAGATAGCACCACTGGATTGTGTGGTTCTTGTCTTGTGCAGCTGTTTCTCGGCTTCAGTCGAGTACTTCGCTGCCTTCTTGCTTGTCTCTTCGTATTGCTGGAGGTTGCTGATTGCGATGTAGGACACGTATGCACCATAGGCGCACAGCGCGACCTGGCCGGTATGAAGGAGCTGTGTGAAGAACATTACGACGGATGCTATAACTTCTCAATTGATTCGTGAGATTGCTTTCGACAAATGTAGCGAGTTGGTCAAGGTTCGAGAAGCTGTCGCAATCAAGTTGCGTGAGGTTGAGAGTGATGTCATCGGTCAGGGTCACACAATTGCCTTGCAATAGCTCGATCTTGAGTCCATCTTATTAGCACACAAGTAGTTTCACAAGTGTACAAGCATTTATTGTGGTCCATATCTATCGTGCTGCATTTATTAGGATACGTATACAGAGTAACTGGCCTCTCCACCTATGGGAAACACAAAAGGGCGATATCAACAAATCCAGCTAGATCATGTGTTTACCGCACATCAACATATCAACCAAGAAGATAGAGCGCGAGTGAGACGCATCGATACACGAGTAATTCGAGACCTAGATTCCAGCAAGCTCGTAGAAGTCACGAACTCCTTGTCTGAAACCTTGCTCAAACTCCCATAACAGTTTGCCTGCCTGCCCACTTTCAACAATTCTCTTCTTGGTCCAGATATCCAGCATGCCAATCTTGTCACCTCCAGTACCGGGAATTCGACCATTAGCTCTTGCACCAAAGAAGGTCATCGCATCGTTGAAGCCGAGTTTCCAGCCCGCCTCAAATCGCCAGTGCTCGTATTCGCCAGGATGGTTGGAATCCCAGTAGTTGCAGTGACCGCCAAAGGTCTGTCCGCATTTCGCGTCTAATTGAGACTGCGCATGTGCAATACGAGCCTGAACATCGTCATTGGAAAGGGCGAGGTTGTTAGGAGCTGTGATGGCACCGTTGTTGGTTTGTTGCTTGAAGCCCCATTCACCGCCATCCATCCAATNCCTGGTTCTCTAGTTAGTGCTGAACTTTTGTGATTGTAACAGGAGCAGAAGACGAACCATGCGATATGTCCAGAAGAAACTTCCACCAGCTCTCTGCTGATATCTTTGGGTCTGTGCTTGTCCAAAGTCGCGTACCAGATTCTCCTTCTGATCGGCAGCAGCTCTGGCCCAAGAGTCTTCTGTCAAGACACAGCTGTATTCGCCAATGACAACTTGTGCTGCACCATGATCCACGATGCTGCCATCATGACCATCTAGCTCACTGAGCTTTGACCTGACTTCGTTTGCGATTTGACTAGGGTTCTTCTTCTTGTCGTCATCTGAGAATGCCCAGTACAGATGAGTGTCAATGACAATCGGGTTTGCTCGACCAGCATGCAGACTGTTCTTGCCGTTGATATAGCCGACTGTAGGACCCAAGTTCCATGCGTCTGAGATGTAGAGAGGGATAGTGTTGTCAATACCACCGATCTGACCAATCACCGAGTCATACCAGCCATACATGCCAGAAGCGTCCCACTCGGCCTCATTGACTAGCTGCAGACCAATGACACCGTCCATTGATCTAGCTTCATGAGCGATGAATAGTAGACAGCGTGTAGCAAGATCCAGATTTCTCTTCGATTTCCACAGTTCGGCCTTGCCGCTGTTGGTTCCGGAGTGATCACCTCCATTTGCACCACCAGGCAATGCGTGGAGGTCAAGAAGAGTGCCGATACCTTTGGCAGTCAAGCGAGCGACAAGGCGTTTTACAGCCGGCCATGCGTTCTCATAAACTCCAGCAGAAGATTCGAAAGGCGTGTTTGCGCAATAAGCCGGACCCAGTGTGAAATATCCAATGGGTAGACGAACAGATGTNNACCTGTTTTATCAGCACACGAACACCGCCACCAGAATGCGCAACATACAATGAGCTTGGTTGGCAAGCCAATCCAGATCTGAATCACTGATATAAGTCTCCCAGTGGTTCTCAAACTTTTGCTTGGCTGCATCAAGACCCATCGCTTTGATGTTGCCAGTCACAGCCGCAAGCTCGGCGGAGTCGGCGTTGTCCTGATACATGCTGGGAGTGAGCCATTTCTCAAGCACAAAGATGGAACCAAAATTGGTGCCATGTTGGTATCGATAGCGGAGGACGTCCAAGGGTGAAGGCTCCTGGATGCTAGACGGCTGGTCGGTCATGGGCATCTGAGATTGCTGTTGTTGTTGAGAAGGGTACGAAGGCTGGTCATCACCAAACGCCGACTTCATCTCGTTCTTGAATTTCTTTAGGAAGCCCATGTTGTATAGGTTCGATCAATTCAGCTTCTGTGTTCTAGTAGTGAGTGAAGTAACAAGACAATATAGGCTAGGAGAGGTAACAAGAATATATAGGTTGGGGAAGGGAGGTTGAACAGATAAACGACCAGGATGTCCACGGGGTCCGAAGTGTTCACGCTTCATCAAATGTGGATCTCCACCTTCTTTTCGGAACATGCACGACGCAACAACGAACAGGGAACGGCGGCGTGGCCCTTGTCTTGGAAGTAGATTGCCAGGTGGGCATGATCAGACCAGAACGGTATGACGTACGCGTACATGTCTTGGCTGGCTATACCAACGACTCGCGCTTGATTATGGTCAAGTGGTTTGAAGGTGCGTGTGGTCGCATGTGCATCTGCGAATTTTGTGCCGTATCTGCAGTCCTTGCATTTTGATTCATGTCTCCGTCTTCGTATGAGCCTCTTTCAGCATCTTGACCCGTCTTATTCACAGTTTCTGCTAAGTCATAATACTTTCCGTCCCTGTCATCAATTCATGACCCATCAAAACGCCGCGCTATGAAGAAATCCACGTCTAGTTATCCCTAAAGGCATTGTCCCGTGCAAATGCTGAGAATGAAAGTCGACCATTTGGTGTTGTGTCTGATTCATTGGTTGCCGCCGGCCTCATCTTCTCGTCAATGTTACGCGTGGGCATAAATTCGTTGGTTGGTGGAGATTGAGGTCGGCTGCTAGGTGCGCTTGCGCTGTTCCTGCCCAAACTCAGATTCCCTAGTCCAGCAGTCAGACGTGCAGCGCCGTTAGTAAAAGCGCTTGTGGTCTGACCAGTGATACCGCCACCATTCGCAGCAGGCCCAATAGAGACCTCCGAGTTCTCTATACCGGTCACAATAGGATCTTTAGGCTCCTTTGGCAAGCTGACAGTGGGTGCATTAGCGGTCCCGTTCATCTCGACATCGGTACGACCGAACAATTCGTGCCACCACTTGACCTGGTTGGTATCAGGAAGGATAATACGCTCCTTGCCAGAGATATTGTCGTCAATGGTAGGGTCATACTGATCGTTGATGAACATGTCTCGACGAGAGAGGAAGTAGTCCCAAACACTTCTCGTCCTATCGTAGGCTTTCTCTTCAACTCTAGCGCGCTCACTGTCCCAGAGGAAAGTACCGTATTGGCATGAGTAGAGCTGATAGAACAGGCGGCGCAGGAAACGCTCGTTGAACTCAAATCTGGTAGGATATTGTCGGAGCATCTGGTAGGTTGCATCCAAGAATTGGTGGAAAATGGGACTTGTCTCCTTGACATTGGTGGTAGCGTGCTTAGTACTTTTCGAAGCAGGAGTTGGGACGGTTGAACCATCACCAGCATCGTTGACATCAAAAGATTCCCTGCTGTCGTTCTTCTTGGTGAAGAATCCTCTGGCAGTTGAGAGCGCATTGCCAAAAGCGTTCCCATTGCCGCTGTTTGCAGACAGACTGTCAGCCTTGCGGTTGCCTCCAACACGCTCGTTTTCAATCTCGAACCACTTTTCACTACTCAGGAATCCTGAACGGTGACGGAACATATGACCGAAAGACACCCAGTCCTTCTCCACCAAAACAATGAAGCCCTCGAGAGTGCGGTAATATGGATCCAAGCAGAGCTGACTTAGAGCACTAATCTGACTGGTGCGGTCCCAACCATCTGAGCAGTGAATGAGAACGTGGGAGTGGTTGATGCCAACCTGACGAGCTACTAGACTAGAGCCACGCAAAACTAAAGAAATATAGTCGAGCCACTTGCTCTTGGCGAGCATATCTTGGTTTGGGCCAAACTCAGTGTAGTCGGTGTGAGCAAAAGCTTCGGCTACTTTGTTGAGGGAGTCTCTCATGACATGGATGTTGGCGATACCGAGATATTCCTTTGTTGCGTCTTTGTAAAACTCCATGTTTTCTGAACCCATTCCTGTGGCCTGGTTGGCAACAGCATTGACCTGCGGACGGGCATCGACAATAAAGTTTCTCTGCTGAGCTCCGTAGATTTTATCGGTAGGTATGTTGGTAATGCTTTCTGCACTGGCTTTTGGCTTAACTAGAGAGTTTGTACTTTGTTGCATGTCCGGATCGAATTGCTGGCCTTGATCATCAAGAATGGGCATGCCAGCACCAGCTAGTGGTTTTGATGTAGAGAAGATGGCAGCAACCAATCTTTCATCCTGAGGATTTCTTTCTTTCTGGAACATGCCACACTTTGGTTGCGAACTTCGGGTGATTGAGCAATTGTTGACAGGATGCAAGTAGGTTAGAGCGGGAATGCGGTAGCGCGAACGATATTCTCTTCCGTGTTTTAGGACGTTGTCGGAGACGGAAGATGGTACGACCAAGAGGGAGGGATAGGTGGGTGAGTACTGTAAATAGTCAGTGGATGGAACAGACAGAGAAGAATAGCAGCAATGTACATCGTAGTCGCGATTGATGTCGGTTAAGCGCCAGCCGCGATCGGCACCTTTGGGAGATATGCCCATGCGCTTATACTCCTTGCGAGCATCATAGATGTCCCAGCCATTGATGTTCTTCTCAATCGGAGGAGGATCGTAGGCAAAAGCATATAGCTTGTCGAAAGAACCAAGACCACAGGTCAGAGCCTTGATGCTGTCGTAGACACTGCGGGCCTGGGTCTCGTCTGAGAAGTGGAAGGCGACAAAGGTAAAGTCTCTACAGCGTAGGCGAATGGCATGGTCCTGGCGGAGGATGGCGGGCATGGGTCTGTACACACAGGACGCGATCATGGGGTACGTGATCCACAGCTCTTTGGCACGGCCTTTGGCTTTGGCCGGGGCTTGGGATTTGGCGGATGCATCTGGGCGGTGCTCGAAGATCAAATGATGAGTGGAGATGTGAAGGGTTCCTGTGGCCTGTTCGTTTCTTTTATGAAGTGTCACATTCTCGACCTGTTGACAGAGCGTCAGTTGGAGACTTTGTCCTGATGCGGAAGCGCATGCGTGGTCGTGTTGGCATGCGCTGTCGAGGGGCGCACCTTTGAGATTTTGATCTTGTCCATGACACGCTAGAGAATCTCAGCATCCGGCGGAATGCGCTCGGAGCTTGGTGTTGGGTGGTTTGTGGAGTGTGTGTATGTGAATGTTTGCAAGACTGCAGGCACCTTTCTCTGCCTCTGCCCCTCAGTGAAGCGGCAGCAGGCACAGAGCAGAGAGCAGAGACTCGACCCTCGAGCGCGTCATGGCGTCGGTGTTTTCGGCCGTAGATGCCGACATGGCCAGCACGAGAGATAAGATGCGAGAAGTTCCGTGATGGCTTATCAGATCAGGCTTCGCAGACGAGCCACTAGCGCTAGCGCGCCAAGCCATCCACGGAGCGCACTTGGACGAAATCCGACCACTGCGAATTGTGTGTGCGAAACCCGACTTTGACGACTAACGACCATCTCGCCCAGCGACCAGACACCCTCTCCTTTTTCGATCAATTAACACAGATCGCAAACATGGCCGCCGTTCAGCAAGCAGGTGCTATGTGAGTATCCAACTTGTCCACACAAAATGCGCCCGCGACCAGTCGCTAATTGCCCTCTGCAGCTCCAAGAGAAGAAAGTTCGTCGCCGGTATGCCTCCCCTCTGCTAGATTCGCTATTTTCGCATATTCTTCACTCTCGCCGACCTATGATTCGCATCCGATCGCTCTCTTTTGCCGCATCCATTTCCTTTTCAGAACACGCACACAGACGCACAGATATACACATGTTAGGACAATCGCTAAAACACACGCGCAGACGGTGTCTTCTACGCCGAGCTCAACGAGTTCTTCCAACGCGAGCTTGCTGAGGAGGGTTACTCTGGTGTCGAGGTCCGCGTTACCCCTACCGTTACCGACATCATCATCCGCGCCACCCACACCCAGGATGTCCTCGGCGAGCAGGGCCGCCGCATCCGCGAGCTCACCTCGCTGATCCAGAAGCGCTTCAAGTTCCCCGAGAACTCTGTCTCGCTCTACGCCGCCAAGGTCCAGAACCGTGGTCTCTCCGCTGTCGCCCAGTGCGAGTCCCTCAGATACAAGCTCCTCAACGGTCTCGCCGTCCGCAGAGCATGCTACGGTGTCCTCCGTTTCATCATGGAGTCTGGTGCCAAGGGTTGCGAGGTTGTCGTTTCCGGCAAGCTGCGCGCCGCCCGTGCCAAGTCCATGAAGTTCACTGTATGTTGTTCTGTGTCGACATTGCGCCATGTTTCCATACTAACTCACATCTTCAGNGACGGTTTCATGATCCACTCCGGTCAGCCCGCCAAGGACTTCATCGACTCTGCCACTCGCCACGTCCTCCTCCGCCAGGGTGTTCTCGGTATCAAGGTCAAGATCATGCGCGGTGCCGACCCCGAGGGCAAGGCTGGTCCCCAGAAGGCTCTCCCCGACTCAGTCACCATCATTGAGCCCAAGGAGGAGCAGAGCGTCGTCCAGCCCATGTCCCAGGACTACGGTGCCAAGGCCGCCGCTGCCCAGCAGGCCGCCGAGGCCCAGCGTGCTGCTGAGCAGGGTGAGCAGCAGGGCGAGCAGCCCGCTGCCGAGCAGCAGGAGCAGCAATAAATGCGCGGTGATGCATGATTGGAGCAAATGATAGCCACGGTTAGGGTGTTTTTCAATGCACTTGTTATGGCGGCACGTACAGGAGTCGGCGCTATCGCCAGGGAGTCAAAAGCTCGTCGTCCAAAAAAAACAAATTTCTTCAACTTCATTAAGCGTTTTCATGAAGTGTTCCCAAACATCTTTCCCACCATTCCTCAAATTGTGATTTTAAAACCGTGCTACGTAGGTCTGCATCGGGGAGCACGACTAGCTTAACGGCGTTCCTCCAAAGTAAAAAGGGGCTTGCCTGTGTTTCTCGAGGGTCATAAACATGGTCCACCTCGCATGCTCACCCCAGTTTGTGTCGGACTCGACCGTGCTGGTGCGGAGAAAGAGAATGCAGTCGCCTCATGTAGTACTGTACCAGATAGCAAAACGGCACAGAATCAGATAGAGATTGCGGAGAAGAGACTCGTGATTGAATTGGCATGATGGAGCAGTTCGCTGACTGGGTCGGTTGTTCCGCAGTGCATGCTCATATGAAGATCGTTGCTTGATGTCGTAGTTGGCAGAGTGGGGGATTGTGTGGAGGGCTGGGGCAAGCGATCAAGCTGCAAATCAGCCAAAGCATCATCGGACATTTTGGCTCTTCCTTGGTCCCTCGAGGTTATATTCCTCCCTGCTCCTCCCACAAGCTGTACTCTATACTGCGCATAGTCCTTTGTCTTTCACACTGCATTGCTTGAAAGTGACGAGCGACTGTATTCCTGCGATAATCGGAGTGTATAAAGCGGTGTTTTGTCTAAGCGTTGCTGTCTTGTTATTACCTCCCAACTCCCAACAAATCCTCACATCCTCATTCAATCTCGACATTACTTTCACATTTTCAGAATATCGCTCTGCCGTTCATCGACATGGCTGGTCGTTCGGAAGATGTCTACTGCACGGTTAGTGTTACGATCTCTCGAGTCTCGGCCACGATCTCTCAATTCTTGGTCCACGATCTCTCGAGCTCTTCTTCATGCCATATACTGATCACTCGTCTTCTAGTTGGTAACTAGCGACTCGTACGTTGCGGGTATGTTATTCTAGCAAACACAATAATTCGTATGCGCAACGATCTAACCAATAACAGGAGCCGCCGTGCTTGCGCATTCTCTAAGAGATAATGGTACAAAGAAGAAGCTGGCGGTACTTATTACTGTCGACTCTCTACGATCTTCTACCATTACGGAACTCAAGGTACGGCGCAGCAAAGCCAACTCAATGCCTCAAGACTGACCCCACCTANNGTCATTGTATGACTATGTTATCCCCGTAGAGCGCATCACCTCCCCCAACCTTGCCAACCTTTACCTGATGGGTCGTGGTGACCTTCGCGATGCCTTTACCAAGATCAACCTCTGGCGCCAGACCCAATTCCGAAAGATCGTCTACCTTGACGCAGATACTGTTGCCCTCCGCGCTCCCGACGAGCTCTTCGATCTCGAGGCATCCTTTGCTGGTGCGCCTGATGTTGGTTGGCCCGATGCCTTCAACACTGGAGTCATGGTCATTTCACCACACATGGGAGACTACTGGGCATTGAAGACACTGGCTGCCACAGGAGACAGTTTCGATGGAGCAGACCAAGGTCTCCTGAACCAGTACTACGAACACAANAACTGGCACCGCTTGAGCTTCGTCTACAACTGCACCCCAAGCGCAAACTACCAATACGAACCTGCCTACCGCTATCACAAGTCGCGAATCGCCGTGGTCCATTTCATTGGAAAGAACAAGCCATGGAATAGCGCCAGATCGCAGAATGCGACCCCTGGAGCATACAATGAACTCCTTTATCGTTGGTGGGCCGTCTACGACAGACACTTCAAGGAGCCGGTAGAATATTCGGTCCCAAATACAAGATAGCTCTTTACTGATCATTCACAGGCTGCCGAGTATACGTCAGGTCGCTATTCGCCTGCATCTTCTCCAATTTCACAGCCAGAAGCTCCTATCCTTACTACTGAAGCCGATCCTGCCGAGGAGAGGGAGCTGGGAGAAGAGCTGGCCCAAGGTCGTGTTGAGCCTACACCAACAGTAGAGCAAAGAAGATTCTCCGCGCCACAAGCAGAGTGGGACGCGACTCGGTAAGGACATTGTCCCTGCCTACAAAGGACCCCTTTTCTGACTCGCAACTAGNNTATGGAGCCACCTACCGACTCGAAACCTGAGGCCGCCAACTTCCCTACCACCACTTATGACTTTAACCAAGACAAGGAATTCTTCCGCCCACCCAAGACCTACCCTGAACCTNNCCCAAGGACATGTGGTATGAGGTACCCAAGACGAAGCCCNGATCCACCTTCAGCAAAGCCCAAGCCTGTGTTCCCATGGGAAGAAAGACAAGCACCTGCCCCTACCAGAAGGTTCCTTGAAGATCTTGAATCCCCTGATTCGACTCCTCAACCTGGAGTCACCATTCCATCTGCCGATTTCACAGCTAGTTTCAACAGTCCGTCTACCCCCGTCATCAAGGTCACGACTGAGACTCCCTGGGAAGACTACGCCTCAAACAATAAGAACGCTTGGGACGGCGTCGTCGGCATCGACACCTACATTCGTAGACTGAATGAGGCTCAATCAAGTCGTCGTAGGAGCTCGGTTCACCCCAAAACTCCTGCCACAAGCACCCAATTTGAACGTAAAGAAAGCTTGATCCTCACCGATTTTCCCTCCGAGATAGACCGTCCTAGCCTTCCAGTCACCCCAGCACCCATCCGCAGAAAGAATTTCTGGGCAGGCGAACGAGACAACAATGGACAACTTCCATCTGCAGAAGGCGTTCCTGAGCAGGCAGACTGGGTGCGTATTTCTCTTGTTTTTATCGGCCTTTTGCCTTTACTGACTTGACTCGCAGAACCCCGAAGAGAAACTTGAAGAGCTGAGACGTGGCTCTCTCACAACACCACTTGACCTGAAGATGCCCGAGAAGAAACTCCCCAGCCGCGAAATGCCATCGACCGCGCCAGCATTCTATAACAAGGAAACTGCCCCTTCCAGCTTCCCAGCAAACACCAACCAAGGCGCTTCATCTTCGACCGCAGCCGCAACTGCCACCCCTCAATTCAACAACCCCGGTTTCTCCAGCTCTAGCTCGGACTCGAAGGCAGAAGAAGTCCTCAGCCCTACGGAGCATGGCTCGCGTCAATTCTAGTCGAACCACACACGAACGAAGCGTCGAAAAGAAACAGGAGTGTCTAAAACCTTGGAATCTCATACTTATTGCTAATCTTGGGCTGGAGGCTTTTTTGTCAATTAGCCACATTGCAGTTTTTTTTGAGCGTCCATACTTTTTTTTTTTCCAAAAAGCGTAGCGAGGCATTTGGAATACGTGTTAATAGCGGATCGATAGCAGACGTTGTATATTAGGAGATTGATCCATGCTGATTTGTTTCCTTCTTTTTTGCCTCGTGAGATGTTCAGTTTGCTCGTCAACTCGAAGTGGAGATGTGTAAAAGGGGTCTCTCATTGGAAAGCACTTGTTTTCTGAAAGCATTGTGTATTTTTATAGGTAAACTGTGACGGCACCTCGCACACGGAGAGAATAGATCTGGACCAATTCATGAACTTGTCATATACGTCTCTCTACGAACAAGTGCCTGCAATGCTGTTGTAATTCAAACCCCTCTCTTGACTTTCACAAACAGAAGATACGACACTCCAACAAACACCGCAAACATTGCAGCATCAGTAAAGATAATCAACCCCCTGTATTTGACACCGCCCGTAAGCGTGCTTATTAACGCCCGGAAGCAAAAACGCTGCATTAACGAGGGCTAGCAAGGATATTGCCAATACCTTGTGCAGAAGAAAATAGACAAGACATGATCATGGCATTGATATGTTCAGCTGCAACAGCAGTCCCCATCCTTACCCTTATAGCCAGATTCCAAAGACAGAGGAGATATTGACGAGTGTTATTGTTGGGAGAATGGTGATCCAGCTATCATCTAGCGAGTAGTCTTTTGACGTGTCTCAGCTAGGCATCTTTGGATGTTGCAAGGAACATTGTAGCTTTGTGTTTTGCTATGTCATGGAGTATAGGTCGTTGCAAGTGGTAAACACAGAGGTTCCCGACGAAGAAGTCCCGTTCGGGAAACTTTTCGGATGTTGCTTGTATCACCCTGACAGACATTTCATCCTGGCTCACACGATTGTTTTTTGGAGCAATAGCCTTCATTTACAGTCTGGTCAGACCTGCGGCGGATATTCGATCTCCTGAACATCTCCTTTCGACTTCTCCATGTCGTGGTTGTGGGTTGGGGTCAATATTGAAAGAAATTCGAATCATGCTGGCAAGCAGTACGGACATAGCGAGATATTATTGTGCTGCTGGGAATTGGATATCGGTAATTTGTGTTGCGTCTTGTTGAGGCATAACTGAGAGCCTAGAGATGATGATGATGGAGGATTCAAGAGACCCGAAATTTCAACCAGTGAGATTGAGTATCTGGTAAAGTGTATAGGACAAGATGGGTCGAGCAAAAGAAAAAAAAAGAAGAGAAAAGAAAAAAATCACTACAGGGTCGTCCATCGACAATTGTCGATACGTCATAACAATTGTCATGCGCTCAAGTCTGCCAGATAACAACCAACCTTTCTCAATCTACCATTCTGCTTGATTGTTCTCGTGAATATCTGATTGAAGCGATACAGGCCGCTCTCTGTAGACTTTGATACATCCCTCCAAGATACCTTGACTCCGAACTCCCACTCACGCGACCATCCTCTACAAGTGTCACCGCAACTCCGCATTCTTATATATTTGATTACCCATTCATCCGAGTGAAAGACCCAAGATGCCTGCCTTTGGACGCGGCGGAGCGGGAAACATCGAAGCACTCAATGCGACGAAGACGAGCAACGCGACAAACGAGAAGATATCCGCAGACCTTGAACGCAACCAGCAAGACGCCGAGGACTACGCCGGCACTGCACATCCAGCTCTTCACAATCAAGAATACGCGCACACTGGACGCGGAGGAGCTGGAAACTACTACTCTCCTCGCGAACTCAATGCGACTGGCAAGTTCGAAGGCGCAGACACAAGTCATGTTCTAGGTGATGGTACACCTGCTCCCAAGACGAACGAGAAAGACAAGGAGCCGGTGGCTGTTCGTCATGGCAGAGGAGGAATGGGCAACTTCTTTGGCGTGGACGAGGACATGGCGAACAAGTTGAGGAAGAAGCAGGAGGACGAGGCGCAAAAACAGCAGGAGCTGAAGCAGCAGATCGAGGAGGGTGTCGACGACGTGTTGTCTCGTCCTGAGAAGGCACGTCTGCCCGGTGGTGAACCTTTCTAGATTGTTGCTCTTGTCTTAATGCACAGTGCTTTCGAAAAACAGGTGGTGCCCACTGAGAGATCCCTGAGTTCTTGATAGGGGGTGTGTATGCCATATCCTTCTCTTGTCATAACATTGTCCAGTCAATACACTTGTTTTCGGACCTTCTCAAGCATCGAGACGACGGACGGCAAGACGACTCTGTCAACCTGTACTCTGACGAGAACACTGCTGTACAGCTCGGATCCGGCATCTCTGCGTGCCGTAGGAGTGTCTTGCAGCCTGTCATCAATCACAAAACCATACGTATGCCCGACATTGCCACCGGAAGTGGACCCGTGTGTTTACTGTGATGTAGTTGTGCTGGCCGACCTTGTTTCCATGGGCGACTCAGCCCCTCCCCCCTCTGAGGGGGATTCGCAGCTAGATCGTCGTCAAGCTTTAGCGGATATCCTCTCCCCCCTGCAGGACAAGCTAGCTGTTTGACTCCATGTCAATAGCCAAACCAATACGTGGACTCTTCAAACCACTCTACGAGAGCGTCGTATCTCTCTTTCCATATCTTGCCGCAGGCTTCAGCTGTGGCTTCACCGTCTTTCTCACATGCTAGATCGAACTTTATGGAAGCATCAGGATCGAGATGATATCTGGCATCGACAGGAGAGAGCACAGCAATGATGTCAGTGGCTAGCAGCTACCGCAAACGGCAATGATGGTCAGGGCAGCTTTTCAAGCTTCCCCGCTTACGCAGGTCTGGATTTGGATCGACCCTACTTGACAGCCCCGCTGTTGTGATCTGTATGTCGAGGGTAGAAGACTGAATAGAGAGGTCATGCTAGAGAGCTCTTCTAGGAGAGACAAGTCAGACCAGACATGAATATTCCCGAGTTCAGTGCATTGAGTTGTTCAGGACAATGGCAATTTCCCATTGTATTGCTTGCTAGAGAGCCGTTTGGAAGATGAAAGGTATGACGTAGCTGAATGAGGGGTGCGTGATCAACTCAGCAGCGGGACTTTTGTTACGCAAGCAACAATTGGCGGGGCCGTCCATCCATTCCAGAGTCTGGATTGGCTATTGAGTTGCTATAGCGTCAGACCATGGCTCGATGTCGTTAGCAAGGGGAAACGCCTTGATGTCAGTTGGCGAGCGAATAAGGCTTGAGTGGGACACATTCGATCATTGTGGAATGCCCACTACTCGCACGTGGACGAAGATACAAGTATAAGAAGAGCCACCACCTTTGTCCTTTTGCTTCTTCTTCTCATCATCACAAACAAACCAATCTTCTACTTTACCAAACCCAAACCAACCACCACCACACTTCATCAAAATGTCTTCCAACAACACCCCCAACGTCGACAAGCCTAACGAGGGCATCGTTGGCCAGATCTCCAACTCCATCGGCAACGCCGTCAACTACGTCTCCGAGACCATCCAGGGCAACACTGCTGAGGCTTCCAAGGAGGCCAACAAGCAGCAGGCCAAGGGCAACACTGCCGACGACTCTATCTCTGGCCGTGTCTCCGGTGCCATGGGCGCTGCCTCCGACAAGATCGACCAGCACTCGCACGAGGCCAATGCCAAGGCCAACAAGGAGGGTATCTAAGCGTCTCGTTTCGCTCTGACCTACCTTTTCCTTTACCTATCACCATCGCCTACCACAACACCACCTCGATGCTGGACAGAAAGCACAATACCCTCCAGGGTTCTTCTTTGATGGACTCAAGCAACTCGTGTTTTGCTGAGAGGCCTCTTGACCTGCCTTGGAAGCCTTCTTCCGGTTGTCGAGAATTCGTTTGGAGGATACTATGATCAATGGATCACGAAATTTATGAGAAATTATTGTATCAGAAACGATATCTACCCAGAAATGAGAGATGCTATGGGTTTTGGCTGCGATGGAAATTTGTAGTCATAAATACCAAATGCCTTTTGATCACATACACTTTTGCCTTTCCACATCATCGTGATAGTTGCTCGTGACCCTGACAATTCTACATACATCAATAGAGAACGACATGTTCGTTTGCGTTATGATGCACTGTCGTACTGCTGACCTCTTGATATCTCCTATTCGTATCACGCTCTCCCCGCACGCTCCCGCTAGTTATACATGCTTGAACAAATGCAACATCCTTCTGTCGCAGGATCATATCTGCTGAGATAAATCATCTTAATGGTTCTCTCTGGACATGCCCATATCCTGAAAACTTTGTAGATTTTCACAGCCTTCGACGTTGCGAGGTACTGTGAGTCGTATTCAGATATGGTTAGTTCTCTCATAGCAAAGCAAATGTCGTACGCTCACGGGAGACAACTCGACGAATGAAAGATCTGTTGGAGGACACCCGGTAGCATAGGACATTCAAGACAACCATGAGGCTTGTCCCTATTCTTGACTAGACTGATACTGCTCCTTTTTTCCAGTGTCTAGCTCTTTTGTTGTTCATCTTCTGGATGACTCGAAACAGTTCGGGGGCTTTAGTAGCAAGAAGATTCAAATTAGACCTGAATATCATTAGAAGTCGAGACGCGCAAGACCTACATGTCCAGACTGGGAACAAGGAAAGTCTAACTTAGCATCCCTCCGCAGATGGTCGGTCTGCTCGTGCGAATATGCCCTATCAGATATCAAGCAGACTCGCTACGATGACATGTGCGAGATAACATGATTAGTGTCAAGCAGTCTACTGTCAGATAGACTCGATCAACAGTAGTCGGCTCATTCTACCTGGTTGTTCGTATCTTCTAGATATTTCAGAATTGCTTAATCGTGATCGAGTGTTCGCATTGCTTCGACAGTTTCCTGGCCTACAGGTCTCATGTGATGTACCAGTCCAAGTTCATAGCCCATAAGCTCTAGTAACAGTGTCTGGCTGAAGGCGAATTCCAAGATGACCTTGGCATTGGCATTACAGCCAAATTATCTTGGCTCTCAGATGCTCGCACCTTCTGCTCGCTTCAGCCAGAATCATCACCTTCTGCTTTGCCGATGCGCAGACTCCACCATGCTCATCACAACTCGAATCAAGTCGATAGGACAACCACGGCTTGGTGCGTTCTGCACTGGGACTCAGATTACCAAGATGCCAGCAGGTACGTATGAGCGTCATCTCACGCCCCAGACTTGGAGTGCGAGGGCTAACACAGCGAGCAGACGATGATACGGCCAAGCGAGGTACACGGCGAACGCGTATCACCACAATGTAGCGAGGAGTGCCAGGGCCATCGGACCTCCGCATCATTGCATAGCCTTCTCGTTGCTCAACAAATGCCTCCTTGGCTTCCCGCGCCATGACTTCCAGGAGTCGAGCGGAGCCAAGTGCCTTGGTATGTGACAGGATGTCAACTATGCCAAGCTGAAGGCAAACGATGTCGCCTCCTTTCCACTTGCCGCTGATGCCGAGAGCTACGCAACGTGTGCACCTTGGACCGAAGCCGACATTTCTGGACACCCACCTACCAGCACGAGTTTGTGACACAGCTGGCCGCGGAGCGATAAAAGTCCAATACTGGACAGCAGACTGAAAATTGCTCGTCAGATGTGCCCCAAATCGGATATAGTCGAACCGGCTCTCAGGATCAAGACAGACCAATGATACATCGAAGGATCGCACAGCCTTCTTGGCAACTTGGCACCAGGTTTGCAGACCCATGCAATCCTTGCACGTGGATAGACTGAGATAAGTGAGTTTATGGATAACCAAGCAGGAAGACCGAGGATGCCCAACAGGATTGAACTGCTCGAGACCGCGCTGTGACTGACAGCCAGATCCTGGTCAGTCGACTGTAGGCCTCGATCCAAGAACAAGCTGTTCTGATCATGGTCTTGCTTAGGGGTGTGGTTACTCGCTAGTGCCACTAGTGTCGAAATGAGAACTTGGCGTCTTTTGCGTGCTTCGTGTCGGGCTGGGTATTACGCTCGGCGCTTGGTCTCTCCGCTCCTCAGTCCTGCTTCTTTAACTGGGCTCTGCCTGCTCTTTCCTCCTCTTGGCTTTTTCTGGTCTACACGTCTTGACTCCGCTCATATCCAAGCCTTCACATTTCACAAGCCTTCACATCTGAAGGGTTGGACTTTCCTTCACTTTCACTTTTCACGTGTAAATCCAGATTCACGTATTCGAACAGACTTCTGTTTGTCTTTGTTGCACCGCGCGCATCTAGACGCGTCGTCTTCCAAAGAATTTGCCAAGAACCGCGAGCCTTTCAATACCAAGATGTCGGACGCTGCACCTGGTGCCGCTATGGCACCTCAGGCAAATCACCCTGACCCTGCTGCCGCTGCCGCTGCCGCCGCTGCTGCTCAACAACTTCAACAGGCATCGCCTGATCAGCAACACCAGCAGTTGCAAAGTCAACTCCAGCAGCACCAACCTCTCCAACAACAGACATTGGCACAGCAGTCACTTCAACAGTCTCCAACTATTCAACATGCCCTTCAGTCGCCCATGCAACAGCATGACTCACCTCAACCTGTCCAGCATGCCCTTGGAACCCCTTCTCTCGGCCAGAGTAGCACTGTCGACTCACTCACTTGCCAGTGGCTGAACTGCGGTGAACGTCACCAGACAGCTGAGGCTCTTTATGTAAGTGCTCTTCTACCCTACAGCATGGCACATGTTCTAACACCTGCATCANNGGAGCACGTATGCGAACGTCACGTCGGTCGCAAGAGCACAAACAACCTCAACCTGACTTGCCACTGGGGTTCTTGCCGCGTCACAACCGTCAAGCGCGATCACATCACATCTCACATCCGCGTTCACGTTCCCCTCAAGCCTCACAAGTGCGACTTCTGTGGAAAGGCTTTCAAGAGACCTCAGGATCTCAAGAAGCACGTCAAGACTCACGCTGATGACTCGGTCCTTCTTCGCTCTCCTGACCCGAACATGGGCCAGAATAGAGGCCCTGGCAACAACTACCAGCAAGGTCAGCCTGGTAAGCTCTTCATGCCTTACCCACTTGAGCGTATGCTAACATCGGCTCCAGCTTCCAACGGCTACTACGGCCATGACCTGGGAACCCCTAGCGGCTACCCTCACCCCAACCACGGCTTGAACAGCAACAACTTCTTCCAGCAGCCTCAGCAGCAGCCCCAGTATGCCGGCTATGGCCAGGTCAACTACCCTGCCAGCAACAGTCTTGCCGACATCCAGAGCATGGACACTCGCCGCCGCGCCATCGAAGCTCTTAACGACTTCCTCGGTGATATCAAGCGTCGCGCTATCGACCCTGGCAACTACTACGATGTCGGCCAGCGTCTTCAGTCAGCCAACCTGCCACTCCCTATCAGCACCGGCTACGGCTACTCGACTGGAAACAACTACTCCAGCAACAACAACTCGTCGTACAGCACAGCCAGCTCATTGCTCGATAGCTTCAACAACTCTGGCAACTTGGGCATGACTAGCAACAACGGTGGCAGCATGTCTCAGGGCCCTCTTACCCAGTCATACTCGCTGCCTCTGCCCTCTAACGCCCGCACCAAGCAAGACTTGGTTGAGATTGACAAGTTCCTCGAGCAGCTTCAAGCTACTGTCTACGAGAGCAGCAACAGTGCCGCTGCCGCCGGCGTCCAGCAGCCTGGATCGCATGCTCAGTACACCAACTACCCTGGATTCAGCAGCCAGTACCGCAACAGTGATAGCCCTCCCAACATGCAACACTCTGGCTCCGTTTCCACCCCCGGCATCGGTTCGCTCTCCAACATCAACTCTAGCAGCGCTATGGAGACTCCTGCCCTCACTCCCGCTTCCGTGTCATCTTACACCTCTGCTGGCCAGTCTCCCATGTCTACCCACTCTCGCTCTAGCATGAGCAGTGCTCACGGCAGCTCCATGTACCCCAGCCTGCCATCTGTCACTGCCATCTCTGACATGGGTGCTGGTTACCCTGCAACCACTTCTGCTCCTGCATCCGGTCTTGCATCTGGATTCGAGGGCTTCGAGGGTCGCCGCTACAGTGGTGGTCGTCTTCAGCGCGAGGCCCCTGCTCCTCGTTCTCAAGACATGGACTCTGATGCCATGGAGACTGAATCCGATGGCGCCAAGACTCCTCGTGCCAAGCAACCCGAAGACTCGTCTTCTCTTGACCCTGCTCTTCGTGCTGCCTCTCAATCATCGACTGCTGTCCAGAGCCCTAGCACTGGTGCTGGCAGCGATTCTGATGAGAAGCAAGCCACTTGGGTCGAGAATGTCAGAGTTATTGAGGCTCTGCGTAGATGGGTCAGCGAGAGAATCAACAACCAAGAGTTCGAGACGGAGGCCGAGTATCCCGAACCTCAACACGTTGATCATGACATGCACATGGATCACCACCAGCCTTCTGACGAGAAGACTCTTGAGCCCCAGTACGAGCAGCTTCACCATCAAGAGCCCGAGCAGCAGCAACATGAGCAGCAGCATGAACAGCACGAACAGCGTGAGCAGCAAGCTGCACCCGAAGGTGAACTTGACGTTTCCTATCCTGTCCTGAAGGTCGAAGAGTAGGGGACTCGTTCCTATTCTTCCTCAGCGGTGTGTACGGTTGTGTTACTATTCTATATGGCAGATCACGAGTAAACGGAACGGATCAGATTGAAGGCGTTGGGCTCGCTCGCTCTTAAAAGGCGAGCTTGAGTGGGCGTTGGTGGTGGGTGGAATAGGGTGGCTGTTCTTTGCAGCAATGTTTTTCCTTGCTTTCAGTATTTCTATTTTGGTCATGGACTCAGGCAGTAGGCATACATACCCCGTCGCTGTCTGTTCCCCTATTGGCAATTCTAATTTCATTTCTCCTCGTTTGCATAACTCTTCCCACTGTATCTGCTGAAATGCACAATACTTTCGTAGAGAATTCGGTCTCCACAGAGAACCTCATCAAAGGCTATCTCCATGGTCAAAACTCCCTTTTAATTGCAACTGTGCATTTAGATAGCGTATAACAACCCTCATCCTCGCGATGGGGAAGAACTCAATCGTTACTATCTACTCAATTCATACTCATGTCTTTGTCTTCTTGAATGCTTTCTCAAGCGTACTTTGACCACCTCTCTTCCTGGAAGATGTAGTCTTGGTATCTGGTTTGAGTTCCTCGGTGCCATGAGCGTCCGCGTTTGCGTCGCCCAGAGACCCCGCCGGTCCTCCCTTGTGGCCTTGGGTGGGACCCTCGGCGTCGTCATCGAACATTTTCTTCCAAGTCCCATCCAAGACTTGTGGCGAATCTCCATACAAGCCGATGCTGTAAGCGCTCTTCAAACCGTTGATACAGATATCTCTCTGCTTTGGGAAGTCGAACATAGGCTTGGGATAGAGCTTGAGATCACCCTCTTTCTCTTGCTCACCATCACCTTTGATCATGACGCCGGCCTTCTTCTGGTCCTGGATCGGCGCTTTCCAAGGCTCATAAATGTATTTCGTAGGCATGTCTTTGAGTTCAGGAACATATCGTCTGACAAACGCGCCTTCCTTGTCCCATTTCTGAGGGAATGCGATTGGTGAATAACAGCGATAGTATTGCGAGTAGAAAGCGACACAGGCTAGCCATTGCCAGTTTCCGACGTTGCAGGCTGTTTCGTGATCGATGAGGAGTTCTTCGAAAACTTCTGCGCCGCGTTCCCAGTGGATGTAGCAGCCGCCTAGAAGGGAAATAGTTAGCATGTTTCCCGTGTAGAAAGTTGTACACCATCTCAAGGTCCCAAGACAACAGAATTATACTTGTTGCAATGCAAAGTGCGATACTGATGGGGTTGATGTCCATTGAGAGCCTAGTTCCTCATCGGGAGCAATAGTATCTCAATGGACATCCCAGTCTTTCAGATAGCACTCTGCATTGCGACAAGTAAAATTGATGGTTCGACAGAAGCCGGGAGACCATTTGACTGTCATTGACCTGTGTTCCATGTTTTCGCAACATACGTACCACGCGTTAAGAAGCAAGCAACAGCATGACGGCCAAGGTGGTGTATCCAGCCCTCGAGTCTCAGCTGTCGCATCAAAGCATCAATCCAAGGGAAGCCAGTTTTGCCATTACGCCAGCGTTTGAACTCTTGTTCCTTTTTCGGGTCGTCTATCTCGTATTCTCCAGTGATCAATCCTGTCTTTTCATCAACCTTAGAAGGCAGATGCCAAGGTACAAATCGACAGTGGTTGTTCTTCGCAGTTTGCGCAAATGGATAGCCTATTGCTGCTTGCGCGGCAAAGTACATATCTCTGAATAGCAATTGTCCCTGCAAAGAGGTTGGTGGCTCTGTAGCTTTACCTTTGTATCTGTCGAGAACTTCCTGTACTTTGTACCAGAATAATCTACACGACAAAGACCCAAAGTGCAAGTGAGGTGATGTAAGACAGGTAGACTGTGGCTCGAAAGCTGTCGGCGCAGTAGAGGGCTTGCTGAATGTTGCGGTATATGTCTCATTAGAGATGACATCGTCCAGAATTTGCAATGCTATTGATTCGCCTCCCCGATGAGGCGTGGTTGCTTCCTGTAACCCGAGTTCTTGCAGAGTCGGTACTGAGAAATCACCATTAGGTCCTGAAATTCCAACTGCATAGGAGCCCTCGTCGCTGACTCGATGCGTTCGATTGAAGTCGGGCTCGGATTTGGGCTTTTCTTGTTGAAATCCTAATGAAAGATGTCCTGGATCAGGAAGGCTCGACGGAGCAGGCAGAGGTTCTGCTACCTTCCCTAGTTTTGCTGCGGCAGCTTGCACTTGCGCTATAGTCATTGTTGGCTTGCCATGATTTGTTTTGACCAGCAGGTCGCTGTCATAGAGCGTGCGTCCACTCTTTGTGATCACCCTGACTCCCATCTCATTCGCAATTTCGCAAATCTTGTCATCGCGTTCCCGCGCATACGCATCCGTGTCTTTCTCGAATACCAGATGTGTGATATTCCATTCCTTGAACAGCTTTGGCAGCAAAGTCTGTGGAGCTTCACGTAGCACGAAGAGTTTCGAATTTTTGTTGATTTTGGTGATGCCTTGAGAGAGGTCGTTTTGGCAGTCGATGAGGAATTGCCAGCGGTTGACGCCGACCCTGGCGCGGTAAACGTAGTGCGGGTCCCATGTCCAGATAGGATATAGGCATTCTGGCTTCAAGTCGAGCGCTGCTGCTAGTGCTGGAGAATCGTGTAGGCGTAAGTCTGTACGGAACCAGTATATTACTCTTGGAGCTTTCGACATTGTTCAGAGTGGCAGAGATGGGTACTGCGAGCGTCTGTTCGGTTGGAGCGAGTACTGTGAAGCGCCTCTAGGTCGCGACAATACAAAGCAAGTGTACACAAAGCCATGGCGCACGGTAGATGTTTATCAAATACCACCTTGATAATATGAACCTCTGCCACGTAAAACGGTTCCTGGAATTGATGATGACATTGATTGAAAGTCAAAACGCGTCGATCGAAGGTCTCGCGTCAGGGTCCACCCTCGGTCTCGTCCTGCAAAACGCACGATGTTTTTAGGAAACCACGCAGCATCCTTGGGAAGTCACAACCTTGTCAGCTCTCCTTGGACAAATCCACATTTCGAAGACAACTATGCATCTCTACAGCTAGACATCACCCTGTTGTACAGTCAGCGAAGACTAGGCATCCAATTAATACACCCACTGCAGGCGGCAACTGAACGAATGAGAGCCCAAGGTCTATATTTGCTGTGATGTGACTGCCTACATTTTTCCTACTCGCTCCTTATAGTTACACTGGTTTCACTTTGACTCTTTGACCCTCCCCTAATATTTATTGACATGCTTGGTTACCTGACAGATATACTCACGGGCACTCGCCGCAGAAGACACCCATCAGTAATCCTCGTTCTGCAGCGTCTGACTTCGACCAGCTTGCTGCATATCGTGCCCGAAACTGACGACGTAGAGCATGTTGAGTTTGCACCACCGGCATTTACCTACCGTGGAACTTTAGAACGGTTTCGCGAACAGATAGCCACAGTCTCAATATACGCCGCGGGTAACAACATCGACGAATACCTGGTAGAAGTCGGTCATCGGGCGACTAAGATCTTAAGCGACCGCAGAACTCCTGGCCTCGAAGGCAACCGTTTCTTGTCCATCGAACAGGCTTTGCGATCTGCAGTATCTGCGAGCCTGGAGAGCCGACTAAACGATCCTCCAAAGATTGGGGACCAACTTTTCCCAGTGTTCTTGGTACACATCGATCGACCGAAGCCAGAGAAGATCTTGTCGAACGAGTTTACGAGCTTGGGGTGAGCACCACAAATCGAAGCTACTACGACCCTTGGACAACCTGTTCGGGCAGAAGACACAACTGGATCCATGCCGCTCACACCGAGTTCTCAAGGCGAGACAGATATGACGAGAAATGCCAAATCGTGTCAAGTCATCACATGATCATCTCTACCAGACCTACCTCGGCTCAGAGGAACAACCATACTCGATTTCGGTCGTCAGTTCTACATCTACGCACCCTCTACAATCTTAAAACTTGGAACAGACGAAGGCGAGGCAGCGATGACCGCCCTCGCTCACAACATTCTCGGCAAAGTCGTCCCCAATGTCTCCGGGCTGGTACACATTGCCGATCTACAAGATCAAGGCCTACTCCTCGATCATCAACCAGGTATTCCTCTTGTCGAGCTCTGGTCGACACTCAGCCCCACAGAGCAGGCTACGGTTACGAAAAGTCTTGTTGATCTGCTTGTTCGAATGCGAGCACCGCGAGAAGGATTAGACTACTACGGCCGTCCAAACGGACAACCGTACATCACCCTATCCGAATTGGGACCAAATGATACCCACTCTTACTGTCACACATACCAAGAATGGAGTGCATCCCGTGTGCATGCACTCCACAAGTCCATGGAAGAAAGTGAAATCGATGAAGCTCGCGTACAGGAGTTAGAGCATATTCAACAAGAAACAACCGCAGAGAAGAAAACCCTTATAGACTTACCGGTTCTCACGCATGGAGACTTGTCGGACCGCAACATCCTGGTTGATCCTTCTACACTTCAAGTGACTGGTCTCATCGACTGGGAGTTGGCCAACGTTGCTCCTGCCTACTTTGAGTATGCTGCAGCACGTCTCTGTGGCGGTCACGATCCTCCTTGGCGAAAAGTATTATTAAAAGTGCTACGTCAGGTTTTGCGCATTGAATGTGATCGCGCGCTCCACGAGTCAGACCCTGAGCGTGACTTCACAGCTTCTGAGAAGGAGAACCTATTCACTAATGCGATGGCTGCGTGGAACTCTCTTGTCGATGTTGAAAGATCTGCACAAGGGTTTTCAGATGCCTGCTATTGGACTTTTGAAGAGAAGGCATGATGGGATTGTCGAACTAGCAAGCTATGGAATGCATAACAGTTGATGCAACTGCTTGTTGCGAGAAATATAATTTGTCGGTCTCTCATCACAAGCACATACGGCCACAGTCAGCTGAAAACTGGGCATCCCGTCCGCTCTGCCATACATAAGCAGTTGAACGGCAGATTAGTACTACGGTGGGTGACCACGTGGGAATCCCTGCTGCTGTATGTTTTGCATATTCTTTTTTTGTTTTGCGAAATCCAAGTATGAATTAGACCAAGGAGCAGCTGTCATCTATGCGAATGTGGACTGCTTGACGTGCCTACGGTTTCTGAGTATATACGATCTAGATACCATCGAGATTTAGGCGTTTTCCTACACAATCTATCTAGTCAAGCTCGGCCTCATCCATGTTGCGAATAAACAGAGAGAACCACTTGACAGTGTTGACGTGGTTCTTGATAGAAACTCTCTCATCCACAGTGTGTATGTTACCCAAACCGCTCGACTCGCCGTCGTAACCAGGAGCGAAACGGAAGATGTTGCGGGACAGGTCCCAGTAGTACTTGGTGTCAGTATTGCCGGTCATAATGCCAGGGGCGACAATGACCTCGCTGCCGTACAGAGCACGGATTGAACCAGACAGAACGCTGTAGGCAGTCTCACCCTCGACCGAGGTGGGTGTAACAGGAGCAGGCTCAAGAACGCGCTCGAAAGCACTGAGCGAAATGGAAGAAGGCGACTCGGTGGTGTTGTCGAAAGCGTGCAGAGAAAGACCGTACTTCTTTGCAACGCCCTTGGCAAGACCGGCAATCTTGGCATGAGCATCGGCAGGGTGCTCTCCGACATTGATACGGTGGTTGACAATAGCCTGAACACGTTCGGGAAGAGCGTTGACCTTGACACCACCACCGATCACATCGACGGCGATGGAGGTCTGCATCAAGTATTGGATGGCGGGACCTGCCTTTGCGGCCTCAGATGCAAGGGCGTCAGGCTTTGCTTTACACTGACCTTGAGCCTTGTCGAGTAGCTTGCCGAGCTTCTTGGGAANATCTTTGCCATGCTCGGCTCCACAGTAGAGCTGACCAAGGTAAGGGTTCTTGCCATCAAGACGAAGGGGGTACTTGTCTGCCTCAATCTGGGTGATAAGCTCGCTCATGACACCAATGGCAGTGTGGTCTGGAGGAATAGAGGAGTGACCACCAGGCATGCGGATAGTGATAACAACATCAGTGTAGCCCTTCTCGGCAACACCAGGAGTGGCCATAGTAACTCCCCAAACATCATCGATACCAGCACCCTCATCCACGATGACGGCAAGCGAGTCAGGACCGTAACGTTCGAGAATGAAGGGAGCGAGAGTGCCTGCACCTTGACCACCGCTGATCTCCTCATCGAATCCGAAGGAAAGAAGAACAGTTCTAGAAGGAGTAAAGCCAGCATCAAGCAGTAGCTCAACGGACTCGAGGATAGCAATCAGCTGGTTCTTGCAGTCAGATGAGCCACGACCCCAGATGTTCTTGCCATCGAAGAAACCAGACCACGGAGGGTGTGTCCAGGCATCGAGTGTGGCATCAGGTACAGGAACAGTGTCTTGGTGGGCCATAAGCAGAGTGGGCTTCAGGCTAGCATCCGAACCTTGCCAAGTGTAAACAAGGCCGTGGGTGTTGACTTTCTCAACCTTGAGATGCTCGTAAACCAAAGGGAACGTCTTNNGAAGAATTAGCAATTTCTCATTTGATTCTTTCAAAATCCTCCTTACCTTCTCGAGGTACTCGTGGAAGGGGAAGAAAACCTNCCATCTCTTGTCCTCGCCAACCTTGCCCAGATCGTCGAACGACTGAGTGTCAATTTGGACAGCACCGGAGAGACGTTGAATAGATGAGTTCTGGAAAGCAGGCGACTTGAGGTAGGCATCCATGTTGACCAATTCATCGCTCTGCTGGCTAGGCACAAGAGGCTCAACCTGAGGACATTGCGACTTTTGATGGTGGTGCTTGCCATGCTTTCCATGATGCTTCAGCGGCAGCTGGGGAAGGACAAAGGACCAATGAAGGAAAGCAACCAGAGCTGCACATGCTGTGACCTGTACCGTATGTTAATTGGCATGATCTCTCTCAGAGCGATTTTTACAATGACACACGAGCTTGATGGTTCCCCAACGAGAGTTCTTCTTTGCTTGTGCACGCTGTTCGGAGATATCGTTTACGACCGGGAGCGACCCGATGAGTTGCTGTTTCTCATCCATCTTGCCAATTGAGTTATGGACAAAACGAAAGATAGGAAGGAAGAAACAATTGAATATTGGGAAGGCAGCAGTGGCTGTGTACCTTATATCATCATCCGCCCCGCAAATGGCACGACCTTCTACTTTGGTGCAGGTGACGGGTTGGAGATAGGCCAAAGATAGCCGAAGCAGCCGATCATTATTGAGTGGAGACACCTCCAGCGATCCTTCCTCGCCAACTCGCAACACCTCCAAAGCGCAATATGATCACTCTAGCAATACAGCCCCTAGGCAATTTTACTAATGCATACGCCGTTCACACATTATATGTCATAAATCATTTCTATGTGCTGCCGGAAAGCTCGACCCTCTAAAGGGAGCCCATTGTGACATTCCCCCCTACATATCGCAGTATTGTAGCTTTGCGTTCTTTGTCCATTGGGAGGATCAACTCGAGCCCGCTCGGTTTCTACAGTATCGATTCTGACAGATCATGCGTCGTCGACCACTCTTGTTTGTGGATTGCATGCCTTCGCTAACACTGCAGACCGTGTTTGCGGCACTTGATGCTTTTCTGCCGGGTTTACATCGTTGATCGATCCGATGCACCATCTCAGGCACTCTTCGTTGCTAGCAATACACTGCTCGGCTCAAAACGAGCCATGTATCAGCGAATGGCGCTTGACATAGTCCGTTCTTGAGTCCTGAGCGGGTGCAGCACGTTCGGTATTTGGTTGTCATGGAGCATATGCTCATCTCTCATCCCCCCTCCCTATATTTCTGCACCATTGCCACCATCCTAGGTACCAGCTCTCGGACCAGGAAAGGCTTAGTGACCACTTCGTCCATGCCAGCCTCTAGCGCGACGGCAACCTGCTCTGGTCTGGCATTGGCAGTAATCGCAATAATAGGAACATGGGCTATAATGTCGCCTTTAGATTCCGATTGACGAATCCGACGAACGGCGCCTAGACCATCCATGACTGGCATCTCGACGTCCATGAGAATTATAGAAAGCGGAACGGCGGAAGGGGAAGAGGATGAGGAAGACGAGAAAGTGGTGGTGGCAAGGAAATTCAAGGCGGCGAGACCATCGTCTGCTACATGGACGGTAGCAACGTTCAAGCGGCGGAGTTGTTGGGCGATCACCTGCGCAGTTGAGTTGAGGTTAGCCTCGGAACCTCTTGCTAGAATGGCGGAATCTGTACCTTTTGATTGATCTTGTTGTCTTCGCAAACCAACACATGTAAGTCCTTGACTGACAATTTGGTTTCTTCCGCTACGTGTGACATTGTCAGGAGTTTGACATCTTGCTTGCCTACTGCGTGAGGTAGTTTGAGGACATCAGTCAATGCTTCGGTGGAAGCTATCGATTCAGTGTGAGATGTGGGTGTAGGTGGCTCAGCTCGCCTTGTCTTGATGAAGAAGGCAAACGTCGAACCGACTCCTGCTGTACTCTTGACGCCAATCTGTCCTCCTTGAAGTTCAGAGAGACCTCGGCTGATAAACAGACCCAGCCCGCTCCCACCATATGTTTTGTAGGTTTTTGGTGATGCTAGAGTTTTTAAGGTGCGGTTAGCGCTTGCCACTTTGATACTCGGATCAAGAACTATGGGCTTACCTTGGGCGAAGCGCTGGAACAAGACTTTACATTCGTCCTCTGTAAGGCCTCGTCCGGTATCCTCAACACCGATGTAGATATATACTTCCTCTCCAAGATTGATCTCTGGTACAGGCGTTGCGGGTGTAGTGGGCATAGAAGAATCCTTAGTAATATCCTTGCGTGGGCTCAGGAAAGCAATGCCAAAGTCCTCCTCCGTAGGCTTCGTGACAGAGGCAGCAAGTTTGACGGTAATTCTTCGCTCTCTCTCAAACTTCGTAAATTTGATCGAGTTGGAAAGAAAGTTGATGATCTGCAAAGTAGAGTCAGAACCCATGGTTTGTCATAGAAATGAAGAGCAAATCGGATCACTTACCACTTGAAGCAAACGACTAGGATCGACCAAAACATAATCCACAGCGAGCTTCATATAGCTTTGATCAATCTCCATGTTCGCCACAATGTTGGCGTGCTCAATCTCTTTCTCGAACATTTTAAGCGCTGTCTCGATGATCGTAGGCACCTGAGATCTTTCCAAACTGAGAACAAGAAGGTTAGAGTCCAGCTTTGAGAAGGTAAGAACTTCATCTGTTGCATGTCAGTGTTTTGCATTCCGCTTGTACTAGAAGTTCAGCTCACCTATAATGGTTTTCATGTGTCTAGCACAAAGAGTGATAGTTTGAGCAGAGTCTCTCAGGGACTCAATGGTATCAGGCGCAGGCGGAGTCTCCAACAACGACATGATGCCATCTGCCAACTGGAGAATTGACGACAGAGGATTTCGCATCTCGTGTGATAACATATCTAAGAATGTTTCCGTCGCACGCTTGTTCTCAAGTGCATCCTGGAGTTTCTCGCCAATGAGGCGTTCGTTCATCTTTCTCGGACTGACATCGAGTAACCATCCCTGTATTGAGGTTATAGCGTTATTCTCATCACGTTCCGCGAAACTCATTGACTCGACCCATCTGACATCACCAGGCAAGCCGCTTCCAGGTGCTTTCAATCTGACCTGGGCCTGAACCGGAGCTCTTCCTTCAATTGTCGAGAGCCACATGCTCTCAACAAGTTTGAGATCGTCTTCGTGAACTGTTGGATTCCAGCCGAGATCGTCATCTGCAGCCTTGTAGAATTGTGTTCGTGTTACACCATGTAACTCCAGATATGCGTCGTTGACAAAAACGGGATATCCATCCGGCCTGAGCATGTACATGCCAATCGGAGCTTGTCTTGCCATCCTGGCATAAGAATCCTCCTGCATTTCAGCCTCTAGAAGAGCGATTTGTAGCTTGTCAGACAATGCCGAGGTAATAGCTGCAGTCCTTTTTGTTCTTCGGGTAATGTGACGAATATAGCGCTCTTCCGAATAAGGTCACCTATTCTTGACACGAAAGATTGGCTTCCTTCGTCAAAAGGTCTGCCAGGATTCATGCCAAAGATGGCGACAGCAAGTCTGCGATTATTTAGATCTGTGATGGGCAAGACGCAAATTACCCTGATGGCGACCTGGTCGGAAGTGCTCCATTGAAGATCAGTGGGAAGAGAACCATCATCTTGCCTATAAACCAGAAGCTTTTCATAGTCAGACGCTCTATTAAGAGATTTGACCATGGACAGGGGTAGCTTCAATTGTGTATCTGCGACACCGAATGAAGCCTCGAGAAGATAGTCTTGCGAGGTTAATGACGATTGATGCGTTTGCAGGTCCCCAGCGCTCGTAACAGAGAAGACACAGCCAGCAACAATATCGATTGAGGTCTTGTTGAGCGGATCCAAAGAGACGGGCCAAAACTGCTTCAGGCTAGTTGAATTTGCGGCAGTTTTGATGGATGCATCGAGAATGGCAGCTCGATTCTCTTGTACAACAGCAGTCGTGTTTTCGGCAAACTCGCAGACACATCCGAGATAGCGTCCATCTGGACCAGTGATGGGCAATTGGTAGAAGTGGTGCCATGTTTGCTCTGAAAAATCGTCCCTGTGCATCTCGAACATGACATTCTTCATCTGCTGTGCCTTTCCAGACACAACCACAGCTCTAATAGTAGCTTCAATCCGATCGAACATAATTTGGCCCCAAACAACTTGCAATGGCATGCCTAAACAAGGGTGTTTTTTGCCCAAGATGGGCACAGCGGCTTCATTGTATATCATTGCGTGTTCATCGCCCCAGTATAGAACACGAGTTTCGGGACAGACCATCATCCTCTGGACGGCTCGGCGCAATTGTGGGTGCCATGAAGATATAGGACCTAGAGGGGTCTCATGAAAGGGTAGCTGTTCACATAGGACATCCATGGGTCGTCTCTTGGTTCCAACCAGCCCATATACATGTCGGTGAGCTTCTGTAGTTCTGACGGGCTTTTGTTTCTGTCGTTTTGTTGATTGTGGTCTAGCATGACGGCATCGGCGCCAGACGCAGCAGCAGTAGATGTCCAGCGGCAGAAGACGGTCATGACCGAGTTTCCCAAGCTCTTTCCTAGCCATTTCTGATGCGCAAAGGTACCAAGATCAACAGGTTCATGGGTAGCATGAGCTGCGACGGCGCACAGGTTGTCGGCCCATGACTGCAAGTCGGCAGAGGCGCCAGTCCCTCGAAGTAGCGAATCGAAGGCGATATTACAGAAGCGGATGCGACGGGTGTTGGTATCGAGAAGCAATGTCGGCCGGTCATCGTAGGCAATCAGCTCGATCAAGGTGTCGATCAAGCTTGCATGCCCAGGCGTCGACATGTTTGCCGTCGAATCGACGCGACTGAGGGAGTCACCGGAAAGTCGACGTCGGTGTATCAAGGGCTCGTTGGCGCAAACATGGAACTTGTCTCGACAGTCGAGAATGTCAAATCCATTGGTTGCTTAGAGTTTCACTACTGAACGTCTGCAATTTTGGCCCAATGCTTGCCAAGTCGTTTGTATGAATCATGGATGACCACATCGTGTCATGCCTTTATGTTGCTGTGCAATAAATCAATGGGATGGATCGGAATGCCTACACACAGTATGGCCAAATATGTCGGGCTTCGAGAAGAGTTCAACGATACGACATCGTATATCAATACCAGAGCCTCATTATTGCCGAGCCCGGTGGCACAAGACAAAACACCTTGATTGACCCAAGCGCCTCGCTAATAATCCGAACCCAAGAACGACCCGGGGCAGCCCTACCATAACCGTCTGCCTGCTCCTACCGCAGCCACTTGAGCACAAAGTAGACAAAAACAACAAACACCACCACGCCTGTCCAGAATATCCACTTATCTTGCTTTGCCCTTCGCTCGACCATGCGTATCGTGTCTCCCGAGATACCCAGCGTGTTCGCAACGCTGTAGAGCTTTCTCTGTGTGTTCTTGAGCATATCACGCTGCTCACCCAAATCACCCAACACTGCGCGACCTCTCTCCAGATACTCGTCCAACGTTGCATTTGTCGAGGCAAAGAAGTTTTGTTCACGCAGAGCGTGGTTCTCTCGCGCTTGATCGCCAGAGTCGGTGCTTAGTGCATAAGGTGACTGATACGATGAGTAAGGATTCGAGCCCGCTGCACCGGTAGGTGTGTTGACGAAACCGTCTCGCGTGCGGAATAGTGGGTTTGCGCCTCCATCGCGCGAAGAGCTAGCGAGGGCAGAATCGGCATATGGGTTCTCTGGTGTTGCATTTGCACCATGTGGACGACGGTGGCCTAGCAAATCATTGCGGTTGTTCTGATGCAGCTTTTCTTCTTGTTCGGCTTTGAGCAGGGCGAAGCGACTGCGGTAATCGAGAAGTTCGGCGCGGAAGTTTGTCAAGCGGTCTTGAGCCTNTTGTGCCTTTTCCGGGACTAGTTCCTGCTGAGCGCTTCTCGAATAATCGTCTAGTGTGCGGCTGAAAGATGTGAGGGATGTTGTGAGTTGTCCCTGGAGAGCTGGCGAGCTCGTGGCAGATTCGGCGTAGGCGTCAAGGTCCTTGCGGATGGCGTTGGACTGCCGTAATGCAGAGTTGAAGAGTGAGTTCTGTGCAGGGCCATGTTAGTTATAGATCTGTTCATCTTTGCCTCAGTTGACACTTACCATGGTTGTGTTTGAGTGAGTGAAGCAAGCTGTCAAATGCTCCCAGTAAACATGTGAATGCTGCCCTAGTCTCGGCCCAGCCCCACGGCCCGCCGCATGGTGGCACTCTGCCCTAACAAACTTGCTTGGCAACAATTTTCGCAACGCAGCTCTTGAATCTTTCTTTCAGCAACTTCCGATTTTTCGTCAATCAACCCATCCCAAACCAATCCTTCGGCCGTGAACCCCGGGCGAGCAAACCGCAAGGAACCTTCGGGCGAGCCATTTTACAAACGACTCCCATCCACCAACCACCTCCAAACCAACCAAAAATGTCGCAGAACGACTCCGCCGCCTGGCCCGTCGCTGACGCCGCCCTGACCCAGAACATCCTCGATCTGGTCCAGCAAGCCTCTCACTACCGCCAGTTGAAGAAGNNGGGTGCCAACGAGGCCACCAAGACTCTCAACCGTGGTGTCGCCGAGGTTGTCATTCTTGCTGCCGACACTGCTCCTCTGGCCATTCTCTTGCACATTNNCCCCCTGCTCTGCGAGGACAAGAACGTCGCTTACATGTAAGCCTCCCTCCATCTTTGCCTATACAACTCAAACACAGACTGACTCTCTTCGCAGNNCTACGTTCCCTCCAAGATGGCTCTCGGCCGTGCTTGCGGTGTTTCCCGCGCCGTCATCGCTGCCTCCATCACCACCAACGAGGCCTCCGACCTCATGGGCCAGATCCGCGCTCTCAAGGACAAGGTCGAGAGACTCATGATCTAAGCAGCGACCAGCTCTTGAAAAGATGCAGAGTGGAGCAAGCAAGAAAAAAAAGGACTTTAGGATGCCAGGAATATTGGGGTGCGCGTGCCCTTGATTGGGTTTTCTCGCCGATATTTTCACACACACCATGTAGTTCAAACAAATTCATAAAAAGTTCTACAAAAGCCACAATCATGCGCACCTGAGAATTCAGTGCCACAATTCGCAAAATCCTGTCGCGAAGGAAGAGATATGCGACCGTATGTCTTTGCGCTCTTCTTCATTCTATTCTACGAATCACATTTGCTTGAATGATCTCGGTTCTACACACCTTTTTGAATCAAGGGTATCGAAAACAATTGCTTAGTATGGAAAATGCTTGATATCGTACACTATCGTCCTCCCCATGCATTCCTCTCGTCGTTAAAGCTTCCGTACTCGGGTTGCGGCGATGTAACATTGCTTCCATGGTCGCGAGCATCCCAAGGTTGGTCGTGACCGAGCTCATCCTGTGGCTCTTCGTCCTCTTCATAATCACCAACCGTAAATGGTTGGTTCAAGTTGTGTGCATCGTCTTCGTCGACATGGTCAACGCGATCCGGGTTGTATCCTTCTCTCACCTCTTCGCGAGCGTCTTTGTTATCGGGATATGTCTNTACTGCAACCTTGTTAGTCTTGTTCGAAAGTAGAGGACGACTGGACGCAACTTACACAAAGTGTTTCTGCTCAATCTCATTCCATCCGGGTCCACCCTCCTTGCGTGCTCTGACACGTTCGACCTCTTCTGCTTCATGATCCTCCACAATAAGATCAACTAACTGGCTGTTGTGGGACTCGACCGTCACGGCCGATTCTGATGATTCGTGTCGAAGCAAACTACCGATGACTGGTATCGACGACTTGGCCTTGGAACGACTGCTGCTAGCACTGTCGCGGTGCTTGCCCTGGTGAGCGTTCTCCTGAAGGTTCTGGATTCTGCTTTTCCGCCTCTCGCGGTAGTTCTTGCTACCTGGTTGCAAGAGCTGACGATTGGTCGAAGCAGTAATTATCTCCGGCTCGGCTCGTAACCTGTCATCGCTGTTGGCATAGTGCGTGTTGATGACAGGATNACTACTTTTGTTAGAATGTGTTAGATGAGAAATTTGTTGAAACAAACTTACATTCCAATCACCGAACTCCAACGCCCTCGCACTACTATAGAGCTGTTCCTCCTCGGCGTCCAATTCAGGCTCCTCTGGAGGTGATTGTGCACCGTACCTGAAGGAGCCATGCGGCGAAGGAGACTTGCCGCCACCTCCGGGACTCATCGTACGTGCGCGACTGTGGCCACCCAGCAGAGGNNGAGTTTTTGCATCGGCATGGCCTCTTTCAGGTAGCCAGTATTTACCTTTACCTCCTCTTCCATAACGCATACCCTCTCTCATTCGTGCTGCACGTGACGCAGATTGTTCATGTGCAATGACGTTGTCTTCGGCATCGAAGTAGCGGTATTCGTACTTGGTGCCATAAAAGGTTTCTTTGGCATCTTCGATCAGATCACGGGGACCGAATGCATCTTTGAGAGCAAATTTGACGGGCATGCGGGCATCCGAGATGGTTCGATCGGCATAATCGTGCCAGGAGAAAGCGTACCAATGCGCGATGGCGAAGATGGGCATCTCGAAACAGATGGCAGCATCCTGAATGGCGGCGGCAACATTATCTGCCGAGTATTCTGAGCTGACGTCTGGGATGGCTCCCAACCAGACGAGAATAGAGAGGAAGAAACCTTGCCAATAGGAAGCAAAGATGATGCCCTTGATGCACAAGAACTTAGGCATAGGGCGGAAGGGCTTGAGATCCTGTGACATGCAGACCCAGAACAGAGCAAGAGCATATAGACTCAAGGTGATGCTAATGTTATATATTATACCGCTCCACAGGTAGCCAGACGTGACACCAATGTAACCTTCTTGATAGGTGCCTGTGGCCTTCATGATAATGGTCGAAATGGCAAGTATGGGCTTGATCCATGCATACTGTAGGATACCACGTTTGACGGTGAGAAAGGTATGAGGATCGGAGATGTCGACTTTGGGAAGACAGTGGTTCATGGGCCAGAGGTGCGAGACTGGTGCTCGACCATGCATCATGATGATAAGGGATCGTTCGCCGCCGAGGAAATTGATCAGGAGTTGGAAGAAAGCGTAGAGGGTAAAGGCTTCGTAGACATCACGGAAGGGGCCAATCCAGAAGGCGGCTTTGAGGGATACGAGACTGGCCCATGACGAGGCCGAGTAGATGGGTANCCCTGATATAGGTGGAGTGGAAGAAGGACAGATACAAGGACAAGAGAAGACGAACATGATCAGGATGCGAATAACATAGCGCTGTAGAAGCGGTTTGCGATAGTTTTGCTAGACGAGTCAGGACGTGGTTGCGGTCAAGTTTGTTCGCGATAAGGCATACCTTTGGAGCCATGTTGACCTGAAGGTAGAAAGTCAGTGATTGGAACAGACAGTAGAGCTAGGATAGACGGTGAAGAGACATACAAGAAGGTCAAGATGGTAGCGACCAAAGCAGCAACACCGGCAACAATGGTGACAGCGCGGGCGAATCGACTGCCTGTGCCTCCAGAACTGCCTGACATGGTGTAGACAGAGGAGGCTGAGGTTGCACGTATCTCGTGCTCCATGGTGTGCGAATCTACCTAGTCATACAGAGCATTGCTGCGAGCTGTTGGGCAAGATAGTCGGACAGGTGCGGGCGTGGAATATGCGTGCCTGGGAAGACCGTCATATGCGAAACGGTCGAACTCAAACGGCTCCTGTGGGGAAAACTCGCGCGTGCTCTTTTGCTACAAGCTGCTGCTGTGCTGCGTGCTCACCGCTGCAGGACTCGATGTTCTGATTCTTGTTGCCATCACGATGTCAACTGCTGCTAACGAGGCTAGTCCGTGGCTGCCGCCGCCAATCGCGCCTTCCGCTGCAATGACGCCGCTTGGCACGTCTACCGCGCGGTCCTTCCCCATTATTATTCATTTCGACCAGACTGAAACAGGAACACCAACTCCCCAAGGACACCAACTTCCCTTGACCGGATGACTTTCTCAGGCGCATCATGGTAGTCCAACATCTCGCTAAGCGATTATGGCAGACAACGGCCTTACCGCGACACCCTTGGGTCAACAGGGAGGTTTCAACTGGCTCTTTCTCGTTGACCTGATCGTCTGTGGTATCCTCGCTCTTTTCTTCATCTTCTACTTCAACCGTACTGTTTCTACCATCATCTCGTATGGAATTCGCGCCTGGACATGGCACAAATATCGAGCCTATATCGACATCACCTCATTCCAACTCTCACCGTTAGGAGGCCGCCTCTTCTTCAAGTCCATTCGATACCATGGTCAGAATCAAACAGTCTTCGTTCACGATGGAAACATCACCTGGCGATACTGGCTGCGCCAGGTTCAGGAACCACTAATCATGCAGAAAGTCTCCCGACGCCACGACTCGTTCGATACCGACCCCACCAGCTCCGATGCATCGCAGGANAAAACCAGGCCTAGGAGTAAGAGCGTGGGAAGGGCTGAAGCTGCTAATGTCAGTCGCAAACGGGAACTCCCTTGTCGAATCTTTGTCAAAGTCAAGGGCGTCGAGGCTTTCTTGTACAACCAGACTCCTGTCTATGACAACATCATCGCCAATCTTCAGAACACCGCTCGCACAAAGGACCCCAATGTTCCAAGCGCAGACATACCCTTGCAGGATCCAAACAAGGAGAAAGGCCCTGTACCAGAGGGTCTGGACCGTCAGGAAACACCAAGCAGCGTTGATGAGTCTCTTCTAGGCGAGACCCTGAGTAGGACCACAACTAGGAACACTACGCGTGAGAGTGCCATCCCAGCCTTCTTGAGACTGTTTCCCATTCAGGTCGAGTGCAAGAAAGCTGCTGCTGCTGTGGGTAATGAGTTCACCCAGAGCATACTTACCGTCAAGCTGGAAAATGCAAGTGGAAGAATCGATGCCGATGAGGCGGGTTCTCTGGATCTGTACAAGCTCATGTTCAACTTTGATTTTCACGATATCAATGTCGCTCTCAAACCAAACACAGACTACCAGATGTCTCAGATGCAGGCAGCTGCGCGCCTGGACAAGGACGAAGATCCAAAAGCCAAGAAAGGTCGCTTATTTGGTCTGCACCCGATACGACGAACAGGTAGAATCCTGCGTGCTCTACTACATGCTGTTACTTGGCTCTTCACATGGCATCGTAGCTCCAAACGTTCTGTCAGGACTGCATCGCTGCTTAGTGAAGACGATATCCTAGATGGCGAGTCAGCCAAGCTACCTGGCGAAGCACAATGGCAAGGCCTTGCACGTTACCTCGACGAGACAGGCAATGAGCACAATGAATGGGATGGTGTTGAATACGCTAGATTCTCCAATATCGCAGATGTGAAGAAGGCGAGCATGACCTTCTACTGGGATGTTCCAGGAAAAGTCTCTAAACCTCAACAGCCAAATCAGTCTAATCTCTATGATGAAGTCAACGGCTCCTCAGCACCCGAATATGGCTTGAATCTGTCAGTTGATGGTGCCATTATCAACTATGGTCCCTGGGCCGATAGACAACGAATGTCTTTACAAAACATTTTCTTTCCTGCTTCATATCATGATGCTGTTCCTGCTCAACGTCTTACCGTTGACCAAAACAGGGTCGCCACCGTGTTCAAACTCTTCTTCTGCTTGGAAAGTGATATCACTCTTCGCATCCCGACTCGTGAGGCATCGAAAGACTGGAAATGGCAAGGCCGAGCTGAAGGCCATCGTGCGCACAATGCCACTGACACTGGAGTTCGTAAGCGACGTGGTAAAGGATCAAAGAAGTGGTTCAAGAAAGAGCCACAGACCAGTGGTGCTGACATACGTCCTTTTGGGTGGATGGATGTCAAAGTGGCCGCTGATACCACCATCAATTATGCGATGGACATGTACGCACGCCAAGATGGTTATCACAATACGCTGAGTCTCGACGTCAAGGGCACCGAAATATCTTCCAGCGTTAATCACGCTATGTTATGGAAATCAGGGAACCTATTACTGGAAGGAGACCTTTCGAATCCCTTACGATGGAATGCTTTGCGTGAATGGATTTTCAAGATTCACTGCGACGGTCTTGATCTATACATGCTACGCGATCATATGTTTTTGCTGACTGATCTCATTGCTGATTGGGGTATGGGACCACCGCCTGACNNTTTTTACACCTTTGTCCCTTTCTTATATTCGCTGGATATCAACTTCAAGAACTTCAAACTTTTTCTCAACGCCAACGATGCCAACATTGTCAACGATCCATCAGATCTCGAGGACAACAATTTCCTCATTCTCAATGGCAAAGAGCTTCACGCTATATTGGAAATACCTCTTGATCAATACAGGCCAGCGCAAAACGGGATCAAGTTCGATGTTCTGGCCAAAGACATGTCTTTAGATATCAGTAATCCTCCTCGTATCACGTTGCATGGTCTGCTGCGACAGAAAAGACTTGCAACTCTGAAGAAGCTTACATTAGGTGGCAGCCACACCCTNTTTGTCGAACAAGCACCAGGTTTGGTAGACATGCTACAGATGGACATTTGCGGAACCGATCTAGAACTCCAGGCTTTTGGCTACTTGGTGCGCATGTTTATCAATGTCAAAGAGAATTACTTTGGAGAATTCTTGCATTTCAAGACCCTCGAAGAATATCAGAATGCTGGGTCGGATGCTGCAAATGCTGAGACCAACATGGTCGGTAGATTCGCCTTCAGGCCAGCTAATGATCTCGATGTGGTTCTTTGCATCACCACTGAGCATCCAGTTATCATGCTGCCGGCCAATCTCTATTCAGCAGAGACTTACATCAAGCTTGAGTTACCTGTGGCCTCGATGGATCTTCGAGTTTCCAACTATTATCTCGATCTTGCAGTCGACATCAGTCCGGTGTCTGTGTCTTGGTCCGGTATACGCAACGATGAGGATGAATTCGATGACTCTTCACCACAAATCATTCTGGACAGTGCAAGCATCACCGGCCATCGCCTGTTTGGTCTCCCGCCAACCGAGCCCGCGTACGTCTCAAACTGGGATGTTAGTCTTGGTAATGTGTCTGGAGAATGTTCGCTCGATTTTGTACACCATTTAGCCAAAGCTGGACGGGTAGTGGCTTTTGCGCTTGACGATTTTGAGAATGCTCTACCCCTGGCACAAACTGCGGAAATACCGGAAGCTGTCTTCTTACGTCTCAAGACAGGTTCTATATGCCTATGGCTCAATGAAGGCAAATCCGCCATTCGTCTTTATGCAGAACCCGTTACACTCAACCAGAACGATCGCGCTGATGGACTGTTTTCGTCTCGCCTCCACCTTGATATTCCGAACATCACCGCAACATGTGTTGACTCAGATTCAATGGCTCATCGGGGACTTCGTAGTGACGTGCAACCAGCGAAGTGCATCGCTTTCCTTCAAACAAGCCTCGACATGTCGATGGTTCAAAGGAAGGCACACTTCGACGCTGAGCGTCAGAAGCAACGAACTCACATCCGCCAACAAGATGCAAGAACAGGCAGAGCGAAGTTCCTGTTGGCACACAATGGGTCAGTGGCTGGTGGGGAGCATGCACGTAACGAAGAACAAGAATCTCTGCCGGATCCACCTTCTATGGCGCTTCCCAAACTTCCTGATCCCCTTGCAAAAGGCTCCTTGAAGATGGGCTTCGCAGCCGATGGTTCTATCAAGTCATCCATCAGCTCAAGTTCTTCTGTCAACCGTACTTCCACCCGAAAGGCACTCCCCAAAGGAGACCTTGATGATGTGGAACACTCTCGTCCCGCAATGTACCACTTCAACTCAACAACTTCTCAGCCTTTGGGTACTGTGGGTCTGTGGAGCCCATTTTCTGTTCCAGATCCTCGGAATTTTGATGTTTCCGCCGATCTGAGTAGGGTACCTCAGTTTTCAACGATAGTTGACGAAGCCGACGATATGTCTGAGACCTCTTCGCTGAGTGATCTGAGTGTAAATCTGGACCAGGATGGAGATTTGGATCAACAAACGTTCATGATTCGCATGATTCCCGGTATCCGCATCTATGTTGAGCCTCGAATAAGCGAGACCATTGTAAATATCGTCACCGCTTTGCAGCCAAAACGTTCTGAAGACGTGATTGATACCTTCCAGATGGACGTCATGGGGAAAGTGCAACAAGTCCAAGAGCAGAAGAAGAGCCGTCGTGGTATCGTCGAGTTGAACTTGATTGTACCTAGCATTGACGCTAAACTCTTCAACGACCAGAACCTTGATACGAGCCGAAAGACAGCCATGCCAGTGCAAGATCAGTTAGACGTCGGCTTGAGTCACCTCAACTTGACACTTCGCTTTAAGCCTATTGCGGAGACTGAGACCGGAACTGCACTGACAATGCATTTGACCCTGGAGTCTGCACTTGCTAAATTCTCAAACCCTTTGGAGAAGAGTGTAACGTCTGACTATGCAATTCGTCTTGGGTTCGATGACGTTTTGATCTGGATGGTTCTGTCCAAATCCAAGTCAGTACATGTGTCATTCAAAGATCTTTTGGGTGTAATTTCAGGCAACCAAGCAGACTATCTGGCATCTGTGTTTTCTCGATATGCGGCTATTGGTGCTGAAATCCAGAAGCAAGCTGATGCAGTCGGGATTGGTTCCAAAGCACGACTAAGGAATTTGACAGACTACCTCACTGAGCATGCCGATGTCTCCTCCGACCCACCATATCTTTCGCGCATGACTTATGTTCTTCGTGCCTTTCCAGATCATTTCCGCAACCAAGAATCGTGGAAAATTGTTGCTCGCTTCCGGCACATATACGAGTGTCTGTCAGATGAAAGTCACGTCGATCTGGAGCAACAGCTGGCCGATGGGACTGATACACTGAAGAAGACATCGTCCATTCTCGAAACTTGGGCAGCGTGGTGCAGCTGGGACATTCCAAATGTAGAACACACTCAGGTCTTCAAACTTCTGTTAGGTGATGTCGAAGCGAAGATCCCCGAAGAAGATATCGAACCACTTGATCTCACTTTGCGTGCCGGAGTTGTACGTGTCGCTGTCGAATCAGGAAAGACTTCCAGTGAGGTTTCTCTTGGCAGTCTTTCTATCGGGGTTACTGTCATACCTCCAAGCTTGCCTTCCGGACTAATGCTCGTGGAGGAGAATCTGAGGTCCAAAACTGTCTTCCAAGCTCATTCTGCGGCATCTGTACTCCGGCTCAATTGGGACATCTTGGAGCAAGTGGATGCCTTTATTGACATCTACTTCGAACAAGTCAGTCATACGCTCGATAATTTGCCAGATTCTCCAAAGAAGCAAGCGTTGGAAGATCTTTCATTTAGGCAAGATTTCCATGTCGTCTTGTCTACCGATGAAGGCAGTATTGAGTTGAACACAATCAACTTGAGGCATATATCCACATGCAACAATCTCAAGCTGTCATTGATAGGGTCCGATAAGGCTTCTCAAGATTATGGCGAGTGCATTAGTCTGCTCATATCAGCAAAGAAGGCGTTCACCGAATTGCATAGTTCGGATCAGAGGGTCTGGCGTACAGATCTTGTGTCGCCGAGCATCTACATTGATGTAAAACAGACTATTCGAGAACACACCACTGCCATCAACGTCGGAGGATCATACGAGCAGTTGCATATCTCGCTAGAACAAGAGATACTAGGACTGCTTGAAGTCGTCGATCAATTGTTGATCGATGAGGTAGCATACATTCTGCGATTCCAACAACACATACAGAAAGAACAGAAGAAGAGTGCTGTCAGTCGAGGCGTGTCAAAACCAGATCGTGAATTGAAGCTGAATGTAGCTTTCTTGGCTGGCTCGTTCTCTTTGAACGTCGCATTGCTCAAAGCGCTCAATCTGTCAGTGCGCGGTGACACTGCAAATCTTCGTGTTCGTCCCATGTCCGGATCCAATCCTGCCTGGTCTATTGAGCTCCACCTTGGAGCCATGGAACAGGCCCTGGTACGCAAAGAGACTGGCTCGAAAAGACAACGGGCTGTCTTTCATACTCCACCTGCCAGCAGCACTCTATGCCTTGAATTCGCCGAGAAGGAAATTAGAATCAAATTTACTGGCATTATGGAAGAAGTTCTGTTGGACGCATCTGCTGTTCAAAGCGTCCTGACAATCTTAAACAGACCCGAGGTGCAGGGTGTTCTTGAAGCTATCAGAGACCAAGTATCAGACCTACGCAAGAGAGCAGAGGAAACGTTACCGACAAACCAAAAGGACGCTGCGCCCAAGGATGAGTCTGGAGAGTCACGAATGGTTGTATACGACATCAACACAACTTTGGCTGGCTTCAAGGTCGCTGCAATTGCCCCTGCGCTAACAGCTGGCGAGGCTCGTGCCGAGTTGACGTTCGGTCTTGGGGCTGTGCAGGCGATGGTGACAAACAAGACTCGTAAATCGAGCAACTCCTTCCCTGACATACGCGGCAAGATACAAGACATTGGTGCAGTCTTGACTCTGATTGAGAATGGAAAGCGTCGTCCTTGTGGTAATGTCACTGTCAGTGTAGCAGTGGATTGCTGCACTCAAGAATCTGAAACTGGACCGATCACGCGTGACATCAAGGCACGAAGTGAATCTTTCGATGTCCTTGTTTATGCTGATACGGCGTCTACCATCGTGGATATCGTAACACATGTACATCGCAAAATCCTGGATCTTGATCTCTCGAAAGAGGTGGAATATCTCAGAAGATTGAGACGTTCTCGAGCCAAACGACGCAAGCTCGTCTCCCTACCCGCACCACACTCGATCAAGNNGGAGGAGAAGGATGAAGAAACCGCCGTTGAAACCTCATCTGCACGACCTGCACTTCTTGACTTCTCTTTGGATCTGCGAAAGATTCGCATTGTCTGGGTAGTCATCCGAAGTCGATTGACTGGTATTGATCAAGAGCCTCAAGATCTTGAAGTGTCCTTCTCACGCGTACACCTTGCCATTCAGAAACAGAACGAAGCACGCTTGTCCATCCAAGACTTGCAGGTCCAAGTTGTTCCCAAAAAGTCCAAAGCATTTGAAAGATCAGAAAATTCAGCTTTGCTGCCAGAAGTCGTCTTCACTGTTCGATACGAAAGTGGCAAAGATGGTGTTCGCATTGCGTGTCAAGCCGCTGGTCAGGCTCTCGACATCCGTCTGGACTCGGGGTTTGTTGTGCCCGTCAACATGCTACAAAAATCAATTTCTGCAGCCATCGACCAATATCGTGCTGCAAAGTTGAATTGGCAAGCCGATGCGACTCCAGACGATAGCAAGTCAACACCACGAGCTAGTCCCTTTGGCGACAAACGTCTAGCCTCACTTCAGGCCGATGTCAACTTCGAGGGTGCCCTTGTCTACATTCAGGGAGATGCACCTACTCAATCCAACACACCTTTACGACCTGCACATGTCGATTTGCCGTACAAACGAAACCGTACAAATAGTCACGCTTCGCAGGATAATATCGCTACGTCGCTACGAGCACCAGGCATCGCCATCAAGGTTGAGTACTCANNGAATGCGCCCGAGAAAGAGCAAACACTCAATGGAGAGATCAAGGTGGATGCATCAAGCAATACGGTCTATCCGGAATTGGTGCCCATCATTCTTCAAATCACACATGGTGTGAAGGAGGTCGTAAGGTCTGGCGAGGAAGAACGCAAGACTCCTTCTACTCCCAAAATTGCACAGGAACAAGCCTTGAAACTTCAGAGACTTCGTGGCGAGGACGACTCGTTGCTCACCTCTGATCCAAGCCAATTCTTGGGCCAGATGAAACTCAACCTAGGACTACGAATATGCAAGCAAGAATTTGGCTTGAGTTGTCAACCACTGGCTCGCGTCAATGCAAAAACGCAGATCGAAGACATCTACATCACCATGAGCACGATCAATTCTCATCAATTCGGACACTTCTTTGCTCTGTCGGCCACAGTGACTAAGCTTGGTGCTTCCGTACAGCATGTTTACTCGCGGGAATCAACTTTCAGCTTTGACATGGAATCAATATCAATGTCGCTCATGAACAGCAGGCATTTGACTGGCGGCTCCAGTGGTGTCTCGATGGTTCTGAAAGTGTCACCTACCAGAACTGCCTTGAATGTGCGCCAAATTCAAGATCTTCTCCTCTTCCGAGAAATCTGGTTCCCACCAGAGTTGCGCGATACCAGTGAACCGTCTGCCCAGCCTCCAAGCCAAGGACCCGATAAGATGGCTGTGCANAGGTATCAGCAAGTCAGCGCCGCTGCTGCATTCCCTTGGAACGCTACTGTGGCTGTTGCTGAGCTTGCAGTCGACCTCGACCTGGGTCAAAGTATAGGCAAATCATCATTGAGCATCAAAAACCTTTGGGCCTCATCCAAGAAGTCTTCCACATGGAAGCAAGACCTCTGTATCGGTGTGGATGAGGTCGGCATCAACAGTACCGGGCGCATGAGTGGTTTTGTGCAATTAAGTGACGTGTCTGTACGGACGTCTATCGAATGGCCAAGTGCTGATCGAGAGGAGCATAAAGCTCCTCTGATCCAAGCTGCGATTGGTTTTGGCAGAATCACAGCAAAGATCGCTCTGGACTACCAACCTTTCGCATTTGCCGACATTGAAGCTTTCAACTTCCTCATGTACAATGTGAGAGATGGCGCCTTTGCTCCAGATCGTTTGAAAGCCATCCTCGAGGGTGAAAAAGTGTACGTCTTCTGTACTGCAACCAGTCCGGCTCAAGCTGTTGGTTTGTACCAGGCCTTTGATCGCCTTGTTCAAGAAAAACAGACAGCTTACAGTCAATCAATGGTTGATCTTGACAAGCAGCTGAGGAGACGTTCTGTGAGCAAGGCGCAGGCCAAGTCCGGTCCTCCGCCACCTGCACCTATACGAAGACATACGACCGAAAGAAGCAAGAGCAAATTCCCAATCACTCTAGACACCGATGTGATGGTTATGTTGAGGTCCGTCTGTTTTGGCGCTTTCCCAAGTACTTTCTTCGACAGCCAAATTCTCAAAATGGAAGCGTCCGAGATCCAGGCACGCTTTGCTGTGGGGTTGGATGGCGAACGCGTGCACAGCAACCTCAGTATGACTTTGGGACAACTTCAAGTAGCACTTGCTCAAGTCAAGCGAGTCAGTGTTCCCAAGACGCTTGGAGACATTTCTATCGAAGAGGTGATTGGTAGTGCTACAGGCGCCAAAGGTGGCATCATCCTTCGAGTGCCCAAAGTCATCGCCGCCATGCAGACGTGGCAGCAACCCCAACACAACAACATCGACTTCATTTTTAAGAGTCTGTTCGAAGGCAAGGTCGATGTTGGCTGGAACTACTCGCGCATCAGCTTCATCAGAGGAATGTGGGAAACGCACTCTCGTACCCTCGCGTCCAGGCTCGGTAAACCGCTTCCTGAATCTGCTGTCAAGATCACAGCCAACGGACAGTCGTCGGCGACGGAGAACACAGACAAAGCGAAGGTGCCAGGCGAGCAAGGCAAGATTACGGCTGTCGTCAATGTGCCGCAATCGAGGTTTGAGTACACCGCGCTCGAACCTCCTATCATTGAGACACCGCAGTTGAGGGACATGGGTGAGGCTACGCCGCCACTTGAGTGGATTGGGCTGCACAGAGAGAGGTTGCCAAATGTCACGCACCAAGTTGTGATTGTGACCCTGCTTGAAGTTGCTAAGGAGGTTGAAGATGCTTATGAGAGGATTTTGGGTTCGTCATAAGATAGTGGAGGAATGAGACCTTCACGCTCGATTTGATTCTCTTATACTTTTATTGTGCTTTCCTTCTTGCTTGATAGACTGTATATAACTTTAATAGAGAGGATGGCGTTATGTTACTATTATTGATTTCTTCCAAAACGCATAGCCAGAGTGCACAGAGTAACGGGAAGCCTTCTCAATGTTGTACTTTGAATTCTCCGTGACTTATCATCACAATTTACTACGAACCTCTTTGAATCACCATGATATTCGAGGCCTCGGCATTTTAGTAACAACTGAGGACACTGGTTGTTGTGTCTGTTGATAGCAGACGGAAAAGTGGCAAACAGCAAATGGCTGGCCTCGCAACGGGCCCAGCCGTCGATCTTTCGTTGGGCAGCAAAGCTCGGTAAGCACGCTCGCGAGGATGGACTCGACCGCCGGCCTTACACAAGAGCAACAAGATCAAAGATTGAGATAAAGATTAAATCACCTGGTGGAGACACCGAAGAAGACGAGTCTTTTGCCACAGGTTAGCGAGACGCGTTGTCCTGGATGAAGCTCGGTGAGCTCGGCAGAAGTAACGTCTGATGTTGCTTGTAGCTGAGGTGACTTTTGGCGGTCAGACAAGCTCGAAGAGCTATCGAGGTGAGAGCTTGGCTAGCCCACCCTAGCTTGTTGCACCACCGGAATCCACGCACAAGTACATGAAATATAGACAGGCAGATGATAGACTAGCTAGGTGTCTGTATGTAGGCACCGTGATACTGCTATGGTGCTGGGCAATACGGTGGTTAGGGCGATGGAATAAAGGGTCTGTGCTTGGATCGAAGTTTTCGTCCAATCGCCGCCGCACTAACACAACGCACAACCCCACCTCAAAATTCCTGCCTCTCCCAGCAGACAAACCCGAGCTGTCCTTGTCCTCCTCTTTCCTTCNNCCCTTCTCATCGACTCCATCGCCTCGTCTCAGGTCAGCCCCTACCCTCGCTGTCGCCCTGCTTCTTTCGGTCGCTCACANNTCTTTTCTACAGGCAGGCTCTCTTTCAATCTTCACACACAGCAGTGCTTGACGCACTACATTGAGAGCGGGGCCCTCCAAGCAAAACTTTTCAACAGAGATACCCATACAACACCGCCAACATGGTCAAGTTCACCGTTGAGGAGATCCGCGGTCTGATGGACTCGTAAGCGCATTCAATGAGACGAAAGCGCCATGGACAGCCATACTGACGAGCGCGCGCAGGNCCCATCAACATCCGTAACATGTCCGTTATTGCCCACGGTAAGCTTCTGCGCCCAACAAAACCACCCCAACCACAGTACTGACAGCACGCGTANGTCGATCACGGAAAGTCTACCCTTACCGACTCTCTCGTCCAGCGTGCCGGTATTATCTCATCGGCCAAGGCTGGTGAGGCCCGTTTCACCGACACTCGTCCCGACGAGCAGGAGCGTGGTGTCACCATCAAGTCCACTGCCATCTCCCTCTTCGCCCAGCTTGAGGACGCCGAGGACCTCAAGGACATTCCCGTCAAGACCGAGAAGAACGAGTTCTTGATCAACTTGATCGACTCGCCTGGTCACGTTGATTTCTCATCTGAGGTTACCGCTGCTCTCCGTGTCACTGACGGTGCTCTCGTCGTCGTCGACACCATCGAAGGTGTCTGTGTCCAGACCGAGACCGTCCTTCGTCAGGCTCTTGGTGAGCGTATCAAGCCCGTCGTCATCATCAACAAGGTCGACCGTGCTCTTCTCGAGCTCCAGCTCTCCAAGGAGGATCTGTACCAGAACTTCTCCCGTGTCATCGAGTCCGTCAACGTCGTCATCTCGACCTACTTCGACAAGGTCCTCGGTGATGTCCAGGTCTACCCCGAGAAGGGTACCGTTGCCTTCGGTTCCGGTCTTCACGGCTGGGCCTTCACCATCCGCCAGTTCGCTGGTCGTTACGCCAAGAAGTTCGGTGTTGACAAGAATAAGATGATGGACCGTCTGTGGGGCGACAACTTCTTCAACGCAAAGACCAAGAAGTGGACCAAGGTTGCTGGCGACGACACCGAGCGTGCCTTCAACCAGTTCGTCCTTGACCCCATCTTCCGCATCTTCTCTTCCGTCATGAACGCCAAGAACGAGGAGGTCTTCAAGCTCTGCGAGAAGCTCGACATCAAGCTCACTGGTGAGGAGAAGGAGCTCCAGCAGAAGCAGCTCCTCAAGACCGTCATGCGCAAGTTCCTTCCTGCCGCCGACGCTCTTCTTGAGATGATGGTTCTCCACCTTCCTTCGCCCGCCACTGCCCAGAAGTACCGTATGGAGACTCTCTACGAGGGTNNCCCCCCTGATGATGAGGCCGCTATCGCCATCCGCGACTGTGACCCCAAGGGTGTTCTCATGCTTTACGTCTCCAAGATGGTTCCCACCTCCGACAAGGGTCGTTTCTACGCCTTCGGTCGTGTCTTCGCCGGTACCGTCCGTTCCGGTCTCAAGGTCCGCATCCAGGGCCCCAACTACACCNNCCCTGGCAAGAAGGAGGACCTGTTCGTCAAGTCCATCCAGCGTACCATTCTCATGATGGGTCGTTACACCGAGCCCATCGAGGATGTTCCCGCCGGTAACATTCTTGGTCTTGTCGGTATTGACCAGTTCTTGCTCAAGTCTGGTACCCTCACCACCTCCGAGACTGCCCACAACATGAAGGTCATGAAGTTCTCCGTCTCCCCCGTCGTTCAGCGCTCCGTCGAGGTCAAGAACGCCAACGATCTCCCCAAGCTTGTCGAAGGTCTTAAGCGTCTGTCCAAGTCTGACCCTTGTGTCTTGACCTACATCACCCCCTCCGGTGAGCACGTCGTTGCTGGTGCCGGTGAGCTCCATCTCGAGATCTGTCTTAAGGATCTCGAGGAGGACCACGCTGGTGTTCCTCTCCGTGTCTCGGACCCCGTCGTCCAGTACCGTGAGACCGTTGCCGGTGACTCTTCCATGACTGCCCTGTCCAAGTCGCCCAACAAGCACAACCGTATCTACATGACCGCCACTCCCCTCAGTGAGGAGGTCTCGCTCGCCATTGAGGCCGGCAAGATCACNCCCCGTGACGATTTCAAGGCTCGTGCCCGTATCCTCGCCGATGACTTCGGTTGGGACGTCACCGATGCCCGTAAGATTTGGTGCTTCGGTCCCGACACCAACGGTGCCAACTTGTTGGTTGACCAGACCAAGGCCGTCCAGTACCTCAACGAAATCAAGGATTCCGTTGTTTCCGGTTTCCAGTGGGCCACCAAGGAAGGTCCCGTTGCCGAGGAGCCCATGCGCTCTATCCGCTTCAACATCCAGGATGTTACCCTCCACGCCGATGCCATCCACAGAGGTGGTGGTCAGGTCATCCCTACCGCTCGTCGTGTCCTGTACGCCTCGGTCCTTCTTTCCGACCCCGCTCTTCTCGAGCCCGTCTTCTTGGTCGAGATCCAGGTCCCCGAGCAGGCCATGGGTGGTATCTACTCCGTCCTTACCCGCCGTCGTGGTCACGTCTTCGAGGAGGCCCAGCGTCCCGGAACTNNCCCCCTCTTCAATATCAAGGCCTACCTTCCCGTCAAGGAGTCCTTCGGTTTCAACGCCGATCTCCGTGCCGCCACCTCCGGTCAGGCCTTNCCCCAGTTGGTCTTCGACCACTGGCAGGTCCTCCCCGGTGGTTCTCCTCTCGACAAGGCCACCCTCCCCGGTCAAGTCACCGAGGAGATGCGCAAGCGCAAGGGTCTCAAGCCCGAGGTTCCCGGCTACGAGAACTACTACGACAAGCTCTAAGCGGTTTCCGTCAAAGAGTGATGGGAAGCCTTTCCGATACCCGCATGAGCATCTCAGGAGTATGTTCGAGCATACCCTTTCACGATTTAGGACGCGGCTGGGTAGACTTGATCTAGGATGAAGTATGATGAGGAAAGGGAGCAGACAACGCCTCAATGTGTTCCGACCATGCTAATCGCATGGAGGTCATTTTGGGGATGCACGACTAAATTACAAGCATTCGCTTTTCTTATTTGTTGTCTGCGAGCTATAGCTTTCGTTGCATTTTACTTGTGCTTTGGAGCTTTAGAAATGAAAATGTCTTTTTACGTTCAACTAATCAATGTTCCTCATCCTCGAACATGCAAATGTGAATTTTGTTGATTGTGCTTCTATCTGCTCATGTCCGTATCGCCAGTTGCTGACGCCTCACGTGACCTTATGATAGGGTGTCTACCAACTGGGCATCGTTCCTACCGATCCTAACAACTCCTCGTCGTTCTTTTGTCTCCAACATAGTCTCTAATCAGAACAAGTATTGGAAAAGATTTTGGTACAAGATCTTTTCGACTTTGGAAAGCTTCGAACACCCCTAGATGGTATGCTTTGTACATTCATTCGCAAGTCACCCATAGTGTTCGCCAGCACAACCCTTGGTGAGTTCCTCGTGTCAGATTCCATCTTCGTTAACATACCAAGATTCCCAAACACATCGTAAAGACATCTATTCATGATCTCATTGCTTTTCGTACTCACGATGCCGGTACTTCCAGGTTTGTCCACCTTCTCAACAAATCGTTCACGGTTGGCAAGTTTTCTTGATCAACGATTCTTGTTATGTCTGACTCGATTTCAGAGGCAGTATTTCTGATCGGGTCACTTGCGTTGAGCTGGGATGCGCTAGAAGATCTGCTGCTACCTGAAGCAACTGTAGATGTGAGTAATCCATCGAGAAGCTGTTGTCTTGTGTGTGCGTCCATTCTGCGATTATAGCCTTGTGTCCAGCTTCCACCCTGAGTATCTGATGAATGTAGGAAGTCGTTTATTTGCCCAGGCGTCTCGTCTAAAAAGAATGGGAAGTCTGGTTTGGCATTTGGTTTGTTGGCAACTGCCTCTGCCGTCGGGGATGTCTCATCTGATATTTGGTGGTTTGAATCTTCCCTCGAAGACCCCTGAGTTGTAGCGAACGACCACTCTTGGACATTGGAGTTTGCGGCCTGGGGCTGTGCCATAGAAAAGGTCCAGTCCTGTGTGCGTCGACTGGGGTTATCGGCAGGCATCGTACTGAGAGGAAACTGCCAGTCTTTGGACGCTCGTCGCGTGTCTTTGTCTGGCCCATCATAAAACTCGTTATGATCTTCGTTGTCGTCATCATTAGGCGTTGTCGATGGCAAGCGGCTGGGTCTTGCTGCTTTGAGTCTCAGCGCATCGCTAAAGTCGAAGTTGAAGGTCGGCTGTGAATCTAGTCCCGCTGCGCCCATGTCCAAGTCAATCAGAGTCTCCTTCTCCTCCGTAGGATTGCTGGACAGATTAACAAGCGGATGGACTGAAATGGGCTGTTCTTCGTCCTCCACTAGTGTGTTGTGATCATAAAGATCTGCATTCGTATCGAAGAGTCGTCTCATTGAGCGCTCGCCTCGTTTAGCTCTGGCTTCTTCCTGCGCCTCGTGGGAAGAACCTCGTTTTACCGATGTCTTGAGGATACGCTGATCAAGACAATCGGAAGTTTTGCGAGCGGCCACATGAACAGCGTCGATCATCTCGCGTCTAGATGGCATGTCTAGGTCTGGCTTCACAGCAGGAATGCCGACAGTCGGGATGTACATGTTCTGTAAGGCTTGCTCGAGCTGTGATTGAAATGCCTGAAGCTGTCGCAAACAAGCTGTGTAGTCATCGTGCAGCTTGACCATAAAATCTGCTGTTTCAGGCTCATGAGAAGCAGAACGATAAGGAAACTTCCCCATCTCGCTCTCAGATCTGGATTGCAATCTTGACGAAGATATTGCAGCTTGAGCTTCGGAATGGTGAACAACTGTAGGTCTACCGGTCCTTGTAGCTTCAATATCTCTTCGTTGTAAAGGCGAGTCAATCTCAGCAGAACAAATCGAATCTGACTTCCAATTTGAAACGACTGTGGCAAGCTCCACTGTAGACCTAGGTTTGAGCGGCGCGGTAGTATGAAAAGCATTGAGTTCGCTCATTGGTGTCGGGTTTCGCTCATGATCGCGTCCCGGAACCGTCAAGATGTTTTCCATCTGTAGGTCCTCTTCCACGGACAATGAGGAGTGACTTGCAGCCCCGAAGTTGACAGCCGCCTCCTCGCGACCGGACTTATCGTATATCGGGGAAAGGCAATTTTGTACAGATGGTTCGGAATACGGGTGCCCCATCATTGCCAGGCCTACAACGACTCCAGGGTCCTCAGATACGGATAGCATCTCAGGGTGAGCAGGTGCAGGCAAAGCTGGCATCTGAGCGTTGAGGTCCTCAGCATGGTCTCGTTCCAGTGCCTCTAATCTAGCTTCAGCTCTTGCCTTGTCCTCGAGCAGCTTTTCAATCTCAAGCTGCAACTGATTCAGGGAAGCCTGCTCGGCATGTCTGAGACTTGTCAGCGGTGTAGGAAGTATGTTGTCGAATGTGTGTACCAACCTCTTAGACATGGCCGCAAAGATGATCACATTCATGAGAAGCTGCAATGTTGTCTTGACCTTTCCAGGTTGCCCCTCAAGAGCTCCAACTTCGGTTCAAGACGAGGGTAGGTAATCTTAGTCATCAATTTTGGACCATCAGGACCCGACTCTGGAAGGGTCGATAGTATTTTCCCAAAGATGTCTCGACACTGAGTAATGGCCTCTCGAGCAAGTCTTTCGGCGTCAGCGTTCATCATGGCTCTGTTCGCTTCATCCTGGATAGTGGTTTCAAGCGTCTGGAAGACTTGAACAGCAAGACCGATATCTGTAGAAATGGCCGTGATGCGACCTTTCGAATCAAGCGCTGAGCCAGCATATTTTTTGAGACTTTGGAGAAGTTGTATGCCTAGACTCGTGAGACCGGCCACCGAGACGGCGATGGTAAATGGATCAGCCATGAAAGTATGACTTGGAGCGGATCGGTCGAAGATATTGTTGAGTTGGTTGGTTGTGACTTTTGTGTTTATGCGTCGTGGCTGTGTTCGAGGCTGAGGGCAGGAAGTTCATGCAAGCTAATGCGACTGCACCAGCTACAAGATCATTCGCTCCTGCCCAAACACCCAAACTCTTCATCGCTTTGGAATCCCTTCTTTCCCGATCATTGAATGAGCACAAAAATTCTTCCATCTATTCTTGGTCAAAGAAAGCTGATGGGCTTTCGAATGATAAAGCCCGGTGGTATTTGTTGAATAAACATCATCCTCCCTAGTGTTCTGATGGTCGACGTTTTGGGATCTTGACGTTTTGTGCGCTGAGACGATCGTCTACGGTCCAAGACGAGTTGGCAGAATGCTCTTTCCGAAATCTCTGTCTAGATTTCCCTTTGCCTTTAGGTTGTCCTGTAGTTCTGATTGCTTGATGCGAGTTGCTAATGTAACGAAGACAGAATTATGTCGGATAAGAGCTGACTCACAGTCATAGATTTTCGCATGGTTGTCCCGCTGCGTAGCAAAGTGTATTACTTTTTGGTGGATCTGAACAGTCACATGACATTCATTTGAGATCGATAATAGTCGCATGCATGGATCGTTCCTTCTGCTTTCCATCGCATGAGTTTGCTTGTACTTGGCTCGATGGAACGCCTCAATGCTATTGAATCAGTCAGAGACTCGTGCCTGTTTTATTGTCGTTAGGTTCATTACGATCTGTTACACAATCGATCTCGACCAACTGTCTCTTTCTAAACATCGATATGAATGAAAGTATGATAGATCATCGTAGATGAATGATGATGGGTTCTGCAAGGCCATCTCACTAACCCGCGATCAACAACAAAACGACATCTACTCCGCACCTCATCAGCCTATTGATATCAAGTCGCATAATCCATGACTGTATCCTCTTTGCTTATGCCCGAAACAAACATGTGAAAGTCTGCCTTTTGCTAACAAAAGAGGAGCCGAGGTCCGGTATTATGCCAAGGTTCTCGAGATCCGGATGGGGGTGGCACCGACGATCCGGGGATTTGCTTTGGAGATGAGGAGAGCTGACCCTCGGATAATGCTCAATATCTCGAAAATGTGCTATGTCTTTTTTTAAGGTATGAGATCAAAGTCGTGTTGGTCTGACGTTATGTCTCAGCCTTCCGAGGTGGTTTGGTATAAGGTGGAGATGCGGTCTCTGAGTCACTGCAGAATCCGATCTATCCTTAACTCGCAACGTGATTCACTCATCTCATCTCGACTTTCAAAATGCCAGGAGATTCTGTTCGAATAGTAGAAGTTGGACCGAGAGATGGGTTGCAGAATGTCAAAGATGTGGTACCCACTGCCACAAAAATCGAACTTATCAACAGACTCTCTCAGACCGGGTTACGGACAATCGAGGCCACGTCGTTTGTGAGTCCCAAATGGGTTCCTCAGTTGTCGGATGCAAAGACTGTAATGGAGAGCATGAAGCTGTCAGTCGCAAGGGTGACATTTCATTCCCGGTTCTGGTCCCGAATATGAAAGGATTGGAAGCAGCACTAGCGCTCGACGTCAAGGAGATCGGTATCTTTCTCTCAGCCACCGAAGGATTCAGCCGCAACAACATCAACTGCAGCGTGGAAGAGTCTCTTGTGAGAGCTCAAGCTGTCATCGAGCGAGCCCGGGAACAGAATGTCCGGGTTAGAGGGTATGTTAAATCATGGCATGTCAGGAACATTGCTGACTTGTCAGATATTTGTCTTGCGTGGTTGATTGTCCATATGATGGTAGAACATCGCCATTGGTAGTGTTGAAGATGGCAAAGAAGATGCTGGAGATGGGTTGCTTCGAAATCAGTCTCGGTGACACAACAGGAACAGCAACACCGCAAGATATCCGTCGACTCCTTGAGGTTTTACTGAGGGAGATACCTGCCGCCAAACTTGCAGGACACTTCCATGACTCGTATGGCCAAGCCATTGCTAATGTCAAGGAAGCCTATCGATTGGGCATAAGAGCATTCGACAGCAGTGTAGGTGGTCTGGGCGGTTGTCCATATAGTCCTGGCGCCAAGGGCAATGTGGCCACTGAGGACCTCGTAGAAACCTTCGAGAACATGGGTATCGATACTGGAGTGAATCTGGCCAAGCTTGCCAGGATTGGTGACTGGATCTGTCAACAGCTTCGTGTTCCGAATGGCAGCCAGGTCGGCTCGGCTCTGATTGCAAGGAACACTCACAAGCAAACATCTGCTGTTTCACCAGAGTGGCGTCACCTACCGCGTCTGATATACTGAGCATGCCGACCAACGAACGGCGATCAGAGATTATCTTTGAACAGAGCATCCCAATGTTCGTCCAAACGACGACATAGATCTTTGCGATTGGACCACTCTCGGATCACATCGGCCAACTCACAACCGTTCTGTACGATCAACTCCCATACTGTCTTCTCGAGGTCCAACCCGAACAACCTTATCTGCTCGTCACGAGAACCCCACAGGCGTAATGGCTTCTGATCGACGGTGCTTAACAGATCGCCTTCATCAACTAGGTGTCCAGCATTCATTTTCGGAGTGTTGGCGTGTATAAATGCCGGTCTAGGTTGTATGGGCTTGTCTCCGTCCTGTTCAAGGAAGTCGTCAGAGGGATTAACCTGAATCATGGCACTTCCTTTGTCCTCAAACCCAGTGTTGCGTTCAACTTTTGCGACTCCTGTCTTGACGCGGTAGTATGAACTATCGAGCACCATTGCAGCAGCCATGAATGTTTCCTTGTCTCCTTGACCAAGCGCACCTTGGCTAAGAAGTGGGTAGTAGAAATCAGGTCCGTAGATGTTGTAATATATTGCCAGTAACAGAGTTTTGATATGTTTCCGCTTATTGATGAGAAGTTGGCCTGCTTCAGAAGACGACTTGGGTAGACCGGATGGCATCCTACCAAGCCCTGTGACGGTGTAAAAGGAAGGAGACTCTGTGGAGATCCAGAAGTCAGGCCAAATGACTAGTCCCGCAGAAGTATATGGTTCTGATGCGAAGAGCTCTGTTTCAGGATTCAGTAGTGGTATACTGTCGCTGTCAAGATACAGGACATGCTCAAATGAGCTAAGCAACATCGCCAGAGACTTCAGTTGATAATGAGTTACTTTGAAGCCTTGAATGAAGTCCGAGAGAATTAGGCACTCTGCGCCGAGCTTGGGTAAATAATCTTTGCACAGCTTGTCCTCATGTTCGGTCTTGTCAGTGACGAAGACTTGGACGGGTAGGTTACTGCCACTGCGACGTAGCATGTGTATGCCAACGATTGCTGGACCAAAGTACTCTCCTCCGCCTACAATCACGACACCTGTGCCGTTGAAAATCTGCTCGGCAGCATGATCGGGCCATGATTTTAGTACCGAAACGAACTTGGTATGGGCGGTCTGTAATGCTGGTATAGAATCCAGACCCTGGAGTTGCTCTCTATGTTGAGTTCGTGATGAGTGGTCGTCGGCGGAGACAGGCTCGTTGGCGGCATTAAACATTAGTTCAAGCTTGGCCGCATCAGGTCGGGTTGCTTTGTAGACTTCTGCCCACAGGGTCCATAATTCCTGCACAGAGTCGATGGGTCGAGTGGTATTTATTGTTGGCTGTTTTGGCGAAGACAGGGATGTTTCGTAGGTTGAGAGACGATTGCTCAATGCTTTGTACGCGATGTTAGATTGTGAGAATGACAGAACGACGATGCTGATCAGCGCAATGATGCCAAGGAAGCGCAGAACGAGTCGCAGAGTGATACGCATGGTGAATATTGGCGTGACATGACCCGATTTTCTGGGTGTGATAAACTACAGGCACGAATGATGAAAACAGAAGTGGATGGTTTGTTTGGGGACGCGTCAATGGAGACGCCACAACCGATTTGGCTCAGGCAGGAACTTACACACAGAAGGCACGATGGATAGTTCAATCAACATTAAGACATTATTTCATTATTAGTAGCTACATAGTGCGAACACTCAAGAGCTGTTGTAGATGGTCAAGGCATTAGTCGAGTTGCTGTAAGTAACACCGCACTCCTCCGAGAAGTTTGAGAATCTTTGAGTCTTCTCATCGATGAACTTCTGGAAAGCGTCTCTCGAGCAGCTCATACCAGGGCCGTCAGTGCATTCTTGAAGGAGCTGGGGGTTCTTGTTGACCAAGATGCGGTAGTATTCGCCAGTCTGGTTGGCGTTATCTTGGTAGCCAAAGCTGTCGCATTCCATGCGCTCGATGGCGACGTTTGTCAAGAAGGACATGAACTTGCTGCTCTGCCAGACGCGCTGAGGGTTGATGCCATCATTAGGCATTGTGGCGTTGACATCGTCGGAAGCAGAGTAAGCAGTGTTGTTGAAGAGGCCAAGGGCGACGAGAACGGTAGGAGGAAGTTCTCTGTGGGTGAAAGAGACGTAAATGTCCTGGCTAGCGTTCTGAGAGGTCAGAAGATCGACGGACGACTTGACCCAAGGATAGCCGATAGCTCCAGAGACGGGGTTGCCGTAGCCAGTGTTGTGGAAGTACATGATATCGTTGGTGTACTCGAATTGAAGCCACTCATTGGGACTGAACAGGTCCAGAGAGCAGAAAGGTGAGTCGCCGCGGATGACAGTCTCGTAGCCGCACAACTGCTGCATGCCGTAGATGTCTGAAGCAGTCCAGTTGAAGGCAGGAATCTCGTGACGGAAACGAGAAATGATGGGAGCCGTGTACTCCTTCTGATAGACTATGGACTGTTTGCTGCCTCTGCTTCCAGAGTAGGCAGGGCAGGCCTTGTAAGGAGTCAACGAGTCTGCGCCAGTCTTCTTGTATTCGCCAATCTGCACAATCTCCGTCTCATTCTCCTTGAGAGCAAGACCCTCAACAAAGCTTTCGGCAGTGAGGACTGTACGCTCAGCAGAGCTGGTCCAGACCTTCTTTGGTTGCTTGAAGTGTTGGTAACGCTCGTAGACATCGACACCCAGCTTCATGGCTTCCAGGCTGCCGACCTTGGACAACTTCTCAATGTCTTCATCTTCAACAGGACTCGTCCAGGTGGACAGGAAAGAAAGGGCGTGCGAACGGTCCCAGTTGACGGAGCTGTTGCCCTGGCTTGCCTCGAGCTTCTTGACGAAGGGCTCGATGTAGGACTCGTAATCGAAGTCGTTGGCGTAGATAGCGGCGTGACGAACGAGGTAAGCAGCGCGGGTGACGTTGCAGCCCTGCGGCGGAGCAGGGTCGAAGTTGCTTGTGGGATCGTGAGGCTCAAAGTAGGGCGCGATGCCCGACATGTGCTTCAGGGGATCGAATGTGTATTTGGCAGCCGTCAAGGCCGAGGCCGAGAGGAGAAGAGTTGCTGTGGCAGAATGCATGCTGCTTGCTGGTCCTATGCCGCCTCTGCTGAAGAGTCAAGATCGAGATGGAAGTTAAAAACAAGGGTCTGCTGGAGAGACGACAGGGTCTATATAATCATACCAGTGTGAGCACCTACCTGCCACATGAAACCTGGATATGCCATTACATAGGCCATGACGCGCGAGACATACTTTCTCGTATGCACTCATCAAAAGCTTCGCGTTCAAACCAACCTCCGTCCAAGATTTTGACGCCAAAAATTACTATGACGTCGTGCCTACCAAGATCTTCATGCAGGAACTCACGGCTCCCCCTTGCCGACCACTCTAAACAGACCTTGGCGATCACTCAGGAACATCTCTTTGAGCCACAATCCTGTTTGTGGCTCATTAATTCTTTGTACAAGGTCAAATCGAGCAGGTGGTTGGGTGTCCATGCTGGCGATCCTTCCCCCAACATACTCTTCGCGATCGAAGGGCGGCATTGTCAGAATTGTTCATTAAATTGTTATACATGCTTACAAAGATTACATGTCATCATCATCTACTGTATGGGTTTCATACAGCATATGCACCTGAGTTCAACTGGCGAGGCTCGCTAGCAACATCAAACGTGCCGTTGTTCAATACTCGCAAACACTGTGCTGTGCTCTGTCCTGGAGCCACCCATGTAACGTTGTGACCCAAGCTCTTCATGTAGGCCACCGTCTGGTTGTCGTATGCATACTCGAAGCTCACATAGTTGGGAGAAAGCTGGTCATGTAGACGCGGTGCTGCCAAAGCTTCAGCAGCAGTCATGTTCTGGTCCAAAACATGCCACAATGTCTGCAACGTAGCCGTGATGATTCTGCTGCCTCCTGCAGAGCCTGTCACAAAGTAGAGGGAGCCGTCGGGATTTTCAGCGATAGTGCAAGAAATCGAGGACATGGGTCTCTTGCCAGGACGCACAAAGTTGCTTTCTGAAGGATCGAGGCCGAAAGCGTTTTTCGTTCCCGGGATCGAGAAGTCGTTCATCTCGTTATTCATAATCACGCCAGTCGAGGGTACGATAAGCTGACTACCAAACAGAAGGTTGACTGTCGTGGTAAGTGAGATAGCCATGCTGGAGCTATCAGCAGTTACAACCTGTGAAGTTCCAGGCGTGTCTTTTATCTCCAGGTTCTTTGGATCTGCAATAGGCATTAATATAGTAGTTAAAACAACAAAGTATATAGACACACCATATGCTGACACGTTGAGAGTATGCGTGTCCGAGATGAGGTGACGAACGTTTGCCGCTGTGGTTGCGTTGAGTATCTCGGCTTGGTACTCATCCATACCCTCGACAAACAGAGGGTCTCCCATGGAAGCACGGAAGCCATAACCGAAGCGTGTTGCTTCATCAAAGTGATGAGTACTGAGATTTAGGTATGCCTCTTCACCCATGGTATTGTATCCTTCCAGAATCTTCATGGTAGACAAGACCACGCCGCCTGACGCTGGTGCGCTCACACTCTTGAGCTTGTATCCTCTGTAGTCGATCTCGACGGGATCGCGGATTGCTACAGTGTAGTTCTTCAAGTCTTCCATGGTCATTGTGCCGTTGGCTGCTTGCAGTGTGTCAATCATGGCTTCAGCAATGGGGCCAGTGTAGAAAGCATCGGGTCCACGCTCTGCAATGGCTTCCAGAGTCGAAGCATAACGCTGACGGGTGATTGTGTCATTGAGTCGCAACAGAGTACCATTGGGTGCAAAATCGATAGCCCAGTTCGGGTCGTCAACAAGGAAGTTGGTTGTCTGACCTGCTGTGGCAGAGGCCATGTAGCGGACTAGGTCGGCCGTGACTGGGAAACCATAGCGAGCAGTCTTGATTGCGCCTTGCATGACCTCTTTCCACGGTAGTTTGCCATACTTTTGATGTAAGTGTGCCAATCCACGGACCTCACCAGGAACTCCGCNTGCTCGAGTGTTAGCACCTGATGCTTGTTTGAGTCACTCCTCATCATTCAAAGCATACCTTGCCAAGCCTCCATAGATACTTGCATTCGTGTTGTTCTTGTACATGTCCTGGAACGCAGCCGCAGGCGCTGTCTCTCGGAAGTCGATGAATTCATACTCTCCATCGGAACCTCTGACCAGCATGAAACCACCACCACCGACTCCACTGTGGTACCTAAAAGTAAGGTACAGTTAGCATGTTTCTTGCGTATGAACAGTATAGGCAGCAGTCGAAAAGCCACCTGATGGGCATTGGAGCCATCTGATGTCGTTTCACCCATGCTATCTGTACCCATGCTTTACGTACATGCCAATAACACCGACGCAAAAGACTGTACCAACCATTGCGTCAGCAGCTGTTCCTCCTCTTAGAAGTAGATCGCGTCCGATTCCAGAACAGATGGTGCTTTCAGACGCTACAGCACCATGCAGCTTGGTCATATTGGAGCCATGATGTCCAGCGTGAGGAGCCTCTGGGATGGAAGGNNGAAGTCCATGTGCGTATCCTTGTCTGAGGACCGTGGCACTGATGTCCGATACTCCAAATGCGAGTAGACAAGCAAAGGTGTCGACCCAAGGAGAAAACAACATGACGATGATGCAGATGACAACTATACCAGAAAGCAGCCCACTGGACAACAAAGATCGTGAGTATAGAGGAGCGAGAAACACTCGCGTGCGATCACAGAGCATTTATACTCGAGTACAACCACCCTAGCTATTGAAGGTGGGGCAGTTGGTGAGGGGTGCGGTGCATGTACCTGCCTCAATCGACAAAAGCGAGAACCGCATATGGATGAGAGCGTGGCTCAGCCACCTTTAAAAGTTACTCATACTGATATGATCGGCGAGCCGACGAGGTCGGCGAGATAAGATAGATACTGGTTGATAACCTTCCTGCGAGGGGTATCGGCCGATAGAGCTTCATTCCCCACATTACTGTAACTTTCACCGCGCCACCTCTGTGCTTCCAATTTTGTTGATATAAGTGGAGAGTGATAATACTGTTGTGAACAAGTGGCCATGAAAAGCGTCTGGGAAGCGTGTTTGATCATTCATTATTTACTTTTGGTTGGATGCTATAGACTCTTTCTGGTGATCCATACGCCACCGGGAATGCAAGATTAGTGTGATGCACGTTTTCTGTTTTCCTGCCACTTTCTTCTTGACTCCGCTGGGTATCAGGATGATGCCAGGTCGACTGATGTGACCGGGGTAATTTCATGTACAATAGAACAGAAACATAAGTACCACCACGTGACTCATGGAGTAGTCTGGAATGGCTGGTTGAAAGCCGTCCAGTATGGGTCAGTGTCTAGAACGAATCTGACTATGTGCTTAGATGGGGGCCGATAACATTTGTTCTGCTAGAAGGACAATGTGAAGCTCTTCCTAAGCAGCTGATCCTTTAGCAGCAAGTTTTCCAGCTGTAACGACCGACACAGGGCCATTCACTAGCATGTCCAGTTCGAGGTACTCTCTAGCTGCGAGTTTGCTCTGCTTCTCGGTGAGATAGGCCATGTATCTCTGAGAAAGGTCTTTGATGATATCAGCGGTCAGACGAGTCTTGTTGCGGATAGTGCTGTGCAGCGCCTTCACACGCTCTGCTTGTTCGGCCGCAGCCTCGATAGTCGTTGACTGGTCGATCTCGAAACTGAGGTAGCCTGCCCAGAAGGATGGGCTATCAAGGAAAACGTTCTGCTGACGCGAAAGGATGTCACGTCCCTCGATTGCGTTGCCCTTCGATTTCCAGGCCAAACGAGCCATCTCCACGACAAGCGCACCCTTATCGTCAGCTGAGCACTCAGCATCAGCGAGGTATTGGTCATAAACTTGGACAGCGGCATCGTAACCAATCTGTCGACGTTGGAGATTAGCCAGGCGAGTGATGGCTTCGAGGTTTCCAGGCAAGGTGACAAGGATAGCTTCATAGATCGCAGCAGCAACAGACGGCCTGCTGCAGGCTTCCTCGAAGAGAGCCCAGTGGAGACGGATGGCAGGTCTGGCGATCGGTGTGTAGATGCAGCTCGCGCGCTGGAAGATATTGCGAACTTCCTCCTCTTTGCCGTCCTGGTTGTACATCCAGCGGGCGTACCTCTGCCAAAACTCGTCGTAGTGGGCACATGTAACGACACAACGCTCATACAGGAATGCGATGCGCGTGTAGTCGGCCTCACTCTCTTCAAAGTCCAGATATTTTGACCAGTTCTCGAGTTGCGCTTCATCGAGTTCGGTCACGTGGAAGTATGGGCGCTTGATCTCTTGTTCGTAAGTCCAGCGCTTGGTCGTCTCGGTTTGAGTGTTGTGGAAGATCTCGAGGTGGTAGGTATCCAGGCGAGCACGGATTGCACGCTCCACTTCGATCTGGCTCTTTCCCTTCAATTCAGACTCGAGCTCAACGTTGAATTGACTGAGGAGATTTGCGGGTGCCAGTTCAGACAATGGGCGAGAAGCTGCCAGTTGGCGGTATTTCTCAAAGTAGCGAGCATACTGATGCATGGGGATGGTGATGATGCGACTGAGGATGTCAAAGACCTTATCCTGAGCCTCGAGTCGCTCCTCGAACTCAATGTACTTGTCCCAGAAAGGGTGTGCTAGGAAGTCTAGGCCGACACAGGTAGCGCCTCGTTCAAACAACCTAGGTCTGTTAGTCGATGCATGCCTCAAGGAGGGCAGGAAAGAAAAGGCAGAAGGGGGAGGGGAACCAAACAAGGCATATAGTCTTATGAGCCTCCTAAGGCCGTCGGACGTGGTGGACAACTTCAGGTCGACCAAAGACTAGCGAGAGAAGGATGTGACAAGGGTCGAGTTTGAACATGGGATGTGAGTCTGAAGGCTGTGCGTGAGAAGAGTATGACATGGGGAGTCTCGATGGTTTCTCACCCGTCTTCGACAAGCTGAATGTCTATGGTACGAAGCGAGGGGTCCCAGAGTCGTGTAGAGATGGTCTAGGTGAAGGTCATGCAGATATGGGGGGCGGTGCGAACTTACTCTCGAATGATGCTATCGTCGTGGGTTGTCTCAACCTTGAAACTACAGTAGTTGGCCCAGAGATCGACCGAGATGCCAATGCTGGCGACGCCGCGTTCGTAGACCTAGATTAAGAGTCAGCAAAGTGTGCATTCGTGGCTGAGTGTGTGTAGCTCACCATCTCAGCAGCCTCGGTGCCAGCAATGGCGAACTCCAGATCGGCGTACTTCTTCCAGTATCCGAAGAACAAGGGAAATTTGGCGAGGAAGCGATCGTAGATGCTTCTGGCGGCCGTGATGGCTTGAGGACTCGAGTTTCTGTTCAGACCACCCTCAAGACCTTCTACCGCGCGAACCAACTTCTCCCAGTTCTCAAACTCGTCCGGGCTGGCCTGAACATCGGCTTCTAGCTTTCTGACTTCGGCCAGCTCCTCGTCGCCTGTTCCATAGCCATAGTCGGTCATTGCTGAGCTTGTTTCTTTTTGAGGGACACTTCGAGTCCGGGCGGGTCGTGCGGATGCGCGTTATGACAAGTTCCTGGTGTCTGCGAGAGAAGAATGCGATAACGGTAGAGTCAAACAGAAGATAGTCGTAAAAGATTTGCGTCCTGGAAGTTGGTCTGCGAGTTGGACCGGCGTGCGCGAGTGTTTGGTTGCTCAGACGCAGAGCTACTAGCCAGCCAATCGGATAATCCTCGCCGACCGACTGAGCGTGCGACCCTGCCCTTGTATTCAAGAGTCCACTCCTCTCTTTTCCGTCACTTGACGTGTGGATCTGTTTGCTTCCTTGAGCAGGCAAGTGACGAACGAATCGATGGACGAGGCATTCTCGATGCCCTGTCCAAATTCGCCAGACGCAGGTGTGGCCCGCTGTGGCCGAAGCAGATAACTTTACTGCACAAAAACACTGGCAATCTGCCAACCATACAATACTACAATGAAATAATGTTCATCTCAAAAATACCTTCGCACGTAGCAAGTCGACACATCTCTGATGTATTATGTATCGATTGGCCGACTCTCTCAATCACAGAGTCCGATTGACACCTTGCACCAACCAGTATGTGTTCTGTTAGTATTATCTGCCATGGTGAACTCAGCTGCGAGTCCACATCTTCACCTCAGAACCGCGAATCGAACAAGGCTTTCTAGCCGAGAGTGCAAGATCAGACACAATCTATCTATTGGTCGCTTCTGCTAAACGATATGGGTCTGGCCTGGGCACTGTAGCCACTTCGGTTATATCTGCCCGGCGAAGCGATCCAACCCAAGTCCTTCTTCAATACCATTGTAGGGTCTTGAGAGGGCTGTCAAGAGTGACCGAGGCCTCAAATAGACCAGATCGTAACTGTAAGGCTAATGAGATCTGCTTCAAGCGACCATGTCTGTGATCAAAGTCCGTGCTGTCGGTATCGTTAGCGAGCATAGCACTACGAAGTGATTCCACTGGTGGTGACAGAGTCCGTCCAGAATCCTGGCTACTCATCATTATCGCCGACACGGAGGGATTACGGCAACCTTGCCAGCTGGGCAACGTCCGTGGGTACGAAATACATGTTGCTGTCGACGTTCTGGAGCATTGTGATTGGGCTTCGAGGTCCGCCTCGAGGTCCGCAAGCACAGCCGCACGCATGGTTGGCTCCCTGACTCCACTGACAAGCAGATGCGGCTTGACGACATGACATCGTTGCAAGGCCACCCCAGTCATCTTGCCTCGCTTGTGCTGGTTTCTCTATCAGGTTGATGGTTGACCTCAAGAACTTTGAAGACGGAACATGCGGACAAGTACGTGGCAGTGAACGTCCTGGTTCGTAATCTGTATAAGTAGAGCAAACCATAAGCAGACAGCCCGCGGAGGACGAAAGGGACTTTCTTGGAAAGTGGCTGGTGCGTGATGCGGGCAGGCCCGAGGCGACTTTGTCGGTTTTCAGTCTAGGCTCGTTTCATGTGCCCGGCTGCACTCTTTCTCTCACACTCGCCTGCCACAACGTAGATCTGTGACGAAGGGTTTGACAGGTCGTTCGTCTTGAAGTAAGCCCTACGCCGCAACGGCTATTTGAAGCCGGTATGAACATGAGGATAGGCCTCTGTGGTTTGATGAGCCCGTCGCGTCTCGTATCGTGTCGTGTAGCAAACCCAAAGCAAACAGGGATAGGTTGATCAGAGGTCCCGGCCACCGCACAGACAAGAGGGGCATGGGTGGATAACGATGCTGCATATATGCACCTCCTGCCGAAGGCGAGTCGTGCTCTCTTTGTCGGTCTTTTTCTTTCCAGTCTCCAACTTTCAAGCTCCGCACCATTCTGCAACCTGCGTTTGTTTTCGTGGCTCTGGAAGCCCGTCTCTTCTCAACACAGTCGGAAGCCGGTCTTTCTAGCTGTCTTTGGTCGCTCTCCTCTTCCCATTTAGACCTCTGTTTCTTTGCGTTTCCCCTCTTGAGTTGTTCCCTGCGAAACATAGGTACTTCTGTGGTACGACAGCGTTCGGACTGCTGAAGCACAGCTGGGCTGCACATCATCTTACTCATGTCAGCATTGGGTTGCACAACTTCTTTCTGATATCCATCTGTGACTGGACTGTCCCAGACTCTTCCAGCATCTACTTGAGCATCCCCAAATACAGTTCATGCAACTCGGCTCTCTCTCAGGCAGTATGCGTGACCGCAGGAACACGAATCTCTCCATCTCGTCGACGGGCTCATTCGCTTCAGCACATACTTCACCTGTGGTTGCCGATCACGCTCAGGACAGTGCAGANAAAGGGAGGTTCCTCTGGATCCCGGTCAGAGAAGACGCCGAACCTCTGCCTTCGCCTCTGCTCAAACACGCGCGCGAAAACAAACATGGCTTCTTTGATGACTGGCAAAAGACNCCCCGATGGCGCACAATCGTCATGCTATTCGTTCTGACTGTTGTCTTGATCTGCTATACTCTTTCTCCAATGTTGGTAGGCGATGTCCAATTTGATGCCGTCTTCGCCAATGCCGACAAACAAATCGACCTCATCAATGGAGCCCCCATTCCTGATTATCCCACNCCCTTGATTTTCCAGGACCAGCACGGACAGCCCAGATGGACCGTCTCAATACCACCATCATTCGGATTCCCTCTTCGACACCATGAATATAGCCGAATCTGTTCGATTAGCGAAGGGGTTAGAAAAAGTGTCGAAGCCATGACGGGTCGCCCATCAAGGGTCCAAAGCAAAAGCAGACCTCATTTCTGGAAACGCCCTTACTACGCAGCCGACAGGACGTTTATGCCGGTCGACGAAGCTGAAGCTATGACGCTCCTGCCAGCCATGCCGGAAGGACAAAAACACATCTCGGTCATTGGTCATGTTAATGAGAGTAGTTCTGATCTTCCAGTCTGCCAAAGCAGCTTGACTTTCGTCATGGAGACGAGTGAAGCTGGTTTTGGAAACACTCTTCTTGCCCTCTGGCTGAGTTACGGCATGGCTAAGAAGGAAGGTCGCACTTTCTTTATCGATGATTCAAATTGGTAAGAGCTCACCACAGAGCACTTTCTGAGTATGTATGCTAATACTTCTCCAGGNTCGTACGGGAGATACACGACATACTTCAAGCAGCCTCCTCAATCAGCTTGTGCACCTCCACCAGCAAATCAGGTCCTGCCCTGCCCTCATAGTGCCCGCCATTTGGTTGTGTCTGCAGCTACTTTGCCTTGGACTTTTGGAAGTGCATTCAAAGCCGAGTATGAGCATTCACTCAAGCACGGATTCAGGAAGAACCGCGCCATCTACAATATGGTCCGCCAAGGCTACCAAGACCTGTTTGATCTGCACGGAGATGATGGATCTTTCTTGTCGCACAAGCTGACGGTGATGCGCGCCGCTGCTTCCGCCTCTCAAACGCCGCTTATTGGTATGCACCTTCGTAGGGGGGACCTACATCCTTTTGAGCTCGAGTACAGTCATGACTACCTCCCATTTGAGCGCTACACGTCTGCAGCTAGCGAGTTGTTTGCTTCTTTCTCACCGAACAAGTCGTCCATGGAGCCCACTGCTCTGCTTCTTGCCTCAGATGATCCAGATATTCTGTCGTCGCACGATCTCATCAACACTCTCCCTTCCCATCTCACCGTTTCACGCCCCCAAGAACGTATTGTCCTCGCGAGTAAGAAGACACTGGAACCTGCAGTGCCAATTCGCAAACCCGGCTCCGCTTATGTCAAACACGTCGACGAAAATTCTGGCTGGGAAGGAGGGTTCTATGCTTCTCTGTTCTTCTCTCTCGGCAAAGGTCATCCTTCGGCATTCAAGCAAGGAATGGATGACGAGATGCAGAGGGCTGTTCTGAAATTGAGGGAGTTTGTTGGACGTGCCTATCTGCTGGATTTGGCAGTGTTAGGGCACGCAGATGCCGCCGTTTGCGCCAGCTCTAGTGCGGCCTGTCGCATCATTGGCGTCATGATGGGTGCTGACAAGATCTCGAAGGGACAGTGGAAGAATGTAGATGACAATCGCGCATGGAGCTGGGACGGAAAGGTTTGATTGAGCATTAGAAGGCGTCTCATTTTGGTTTTAGCAAGGCGCACGGCGTGTTTCATTTTCTGCTTTGTACCTTTCTTGTCGAAATGTCTCGTTTCATTTTCAAACTTGTCTTCTGTGGTTAGGGGATAATTCCTGTTTCGTCAAAACAGACGCAGAACAAACACAAGGACACAATATCAAGATCAAAATCGATTTCAGAACAATTGACAAGAGCGTGCGAAAATGGCCATTGATAGATTGGAGGAAAACTGTACCGGTCGGCAGCTATGAACAGATGAGTGGAAGCTTGTTTGCTAGGTGAAACAGAGAGTAATCGGCACCCAAATGCTTGTTGGATGCGCGATGGCAGCTGGTGGTTGCTAATGTGACTTGTGGTCGGCAGGAGTTGGAAGGAAGCTTGACGGGCAGGAAGCAGCGACGTCGGCGCCCGTTGCGCGTCCGACCAGCGACAGAGGCATGAAGCCGCCGCCAGAGCGCTTGGCTTACGCAAAGTCAATGGTCAAAAGACGACTCGATGGCGGATAAATGGTGCTGCAGAGGCTGCAAAGCAATAGCGAGAGGAGTGTAGCGTCAAGGGCACTTGTCGCGCAAGGCAAGATTGGGCAGTGGCAGTGCAGCGGGAAACGGTACGGATGGTGCAAGGTGGTGCCGCCCTGATGCGGATTCGGGCAGGTACGAGAGTAGATAGATGCTAGAGGAGCATTATTGGGAGGCCTCTGTCACCCTCCTCATACTCCTAGACCAAAGCCAATCCTCGTGAATGCGCCGCACCTTTGGCCAGAGGTAACGATGCTTCGGCTTCCCACGACAGCCACACCATGAGCTCGTCGTCACCGTCTCGCCCGCAAGCCTCATCGTCAGCTCCAGCTCCGTCCGCTCCGTCCCTTCCGTCGGCCAGTCGCCGTATACTTTCGCGCTTTGCCTCTCCTCTGTTTTCGCAGAAAGGCCGCAGCATTGCCGACTTCCACATCAAGGCCCACGATCCTCACAAGCAGTACTCGCCTGGCGAGACCGTCAAGGGCTGCGTCGTCGTCAAGGTCGTCAAACCCGTCCGAGTCACGCACGTATCCGTCTGTCTACACGGCTTTGCCCAGGTCTATCGCACACCCGGCGCAACAGCTGACCAGCTGCGCGGCAACACCAACCGCATCGGCCGCGCTCAAGGACGAGGGAAGAAGTCGGGCGAATACTTTGGCAATGGCTTCGCCTCGCTGTTCGAGGACGAGTCGGTGCTATGCGGCGACGGCCGTCTGGACGAGGGCGTCTATCGTTTCGACTTCGAGGTCCAGTTCCCTGACGACATGGAACTGCCCAGCAGCATCGACTTTGAAAGAGGCACCATCTCCTACATGCTCACTGCCACCTTGACACGACCCACCACCATTGCTCCTGTAATCACCCACGACCAAAAGATCTATCTCGTTGAGCGCGTCGACATTGCGCCCCTGCTGCCACCAAAGCCCCGCACCATAACCCTCGAGCCAGTTTCCAGGAAGATCAAGCCGACCAAGACCTCTGCTTCTTTGCCATCCAGAACTCCGAATACCCCTACCCACGAAGCAAGACCTCCAACACCTTCGCTCAGCGAGTTGAGTCTCGACAGTCGCATCAGCAGCAGTCCCAGTGACACTCCACATAAGCTCATTACCGCGACAGTCGAACTGCTCAAAGGCGCCTGTCTGCGTGGGGATAGTTTTCCCGTTAGAATCTCCATCAACCACACGAAACACATCAAGAGCATAAATGGCATAATCATCACTTTATACCGCCAGGCCCGCGTCGATATGCATCCTGCTCTTCCTCTGGGACCAGTGAGCGACGGCCAGAAGCGTAAGTACGAAGATTATTATCCCAAGTCCATCACCGGTCTTGGTGGCTTGTCTCTATCAGGTGCTGGATCCAGCCATACCTTTCGCAAAGACCTTGCCCAGATCCTTGTTCCTCTATATGTGGATCCTGTCTCATTGACTGCCGAAATTAATGCCAAAATTGGCGTCCCTCACGGCGCGTTTCCTACCATCAACACTGTTCCTGGGGCCATGATATCCTTCCGTTATTACATTGAGATTGTCCTTGACATCCAGGGCAAGCTCACTCACGACAGGTATCTCTCACAACATGGCAGTGGCCCAGTCTCTGCCGCTGCACGTCCTGTTGATGCCAAAGAGAACAACCTCTTCAACGGCCCTGACGACACCCCTTTCTTGATGCTCAATGGCGCGGGCATTCTCGATACGGCTCCAATCCGAAGAGACAAATCTGTCGCAACTTGCACCTTCGAAGTAGTTGTCGGCACCACTGACAGTGAACGGAAAGCCAGGAAAGGAAAAGAAAAGGCTACAGAACCGCCTCCATCATCCCCTGGTGCTGAGCAGACTTGGAACATGTCACAATATGCCTCGCAACAGCAGGGCCATTCGGCGGTATCAAGCCAAGATTTCGAGTCATACCAACACGCAGATCCGTACAATTACGACTATGGCCAGGATGCTGCCCTAGAATACCAATACGGCTCTGGTTACGATTACGGGTCGAATGATCATCAGTGGGACACGGGCCAAGAATACACGTATGACCAGTCCTACTATCCAGATTACTACGAACCTCCACCGTTGGAGAACGAGGACTCTCTTCCTGAAAAGGAACGTCTACGTAGAGCGGAGGCACGATTGATGCCGAGCCAACCACCTGCCATGGCCTCAACATCTTCAGGTGCAGAACAGGCAACAGCGCCAGCGCTGCCTCCAGACGACTTTTGTCAAGAGCCGGGAGTCGCAGCTGGGAGCTTGACACAACACGCTGTAGTGGCACCACAAACAGCTCAGCAACCACCTGCACCCCGGGGTAATCATGACTTGGTCGAGGGTAGCAGCAACCATCTACCACCAACTGACGACAAACATGAACTACAGAGGCGTCAGTTAGAACTCGCAGCGAGTGGGCCGCCGTCATGTTTGAGCAATGCNCCTGAGGAAATTAGTACAGAATCTGGACCATCAGCGCCATTGATAATAGATAACGATGTGAATGAGTACGTATTGGAGGCTGACGAAATGGGGAGTGTCGCGACGGAGAACCTTCCGCGGTACCATCGATAGGAAAGTCGATTGCAAAGGAAATAATGCCATGGTTGTTTGTTCTTCACCGTCCATGCCGTTTAGACGAGGCTCGCGGACACGGTCACTCGGTCCGCCGGGGTCACGGAACGCCCACTGTACCACCCGCTAGCCCTTAGAACAAATAGGCTGACGGCCACCTGCCTGTAGTGTAGGCCACTCGGGCGTGAAAGGGCGAGCTAACATGGATGGGATGGATGGATGGATGGGAGAGAGGATGTGAAAAGTATAAGCTCGGGATTGCTTCGTTTTGTCAAGCCTATAACGACTACAGTATAACGGAATTAGGGCAGGAGCGAGCCGAGAATTTCGGGTGCGTCGTAGCGATATCTGCGATGAAATCGTTGATGAAGGATTGCGGCAAGGATACAGGATGGCCCGTGAGGGGGGCCTCGAGATGGGGGCTGAGATCATAGTTTGCCAAGCAGAGTGTTCGTCGGCGCTATCTCTCTACGTACTTGCCAAAAGTCAGAAATAACCAGTTACACGGCCATGCTAGTGGCAATTTGAACCATGAAGTTTAGCATAGGTAGATGTCTGGAGCTCGATCGGATTCTCAGACAGGCTTTGTCATTGTTGTTGACCCGCACGCGTTCTTGCGGCTTTGGCAAGGCTCTTTTATATTGTCACCAACGGTTTCTTGCGCGTGGCTTGCCTCTACTGAGTACAAACAGGAGGATCGTCGGAGTGCATTCCGTCGCTGCCACTTTCTCCTACCTTTCTGTTCGTTTCTTCCCCCTCCTGCAAAGCGGAACGAGGATCCATCTACACGCCTTTGAAACGCACGGGAGCTGTACTAAATCGAGTCAGGATCAGATTGCGCAACAAGGGCCCAGAAGAATTCTTGTCGAGTGCAGAGACGACTTGTCTTCTTCACAGGTGCGCTCTGTCGTCTTCGGCCGTCATACTTGGCCCGCATCATTGACCTTAGCTGGCTCGGATTGAAGACCGAGTGGACTAGAGTCGCTTGTGGCTCATCGAGAAATCGAGGTCCATTGCCCGTTAGGCATTGTCTGTTACCGCCTAGCACGCCGGCTCACTATGTCAATGTCGTCGTGAAGGCCTCACTTGATCGTGCGAGATTTGCCAGCGACTAGCGCACACGACGTCCACACAATTACTCCTGCTCTCTTTGCGGTCCGTAACTGCAGAGCCTTGTCTCTTTGCAGTGTCCGAATGCCCTCTGGATATCCTGCGCGCACATGACGACCCTCAAACAGGTCCTCGACCGTTTGGATCTGGCGCGCTATCACGATGCCTTTGTCGACGAGGGCTTTGACAGCTGGGAGACTCTGATGGACATTACCGAGTCAGATCTGTGAGTACCCGACGACTTGTTGCTGCCCGCCTTGGTCAAAGTGCTGACCATATCCTGCCTGCAGNNCGAGGCGCTTAGTGTGAAACTTGGTCATCGACGAGTGCGTCTCATGCTGCCATACCGTCACGAGTTGACATAGTGTACTGATGCTGTGTGATAGAAACTGCAGCGAGCCATCCTCAATGCATCCAAAGACAGGACTCCTCTTCCTCTTCCAATGCTTTTGCATTCGGGCTCGCGCGACGAGTCTGCTAGCGTCGACGAACCCAAAAAGGCCCAGACACCACATTTTCAGCAACAANNCAATCACACGAGTCGCAGGAGCAGGAGCCTGCAGGCCGGAACAATGGTCCACCACCGAGGAGCAAACGAAAATACAGGCGGCATCCCAAAGTCAGTAGGCAGAAGCGCATTGGTCGAAGCAGTTGCTAAAGCAGTGCATTCACAGGCAGACGAACACGCGCCGGAGCGACCTCCGTCGGCATATGTCATCTTCTCCAACCGTTAGTCCGCCCTGGTCTCTGCATGAGACTTATCGAGTGCTAACAAGTAGGGACGCNNAGAAATCCGTGACCAGCTCAAGGGCAGGGACCTCTCGTTTACTGAGATTGCCAAACTCGTAGGCGAGCGATGGCAGGACTTGGGACCGAATGAGAAAGAGCCATGTGAACGCGAGGCCCAGACGCTCAAAGACAAGTATTACTCGGAACTGAGGCAGTACAAGAAGACGCCGCAGTACAAGCAGTACCAGGATTACTTGATCGAGTTCAAAGCAAAACATGCTGGTGAGGCGAACTCGCAAACTCAAAGTCAAGGTCCAGACCCCAAGAAGACCAAGCTCCGTTCAGGCAGTGGTCAATCGCGCAGCTATGGAGAGGCAACGGTCGACGGTGACGAAGGTGTTGACGGCATCGAGGGTGAAGGTGCGGACGAGCCGGAGGGCGACGATGCCATGTCTGGCGTCGATGTTGGCGATGGCACGCACAACCAGGCCCTCTCGCCGTCGGAGAAAGCGCAGCACTCGTCTACCTACAGCTCGCCCAATGCCGAAACCTACCGCCTATTTCCCATTCCCAAAGCCCCTTCGGATGCAGGCACTGCCTCGTCCTACTCGACCTGGCGCTCTATCCAGCCTACTTATCCTACCCCCAACACCCTGAACAGGCACACGACCAACCCCAGCCTCCGCTCAGACCATGGCTCTAACTCGCCCATGACCTCTCACCCAGCCGCCTCGACCCACGATAGTGCCCCGAACAAACCAACTACCATACTCCCCCCTCTCAATCAACTGAGTAGCTCCATCACTTCGCGCAACCCGAACGACACTCCCCTTATAAATTGGCCCCTGCATACCACACTACCTCCCCTCGACCCCAGGGCCATGTCCCACCGCGCCACTCCTTCCCATCACGCCACCCAACCACCCCCACCCCTGCATGCCTCACCGTCCTTGTCCGCAAAAGACTCATACGACGTCACTTCTCAGAACAAGGCCTCGCTATCCACCTTGCTGCGCGCTACCGAACACGTCGAACGCGATGGCTCTCACGCTGCTGCTTCGAGCAAACACAAGAACAGTCAATGATTGATGATGATGATGACCACCAACACAACCATTTGTACAAGAGAGCATATCCGAGAATGAATACCAAGAACAATACTGCTAGCAATACGGCGTCGATACCTTGAAGTCCTTATCCCTCTTTGCGATAACAAGACTACCCTTACTCGCCGCATAGAGCCTATTTGGTCCGCGTACGTACATGGCAAGATTTAGGAAAGAAGGACAAAAGAAAGCAAAAAAGGAAGAACAAGGGAATATGTAGATGGAAAACACGATATCGATGATGGAAATGGAACAGACCAATAGTTCGCGCTAATCTTTTGTATTCGAGGTATATCCAGCAGCCTCGTCACCCCTTGCCTTACATCCTTCCTCTTTTGCATTCTTCCTTGTTCTTTTCTGAGTACACTGGACTTTTCTCTTCCCATGCTTTCCTTGGCGATTCAATTCTGCTTTGACTCAAAGAAAAAGTTGTCGATACGTGATTTGACAAGGTCTGGCATTCTGTCCAAGTGGTAATGCATGGAACCCCAAGTGCTAAAGACCAGTCGAAGTGTAGTTTTACAATTGCACAATAATTTTTTGTAAGAAATGACATCTCCACAGAGAAAATGCCATTAAAGGCCATCTCTATGGTTAGACTCGATGTTCAAGATTGCAACTGTGCATTTCGATCGATAGCCTATAATACGCCTTAGAGTACACCTCGGGATGAGAAAGGCAGTCATCTTTGTCTCTTGGCATAGATACGGGTACTCTAGGATAGAAGATGGTTTGGACACCTACCTCTTCAATACATCCGTGCAGGGTTTGTAGCTTACGAGATTACTACAATGTCAAGGTGACGAAGTAATTCAAAAACAGCAAAGTCGTGACAGGTTTCAGACTACGCAGGCAGATTTGTAAAACTATGAGTGTTCGTTTTTTTTTATCATGATACGTTTCTTGGTCGTTTCAGTGTTGATTGAGGACCTTGACTCGTCCTCGTTGTTAATCTATCTATCACCCTCGTGCTCTTTTCTTGCTTGTTATAGTGCTCTGTTCTGCAGCAACTCTCCTTCGTTCAACCCGGCGGTCATCATTATGTTAGTCGTTAACGTCTATTCTCAGCTGCTTCTGCACGCAAGTGCCTTCCAACCTCAGCTTCTAACTCGGCAGAGACCACAGGCTGTTGCTGTTGTCTCTGACTCTTAGCAGCACGACTGAAAAGACAACTCCACAGATCGTCATTGAGAACAACCTCGCCATCTCCTTTGCCCTGCACGAGAAGCTTCGAAACAGGCGCTTGTTGCAACTCAAGCGAGTTGGCAGCATCGATTGCGGCTTCTCCCAAAGCAGGAGTGGAAGATTTAGAACGCTGAGATTCCTNTTTGATGTTGGTGGCTTTTTGCATGTGTGCTAAGCGTCTGGCGACCGAGATTTCGTAGATGGCTTCTTCGACTGTGTCACCGATCAGGTACATGTGGACTGTGGTTGGTCGTTGTTGACCGATTCTATGCACGCGTGCGATGGCTTGAAGTTCGATTGCCGTGTTGATGAGTGGCTCGGCAAGGAAGACATATTGTGCATTGACGAGGTTGAGTCCCGATGAATCAGTCTTTGCGTCGAGAAGGAAGCATTCAATACCGGCATCGTTTCTGAACCGATCGATAGCGCCAGGCTTTCCCATGCGAGAGTAACCAACACCGAATTGCTTAAATGCAGTGCCAAGAACGTCGAGGAACTCTCTGAATTGACTGAAGACAATGGCCTTTGCACCAGGGTCATGCTTGCGAATCCAGAGAACGTGCCGAGCGAGGATATCTATCTTGGTCCCGAATGATCCATTCAAGTCGATGGACTTGATCTGTGCAAGCGTATCGGTACTGATGTCGGCATAGAGAGTGGAACCGGGAGTCGCACNTTTGCTGGATCCCTGACTTGGCGAGGAAGGTTCAGATTGTTCCTCCTGTGCGAGCAGCTCCTGCGGTTTGTATGTGATTTGATGGAAATCTGCAAGTACGAGGTGGCGCTTGCAAACAGGGCAGGTGCGGTGAGAGCTCCACCAGTGATTGATGCATTCTTTGCAGTACTGATGACCGCAGACAGTGAGTACGCCCTGCTCGAAAGAGCCCTGACAGATGACACAAATTCTCTGTGTTTCTTGCGAGCTGGTACTTTCTTCGCGCAGATGGAGTAAGAAACGGTTTTTCGTCTTCAAAGCTGCAAGTGCTTTGGTTTCCACGTCATGTCGACGCGTCGCAGCTTCCAAAGCTCCCACGTCGAGGGTCTCGTCCCAATCCTCTTTGTAAGGTGCGACAGTATCCGAGATAACCTGTAATTGGCGATAAAATTCCAAACGCTGATTCATCGTAGCAGAGAAGAGCTCGATCATCTCCTCTAAACCTTTCAACACCTTGGTTTCCCTCTCTACAATGATACCAAGCTGTTTTGCTTGACCACGGACAATCTGGAGTTCAGCACCAGCGCGCGTGTTTCCGTCTTGCCAGTCAAGTGCTGTTTCGATGCTGCGGATTTCGTGCACCAAGCCACGCAGGGACAAAACATCATCAGGCTTCTGCTTCAAACGATTACGCTCGGCGAGTAATTCGAGTATGAGCTCCGGTGCATGTCCGTGGCCTAGTTTAGCCATTTGAACCAGAGATTTTACTTCTTGATCAACAAGAGGCGCGCTTTGTCCTGTGATACAAGTCGATCGATCCGCAACAACGGCTCGCAGGGCATCCAGGTATGCATTAAGTGTATCCTGGGACTTGGTTGAGTCTTCATACTCATCACCGGTGGTCTCAACGTTCTCCTCATCCTTATCGACCAGAGGCTTGAGCAACAGATCAGTGGCCTTTTGTTTCCATTCATCAATCAATTTCGCTTGCGCATTCATGATCCTGGCAAGGTCATGAGCTTTGTGAACNNCTTGCAGTCGTCAGTTATTCTGCCATAAATATGCTCGTGGTAAACTTACTATCTTGACATTCTCCACACCTCCAGGACTTTCCATGGTCGCCAAACTGGATCGCTCAAGCATCACATCTTTCTCTTGCTCAATCTTCTGCATGAGCTTCTCTGCTTTCAAAGACTCTTCATTCAGAATCTCCTTGCGAGTCACCTTGGCAGAATCATAGAAGCGTGACTCGTGTTCCTCCAATTCTTGAAATCTTGCTGAGTCTGGCTCGGTGATGTTGGTATTGGACTTCATCTGGAAGTATGAGGTGCCGACGAAGAAAGCACATGCATGCTTTAATTGCAAAGCAAGGTAGAGAGNCGTTTTGTGGCGACCTTCAGCGATTTCTTCTGTTGACTTTACGTCTTCGGAGTTGTTGTCTTTCTTTTCATGATCATCGCCGTGAGTAGTTGCCTTGGCGACATCGGTCCTGCAATCAGCAACGATCTTCTCGGATGCCTCGAGTGCAGATTTGTAGATTTCTAAAGCTTTCTCGGCTCTGTGTTCATCATCCTTTGCGTTGCCAATGACATGACCCCTGAGCAGCTGGGTATTGATGACAAGACGGGACTCTGTACGGATTGACGTCTCGTTTTGATCTATCATGACTTCCAGAACTTCGGCCACAGTGCGTAGAGGACCTTGACCACGTCCTAGTGCTCTTCTGTTCCTGCTGCCAACTTGTGGGTGCAGACAAGTTTGTCGTAATTGACAGAGCCAAGCCCGCATCCTTTGCAGTAATACAGGCGACTCTGGATCCCAGCTATCAGTAAGCGGAGATCCATCAGAACGACATCCGCACTCCTCGCACATCGTCTCGAACAATGTCTTGTAATTTTGCTCCTCGATCTGAGTGAATGGCAAAGTCAGAACGACCCTTCTTTGAGGCGGCAGTCGAAGTTCGTGTCGCACTTGATCCTTGGTGTGACGCAATGTTATACGACCGAACAGAATTTTAAACAAGTCACCATATTGGTGTATCAGACGGTTCCAGATTGCAGAGGAATTGCNAAAGGGCTGATATCTGAGAAACACGAGAAGGCCGAAGAGGTCTTGCACATCTTTCTTTAGGGGCGTGCCAGACACTGCCCAGGCGTGCTCTCGTGGTAAGAGGGAAGCCACTTGAGCTGCTGCACTGACACCTGACTCGACCATTTGTGCCTCGTCGAGGCAGACTCTCCACCAATGCATCTGTACCAAAGGGCTGCGAGGTCGAGTGCGTTTGCGTTCTCGCTGTCGTAGTGAACGTTCAGGAGGATCGACCGCGAAATGAACCTCCTTCGCTAAAACAGAGTATGTTGTGAGGACCACGTCACGTTGTGCTAGGTCCGCAACAATTGACTGGTCCCCTTTCTTGGACGACTGAACATCAGATACACCCTTGTAATGCAGGACTGAAAGACCAGGAGCGTGTCGAGCCAACTCGTCTTTCCATTGTTGTAAGATAGTCGGTGGTGTGACGATCAATGTCGCTCGAGATTTGACAAGGGTCTGTGCTTCTGCACTTTCAATGTCGATGGCAGCAGGATCTCGCTTGTTGAGGCATATCAGCGCTATGAGCTCACATGTCTTTCCTAAACCCATTTCATCTGCCAGTATACCACCTTGCGGCTCTTCAAAAGCAGCAAAATGGGTAGGCGAGCACACGACACCCTCCAAATGGCTAACAAAGCAAGGCTGACCATTTGCATCATTAACTTGCACGTAGGATAGCCGGTTCTGGGATTGGTTGTAGGGGGGAGATTCTCGGCCAAGCATCCATGCGACAGCACGTTTCTGAAAGGGATACAGATCTGTTTCAAGAACTCTGCATTCGATCAGTTCGGGTACACGCGCATCGCTTGGAGGAGAGTGCACGCTAGCGTAGAACTCTTGTGGGGCCCAAGACTTCGACCGACCGCTTTCAGGCTCCGGAAAGAATTGAGTAAGGGTGGCCCAATCTTCTTTTTTGGTTGCCAGAGGTCCAAAAGCCGACTCACCGTCAAACCATGTAATGCTGCATTCCAAGGTGTATACAGGACCAGAGGGGCCAGCTGAGCGATGCAGAAGACATGTAGATCGGCAGATGCCTGGTCTGACATTCCGTCTGGAGCGTTTCTCGAGGTTCACGATGCGCGAGAGCAGATCGGCCGTGGTTGGCGAGATAGGTTCCGTAGCCTGAACCCTCAATGTGGGACTCTTCTTATAGCCAGCATGGCCGACCAAAGACAAAGCAGGTTGTGAAGTGGTCAGATTCTGGGCATCGACGAGTCCAACCTCAATATCATCTTCCGTCACGATGGATAAGTCGTTGTGGTTGGTTGTGTTTGGAGATGGCCGTAGGTTGATGTCGAGGCGAGCGATGGTTATTCCTGCTCCAAGAACAGGTTGTGATGGCTCCAGATTCTCCGCAGATTCGAGTCTTGCACGTTTGCGCGGCTTACTGTAGTCTTGATGGAATGCATTACGGCAATCTTCAAAAAATCCTGAGAGCGCTTCGGCGCCTTTAGCGAGCACCCCTTGTCTTGGATTATGCGATCTCAGGATGGCAATGGAGACTCCAGTGTCCAGTATCGATGCCATCCTTCCGGACTCTGCAATCTTTCCACAGTGAGACGATTTGGTTGGAAATAATGTAGACGGAAGGCGAGTTAACATCGAGTGCGGAAGTCGCCGCCCCACAGATCTTCGGCGATAAGACGGACTTTAGATATTAGATCGTTCCTTCCATAATCTGCTGTAAGAGAAGTGACGACGCGGCTGTGAAGTTCAAGTCTGATTGTTTGCTCAGAAATCTGCTGTTACCTCTTGGGTCTAGTGAAGTGTTCGATATAGTTGATATGGTGATGTGTGTCAAGTCACTACTACCATCGAGCAGAATCAAAAGGTTCTTAGCTGGATAACATTCACGAGTTGCTGCTTGAACAGAACAATAAACGCTGTTTGAAAAGGATATAGGGATGATCGAAAACGCACATAACAAGATTCCCCCAGGCCATATGCATTACGCCAAAAAGAAGAACAGAACGCTTTTCTACGCTTCCGTCTATAAAACGCCGCCATGTTGTGAAAGAAAAGATAGGCCACACTAGGTTTCGTAGCCAGCCAGAGGATGAAGAGATATGGAAGCAACATTTCTATGCTTTGACCATGAAGATCTAGAGCGGAGATTAGTCCTGAAAACATGTAATAACTGTTGGTTGCGATTACCTCTTTCATAGCTTGCGGGTCCATGAATGCAAGACGCTTCTGTGCGATGTATCTCTGGCGGACGTTCTGTCTGCCATACAAAGCAGCCACTGGTGCAGGCTCTGCAGGGGTTCCAGGTGCGCTCGATGGGGTCGCTGTGCCTGACTTGGCCGCCTTCTTCTCTTCCTTTCTCCTTCTCTTTTCTTCCTTCTTCGCCTCCTTCTTTGCGCGTCGTTCTGCTTTACGTGCCTTCTTCTCAGCCCGTGTCTCCTCTTCAGAACCTGATGCATCGGTGGCTTTTCGCTTCTTGTCCTTCTTCTCTTTCTTGCTTGATTTCTTCTCTTTCTTGGACTCCTTCAGCTTCTTCGCCTTTGGCGCCTCCTCAACCTCATCATCATCAGAATCGGAAGAGTCAGACTCGGATGAAGCGTCGTTGGTGCTTTGTTGTTCAGGTTCCGACCTCTTTCGCTTCTTGTTCGTTGCGTCCGGCGCAAGCTGTTGAGGAGCGGGCTTGGAGCCAGGCATGACTGTCGATTTGAGGTCCATCTTGTCACCAACCAGGAAGCCTGCGCTGATGAAGTTGATGTTGCCGAACTTTCTTCCCTGATATAAGGCCAATTCGACGTCTCGTTGTGCTGTTTGTTGTTTCTCGACCTCTGCCTCGGATTTGCCATTCAGTCTGCCTAGGAGACCCGAGTACAGGCTCAGACCGAAAGTCTCTGCATTGTTTCCACCTCTGGCTGCGCCCAGACCGAGATTGTCGTCCTTCAACAGAACGCGAATATGTGAATTACTGCCGACGGTGTAATGCGAGGCGTGGTTTGCGTCTTTGGCGCCGAGAGTGTCGCCAGGTTTCCAGCCCTGCGAAGCAAGGATCTTGTGGCCGAAGGAGTCGGTTGCTTTGGCCCAGTTGTTGTTGTTGGGATCGGTACCGATCTTGGTGCGTCTTTTGGGGCCAGCGAGACCCATGTTGGCGTATTATTAAGTGATGGTCGAGAGAGTCTTGTCGTTGATTGTCTTGATTCTTGACGCGCGAGCAATAATTTTTCTCCACGAAGGAGAAACCGAAATTTACCCCGCATTTGGGCTCTTTCCTTTCTGGTCAGATGCTGCCAATACGCTCTAATCTGTTACCTTCACCAAACCAACCTCTAGTCCATCAACACACCTGCCATACCAGAATCGTCTGCGCTTTTGCGGCGCCATCGGAAACAGACATCGTACGAGGGTTCTTCTTCTCCTCATCTTATACATCTGCCGTCAATTCATCGACCCGTCTCAATCATGCCTTCCACTAAATCGCAAAAAGTCGCCAAGGCCGCGAATACTGATGATGATGCACAAGGATTCGTCAAGCAGCAGAACAAAATGTTGGAAGCAGTAAGTCATACAGCAGAAGCTGTTTGGATGTCTAAGATCCCGAGATCTGCGTCGTGATCCATCAGATTTCCTTGTGGCTAACCGCAAGGATCTCGAAGGTCAAAACTCGTCAGGACGAAGCACGTTCAAGAATCCGCAGAAATCGTTCCAACAGGCAGAAGGACTTGCAGGCGCGCATCAGAGCCCTGAAGCGCGGTTCGTCAGCCAAACAGTAAGTTCAAGGATTGTCGGATGCAAATGCATCACGAATCACATACTACATCGATACATGCNACATTTGCCATGGCAATTACAAATGCCCATATCACNTTGTCAGCCACACCATCGCACACCTCGGCTGCTCTTGCCCTTCGGATGACGCATCGAGGCTCAAGCAAAAACGCTAAAACNTCGTTTCGTTCTAGACTCGGGAGCAACGCCGACGTGCCAAGTCTTGACCACACGGCATTCGAAGCCCTTCGAGACCTGCTCGCTCGCAAGACGGAGATTGAGCAACGTATCGCTAAAAGCATCGAGACCCTGGAAAAGGTCATGAACACGACCTCAAACGAGTTCCAAGCTGCCCTCAGATCGCGGTCCGAGAATGCCAAGACTACGACAATGCCCGCCGCTACAAGCGCTGCAACTGGAACTTCAAGTGCCCTGATTGTAAAACAATAAAAAGGCAAAACCGCCGACGAGAATCCCGTTGCTAACCGCTTTTTCACGCATAATGAAGGGGGAATAATGAGTAACGAGAGAAAGCTTTGCTGGTGGAAACCGAGACCGCTCTCCCGGGAGAAGGCACATGCATGATATTACGGAAGGGGCTGGACATGATGGACCTCGCTCAGCCGCAAGGGTTTGGTCAGCAGCATCGTGTGGCGCTTGCTGGGACTGCGCTCCGCTCGTTTTCGCTCCCGCTTTCTTCCTAAACATCACTTATGCAGTCATAGACAGTGGTAAATTGAGTCATGCCAATTGAACCACACCTGAGTTTCTCACGACGTTCGTTGGCAACATTCAAGATCATTTCTGCACATTTTGATTCGCCGGCTCGAGATCTTTCCGCAGGCCCTTGTAACTTCTAAAACGATCGTGCAGTTGACGTGCCAAACAGCGGAGCTGCTCCGAGCTGCGCCGTCGAATGCGCTGGCTACCTTCTAGAGAGCTGAACCTCGTAACGAGCCATGGTCCAAGGACGCCACATCGAATCTTCTTTAGCTCCTTCCTCGAAAGGCAACCGCTTTTTGGTTTTTGCACATCTCTTAACAATGCAAATCCATCATCGGAATCCATGAATAAATGCTCGGTATTGTAGTGAGGGTCTGATGCTTTATATTTTCGATGCTATTGAAGGGTTTGGATTCGTTTCTTCGTAGTGATGAATACATTGCATATGCCGTACATGATCCGTTGCTTTTTGTACATAGAGAAGTGAAAGATATGTTTGGGTGGGTGGAAAAGGGAAGGCGCTTGTGGAAAGTAAAAAGGTAGAAAAGATGAAACGAGTGTAAAAGGATGAAAGGAGGTCGCTGGCTTTTGTCGCTAGATCGCAAGACGTCTATGATGCAAGAAACACCTTCCTGTCGCTTCGGGTGTGTTGTGGGTAAGAGCTTCGTGTGTTGCTCTCTGTGTACGTGTTGTGTGTGCTGCTCTATGGTTGGTGGTCGAGTGCAGAGTGCGAGGGAATGGTATGTCCTCACGTAGATCGCAGCCATGTTTGATTCTTCAATGGCTAATGCCAGTTTCAATGATGAGTCGCATCAAGAAGGAAAGTGCATCGCCACAGGAGACATGCCGACCGCGCCCTGAGGCATATGAGCCGGACGATGGAACATCTGCACCAAACGCTGTCCAATGCTGGGTTCGATCTCTGTGCCGTCGCGCGCGATCTTGATTTCTCTGTTCTCGTTCCAAGGGTTGCGCAGACCACGAGTGCGGTAGAAGGGTAGTCGAGTCGTCGAGATCCATTCGACCTGGAAAGATTTGCCCCACTCTTGCTTTTGTCGTTGAGCGCCTGCTTCCTTCTCTTCTCGCTGAGCTTGCTGTCTCGTGGTTGCAACACCGTCGACTGCTCCTTCTCCATCTTCGTCTACTGAGTCTTCAGGGGTGTTGTCGACTTCCCAGAAGATGGTGCCGCGCGCTGAATCGTCCACGATGCGTCCTTTTGGTGCCCATTGTGTCGCTGGGGTTGGTATTGATTTTGGTCCGCTGTCTAAGTCTTTGGTCTTGGGTTGGAGCTTCGTAGATGATGTCGTTGGTTCCGAGGTGATGGGGCTAGTCATGCGAGCGTAACCAAAGTATTCTCCCGACTTGTTCGCAGAAAAGACGAGGTAGACGTTGTCAGCAGNTCTAAAAGGCAGTCAGCTTGTGCTCACAAGGAATTGAACGAGAGTGATCGAAAGTTTTGGGTGTCGTACCTCGTAAGCATGGTTTAGCGCAACCTCGTTGTGACTCTGTGTAGCCCAGACTCCATTGCGCACACTGGCTTCGAGATCCTGCAGCGTGAGACTCTTGACGACAAAATACTTCTCGGGCACACGTGCTGGACTTTGATCCACAGTTTTGTCGAGCCCATCGACACCATCAACACCATCGACGCCGTCAACGCCATCAACGCCATCGTGCTGGAGCTCTTTCTTTGGCGACGAACCATCCACGATGACTGGACCAGAAGACGTTCTCTGAACTCCCCTTCGTGCTGTCTTGTCGGTCTCATTGCTGGACTCAGGAGTCAACGAGTCGGGTGTCGTCGAAGAGAATCCACTAGTTGGGGTACCGCGACGAAGCCTACAAACCAAGCGTACACCCTGGAATCGAGAATCGTGGAATCTGACCATGGCAGCGGCACACGCTGCTTCGGTGCGATAGTTGACGAACGCGCAGTTGCTCTTAGAGATGAGGAACAAGCTCTCGATGTCGTTGGTTGCCTCGCGTGAGAAATGGTCCTTCAATGCGCCAATGGTCGTGCCAGGAGGCAGATTTCCGACCCAGAGTGCGTGGCCAGATTGTCGGGGCTTCCTTGGAGGCCCTCTGGGATAAGATGGGGTGGGCTGGGTGACCAACTCGGGTCTAGGATGACCTGTACGATCGCCGTCAGTAAGTTGCACTCGAGGATAGTGGTCAAAGATGACGGAAAAGTAGAAGACGACTTGTCAGTTGCCTCTTAGACCATGCAGAGCAGACATACTCAAGTAGGACGTAGAATGGTTCGGCTGGCTGTTGAACTCGGAACTCGTGAAATGCATTCCAGGCATCACTGGATACCCTGCGATGGGCTGTCCCTGGCGCGACATAGCGATCTGGGAGGACGGCATGTTGTAGGAATTATAGTAGTAGTGAGGCGCGATACTAGAAGGATGAGTTTGAGGGCGCGTGCCAGGCATAGGCATCCCCATATTCGAAGGGTAGCCTTGAGATCCATACTGTTGCAACTGGTGTGGCCTAAAATTCATGCTTGGCGTCTGCATAGCCATACCATCAGCTTGTGATGGTGTTTGCTGTGCATAGCCTCTGTNAGACGCGGATGAAGGAGAAGCCCCGGGCAACGCAAGTCCTACCGAGTTCATGTCGAACCCATGCATCGACTGCTGGTACTGGTAAGTGGCATATGGGTTACCATGCTGCGAAACGGGTGTGCGAGAGGCGTGAGAGGATGCATTGAGTTGCGAAGAGAATGGCGCTGGTCCTCCTGAACCTGCAAAAGTTTTTTCCTGCAACTGGTTCACTCCACTCAACTGCACAGAACTCTGTTGATCTGAGTACGGAGTGTTTTGCCGATCGGGGGCTTGTGGTGCCTCTCCCATTCTAAGAGAGTTTCAACCTTGGCTTATCGCAATCAAGCAAGTCACGACAAGGTGTTGGAAACGACTGCTCGGTTTGAAGTCAGCTAGGACTAGTTAAACTTGACAAAGAAATGGCAAGTCAGTATGGTGGTTTTGAGCTTACAGCAGAGCCTCAATGAACGATCGAACGAACTATGTGGTTCGCGTAGGAGAAAAAAAAAGCCAACAACGAGAACGAGAATCTGACCACGTTACTCATCCATGCCAATAACAGGTATTGCAACCAAGTTAAGGGACGTTGCGAACAAGAAGAGAAGTGCAAACGGACGAATGAAGCAACGAGCAGGAAGGGAGAAAGGGAAGAGAAGCTGGCGGCGCGCGGAAATGGCTGGGTGTGACAGAGAGGCTAGTCCAAATGAACAAGTGGAGAGGGGATTGTCCGTCAGACAGTAAATCCGCATGGGCATGACCAAAACACATGGCGGTAAACCCTTTGTCCATGACATGCCTGCCGGATCACCAAAAGACTACCGTTGAGGCTGATCGATAGGGTGGGGATAGTACTCGCAGACGCCTCTCGCACAGTAAGGAGATCGGGAACTTACAGGCTCGAGTGGTTTTGCGTAATGTGCGAAATCTAAACAGCCCACGCTAAATCGGGGTCGCAACGCGGAAGCCTTGGTCGTGTCGAGACCAGTGTTGCATCTGTGCAGTTCTTCAAATGGCCCTGCTGTCAACGGTAGTGACGAAGTGGCTGTAGATAGAGACGTGCTAACAGAATGGGCACCGATGCATGCGTTGAGCAATCAAAAATCAAAGAATGAAGACATTGAAGATGAACAAAGCTCTCAGGAAAGATGGTATATGTTTTATCTGTGATTCAAACTTTGTAAGCGGCTAAGGCTCGACGGCGTCACTGGCTCCGCTGACCAAGTCCGCATACAATTAGACTCCGTCTTGTTTACCAGCAGAAGCATGTGTCGCTTAATTAGCCATGTGCAGGGACGAGAGCATGCATAGAGCGTTTGGACCCGGAAAAGCTCCTACACGGCTCGAACAATCCGGTGGCAAATCTAGAGACAAGATTCTTGGTTTCGCATGCTGATGGCGACTAGATACCTTTGCAACGAGAGCACCGTAAGGGTTTTTACATTTCGTGACCAATCAAGATACCATACCTAGTCTCTACGTGTGGAGCTGTGGAAGAATGTTAGGTATCGCAAGCTTGTCGAAAGCCACTCGATATTCTCGTTTGTCGGACTTGCTACCGTCCAAGATGCTAAAATTCTGTACCACTGCAGGAGGTGGGTCCGTCGTTCATACTTCAGATCGTGTCGGCAACTCCCTGGCAGTGTTAATAAGATGGCTGTTCTGGCCCTGGATCCTGACAGGGTCGAGCCTTATCAATCTCGGCCCTGACGCAGGCTCTGCTGCGACATCATCCGCTCTCTCGGGTCTTGCATGTTTCGCAGAATCGCAGGTTACAAGCATCATCCTACATTACGAATTTCGTATGGACTCTTCTCGAACCACACACCAGCATGCCCTTGAAGCAAACAGTTGCCCTCTAATTAGCTCCCGATTCTATACCTTTTCGAGGCACGTTAGCGACGGCAAACGGTCGCAAGAGGCTTTTCCGAGGAACATCTGATGAACTCCAGGCTTTGATTTCTCTTTGGTGCAAAACCAATACGGATCGTTATGAGAGCAGGTTATGATATGTAGAATAATCACATGTCGTTGCGTGCGACATGTAACGTAATTAAGCCTCAACTGCGGCTCAAACATAGACTGTGGAGCTAAGCTGGAGGCTGGAGCTGAGGATGCCTAATTAGAATCAGCCTCCGTCATTTGAGGCTCTGGCAGAGACAGCCACAATCCAAAATACCATGATCCCGTCATGGTTCATGCTAAATGGTACATGGTGTTACCCAAGTAGCATCTCGTTATAGGGCTTTTCGGCCATATGCGATCATGAGAGGCGACGGTAGACGGTAGAGCAAAGTGGGTTCCGACGGGCCCAGGTCCGGGATCACCAATAATGTGCTTGTGTCAATCTGCGATCCAATCCATCATTCTCGAGGTTGTTTTGGCACGAATTTCGGAGCTTGACTCCCTCTTTGAAAACATCATGTCAATACTCCAAAGTCAACAAGTCGTCCATCGAATCTTGAGGAGGTTTCTACTGAGCTTAACGAAGACTGACCCCACGCCTTTTTGACTCCCGGACATATCCCCGTTTCCCCAGCAGCACTTCCTCAAGTTGCGTTTCCAAGAGGGAACTGTGTAGGCAGTATAACCATAACGATAACGATCGTGAAAGAGTATGAAAGATAGACTTCCGGCCAAATCTCTCGCAGAACAGCAATAGGGAAACTCTCGGCCGGACTCTCACGAAATAGGCATGAAAGTCCAGAGTTCATGCGCGAGGAGATACCGAGAACATCCTCGGACCCGACTCCAAACTCGGCAAAACACACTTCGCCATTTAACAGTGTAGCCTCCTGTACGTTGTCTGTGTGGATAACGTGGTCACAGAGTCTAGCATGCTTTTGTACAATGAAGGCGAAAAGAACCGACGGCCACTACGACTTGAATGAACTCAAGAAGCCTCCCCATGTATTAAAGTATGTAACGCAGATAGCTATAAAAGTACACAGTAGTGATGGGAAACAAGGCGCTATTCACTGAGAGGCAATACTTTGTCGACTCTTTGTGGACATACCTCTACTTTCAAGACATTGTGCCTTTTTATGGTCTACATTACTCTTAACTGTAGTCGGAGTACGGTGCAAGGGAGGAGGTATCGGAGGCGTCAGAGACGAAGGATAATTTCACAATCCAGTCGTATTGCCGCTGTTTACTTCAGATGTACAGGCCCTTGCCAGTCCTCGCTCAGTCCCTGGGGCTCACGTATCGCAAAGGTGTCACTCTAAGTATGTGATCGATTCGTTAGAACAATGGGTTTTCGACTGTTCGCATGAACAAGGTACAAGCTCTTCATTGGCTATCTAACAGCTGTTGTCTAATAGGGAATGCCGTTCGTGAGCAGCTGGAACTGGTCGTATACACCTGTGCTGTGACTCTTTCCACTCCAGCGCACAAGCGAGCGCATGAAGTCGGCCGCCTCGCGTTCACTCTTGTCGAGCACAAATCTTTCTCTGAAATGCTGGATGGTTTCAGGCTTGAAACATGGCAGGCCCGAATCCAACATGACAACGATCAAGTGACTCAGCTTCTCTGCATGTTGTCTTGAGGCCAGGAACGCCTTGACGCAAAGCTCTTCAAACCACTTGAAGGGTTGCGACTGTGTCGACCCACCCATCACCGCAATCATCTCACTAGTCAACTTGAACGGTGCACGTTCAAACTTAACACCACCGGGTGCAATATCGAAAATGAATCCAAAGTCGATGTGTAGTATGTGCCCGGCGTCATCGACCATGATGTTGCCATTGTGTCGATCCTTGAACTGCAACAGGTAAGAAATGACTGAGTAAGCAGCCATACTCTTGACAAAATTGCTGCGCGCCTGTTGGAAGCGAAGCGAATCCTCGGTTCCATATTTTGATACCCAGTATTCGTAGAGACCGTTGACCGCTTCACGACCAAGCATGTCACGGGAGATGGAATTCGGAAGGACATCGATGACACCACATCCAGGGGCTGTGGCTGTCACTCTGTATGGGAAGACATACACATCCAGTCCAACGTTGTTGAAGATCCCGCGGAAAGCTGCAATCATTTGCAAGGCCAGTACATCCTGACGACAATCGTCACCAACCTTGAAGATCGCCGACTGCCACACTTCGTAGCTAGTGTCTTTCTGGGCTCCGCCTTCTTCAGCTACATGGTCCTGTTCGTCGTCAACAGCGTCAAGGTCGGGGACTCTCTCTTTGCGAATGCGGAAAGTTGCCATGTACGGGGCCTTGGCGTGACTTTGAAGAGGCTTTCCAGACTTTCGATCGATACCAACGACAACTCCATCCGGATTACTTGGTAGGTAAACACCAACGTCAACTTGGATCTTTCGTAATTCCTCCTCGATCTTTGCCTTCTTCTCCGGTTTTGGTCGCTTGATGAAAGGTTTGAGTTTTCCAGAGATGCTTGTCACTTCACTAAAGAATCCAAATTCGCGCTCATAGAAGTCTCTGTCCTCGTTTGAGAAACTGGAGATAAGGGAATCCATGACTTTGTCGAGTGTTGGCTTGACGGGATCAGGAATCTGCGAATCTTCGTCCTTGAAGGCATTGGCCTTGATATTCCAGATAATTTGATGTGCGAACAGTCCAGAGAACTTGGCGGTTTCGACGATGTAACGTTCAACGTAGCCCAACAGATCGTATCGGAGCGTCTGCACAATCTGAGGGACATAAAAGAATGTCACATCGACTGAGTGACTTTCCAAAGCACGCATAGCGTATTGTACAACGAAGGCGTGATTCCCGTAGGCTGGCAGGAAGTATGTGACGGCAGTGATCGGATTAACCGGAGCCCAGTACAGTAAGTANNCTATTAATTGGTCAGCAAACCATCATCAGCAATTAAAAGTGAACTTTACCTTGAGTTGAGAAGAGACGTCATGTGGCATGCTGGTACCAAGCAGTATCTGCAGAGCATCGGGCTCATGCAAAGCCTTTTCAGGATAGTTGACCAACAATGACCGAACTTGACTTTGAATAAGCGGCGAGGGGAATCTAAAAGCCATCTGTACAGCAAGAGACGATGCTTCTGTCCAAGCAGTCGGGATTAGAGCAGCGATTGCGGCCTACGAGGTTAGTTGAGTCGAACACAAACATCTGGGAGCACTCACCTCATTGGCTTTGCCCTGCTGGCCGTATATGGTATGCGGAGTATCCTGACCCAGAGGAGACAGCCACACATTCAGTCTTGTAATCTCATTCTGCAGTAAATGGAGAAGCAGATCCTGTTTTGCCTGCAATGGCTGTAATGGAGGCATTATCTTGGCTCCCATGGAAGTAACGGCTTGGACTGCCAAGATGACATCCGACATGAGCTGTACTTCAGCCTTGACTTGCAACTTGTTGCCGCCATAAGACCATCGAGCCGGGAAACCGAACCATCTGAGAGCGGCAGATAAGATCTGGTCTTTGAGCTCCCAACGAGATTTCTCATCGTAACCAGTGCCGTAGCTAATGACACGAAGAGCCAATAGAATGAGATGGAAATGGACCTCACGAGCAAGAGGGTGGCTACCACTTCGTCTCAAGGCTGCGAGGGTGACGCGCATCAAGCGGTGGAAGATACGTCCAGTGTGCGGATTACTCAACCTGGTAGCATTAAAGTGACTCGAGAGGAACTGAACGAGTCTGAAATGAGGTGCTATCAAATCATGAACTTGTTGTTGACGTTTGGTGATAGCACTCTTGTCAGTAGGGGCGAATTCCTCTTTCACATAGAAAGGATCGAGATGGCNTAGTGCAGAATGTGAGTACATGAACAAGGTAACGTTGAAGGGAAAGGAAACTTACTTGAATGTCTGGCTGAAAATACCTCGCTTTTTCTGAATCGTTCTTTCCCAGCCTTCGGCGATCTCAACAAGGATTCGAGATTCCATTCGCGGATTTTCTTCGATCACTCCCATCCAGAGCGAAACACCAAGTTTAATGGCTGGTTTGCTGAAGGACGTGAAAGGAATACCGACCAACTGCTGAGCGAGTCCAAAACGATCAGCATCGACCTTGCACAGTACAGCAGCGGCACGTCTAAGATTAGATCTAAGCTCTTCAGCTGAGGCTGGATGATGGTTGCGAAGGTTGTTGTTCAACTCTTTCAACGTAGCGGCAACCTCGCGAGCTTGTTCACTCAGAGCAGATCGTGGAAGCCCAATGACACCAGTCTGCTGTGCGTGCAAAAGCTCTTCATCTTGTCTGGACATTGTGTCCAGATAGCGGTATTCTTGGCGAGTTGTATACTGTGCAACGAAATCAGAAGCAGTGTTGACACTTGGATCCATTCTCCGATCGATGGCGCCAAGTCTCTGATCAGTTCCTGGAATGAGAGAGCCAAGTTCAAGAGCGAACGATCTGCCCATCGAAATACGACCATACGATTCCTCATCGTCGTAGTCAGAGAGGTATGTTTGCAAAAGTCCCTTCATATCCAGAGGAGCACGGTCCAAAGTCTTCAGTACCCAACGGCGACATTTCTGTTGGAATGATCGCAGAGTAGTCTGCCTGTAAGCAAAGTTATCGGAGAGCTGTAGGGATACATTACCCTTCGCCGAGCTGTAAAACGACTTGCACTCGTATTCATCAGTCTCTGCCTCCAGGCAACTAATCCACATAAGGCTGAGTAACTCCAAAAGGGCGAAGAGCGATGTTCTCTGGCAGAGTGACGAGGGCACTTGGTCGATGATGCGGTCAGCGGCAAGTGTAGCAACCTGTTGCACCTTATCGATACGATGGCAACAGCTTTCGAGTAGCCTTGCTAGCTGTTGTGCAAGATTGGCGGCTGAGAAGGTCTGACTGCGTCCAGTCATGGTAAGTGCCAGATAAGTGTCGACCGCACTCAAAGCCACACCGAGCAGACAATTACTAAGAGCACCACTCTTGAATTTAGGGTCCAAAAAGTATTCAAGTGTCCTTGTACAGTCTCCGGACTGCGCACGAAGCACTGCTACCAAGTGAGCAGCATTCAGGAAGGTGAGTTCGGCGTAGTTGAGATTCTTGATGTCCGATTCATGCGCCGGTAGGGCAGATATCAACTGCGATTTCAGCTGAACAGCATGTTGAGGAGTCATTCCACGACGGAGGACAGTATTGAGATCGATACCGCTCTCCTGAGTATCGGCTTTGTTGCTGTCGATCAAAGATGGAGTGTACCATGCCAAAGTCTGAAGCTCTTGCTGATGTTTCTTTGCGAATGATGAGTTCAGTGTAAAGTCGTGCGCGATCAGATTGAACCAGGCATCACGACTGAGTGCAGAGACCATTTCTGGATCCTCGAACTGGGTATACTCGTAAGGCATGAGTGCGGCAAGGGCAGCCAGAGGGGGTAACACTTGAGAGATCTGGTCAACAGCAAGCTTGTCGACAATCAGAGTCTTATTGTCACGGTTGGTAACGTCACTTGTGCTGACAATGCCGTCCAACAGATGAGTGAGGTATATCTCATAGAGAGGAGACGCCGGGAGGATGCTCCTTGCCATCAGCATGCGGGCTTCCATTACCGCTTGAAGCATAAAAGTATTGTCAGAAGCTGATGCGTCAGCTACGTGTCTTGCATAAAATCTTAGCAGAAGGCGCAAATCATTTGGTTCGCTCTGACAACCAAGAGCAGCAGATCCCATGATGATTTTAGCATCGACAGCCTGGTTGACACGGCCAATCTTTTGGATCAACATTGAGACAGCAAGTGCAGTGATCTTTTCGTTTTCGCACTTTCTGGCAATGGCAACGATTGCTTCAATGACAGCGGCATGAACGAGAACCGTTTCTTCATCGTCGTTGGTGACTAGAGAGATGGAACTTCCTGTAGGTTGTTGAGTGTATGAATTCAGAGAACCATTCATAGTACCATTGGCAGTGCCGTTTCCATCAACGAACAGGGACGTGTTTGCTCGGTTGGTAGATGGACCAGTACTGAGCACATTACCGAGACTGTACAATGTACTGATGATCAAATCTTGGGGCAGCAACTGAAGAACGTCTGCAAGACAGTTCGCTGCAATGACAACAGTATCGCTGGTCATTCGTCCTTGTACAATCAACCTAGGTAGGGAACGTGCCAAGTTTGAAGCAAAAGCCTTGGAAGTCTTCGCGAGGATGGCCATACATTTCAGTGTCACGCTAGCGAGTCTGTCATCTGCAAGTTGAACTGGGTCGGTCAAGACTCCGTCCAACCAGCCCATGATGATATCGGCATCAGCGATGTTTTCGTTGACCAAGGAACAACATAGGAAGCTGATCAGACAGCTAGCTTTGGTCGAGAAGGCTAACTGCTGCTGCCAAGCCGAGCTGACCTGCAGATAGTCCGCATCAGCATCGAGTAGAGCAACGACCTCTGTCAGTAGTTCGGTAAGATCCTCTAGTGATGACTCATCAACACTGTTGTCATGAACAGAGAGACCTTGTGGGGTCTGCTGGAGAAGATAATCCAAGACCTGACCACCTTCAGGAGAGTCGAGAGGCATGACCATGGCAGTGGCTGAAGCCGCGAGATAGTTAGTGAAAGCATTCTGCAGCAACATTGCGCCCAAGGGTCGTCCCATGGAGGCGTAGACCTTGAGCAGACGTTTCCATTCCTTGACATGGATGCCATGGGAGTTTCGAAGCGACGAAAGATTGCCCTCAATCGCAACCATAAACTTCTCGGAGTACAGAGTTCGAAGCTTGCGAGTGACGGAAGCACGTTCTTGTACTGTAAGCACCTGAGGTTTCTGGGCAAGTGCTGAGAGAAGACCGAGTAGCGAGACGGAGAAAGTGATCGTCTGGGATGCATCATCAAGATTCAGAGAAGAGTCTCCAGATACATTAAGTCGGTCGATCCTTTGACCTTGGTGGACATAGGTGTCGATTGTGTTGATGATGGTCGTGACAACTTGTGGACGCAAGGAGGGGATCCTGAGACCAATGTTGAGCATGGCCGAAGCGACTTCCTGCACGAGCACTTCCCATGGTGAAGGATGGACATGACGCAGAAAAGGCGAAGGTCGGAATGTCTGAGTATGGGCTTCTGTTAGATAGGGAGTGATCTGTTGAAGAAGACGCTCGGCATGTTCCAGAGAGTCGATCGAGGACGAGGCACGACACAATGCTATCAAAACTTCGAGTTCACGAAAACCGATGGGACCTTTGATGGATCCTTCGGATGAGGCGGAAGTCTTGTATAGAGAACAAAGTCGTGGTATATCCTGATGGGCTGCATGTGAAGGTGGAGCCTGAGCTGAAAGGACGGCCAACTTCTCGAAGGCTTCTCTTCGAAGCGCCCCACGGGACGAGTTTCTGTAATCATATAAGTCGTTGTCTTTGACTGTTGAATGACCGTACCTACAGTCTCATGCTAGCGGCAATATTCCGATGTTGTTGTCGAATGCTAAAGGAAAAGTGCCAACCACGGATGACGTCTCGCGATTTGCTAGGGGTCAACTCCGCCCGGCGGAAGTTGCTAAGGAGCGGAAGTTGCTAAGGAGCGCTGGGTGTTTCCCCTAAAGCCAAGCACTTTCTACTTCCACAACACACCAACGCCAAGATCGACAATCTCAGGCTTCGAGATATCAGCGATTAATTATGAGTGTTCAGTATTATCTATCATCTCCAAATTTCTCCAAGTCGGCTGCTGACTTCTCAGCATATGTAAGTACTGAACAGCTACCCATGTGCTCTATAAGCATCACGCGACGCTCATTAACGACTCCAGTCTCCTGCTTGTCTGACCGGTGACTAATGGCATTTCTNTTTGCTTCCTATCTATCACAGAACATCNNAACTGCCAACTTCTGCGCAGATTCATTCCATTTTCTTTTATTTGTTNNCTTGGCTGGCCAAGCGCACTCTTTACTCTTCTCGTCTGCCAGTTGTTATCAGACTCTGGCCAAGATGATGGGTACCATGGACTGCCAAGTCAGCTCTCGAAGAATACTTACGTTATGAAAACACACAATTCCTCCTGTCCAGGCACGTGTAGAGCAGCGCCTCCATCTTGGCCAAATGTGCTGTGTTTGGTGCGAGCGGGAACTCAGAGGATGCAAATTCCCTTTGTCCCCCTTGCCATACATCAGTCGTCTCTTCCTTGCGCGATTGCATCTTCCACAATCCGTCATCCAACCGACATACACTGGTGCACAAACGGTAAAATCACAACGTTGAAATCCTTGNTCCGTATTTTGCGACAAGTCCTGAACAATATCGACCTTGAACCCCGCATACTCTCAAACTGTAACATCTTTGCGCACTTTCGCTTCTTGCAGACTCGGACAAATGGCCAACCTATCCTATGGTCGCGGCGGAGCAGGTATGACTGCGCAGAATAGAAGACTCCGCAAAGAAGGCTCCGGCTCACTGTAAACCATTCAACANGGCAACATGGCGCCCGCCTCGCCCAGCCTTCAACCCGCCGACCTGAAGACTCCCACCATTAAATCCCAGACCTACACCACCGGCAGAGGCGGCCAGGGCAACATGCAGCCCAATGTCCACCCGGACATCACCCGCCAAACTCAAGACGTCGAAGCACACCCTCGCGCCGGTCGCGAACCCGAGAAGAACTTCCAATGGGGCAGAGGTGGTGCAGGCAACACAGCGTCCCTGAGCAAGGACCAGATCGTCGACATAAAGGAGAGAAATGCTTCCAGACAGCGTGCCGAGGAAGCCGCTGCTCGCGCCAATCCTGCTGCCTCTGGCGAATCCATGGATCAAAAGCCAAAGAAGGAGAGCAGGACAAATGCCGTAGGCCACATGCTGCAGCGCGTCATGAGCGGCAACGGCAAGAACCCGCAAAACTGAGAAGAGTTGGATAATTCAGGGTCGGTCAAGGCGTTCTTTCGATCTGTTCTGTCATTTGTCATTTTTGATACCCATCGGGTTTGCACTGGAGAGTACCTATTCATGTTTAATCTTATTCATCTCATGCTTTTTACAAGGGCATTTGGTGCTCGTTCGAAATTTTCTAGTTTCCCTCAAATGCTGCAAGTCCTCCTACTATCCTTCCTGTGTGCTGAAGACTGTTACAGCGTAGCTGCAGAAATGCACAATACTTTCGCAAAATATGCGGTCTCCAGAGAAGACCTCATCAAGGGTCATCTCCATGGCTGGAGTCGCATATTGATCACAACTGTGCATTTCGGCAGCTTACATTGACCCTTAAGCGGTCAACGTTTGACCTTCACTGCAAAAAGCTCTCTTAGAGGTTCGGATTGCGGCTTCCTCTGTTACTTGCTCAACGCTCTTCCTCTGTACAGAACGTCTACTTCTTTCCTTCCACGAGCCGTCTTAGATACACAGTCAAGCCGCACCGCTGATCACTCCTTCCTTGATCCCAGAACCCAAACATCCATATCAACCCTAGACACACAACACAATCAAAGAGGAGGTAGACAACCACAAGTCCAAGAAACAAAAAAAATAGATTCGTAAAAGACATAACTCATCCTCCCCTTCATACCCTCCTAAATAGGAATAAAAACATTCACCACGCCCTTACATACTGCCATTCCAAGGCATAGCCATTGCTTGCGCTCCTCCAACGCCACGAAACCCAGCCGGTTGCGCACCTCCCTGTCTGATAGCTTCCTCTCTACTCCCCAACCTCTGCCGCATCTTTTCCATGATAGCTCTGTCTTCATCGGTTTGTTCGTGGGGCTTGAATGGATTCTCAAATCNTGCTGCTCTTCTTCTTTTCTTTTGCTTCTGTGTTGGAGTTGTTACTGGGAAGCAAGGTTGCCTGTTGCTGTTGATCAGATTNNTGGATTTGTTGCGTTTGAGAAATCCGAACCGTGAGGATGAGGCATTGGGCTGGTAGACGGATTCGGCAGGGCCCAGAGTGGATTGTGTGAATACGCTTGAGACTTCTGGGTCCAAGTCTGGCTTTCTGGTTGAGGTGTAGGGATCATTTTGAGTTGCTTGTGCTGTTGAGGAAGATGCAGTTGCTTGAGGTTCTCCTTGTTTGTCATCTACTCCATCGAACAGTGACTTTGGAGCTGAGGAGTGGAATAGACTCGGCATCTTGTTTGATTTCCTTCTGGTGATGGATTGTGTATTCGATTATCAATGGCTATTTGGTTTGATGGTAGACTGATGGATTCTTGAAAATCTGAATTGATGAGGTTCTTGGACAAGGCAGCAAGGGATATATAAGGTGTCGTTCGAGGTACAATAAACCCCTCAGCCACCTAAAACCGGAAACAATGGGGAAACCATCACGCGGGGAACTGCGCCCCCACGAAGGATCACCGTCGGGAATGGACAAGCATTCTTGGAAATAACACGGATACGGCAGGAGAACGACAATCGAAGCATGGAAGAAACGGAAGAGATAAAGGCGCAGCACGTGGTGTACAAATATCGTCATGTTCTTCGTCAAAGTTCAATCCTACCCAACCGATCAATCAAGAACTCCGTCATTCACAGTCCAGTCAATCCAAACGCCTTGTGCTGCCTCCGCCATATCGCTGCCTGGAAGATAGATACACGAACAATGGCTAAACACAGCAATAGTATCAACGTCCCTTGCGCCCGGTCGCAACAAGTCTTGTCCTCAGATCTCGGATGGTCGCATCCCAGCCCTCGGATCCTTGACCTCTGACTCTCTTGCCCACAAACTCAGACATGTTCCTCTCGTTGTAAGGCTCGCCATACACGACCTTGGCATCAACGTCAATCTCGTTCTTGATATCCAAGTCTTGTGCTTCAGGGTCTGAAAGCGTGGCTGTCAATCGCAAAGACACCTTGACCTTGGTCTCAACCTTGGGCAGCAAAATACAAATGTCAATGGCAAGACGCTCATCGCTGAGGATACTGACATTGACAAGCTGTTCCAGAGTCAAACAGCGTACTTGCTCAGCGATCTGTGAGGCAGCATCCCAGCCTCTCTGCACAAAGTTGAGAAGCTGTTTCAAAGAGATGGTCTTTTGATCCAGACACTGCAGCTGTGCACGCATGAGTTGGAGGAAGAATCGCTTCTCGGTCGTCAACGTGGTAGGAGTAATGTGCGTAAGTGAAATAGGCGAGTTTGTTGGATTTGTCGCTTGGGCAGAAGAAGTGACTTTGAAGGATGTTGTGTTGAAGTACAGCTGCAGTGTGTTTGCGTAGGTCATTGTGAGGTTGGCACCTGAGGCTGAGGCGATAGTCCAGCCTGACTGTTTCTCAAGTTGTGCTACTGATGCTGTGATTTTGTTAGTGGATTCCAAGCATTGTGCGCAAAGGAAGAGATATAACACACCTTTGAGTGACTGAACTTCGTCAATCGTAAAGCCACGACATGACTCTTTAACACGCTCTGCTTCCTGTACGGCAGCCAGGCTCTCAACCTTGCTTTCCTCGTAGGCTTCGGCAAGCTTATCCTGCTCGTCAACATCGCGCTGAAGACTAGCCAGCATACGCTTGCGCTCTTCAATCTGTTCGTCGACTTCAACGAGACGAGCGCGTGAAGCACGCAACTCCTCTTTTCCTCNTTCAGAAGTTGCAGCCGCAGCTTGCTCTAACTGTTCCGCCTCCTTCAAGAGACCTTCATAGTGCTGGAGCAGGTCAGGAAGCACAGAGTCAAGAGATTGTTGCTTTTGACTCAGAACCTCAGCATCGGTGTCGAGACCCGTCTGAATTCGATCAAGGCCATCTGAAAGGCCGTCCAGGAGTTTGCTGCGCCAGTCATACCAAACTTCTCTACTTTTCATCCTCGCGTTCGTCTTGGCGTCTCTCATGTTACCGTCCAACTGAGATTTACGCTCAGGTGTAGCATCCATGTAAGCCTGGAAGAATGGTGGAGGATCGTCGTAAACTTCAGCTTCCAAGGTCTTGAGGAAAGATTTGCCCTCAGAAATGTACTTTTTAAGTTCGCGGCAGGCATGTTGAAACAAGTCGAGCATGGGCATCGTGCAAGCACCTGCAACAACGGCTCCTTCAAGATCGATGCATTGATCTTCACCATCAGCTCCGTATGGTTCGCTAGGCGTAGGGGCAACAGTGTGTCTACGTTTCGAAGCAGTCAAGTCCATGAATTTAATACCAGCAAGGTCCAAGAAATCATTAAGCTGAACCTTTCTTGCTGGAGGGCCGGTTTTAGGCACAGCAAATATGTTCTTAGCAGCTTCGAGGTCGAGCAGACCAAGTGCATTTCGGTTCTCAACAATAAAGGGCGTGGAAGTCTTGGGCGTTGCAATCTTCTTCGGGGTTATCATCTTCTTCGCCGGTGACTTTTTAGGAGTCAAAGCACGAAGACGCTTCAACGGACTAGTGCCGGCCTCCTTGCTTGGTGTCGAAAGGAATTTGATAGAGTCTGCAAAGGTATTGCGAGGTTCCTCTGTATCTTGCTTCTGTTGCTCAGGGGTTATCGCAAACTTGACAGGCGAACTTCGCAGCTGCTTCTCGAGAGATGGCGATGTTGGGTTGAGCTCTTCAAGATTAATCTGCTTAGGTGTGGCGACAGCTGGACTTCGTGTCGGAGATCCAGCCATGGAAACGGCAGTGTGATGGTGCACTGGTGAAGGTGCGGATGGCGTTTCAGTAATTTGCGGTGTAGTGGTTGCCTCGGGAATTCGTGATTCGACTGCGGTGGAATCGTTGGTCTCCTGTTCGGTGACAGGCAAAGCAGGATAGCTGACTTCGTCCATTGGTTCGTCGTGCTCTTCTTGCTCGACTGCTGGGGAGTTTTGCTCGACCTGCATCTCGTCATCTGGCTCTGTTGTAGCCATGGATTTGGTAGGTGTAGGTATTGTCTCTTGAACCTGTACTTCCTGCTGAGGGCTGGACTACCGCAAGACTGATTCTTGCGCTTCGGCGGGTAGACACAGGACTCTTGCGTGATGATGTCTTTGAAGCCGGACTCTTCGTGACAGACGCAGGGGTGCGGGTCACAGATGCAGGACTCTTGTGCTCAGAGGCGAGTTTCTGGGCTGTGCCATTCTGCTTGACCGAGATGGGGCTTGTTTGAGCCAAAGGAGTGTGCTGAGCAGATTCTGAGCTCTTCTGAGCAAAGTGTGGACTTTTCGTTGCCGACACTGGTGTCTTGCGGACAGACGAAGGGATCTTCTGAGCAGACAATGGTGTCTTTTGTGTGGATGAAGGAGTCCTTTGGGGTCCAGGACTCTTGCGAGCAGAGCCTGNNGACTTCTGCGAGGGGAATTGAGAACAGCTGGACTGAGGAAGGGCAAGGTTGTGGTGGGTTCCTTGGAGGCAGATTTGCGGGCAGAGCTCCTCCTCGAACCAGCAGAATCCTTGACAGCCGAGCCAGGTGCTTGCTTCTCGAAGAGTGGTGTCAGAAGCTTCTTGGCTGTCAAATCACGCGTCTCCTTGAAACGATCCTGGTCTTTAGGCGTAGTAGGGATTTCTGTTCGCACAGGCGAAGGAGACTTGCGAGGTGTAGCCGGGCGTTCAACTGCGGTGGCCGCATGCTGCTTCAAGATATTTCCAACAACAGCAGTAAATTCCATGGACATGTCCTCATTTGCTTCTGCATCATCTTCCTCGATAATGGATGGTTCCCTAGGAGATTTCGGCTGTTGTTGTTGCTGTTTAATACCACCCACTGCCATAGTAAAGTCCATGGTCTGCTCATCCATAACAGATGAAGCGCCAGATGAGCGGCGACTGCGCGAACTTGATCGTCTATCCTTCTTGACCGGAGATTGCTGTCTCTGCTGAATCGCACCAATTGCTACGGTCAGGTCCATGGTGGCATCACCTAATGACTGGCGAGACGAGGACGAACGTCGGCGCTTTGCATCGCGTGCTTGAGCTACGGTACGTCTTGTTGGCTCTTCGAACACGGGCCTCTTCAAGGACGGAGAAGCAACGTCTTCCGTAGCAAAGCTCTCGAATCGCCTCTTGAGAGCACTGCGAGGGGGCTGGGCTTGGGGATTCCATTGATGGATTTTTCCAACTGCCTGAGTCAAGTCCATCGTCTCATCTCCAAACGAAACAGTCCTCTCTGGAGACTGTTGATAGATGTGCTGGTGTGTCTGAATGATGCGGCCGACGGGCCGTGTCATGTCCATGGTCATGTCGCGTGTCTCATCCTCTTCTTGCTCTTGTGGCTGTGCTTGCGGCTGGTTAGCAGCCCAGATCGTGCCCATCGGTTTGGTCATATCCATCGTCATGTCTCCCTCATCTTCAGTCTCTTCTTGCTCGTCCTGAGGCTGCTGCTGAGGCAGAATGCGGCCCACTGCACGTGTCATGTCCATGCTCATATCATCATCTCCTTCATCCTCTTCGTCGCCAGGTTGTGGTCCAGGACGAAATACCGAATCGAAGGGGTTGTTGTTCTCTTGATCATCTGCGGCAAAGTGCTGACCTTGGGCCCATGGCTTGAAGGCGTTTGTGATTTCGTCACCAGCCATTTCCATGGACATGTCGCCATACTCGTCAAATTCGATACCACGGGTACCTGCTTGAGCAGCGGCTTGCTGTAAGGCAGCTTCCAGACGAGCGCTCGAGCCGGTGCTGTCTCCAGACTGCTGGGAAAGCAGGGTGTTGTCTCCTTGATCCAGGCTCATAGCGGTACTCTCTCCGTCATCTTCAGACTCGACATCTTCTTCAACATCGCTACTAGCTTCGACATTGCTACTGCCGCTGACTGGAGACGAGGAATAATCGTCTAGGTCGTTGAAATTCATGGGAGGGATGGCAGAGCTTCGGCGACGCTTCTGCTGGTGGGCATCGCGCTGGTGCTCAGGGGATTGTGGTAGTTCGTCGTCGTCGTCATCGGCTTGCTCTGGAGGAGTGGAGGGAGGATCTGAATCGATTTCTTGGTGTGCTCTTGCATGGTCGGACGAATTGGATGATGCAGTCGCATCGCGCATGTACTCGATCACATCCCAGGTGTGGAGAGTTGCTTCAGGAGCAAAAGATACTCTGCGGTTGGCGAGCGATTTGCGACGGGCTTCTCGGCGCTTGGCTTCATCTTCTTTGGATGGGAGGATAGATTTGACTGCGGAGGGAGGGACCGACTATTTGGTCGCGTGTCAGTGACTGAATTGAGGTAGTGGGTGACGAGTACAAGGTCGGAAGAGTGATTGTTTACTGGGCGCGTCACTTACATCTTGACCAGCAGTGGCAGTATTCTTGGTGCGTGACCGCTTGGGTGAGGGAGACTTTCCAAAGCCCAGCCGTAGCGGCGACTGGTTCTCTTTGTCGTCTAGGTCAATCATGGTGTTGTGGTTGTCGCATTGGTACTGAGGAAGAACGCCAGGGTGACGCGACCTTGATGCAGAAGAATCGATAACAACAAACAAGCGCCCGCGTCGGGGCAAGTGAGCCGAGAGCCGAGCCCAGACTTGGCACAAAACGAGAAGGTGCGATCCGGAGATTCGCCGGCGAAGCCCACAGCGACTCTGCGAAAATTGGGTTGCACCTTCCGCCTAGCGAATTCTTGCGTGCGACGACAAATTTGACGACTCCCATCCCACGGTACTCGACCTCCATACCGACAATCAATCAACATGGCCACCGAACTTGCCGTCCAGAGCGAGCGCGCTTACCAGAAGCAGCCTCACATCTTCCAGAACGCCAAGAAGGTCCGCAAGACTGCCCGCGCTGGCAAGAACGGCCGCAGATGGTACAAGGACGTCGGTCTGGGTTTCAAGACCCCCAAGACCGCCATTGAGGGCGACTACATCGACAAGAAGTGCCCCTTCGTCGGCGAGGTCTCGATCCGTGGCCGTATCCTGACCGGCACCGTCATCTCCACCAAGATGCACCGCACTCTGGTCATCCGCCGCGAGTACCTCCACTTCGTCCCCAAGTACGCCCGTTACGAGCGCCGCCACAAGAACCTCGCCGCACACGTCTCGCCCGCTTTCCGTGTCGAGGAGGGTGACCAGGTCACTGTTGGCCAGTGCAGACCTCTCTCCAAGACCGTCAGTCTCCCTTGTATTCATACCAAGCAGAAAAGAGAGAGAGAATTAACACCAACAACANNGGTCCGCTTCAACGTCCTCCGCGTCCTTCCCCGCACCGGCAAGGCCGTCAAGCAGTTCAACAAGTTCTAAGCTGCTCGCTACTTCAACAACCATGGTCATTTTCGGGAGTCTTCTCTGGGATGGGGCAGCAGCGCAGGCGACAGGAAGAGCAAAATAGTCCCTTTTCTGCAGCCTTGAAAAGCAACGTGCCTTTTGTCGCATCATCTTTTTTCCTTCAAAATACCATCACAACCCCCAACGACACCCGCCTCGACGCTCAAAAAAGGAAAAATATGGCTTTTTACGATACTTGCACAGGAAGGGTTGTTTCTTTTGTCTGCGCCAGCCTGGGTTCGGACGTCTGCTGTGTCGTAAAAAGTCAATGCCAAACGTTGAAACATGATTTTCTTGTTCTCTCTCTGCATCTTTTCCTCTGGTTGTGTCTGTGTTTGATGCAATGCGACAGCTAACCATAGGTCCGACCATTACAACAGCATATCACCGAACCTCACGATAACCTGTCTCGAACACACTCGGCCACATCCTGATGCGCCAGGTTACGCTATTGAGGCTTCATCCAACATCGAGCCTCAAATACATCTGGATCAAAGTCAAGAAAGCACATGCTTAACGCTACAAACACCTCACGGCCACACCGACCATCTGCACCCCTATGCGACATACTCAATTGCAACACCGTCTGTGACAACAATTCTCTTTCTGATTCGACCTATCAGTTCTTGTAAACTTGCATCACATCTTGTTGATTGCCCCATATGACCGTGCTTATTTTGACCTACAACCTTCATGTCCACGTAAAATTTAGATCAAGTAACGACCAGGTAAGCGAATCGAACAACATCTCTCTTGCCGCCTCAATCCTCTATCAAGACAAGTTCCTCGCATTCGCCCGAAGTCAACAAAGGTTACATTTGTCGTCGCGTTATGTTCGCTTTGCCGATTTGAGCACTCTCCGATCATGTCTTTCAAGCACCAGTCACCCTCGCCAACACATCACCGTCATTAAACTAGACTAACACCTCTCCTTGCTTCATCTGGCCAACTTTTCTTACCTATCGATCCTCCCTTTGTCTCGACCAGCAAGAACATCTGAGCACACAACTTCGTTATCAACTTGTCTTTTCGCCTTTGACGCCCAAGCATCACCAACCACGGCTGTGCGTTCTCTCACTATGTTTTCAATCCTAAGCTTTGCACAAGCAGCAGCTAGAGTTTAGCATGCTCATCGTGTATCAACCCATTGAGGATTGGCGAGTCTCTGTTGATTAACTTTCCCTTGTCTAGCGTCTAGACATGGTTGTTTACCTCTCGCATACTCTGTCAACCATTTGTTCTGTTGACATATCCAACCTCCCCAGACTTTCGATCACCGTCCTACGTGCATTGCCACACTCCTTCTAGCCCAACAAGAAGACAAATGAGTGTCGGTAGTCTTACGTCCAGCCCCTATACGAAAACCAATCCGTATTCCGTTTCCAACATTCATTAGGGGAGTGAATCCCATCTACTCTCGGCTTGCAAGATAACTTTATGCATGTCTTCTCGAGATCTCCTTTTAGGGGCGCGCGTTACACACTTATGGTAAGGTTGTCTCGGTTCTTAGAATATCGTTCTTGCCTTGGATGCCGCATCTCTCGAAAACAAGAAAACAAGATGGCCATCCTCGCCTTCCATTGTAGGCAGACGAACTTCTCGCCAATGGAAGATAACTTCCTTCCAAATTGTGATTTCTCGCTCACATGTGACGAAAAAGTATGCCGTCCACCAAAGCATCATCGATATCATATCGTCATTCCTCATCTTCGAACCAACATATGCGCACCGTAAACTAAGATTCGAGAAGCACTCTAGCAAGACTGCCAACTAGATGAACTTTACGAAGGGGACTGGGACAGCAGCGAAACAATGCAGATAGTGATGCAAGTCTCGAAAAAGGCAAGAGCACTGCGAGAGAAGACACTGCACAACATGGATGCAGAGCGGATGTTACATGGAATCTTTGGAATATCCCATTGATTTCATTTCATTCCATTCCATGCCAACATCCTGGTGGAATATTCCAATATTCCAATGTCATAAATGATATATACATTATTAATCACGCACTATCTAATCCAACGACGAATAAAGTTTTAGCCATAGCCACAATTTCGATTTTATGTGCATAGCGATGTATAGGTCTTGGTAGCAATCTGTATGTATAGCAGTCTTCAAGAAATCTTGGACAAAGGTGAAGGTATAGGACCATGCTGAATCGATTTTTCGAATCCTTATCATTGCTACAGCATCAAATCATCCCCAGTCGTATCTTCGGAATATTTGAGGCAGATTACATCAAAATTCTGCGAGATTGATCATTGGGTATGGTATCAAAACACTGGTTTTGGAATGGGAAAGCTTCACATCGAGCATTTAATCGATATACTCACAAAAACTTGTTTAAGCTGCACCAAACTGGCACTAAACAGGCCGAAAGACAACATAGAAGCAAAGGAGATATTACCAATGACCAACAGTATAGTAAGGCGAAGATATATGTAGTGAAGGTATCAACGATATTGTTGAAGGTGCAACCCTGTCATGTATCCTCACATCAGAGCCATCACGACATTGGGCATGTGAAATTTTGCTTTATTCCGTTTCGTTTCACGCCACGTCATTTCACTTCATGTTGTCTCATGTCGTTCCATGTCTTGTTATTCCATTCCATTTCATGTCAATTTTTGTCATCCCATGTCATTCCATGTCATGTCATTCTACTTCATGTTATTTCATGCCATTCGATTCCATGTCATGTCATGTCATTCCACTTTATTCTATCCTACCAGCCTAGCTAATCATTATATTCTACACCGATCGTCCCATACATGATAATTTTCTCCGACGGAATCATAGGGTAGAAAGCATTATTGCTTTGAATCACGTTTTTCTATAAATCTAAGTGTATATAGATTCCGTTTAACAAAAGCGTTGCGTGAGCGTCTATGATTACAAGTGGACTAATCGAAATCAAACTGGACATATAGGGCCAGGTATACTTAGCATGAAGTATGATATAATCATAGATGATGGTATTATCTTGTTTCTCGAAACATAGAACAATAGCGGCGATAAGGTAGAATCACATGGTGTGGAATCGACGAATATTCTACGCAGAATGGTCGTTTCATTCCATGCCAGATTCTATGTCATATTCCATGCCACATTCTATGTCACATAGGTAGAATATTCCACCCAAAAGCAGTAGAATATTCTACTATTCTATAGAGTCCATGCCATTTATCAACCACTCTATGCTGGATATCAATCTCATATATAGACGCACATCTCTTTACTCATTGCTTCGAGAATAGCAGGCCCGAATGCAACAACAGCAGAGGATTGCTATCTCGGACGCGTAAGTAGGTTCGCTCCACAGACGCAAAGATCGAGTGCGTCCTGTGAAGAGAGCTTCTTGGCTATATCACACGTAAACAGCTGCTTAAGCAGCACATCTATTTTGGGCAAGAACTCGTCGCCCCATTTCGCCAGAAAGAGACGCGATCAGAGAGCGAACTGATTGAAGCTTCGTGAATACTTGTTGCAGACATAATTGAAGCAAGCGATAGTCCAGAGCATCCATGTCCAACAAGAAGACTGTATACTTTGATTAACTGCTTGTGCTTCTTCTTTGATGCAGTAAGAATAGTTCGAAGTCAAGTTTACCTCTATTTTCGTTATTTCCGGGTCCTTGAGAATAGGCGGTCAGAGATTTCGTCCTTCCATGTCGTCACATGAAGTCTTTGTTGCAATTGTGGCTTTTGCTTGTTGCTTGCTTCCTCGTCCAATGATAATCAGTGGATGTTGGCGACAGAATCTTTTCCTCTAAACCCTTTTCTGTTCTGACAGCCAGGGCCTAGTCATCTCGGCGAAACGCTTCTTTTGCGTCTATCGACCATTCTGGACTTTTGTAGTCCATGGCCGATCAAAGTGCCATGAAAAGGGCTATACGCGGTCCAAGGGCCCATATAAGAGAATGCCATAAAGTTTCTCCGGACCGTTTCTGTGCGCCTTTTAGACCATAATCCTAATCCTCGGGGTGATTATCGGAGCAAAAGATGGAACTAGTCTCTTGTCACAAACATGTCGGTCGAGTGNGGTGCGCCACAACTCGTGGACGCCCAACGTGCTGGTCTTGAAGTACGCGCTGCTCGAAACACGAGCGTTTGACACGCTAGATTTTGGTACAAGTATCGCTTCGTCGCACGCCCTCTTGTCTTACTGGGTAAGGCGCTGTCGTCGTGGAGGTTGATCAGTCGTTGCGCCACGCGTAAGTGTACTGGATCGTATTTTCAAGCNGATTTGGAAAGACTAGAACCTGGACTTCGGCAATCGCGGCAAATCCCCCTGTTGTACTACGGCTCAAGTGGTGGTGCATGTGGATGTCAAAGCGATATCAGTACTTTGACCACACTACCATGATCTCGAGTGCTTGCAAACAGCACTTCNTGTGAGCAGGACAACAACCACAGAATTTACATTGGCGTCGAGATCTACCATCGGAACACGTTCCGGAAAGTAACACGTATATTTTCGAAGACGGCGTGCGTTCGATATGGATTTCTTGCACGGTGGGTATCCGGTTTGTGTCATAGCACACAGATCTCCTTTGACCGGAACTGTCTTAGCACCAGACAAGTACTTGGTCAAGATGATGGAGCGCCGGCTCATATTGCCATACAAGGGAAAATCGTGAGAGGCTGGTAGCAGGGTTCCAAGAAAATTGTATGATGTTTCGACCCACCAGTTTTGAATTGGTGCAATCCACGAGCCGGGTTGTAGACTGCCATTTCCAGCCTCTTGAGTAACCAAAATAAAAAGAAAAATTGATCAATATGGTAGATCGTTTCAGTGCCGAGTCATTCGCTGCTGTGATATATTGAAAAGATCGAGCTGGGGATGGGGAGCGCTGTGACTGACTCGCCTCGTTCCGAAACCGACGAACTACTTTATTTTGATCCTATCCCATTACTACCAACATTCGAGATGAGCACCAAGTTGATGAGACAGGCATTGATGGGAATAATTAGAATCGACATCCAGGGCTGGAGGATCTGTATTTACGGCCGCAAGGAAGAACAGGAACGTGGCGTGGCAGGTAAATTGGTTTGTCGAAAATGTGGTCAAAGTGTTCTGGAAGGTGGACCCTCTGCCGTTGAAGAAAAGATGCGGGATGAACAGGTGCATACCGTTCGCTTATAGGCGAGTCTTGCACATGGAGGCAGAAACCATCGCTTGCGCAACTGACCTGGTATTTCGCTTGCGCAAGCCGCACCATGTAACCGATTGCGTGCCTGCTCGAACGGTCGGGTAGATGGTGATGGTATGCATGATGTGCTTTGATCGGTTATCGTCTATGTTGTATCGACCTAGGCGAGCGAGGTGACTCTGTGTTTGATCTTCTTCGCTATTCGTGCGGGTCGAAGGATGAGCGTGCCGTAGATGCTGAATCCGTTGTGTGGGCATGAGCGGGCCAAGTGACATCCGATCCCTATCGACGTGCATCGGGGTCGAGTACTATGAGTCGCGTGTACAGCATACAACGTCTATGGCATTGATGACTCGACGAGCTGAAGATAAGCTGAAGATGAGCTGAGGATGACTCGTGGGTGCAGAAAGGCGTGTAGGGCTTCTCCGTGTCCGCACACCCCTGGCTCGAAGCAAGCATCATCATTCTATGAGAAGCCGTCCACGGAAGTTATTCTCGGATGCACCCTTCTGCTTGATGTAAGAGTGTTGTAACCAGATCAGACGCGGTCGCATCAATGCTGCATGAATGGCGTCGATAACTTGAACGATATACGAGAACAATTCGTGGTCAGGATTCGTTCCAGTGAGAGTGCGATGGACTTGCTGGATGAGCAGATCTGGCAAACAAACAAATCTCATGATCATGTGTGATCATTACACGGTGAGGGTGATGAATAAGGAAAGGAACGCGCAACGCAAGGCAGAGCTGACCTGCTGCTGTGTTTTTCGAAGGAAGCTATAAGTTTCTCGATCACACTTTGCAGGATTTACGTGACTGCTGGGACCTATCAAGAGACTTCACAGGCACCACACGCTTTGAGAGACACGACTTCAAGATAAGTTACGGTTGGTCTAGGGGTGAGTCTCGTTCTCCGCAACACGTATTATACATGAAGCTAACCAAATGAAGTATGATATTTCCTTTGCACTAGTTTCAATCGGCTGGCAATGGACTAAACACCTGTGTGTTGTAAGAGCCTATAAGCCTAATACTGCCAGTGTGCGGACAGCTTCTCTAGCTCAAAAAGTGCAAAAACATGGATCTAGCCAAAAGTGCAAAAGATATGGATATTCTGGGAATCGAACCCAGGACCCTTTCCATACGAATATGCTCAATGTTTGAGTTGCTGTAAGGTGCAGCCATTGAAACTAGTGCGAAGGAAATATCATACTTCATTTGGTTAGCTTCATGTATAATACGTGTTGCCCAGAACGAGACTCACCCCCTAGACCAAATACCCAAGTTTAACCGTGTTCAAACAATTCGGTATATACTCTAGCTCTGCGCTTCGCCTAGTCGAGAGGCGACCGCGACAGACGGTAGACGCACAGTCTTACCGACTTTGTGCGGCTCTACCAGAGAGCACGAGCTGAGCGTAGTAGAAGCGTCGGTCTACTATGACCAGCTATGCGACGTATTGGGTGGCTACCGAGCGATAGAATTAAAGGATGGAATTTTCACGCCAGTTGTAAAACTTCTTCTTTGAAGCCTTGGCGGGAACCGTTTGTCCGCTCATCGACAAGCTTTGATATCCAAACATTCTACTCAAAAGACTGCTGCTTTCATGCAGCGCGCAAGAATTAAGCAACGAATATAGCTATGATCGAACTGCTGCTTCCACAATTTCTTGCATTTGTTTGCATTCGTGGGTGTCTGATATCGCGAGACACTCCAAGCACGATTAAATGCCTTATCCTCGTAATCTACCAGGGCAGAGGTTGGCTTGCAGGAATATATGGTTGGCAACCACTCACGTTCTCACATCGCTTCAAGCGCTAAACAGTCACATGTCACAGCGCAGGCGACACACATAATGAACCCATCACCAAGCAGTCACAATGCAGCTATGTTGCAACCATGAACAGCTGAATGGGGAAGTATTGCGCAAATATATTGGGACTTGGTGCCCAACACATCACGACAATGCGTTCATTTGTCACTTACCCTGCAGCTGCCAACCCAGGGAACGACAAAGGTCCTGCAGGTAAGGTCAAACTATTGATAGAGCATGTGGATCTTCACTTGCATGGCTCCAAATGTGCACATCTGGTTCAGGAACCAAAAAGTTTTGATAGGAAGCCCATCACAATGTAAGCGATCGGAATCTTGGATGGAACCGACACATAACCCGTTACACATGTGAAAGGTCGGCAAGACATATGTTTCTTGTGCCACGACATGATGCCCACGTTGTGATGGCAGGCATGCTCTGTGATACCGCATGAGTGGCTGGGCCTGAAGCTAGTGACGCAAGACAGCTAGTCGTTGAACAGGGCTGCATATCTAAACAAATATTGTGGATCATATAGCCAAGGTAAGTCGTCAGTTTGCCCGATTTATGCGCGTGACAGAATATTGTCGCTAGCAAGAAGTATGCTTACTTTCCAAGACAGTCACCTCGAACGCCCATGGGTGTACCTTGCTTCGCATGCATACATGTATTGATTGCGAGAATCGATTCTTGTTTGCTGGATTGCTCGCTTCATGTCGCAGTGCGCGCTGTGTGCTTCATGTAGTGTGATTGTTGAGATTTCACAGTACCATACTACGCATCCCCTGACCATTGAGCGACTGAGCACAGGAAGCGAGCTCCAAGGATGTAGTGCAAAGAAGGTTGAAGGGTTTTGATGCATCGAGTCACACCAACCACTCAAGAAGAACCAAATTCGGGCAACGATGGCACACGGCGCTTAGCAGCGTGTCGCCCAACGCGATCAGTCACATTTTCGGTGTGAGCCTGCACTGCCGGTGTGCTGCATGAAATTGCACGTGGGCCTTTCGGATGAGCCAGCCATGGATGTCTCGCATGCGGTGTCTCGGGTGTCGGGTTTACAACTATGGCGTTACTCGAAAAGGATGACAGGAACCACGGCCTCGGGCAGCGAATTCATCAGAAGGCATGAACCCGCCGGAATGGCACCTCCGATCGCCTCCGTGGAAAGTGCTGAAGCATCGATGTATGCGTTTTCAGAGATGGTAAAACGCGCATTCAGGCGAGCAAAGCCGTGCAGAAGCGTCGAGTCAAAAAGACATGTTGTTAATGCGCTTTTGCATTTGCAGTACGACACAGGTTTCTGATCTGGTAAGAGTTGGGGAGTGGGAAGTGGAGGGCCTTCCGAAGTGGGGGGAACAGAAGCAAACACGGAGCAAACAATGCCATCATCATGAGGTCGGCTCTCACCCTCACAACTAACAACGAGGTTTGCAAGGCAACTTACAGTGTTTTTCAATTCGTCATCTTGCAATCATCTCAAAATATCCAAAGAGAGGAATTTGATCATGCCGGACATCAAGCAAATCAAAGTGACAGAGCCCTGGCTCAAGACTTCGTGCGGCCTAGGTGAAGCTCCATTCTGGGACAAGAAGAGCAACACGTTGCGCTTTCTCGACATCATCAAAAAGCAGCTTCATGTTGTGAATCTCAACGAGGGTCCTTCGTCGCACAAGACGATTGACCTCCCATTCTCTATCGGTTGCACGGCCAACATTGAAGGCAATGATGACGAGTTCATCTTCGGCGGCAAGGAGGGGTATGGCATTGCAAACAAGAAAACCGGAGAGCCAAGATACATCAAGAAGTTCTGGTCGGACGAGGAGGTGCAGAGTGGCAGGGCACACCGCTCGCGAAGCAACGATGGCTCGGTCGATAGCCATGGCAGATTCTACGTTGGAACCATGAATGACCCTACCGTTGTGGATGAGCCTGGACCGGAAGGTGAGTTGACCACCTGACCTACACTGAATTATCATGCTAAACCTCCACACNNAGGCGTCTTATTCAGACTGGACCCAGACCTCAGCCTTCACCGAATGAAGGAGCCTGTCACCATCCCTAATGGAATGTCATGGACTTTGGACAACAAGACAATGTACATCACTGACTCACCGACTGGAAAGATCGAGGCTTACGACTACAACCTGGAGTCTGGTGAGATCAACCTCGCAGCTGCCCGTCCCTTCTTTGAATGCCCCATTGAGGGCGGAATTCCAGATGGCCATTGTCAGGATACCCAGGGCTATTTCTGGGTTGCACTGTTTGGAACCGGCAAGGTCGTGCGGGTGAGCCCGACGGGCGAGATCTCTGTTGAGATCACCCTTCCAACAAGATGTGTCACCTGCCCAGGCATTTGCGGGGAGGATCTCTACATCACGAGTGCGGAAGAAGAAGATCCAGACAAGTACCCCGAGAGCGCAAAACTCCAAGGAGCCACGTTCAAGGTTCCGATCGGTGTTACAGCTGCTCCGATCAACGAGTTCAAGATGTCGGCCAAGGTGTGAGTGGTGTGTGATATAAGCTCACGTCCATTGCAGTCCAGAAGAAGTTGAGACGATTCTAGATGGTGAACACTGTGGGGGACGTACGATGCATTCTAGAATTAGAAAGAGCAAAGAATGAATGGATCGATTTTCACCACGTTCCCGCTCTACTCAACCGATTTTGGAAGCACGGCAAAATCGGAAGGGAAAGCTACATCTCAACCGTGTTTCATACACGATTCGCAAGACCGCCCGCTTTCGTCAGCGGACTACTTCATGGAATCATGGCGTGCTTCGAATTGGATGAAGTAGTAAGAAGCACGACTAAGGGCTTCGTAATCTCCGGTTCATGGGCCATAGAAAGTCAATTCGCTGTTCCTGGTTTCAAGAACCATCGTCAGCACCCTACGTCGATACGTACGCAGATCCTCAAACTTACATAGATTTGCAGCACCGAAAAAGCTGAAATAGGTGGCTTGAATTAACTTTAACCAGGGTTGTCATAGATGTCGGCTATACAGCACCAACACCTCGTACATGGAAGCGCTGATCACGCCCTAGCTTAACTACCGCCCAGAGCTTGGGGGCTTGTAAAGTGCGCGCCAAGCCTTATCTTCAGAATTGATAGGGGCATGGGCATGTCCAAAATAGCAAGACGGTGTTTCAGTTGTTGCATCTGTACGGGGTAGTGGCTTTGGTTCCTGAGGCCGATTGTAACTTGCAAGGGTGGAAAGGCTAAAACCACGAGGCTAAAAGCACGAGGTTTGAGGCTGTCGAATGCAGTTCCGTAGCTGTTCTAAATCCCGTTCCAAAAATGTCTAGGATGCCACGAGGCCGCCCGAGCGCCCTGACCACCTCCTCGTGGCTCTATCCGAGCTCCAGTAGTGCAGGCCCCACACGAGGAACCGTGAATCCTCCAACGGCAGCGTGCGGCAAGTGTGAGCGTAAACTTTCCTCGCATCTCTGCGCCAGAGATGATGATTTGCAGCGAACTGGACGCGGGGCACTAGCCGGTACGCTGGTGTACCATCCTTGTATTCTCGTTGATCGCAGGGAACAATACATCTGAGATTTGGGCTGTGGTTCTGCCATATCTGTTCACTCACACGAGCGACACAATACCGTGCTGCCGACGCCCGACTCTTTGGTAAATATCTCGGTACATGCAGCAAGCGCTGTCTTGCTTACCGAGATGACGAACTGATAACCGAGTCTGGAGATGCAGCAACGATTGCAAGCTGCTCGACGTGCCGTCCTCGTCAATGTCGTAAGCTCGTGCCGCATACGTATGGACCCAATCTGGCAGAGAAACAAACAATTTGGGAAGCCCATTCTGAAACACGACCGTTGAGACTTTGACGACTCGCGATCGCTTCATCAAAGAAGAAGAATGTCGCGAAACAGGGTCGAACTCCACTCTGCTGACAGAGCAAGAAGAAACGCGAAACGATGACGGCCGGGATTCTCTACCATCCCCACCTTCTCTTTCGAGAAGTCTTCTATCGGTGACTCTGCGAGGGTCACAATCTGCGAAACGGCAGGAACGGCCGCTAGAAAAGAGTGAGAAAACAGAACCGAAGCCGAAGGATTGACGAAGAATGTAGCTTCTGTGCCCTGCAATGTAATGACTGATGTCAGTCAGTCTGTCATTATTGTTTCAAGCCATGTCGCAAGCGCTGATCAAATACGAAGAGCACTTCGAGGCGGCAACAGCGGTTACCCATGTCAACGTGCCCATGTACCAAAGGGCACAAAGTCCTGGGTTCGATTCAACCATCAATTAGGGGCAACTGATTCTCACAGTTCCTCAAAGGATGTCTGCTGCTGCGAGATGCGCCTCTCGATAAGTTATCCCCCGCTATAGTTTTTACGTGTAGGTTGATCCAATCCAACATGCATCTTTCCTGCAACTACATCTCTGCGTCAACTTGACACGGCAGATTGAAGTGAGGGAAGTGCTGCATGACTCTTCTGGTGTACTAGCTAGGGCCAGTTGTCGTTCAGGTGTACTACGCAGTCTAAAGGTGCAACGGCCAACACATGTCGCGACCTGCATCAGATGCATATCCGTTCGAGCGAAAGCGCATCTGTGACTCGTTCATCGTGACTTGTCGTCTGGGCAGCGACAACCCGCCAGAGTGCATCCAACCAACAGCATAATTCTCTAGAAAAGAGAGTAGGTATGCATTGTTTTGTTGGCACCACATGTGCCTCGAGACAGACGTCGGCGCTTCTACACCTCACATGATGCATGCTCGTCTGCGGGTTGTATGTGCCACCCTTCAAGCCACACCTGATTGGATGTCGATACTTGCTCCTCTAAATCTGGCTCCGTTCGAGAAGCGAACGAATGCTTGTGACATGCATGCCATGACATACCTGGTGTTCCTAGCTACCCGATAGGAGTAAAAATCCTGATAGACAATGCATTGTCTCCACACTTTATCAAAATCACTCAATCATCAAGACGTTGGCAAGCGATAGCTGGCATCGTATCGAATTTGACCGAGCATACGGGCGAGTCAGTCGTGGTTATCAACATTTCGAATCAGACAGAGTCAATAAAACCTTGGTGTGAAGATACCTCGTGGTATGGCAGGGTTTAGCGATGTCGCCATATTGCTCACCATCTACTAGAGACAGCATGATGCCATGCAAGGGCCAAAGTTTGATATGTTTCATGGTGATTCGAGCCCGAAACTTTGACATGCTCTGAGATTGTCGCGGATCAACGGTCATACACGAAGAGTAGATATGCTGCTGCGGACGAACGGCTTGTGCGGGATGTAGACATACACACTCAACTAACCCCTACTCGACTCCATAAACCGCCGCTACCGCCGCTAAGGCATGCAGCACGAAGCTATTTCTTGTATTCCTCGGAGCATGGAAATGACGAATTATGAATAGAGGAATAGGATCTTGGAGCTGATTCGCAATGGAGTGGCCCGCGACGGAAATTGTGCTTGAAGCACTGTCATCGTCATACCTTGCCCTTGACCCCTGAGCAAAATCATGATCAAACGCAAACTTCCATAAAGATGGCCTGACTCGCCAAGTAGAAGCGGCATTAAGGTTGCGTGCACCGAAACCTTCACGATCCTTTTTTCGCACAAATCAGAGGGGTGTGGGAAGGCCGATGGGCACAGACCGACGACACAGCGCCACATGTCCCGGGGTCGTGCGTCTGGATGGGAAGAGAAGAAGTGGCCGACTCGCATGGATGAGCGAATGCGGCCAGCTCATCAACGCGAGTGATGCGGTTTGCCTGGTTGGAAACACTCGCTCCACAACTACCGAAGGAGGGTCATCGGCAGGTTTTCTTTCTGGCTAAGATCTGATGGCGCGGAGCCGCCTTGGCCCTGGCTGGTTGACACGGAGACTTTATTGTGCTTCAAGTTCCATGGCTCGCAGAGGCGGTTAAAAAGGTGACGAAAGATGGTGGACTTGCAGAAGTCTGTAAGCGAGTGTTTGCCAGTGTAGCAGAGGTGGGCAACACTTTTCGAATGCATGCTTAACAGCAGCAGCAACAACAACTCTCGAGTGCAACGCTCGGGACAGTCCAAGCTTCGAGACAGGGCCCGCAACTGCCCTAGCCAGTTAGTGTGACACCAACGTTCAGGAAGCATTCGCATGCACGAACATAGTTCTTGCCTTGCCGCTCTACGACCCCAGTGCAAGTACCAAAGTCTAACTCAGTCGATCTCCGTCGACGCCAGCTGCTGCCCACCTGTGCAAAATGATGCTACCATTCCCAATCAGGCCCCGGCTCTATCTGGCCCGCGCGTTGCCTGCTGTCATGTCATTTCAACTCACCGCAACCTGCCGATCGGTCTTATATCACCGGTCTGGGTGTCTGGTTGATCGGTACCTTTCTAGCCCATATACTCGGCCGCGCTCCCACATACGTCCAAACCCCTTCCTGCACTCATTTCCTCATTCCTTTACTACCCACCTGGCAACCGAGCTGTCCACCTCGGCATCCCACTCAGCACCCACTTGCATGTCCGCTTGAGGTACACCTGATACTAGTTGTTCGATCAGCTTTGACTCGTCGCTCCTTTCCACTTGTTGCGAGTAGCAATATACCTAAGTTCTAGCTATCCTAGTCACTGCCGTGGGACGTTCCTACCGTCCCACCTCATCAGTCAAGCTGGCTATCCCAGACTTTGCACCTCGTCCTTTGCACGCTCTCTCCTACGATCAAGGTCATCACAGTCAGTTTTTCGGTGTGAACCGAAGTACTCCTGACTGTCGACCGCTTCGATACGACTCGCCCTTCTCGTCAGTTGAAGGGGGCGATCGTAACGCTTCCATTAGCGGCCAACAACGCTCATGGTCAGCATCGTCGGAGAGCAAGCAGGCGCAAAGCAAGGATTTAATGTCACACTGGTCTAACCCTCAAGGCCCTCCATCGATACACGACAACGATGGGTACCTCCGCACTACAGCACCTACTTCACATTCACGACATGCATCCAATACTTCTTCGGGCTACCCTGGATCGACGACGACCTCTCCTCAAGCACAAAGACATGGACCAGAGCTTCTGCCTCCAAGAGGACTTGAGCTTCCCCCACTTGTGAGGACTCCTGTATCTCCATCTGTACCTCGATCCGTCACACTACCTTCGGTCCTCAATCCTGTCACTGATGAGACTTCCATGTCTATCCAACGCAGGAGGAAAGCGGACGAGATCGATTCACCACTTGACAGGGCTCCCACACTGCCTCCTCTAGGCGCAACATCTCAAGGACCTACCTCGTTGTCTAGACCGGGGAGCAACACTCCGCTGCCTCTCCTCACAGAACCATTGACCAGTGCTCCCAGAAAGATGCTTACACCTAAATCTCCTCTTCGCAGAGCTATCAGTCTGTCTCACCTCAACCCTCCCAATGGTGTTGTGGATGCTCAGCAAAACCCTTTTCCTGTATCTCCTCGTTCTAGACCTTACGCAGTTCAACCTGGAACAAGCGGTGCTCCTCCTCTTCCTGCTCCGCCAGCCATCAGCTATGCACATCAGGGATACATGCAGACGAACCATCCCATAAGGACAGTCAGCCCTGAGTCTGGTTCGGCTCAACGCTATAGTGCCAGTCCTAGTCCTGATTACTCGGCATACGACCAAACTTCTCCTGGTGAAGCGCATGCATCTGGGTATCTTTCAGTGTCTGATGCTCATAGAGCTAGAGGATTGAGCATGACTCCCAGCGCTTCAGCACCGCACGTCTCAGATTCGTATCACGTCGGCCTCAGCGGTTCTGGATCTAATTCTGTTCAAATGATGACGCTTAAGACCACCGAAGGAGATGTTCGCTTTCCCGTTGATGTCCAGGCAGCGTCTCGTGTGGCAGACGAGAAGAGACGTCGAAACGCTGGTGCAAGTGCAAGGTTTCGTGAACGTCGCAAGAGAAAGGAGATGGAAGCTTCCCAGACTATCGCGAGACTCGAGCAGCAAGTCAAGGATATGACCGAGGATGCCGACTTCTACAGACAGGACAGAGATGTGCTCGCTTCCATCGTATCGCAATTCCCGGGAGGCCGCGAACACCTTCCTCGCCCTCAATCGCCTAGAGCAAGGAGGAATGGTAGCGGGTCTGCCCAAACGAACCAAGGCCACTATGCCGAGGCTCAGAGACACAGCCCTGAACCGATCAGAAATGTTCGTAAGCGTGGCGATTCGCCTGTTCCGCAGACATACGTACAAGCAGCAGCGCAGAGTCAGGCACCTCCGCCACCGCCTCCAGCAAATACGATGATGGCCCAACACCACATTCAACCCCATCACAACCAGATGCCGGCTCGCACCGCCCAAGTTTCGTCTCTGCCGCCACCTTCCATGGCTCATGCCGCAATGCCTGCGTCGAATATCCATCCGCCACCACCTCCATCTATCATGCAGGCCCCTCCGATGACTGGACCAGTCAACCCTTACGCACGCCATGAGACCGGCATTCGTTTCCTGCCGCCTCACGGTCGTTAAAAGACCTCACTTGTACAGAAAAAAAGCGCACTCCAATGTACCCTATGTTTACGGTGTTTTCCTCTTTCTCAACGATACCCATCTAGTCGTTTCCAGCATCGTGTGCGAATTTGAGCGTACAACTCGGCGCTGGTCACTCGGTCGAAAATCGATTTGGAACGTGTTACCAAGACTCATTCTTGTTCCTTATATCACTGGTCACGGCGTTCATGATTTTTTAGATACCCCTACTATTACACTCGCTTAGCACTAATGTATCAACATTTCCAATTGTAGATTTGTTTGACCTCGTCTGAGGTACTGTCCTGCTTAGATTCATCAGTCATGGTTGATACCGAGGTCGCGTTTCTCAAGTCCGGCTATCGGCACTATCGATCCGATCCAAGCTCGCGGAATGATCTACTCCGGCTGCTTCAATTTAGCCCGATCTTGTTGTTCGGCCGGATTCAAGAGAAAAAGTGAAGGAAAGAAGAAAAAATGGTTCAACGATTTGAATTCCTGGAAGAGTAAATTTTCAGACGCTTTGGAAGCTGTATGCAGGGCGTAAGGCGGTTGCCTCTAGCATACGGCCGCAGAGACAGAGAGCCACATGGGCTGTGGACCACACTGTCAGGCACCTTTTGAGCGAACTTTAAAAATCCTCGAGACTTCAAGCTCGCTATGGGCTGAGCTCTGCAAGCCGGGCGAGTTTGTCTCGTGGCTTGAAATAATAAGCAAGGCAGAAATAGGTGCGCTGGGCCGAACGCTCTTGCAGCTTTTCTATGTCAGATTGCAGTATCAGCAAGCTTTACGAGTCATTCCCTCATTTGTGCTTGCGGGCTTCGTTCCAAAGTACTGTACCCATACTTCGGCGCGATATGCAAGCACACAATTTGTATCTGTATCAGTGATGTACAATCTATCGATTTGGGCCCGAGGACCATGCTCCATGACCAAACAGAGCTGCCGGGTCACAGGCATCTACGAAAAAGGAAGCAATCGTCCATGATCCTGGCTTGCGGGATGCAATAGTATGGTATAATCCGTTCATCACGATTCTGCTGACGTAGGCCAAATTTCGGGAGTTGAAAACAGGCAGCTGGGCAGCGGTAACCTCTCTGTGTCTTGTCACAAATGATAATTCGAACAAGCAACGATCACCATCCAGAGTATCTCGTCAAACAACACCGTCATTCTGGATATGCCAAGTATGTAAGAAGATTTGGAAGCCCAAGTCGGGTTGATCGAGAAGCTGAACCCTCGTACGAGGCGACAAACAAGGTAGTAGATCGGCAGGGATGATAGAAGCTTTAGTCCGAGGTGTCAGAGAACCAGAAGTGTACCAAACTTTCGAACATTGTGAGCATTGTCTCTTTCTATTAACCGGAACGAAAGCAAGACGTTCTGTTAGGGTCGCAGGCTAGCGACTCAAGAATTGGACACGAATCAGAGGCTGAACCTACTCCGTACTTTCCAACTCCCCCGGCGGATCTGTGAGGACGTTGGAAGGTGCATGCGCAGCGCTCATGTTGGCGCGTTGCGGTGAATACAAAGAAAGGGGGACAGTCTGCAGGGAAGCGTAACTCGTTGAATCTTCGTTGCTAACGAAAATCTAGCGGCGATCAACGTCCCATTCGGCCTGTCCGGACGCAATAGGCATGGCTTATCCCTTTTAGGCGTGCGGAGCCACTTCCAAGCTCGTCGCGTCGGGCATGACTTGGTGCTCCCCGCTGGCGGAGCATGGCTATTATGGCGACATCCTGCATCGTGAAAATCGGAGGATACAGAATCGAAACACATCGAATGTGCGACCAGTCGCAGCCTTTCTGTTCCAGTCATCACTTTACAGCAGAGCACGATAATACCTTAGCGAGAGCAGACGTGATATGACCTAAGATCTGCCTCTTGAGTACCGCGGCAGATTTGATGGAAGATCTGATTTCAACAAAGGAAAATATCGCGTCTCTCACGCGTCCGTCAAACCAACAATCGGCAGTATTTTCCAACAAGCAACGGCTTGCGCAGAAAAGCTTCGACACTCAAAACATGCACAGTTTAGCTTTGCGCGCTCAAAGCGAGCAAGACTATGATGATTGCGACATCGAGCCGGAACAGGCAGCATATTCAAGCTCAAGGCAGTGTCACGGAAGATCCACGCGCGGCACCAAACCCTCTTTTCCATTGCAAAACGTCTCGGTTTGCAACGCTTGATTGGACATCAACCTGCTAGTCGTGCAGCGGTACACGCTTTGTGTACCTTGAGAATCGAAACGTAAGAACCAGCTTGGCAACACTGCTATGTGTGTTTTGCAAAGCCCTTAAGGTTTCCTTTCAGACAGTCGTCTGGATCTTGTCAGCGGCTCCGCGGCCAGAGCAGTTGCACTTTACTGATTCACGACGTCTGGACTCTGGACGCCAATCGACTCATCGTGTGCATCGAACCACCTCTTAAATGCTTTCGAGTAAGTTAACGAAGACATGACCAGTGTACGTACGTACAGCGCGCGGTCTTCACCACAAAGCGCATTGCAACTTCCCAAAAGTTCATAGAATAGACGATCACCGTTATCGCACAGAAGCCCTATTGACCCCAACCTTACGACCACGGTTGAACGCGATACAAGTGCCAGGCATGGGCCAACACACGACATCAGAATTGCATGAGGCACCTGTTCTAAGCATACCGTAGTTGCGTTTGACCTTTGACCTGCAGATTTCTGACTCTGCAGTCCTGACTTCTAGGTTCATATACCCTTTGCAAGCTATAACGGCTTGACAGTAAGTTAAGGTTTGATCCCTTTGTCCTTCTTTCTGATGCCATGCAGGAAGCACACGTGGAATTTTATTCCCCAGCAGTGAAAATTGGACAGACTCAGTAACCTAATTAGCCCGAGCATATCCTCCCGAGGCCAGACCATCGAGGTCACACAATAGACTCGAGAGTCGAGACGCCACGACTGCACGGCGAAAGCTTCGTCTCCCAGATAAGCATTTTGATCAAGATTCGAAACATCGGATTGACCATGGACGCATCGTTATGGGACGTACATCGTAACTTCGACTCGTGCCATTCCGAGACCACAGTGCAACGATCTGGAATCGTATGAGCCAATTGAGGTTCGAGACTGCCTCAATCTCCAGACGGCTCCTGCTAAATCGGGACAGCTCCGACTTCGTTGTCGGCTTTGATACATCTTCGGAGTGCATCATAGCAGGCGACTTGGACTCGTATTTCACTTCATCGGACACGCAAAGGACACAACACGCCATCACTTCAGGAACAGGGTTCATTCACATGGCTCCAAGGCCGATCACAATCTAGATCGAAAAGAACCCAAAGTCTATCTGTTGCAACTCCAGAGTCTTGCTCGCCATGATTTTGCTGCTTGGGCAGTATGAATACCGTTCAGTGGTCCAGAAGATCAATAGAAATTATAATCTACAGTAGTCACTGCTCATCTCGCATCCGGGATGACTGGATTGAATTCATGGTTATGCCAAAGACTTTCGTCAACGTGTTCGTCGAGATGACCATCGCTCGTGGTTGATATCTTAGCCCATCGACACATAGAGCGAACGCTCTACGAATCAGTGATTATTCGGATGGAAAACTTCCTCACTGAGTCGATAACCATTGACAAGCAACATCGAGCATTACCCGTCAGGCATCTGTGTCTTTCCTCAGAACCAATATCCATCTTACCGGAGTCTTCGCTCAAGAAGCAAATACCATATTAATCTGTGTTTAAAGTCTTCCCAACAACTGAGCATAGTACAGATAGAACGTACATACCGCTCACTGGATGCAAAAGGCAACATGGTCTTTCTTGTAAAGGTCGAGATAGGTTCCTTCTAACCGCTCTTTCCTCCTCATCGCTCCTTCCTCTTGATCGCTCTTTCTTCTTAATTGCTCTTCCCTTTCTTATTCATACTGTTTGAGTGCTTTATCGTTTAATTAGATGTACATTTTCTAGTTTTCTTTTTGTCTCCAAGCGCACTACAGTGATAACTGTAGGGATTGACTGCACAATTGCTTGATGAACGAACAATGCTTGCAAGTATATCTTCGTTATGGCTATACACTTCCCCATTCGCTTTTGCAAAGCAAGAACCTAAGAACACTCTTTCTCTCTCGCGTTTGTGCTATAGACATGTATGAACTCAAGCGCAAAGAGCGACCAGGGGAAAGTGAAGAAAATCGAACACATCGAAGGGAAAGAAAGCACGCATGCTTCGGTTGCTCTTTCCTTCTGATATGTGTCAGAAACCAATGCATAGAAGTGGAGAAAGAGACATGGAAGAGATGTATCCAAGAAAAAAAAAGAGCCATAGAGACCGTTGAGATTTTGCCGCCAAAAACGCCAGAGCTATTTCTACAATGAACTAATGTACAATACATATGGAACAGGACGTGGCTAGATATCATCAACGGTACTTGGCCAACTCATCCTCTTGCTCTTCCTCTTCTTCTGCTGCTTCGAGCATTTCCTCATCGAGTCCTACTTCCTCACCAACAACGTCAACACACCTTCCACAAAGCGAGTCGGGCTCGTCGGAGGTAAATTGCCAACATCTGATGCATTTCTCTCCAGTAGGTGGCAGGACGACGGCCTTTCCTGTAGCAGGTGCATTCTCATCTCCGCACTCGAATTCGACCTCGAACTTCCAGGCTGGCGGCTCCTCGGGTTCAAGGAGCGTGGCGCGAAGCTCTTCATCAGGTTCTTGTTCGGCGAGCTTGCGGCGGAAGTCAGGATCGTCGGGAACCATGTCAGCTTCAGAGACGACAAAGAGTTCTGCTAGTTCGTCGGTGCTGCGAAGGTCGGAAAGGAGGGCCAGGCATACACTGCCAGTCTCACGAGGCATCTGTAGTTCAACGCGACATGCCAGGCCACTGCCAAGTCTGCCTGCTCTACGTGCATTCTCTTGAGCGGCTTTGACGGCTGTCGAAACAGTATTGAAGACTTTAATCACCTTGTCCATTGCACCTTCAGCTTTGAAAGAGTCAAATTCAGCACTGAATGGGTACTCCCATGTTCTTCGATTGATGTTCATAACATCGTATGGGTGCCACTGTTCGGGAATGTGTTGCCATACCTCTTCGATGAGGTGAGGAGTGATGGGACCCAGCATGTGACAAAGCTCCTCCATGATAATGAAGAGCACTGTTTGCGTGTGCCTGCGAGTCTCTTCATCTTCGGCGTATAGTCTATCTTTGATGACCTCAAAATAGAATCCTGAAAGATCTGTATTGATAAATTTGTTCAGGGCTTGCACACCCTTGTGAAACTCGTAGGCAGCGTAGTGCTTCCAGACCTCTGCTGCCGTCTTCGAAAGTTGGTGTAGAGCGACTTGATCAGCAAAATAAAGTTCTTTCATGAAATCTTCGACGGGCAAAGGAGCAGGATAGTCGTGCATGATTCCAAGAAGCCACTTGAACGTCGTGCGGTATTTGTGTAATGATGAATGCACAGCTTGGAGGACAGGCTGGCCGATCACAACATCCTTGGTATAGTCACTGCTTGCAACCCACAACCGTAAAGCGTCGGGGCCCATGGGATCTTTCTTGGTTTGCGTGGGACGAGGGACAACTTTTGTTCCCTTCTTCGTCTTTGCTGGAGGTATGATGGTACCACTAATGATCTCCTCAGGCGAGATAACGTTGCCCAAAGACTTGCTCATCTTGCGGCCAGCCTGATCAAGAGTGAAACCGTGGGTGACAATGGCTCCGACAGGGGCATTTGCAGTATCAGTCTGACCAGAGAGATGAGTTAAGAGAAGAGATTGGAACCAACCACGATGTTGATCAGAGCCCTCGAATATCATGTCTGCAACGGAACCATCTTCGCGCTTGTCGAGTTGAGCCCAAGAGGTTCCGCTGTCGAACCAAACGTCCATAGTATCCTTTCCACGAACATATGATTCGCGATCGAGTCCAGGGGCAATCCAAGCAGGATCGTCGGAAGCATCAGCCCACCAAGCATCAGTACCACGTTGTTGAATGGTCTTGATGATGTGCTCGATGCTCTTAACGGTGAGAAGTGCCTCGCCAGTCTGCTTGTGGAACAAGGCTGGGATAGGTACACCCCAGCTTCGCTGACGGGAAATGCACCACTGACTGCGACCCTTCAAGAAGCTCTCTAGGCGTGATTTACCAGTGTCTGGAATGAACATGATGTCTTGGATAGCCTTTAGAGCGGACTCCTGAACACTGCCGACATTGGCGAACCATTGGTCAGTAGCCCTGGTAATGACTGGTTGCTTTGTTCTCCAGTCGATAGGGTTCTTGTGTCTGAAGTTGTGGGTCTTGAAAACCAGAGATGAATCAGATTTTAGCGAAGGTATGGAGAGCTTGGACTGAGGGTTTCTCAGCAGAGCGACGACGGCCTTTGCACCATCCTTCTCGACAGGAAGACCGTGGAGGTAGGAAGGGTCCGATGGGAAAGCTTTGGTGGTGTACTTTCCATGATCATCGACTGGAGCAAAAGCCGGACCAATGCCTAGCTTCATGCAGACATTGTAATCGTCCATACCATGACCAGGGGCGATGTGCACAAGACCAGTACCCGAGGTAGCAGTGACGAAGTCGGCGTGAATGATTTTGTTGTGCTCGGCGGAGATGACGTTGATGTACTCGGTATTCTCCAGGTCAGAACCAGACATGTTGTCGACAAGGATGTTGATGGCGGCGCCCTCTGACAGATGAGTCTGAAGCGATTCGACACGATCCTTTGCAACGATCATTTGGCCCTGTAGGTCGTTGGGTAGATCTTTGCCGGTGACCTCCAGCAGTACATAGTACATGTCGGAACGCACGGCGATAGCCTTGTTTGCAGGCAGAGTCCAGGGCGTTGTAGTCCAGATCAAGGCGCTGACCGAATCGGCCTGAACGGCAGAGTTGGTGGCGAGGATCGAGGGCAGCTTGAGCAGAGGGAACTTGACAAAAGCAGCGACAACGCGGTGGTCCTCATCGTATTCAAGTTCAGCCTCGGCCAGGGCGGTTCCGGAGGAGGGCGACCAGTGGACGGGCTTGTTCTGGCGGTAGATCAGACCNNTGTTGGAGGAACAATCAGTATGGCGCACTCTAGACTGACAGGGTGCAGCAGGGACGAACCTCACCTTTGCGACCATGTCTTTGAAGACTTGCAGCTGCTTGATCTCGAAGTCGGCGTCCATGGTCTTGTATGGCTTCTCCCATTCGCCCATGACTCCCCAGGACCGGAAGGCCTCCATCTGCTCCGAGATGGTCTTTGTTGCCAGCTTCTTAGCAGCCTCGCGGATGTCCAATGGGCTGAGACCAGCACCGTGGACGACGCTGGCCTCCTGCTTGGGATCGTCTACCAGGCTCTTGGACTCTTTCTGCAAGCTCGATTGTTGGTGCGCCTGTAGAGCCTTGAGTTCGATGGGCAAGCCATGACAGTCCCATCCTGGCCTGTACTCGACTCTGAAGCCTCTCTTTGCGTATGTTCTCAGAATAATGTCCTTATTAATCTTGTTCAATGCGTGTCCAACGTGTACAGGGCCGTTTGCGTATGGAGGACCATCGTGAAGGGTGAAAGTGTTGCGCTCACCACTCTCGTTCTCACTCGGTCGGTGTTCCTTCTGCCAGGCATAAAAGTCGTCGGCGCATTGTTTTCGGTATTTGAGAAGTTCCTGGGTGGATGGTCTTGCGGGAAAGGTCGACTTGGGCAGGTGCAGCGTTTGCGACCAGGAGCCTGCCTCTGCTGCCGCTTGGAGTCCGCGTGTCAATCGGAACATGATGGTGCCTTCCTTCAGCCAGTCCACATGTCGTTCCTTCTCTTGATCTGCTCACGACTCAATCGTGGCTGGTTCTTGCCTTTGCGGAAAAAAGTCGCCATAGCTCCTGCTGCTTCTGCGGAGAGCGGAAGTGTCGCCTTGGCGTTACTTGCTCCATCTTCGTCACCTTTGTCCTCTTTCAATCCTCCCAGTATGTACCTGGAAAATATTGCTACGCCTTGCGGTTCAAGGCAACGTGACCTTCTAACGTTTCTTTTTGGCGTGGCTCTGCTTACCACCATCTTGTCCAAACATGCCTGAAACAATTATCACCAACAAGGCGACTCAACCTCGGAAGCCTCCCACCTATTTGATTATTCGTGAGTTGAGATAATCTTCCAACAAGACATCTCCTCCTGCGAATGAGACAATCATCCTTCACCTCCTGACAAAGTCCTTTGCAAGTCTCGACACTATTCAAGCCTTGCCAATGCATGCATGTTTGCCTCGTCCACGCCGACAATCATCCTTCCCGTATTTGTCCGTTGTTCACTCGCCACGTTTCAGACATTATCAAACCTGTATAGCTTCGGTTATATCGCTCAATATTTCGTCAAGATTGCTATCAGCTCACTATATGAGCCTGCAACATGCCCAAAGAACTGTCATGCCGTCGACTCCTAGCCACTTTTAACTTGCATGAACATGTCTTTCCATACTGCTTTCTTCTGTGTCGGCTTGATGTTCGATGAGGTAGGTTATGCATCACTCATCAACAGCTTAGCTACTGAACAGCTGTCTCGCTAGTGTGGTACGTATCAGACAGTCGCTGAGCAATGGAACGACAACGCAACCATTGTAGGCTGGCTAAAAGTTCGTTATACCCGTCGTCCTTTGACGTACATTTCTCACCGCTGGCAGAATACCGCTATTCTCAAACGGAAGGTCAATGGACAGAGATCCTGGGAAGACAAACGTAGATGGACTCACCGGATTCTGTGCGACACATCGCTGTCTTGTCTAGTCTACCGCTCATGATTCGCAGCNATCGCTATCCGATCGACTTCTGCATCTCCAAGTTCTTTGCAATTTGTTGACAAGACATTGACCAGACGGCCTGTCTCTCTCGATACTCGCAACCTGCTATGTGAGCATGTTCCCCAAGATCGTGTCAACCATCTAGGAGTTCCTCTGCTCTATGCGAGACATGACTGCGATATATGCCAAGGTACGTTCCTCTTCTCGGACCAGAGCCATGTNATGCTGACAGAATTTATAGTTGCTGTACTGCGTGCAACCATACAAGAACCCGCTGATGTACCGCCTATCCCGTTCTCATGGCAAACAGCAGTCTGGAAGCAACACAGGTTNGGTGCCTCAATCATCGATTGCTCTGACTTGCGTTTCGCAATCTTGAACAGCAGCCTCGAGCACCAGATCCGGCATCTTTATGACTACAGAGCTCTTCCCTTTCTCATCCTGCAAACCTACATCGAGGAACTGCTGAGCAACATAGGAAGAGCNAAAAGATCCGAGTACCGCATCGATCCGCCTCCGACCTCGATGGAGAAGTTCAATCACCACATCAATCTCAAATGTCAATGTCTCGCATACACCCCCTTTCTCTGCTGGCTCATTGACTTTGACATCTTGATCGAAACCGCGTTTGCCTGCGAGCCATGTCTGAGGTCATGCCTCCTACACGAACTACCCATCATCCAAGCAGCTCTAATATACGCTGACCAAGAACTCAATCACCTCAATCAACTCCTGCAGTTCCATCTCTGTTGCGAGCATCCCCACCCGCCGCCTCCACGTCCACCGACCCCGAAGCCACCGACTCCTAAGCCGCCCACTCCAAAACCGCCGACACCTCATCCGCCACCACCTGTTCCTCCACAGCCACCACACCACTCTTGCTGTGACCACTGCACGCAAACAAAGCATACAACGTATCTGCTCTTCATCCTGCTCGTCCCTCTCGCGGTGATCTTCACACTTGCCATCCTCTACATCCGCCACAACTGGACATCAAGATGGCTCTTATGCCTGATCGTCTTGGCATTTATATGCCATCTACTCATCCGACACTACATTCGGTCCTCCATAGAGTCTATCCGCGACAATCTCTCTGCATACCTGTCGGAAACGAANAAAGCGATCATCGCGGCTTTGATATTGCTTACTGGGTTCTTGCAATGTTGAAGGGTCTCTTTGCGTCCGGGCTTGCTTTCCAAAGCAATTTGTCGCTGGCAGGGAATGACTAGAGTGGTTGAGACTCGATGGTTTACCTGTTCACAGGGATACTCGCTACGGTTGGGTTTGAGTCTGTCAGTTGAGCCAAGATTTTAATACTATGCCCAAGGCAGTTGGATGTTTTTCTCAAACCAAGTCTGCTTCAAGTGAGAAATTTTGACTTTGAAATGGCCTTCATCAAAACAATCACAGCGAAAACAAAGACTTCTGGGAAATCTCTGGAATGCGACCGATGGTAAGGTTAAGAATTTAGACTCTCGTGTTTTTCAAAAGTCTGTAACCCTGATCGTACTTCAAGTCTTCAATTACCTATAGGGAAGAGCAAATTGTTCATCATACAAAGGCACAACTGTTCTCGCAAGCAAGGGCATCTCGGGGCATTGTCCTGTTTCTTAGGTGTGGTAAGGTGCGATTGAGTGATGGATACATTTCATACTCGAGTGCACAGGCAGAGGACATTCACATCGTGCAAGAAGGAAGATGATAGGCAGGTATTGTCATGCTTTTGAATAAGAGGTATTACAGGAAGTTATGCTGAGAGCATGTTTACAGACGTAGCGATTCATGAAAAGGAAAATCCTCCTCCTAGACTCCACCGGATGCTAATAGACATCATTTTGTTGTGGTGATTGTAGGTATGGGTGAAGACGATTTGCTTAGAGGAGGGCAGCGAAGCCAAGGGCGGCACCGAGGACACCACCAACAGCGGGTCCGTTGTAGGCAGCGGCACCAGTGCTGGTACCGGAAGCGGCAGACGAGGCACGCGAAGAGGCGGAAGAGGCAGCTGAAGAAGCACCCTTGGTGGCAGATGAGACTGCGTCAGAGGCGCGCGAAGAAGCGGAGCTCAAGGCACCAGTGGCAGAGCTGAGGGCAGACGAGGCCGATGACTGAAGCGAGGCGCGCTCAGATGAGAGGGAGCTCTTGGCCGAGCCGGTAGCAGTGGACTCAGCAGCAGAGAGAGCTCAAGCGAGAGCTGATGTCGGCGCTCTCAGAGGCGATGGCGGAAGAGACAGACGAGAGGCCTGATGAAACGCTGCCAGTAAGGGTGGAGACGGCACCAGCGGCACCGGAAGTGCCAGCACTGGCAACAGAAGAGGCGCCTGAAACACCGGCGCTAGCGACTGAGGAAGCTCCAGAAACAGCGACAGATGCGACTGATGAGGCACCAGTGATACCCGAACCAACACCAGAGGTAGCGTCAGAGAAGACTGATCCAGCACCGCTAGTACCGGCTGAAACGATGGAACCACCGACCGAGGTGATATCAGAGATGACCTGAGCAGAGGCCGAGGCAGCGAGGGCGGCGCAGACGAAAGAGTACTTCATTTTGATGGTTGTGATGTGGGTGGATTGAGGTTTGATGTAGGGTCTGTAGTTTGTCTGTAGGTCACGAGTGGTGCGATGAGTAAAGTTGAAGATGAATTGAGAAATCTGTGTGAGTGAGGAGGCAGCAGTTTATATAACTATGCGAGAAGGAAGGCGCGACTTGACTTTACTTGCATCACAACATCCGGCCACCGAATGACGGGGAAGCTTGAAACCTATCCACCGCTCAGACACCCGATACAGACCATACCCTTCTTTCCTCTAGCCATGTATTGAGGCTGATTTTGATTGGCCGAGACCACCCTGTTTTGCCAATTTACCTTCCTACTTTCCATGTTACGAGCAAAAGGAGGCTGATCCCCGTACACTTGGACAATTTCTGGCAGGTTCTAGCCTCCAGAATGACGCAGTTGCGTACGAAAGCAGCTGCGAAGGACGTCACAAGCTCCCGGCGGCGAATTGGTCAGGGAGGCGTTGCCGTCGTTTCGACGTTCGAGGTTCAGGGGAAGCTACGTAACGCGGGGAACCACCTTGCTGAAAGGATCTGTTGCTCCCGAGTCTATTTATTGATCATGATCTTATGATCTTCCGGGTTGTCGATTGATTGTTTTGATTTTCCAGGTTTCTCGCAGCCAATGATGCTGTGATGGATGTTTTCTTGGACCGAGCAGCAACAGAGCAAATGACATGGTCGGATCGCTACATATTGTCATGAAAGTTTTACTTTCAGGGCTCCGGATAGATTCACTTCTTTCAGGTACATACTTTCGCCTCCATGTACCTTGGCAAACTGTCGTTCGATTGGATGCCTCAGGGTCAGGAATCATGATTCTGGCTGCGCCGTGGACATGACAACAGCACAATCAGCACCTTGGTTCTCTCTGGCAGCTGACTGCACTGATGCCTTTAGCACTGTCCCGTCGCAATCTACACTGCCTTGAATACGGTGAAGGGTAGCTATTAGCAGCTAGTGTTAAGCTCATAGTGTACTGTTTAGCCTCTCTTGCGCCACTATGTTGGTACATAAGCCTCACCACATCCGGAGTACGCGCGTCAACCATGACTGCGTGCTTGGCTTCTGACGACGCTTTCTCGCGACGAGTCATGACAAAACACGAATCATTGAGGAGATTAAATTCAGCTTGCAAACGATTGCTGAACGCAACCAGGGAAAACAGGTTTAATGTCGTGCCGAAATCAGCAATTCATGAGTCGCTAGTCGATAATTCTGCATTGTACCTTTTTCTTTTTCTTTTTTTTTTCTTGCCAATGCTATCACCCTGTAAAACTTGTGTACAATCTATTATGGCCACCAACACTTGAATCGTCCACTACCACATTCGTGAGTCAAGACTTGATGCTCGAGGCAATACTACTATAGCTTCAAAAACAATCGTGGTCACGATTCTGGATTATAACATGAAAGATGGTCAAGCGCTGTCAGTTCACAGATAGCCCAATCACAAAGCCAAGGGCAAGGACGCAAGATATGAGCAAACTAACTCTTGGCATCGAGCTCGTCCATAGCATCGTAGGCCTGCTTTGCGTACCTCTGGCATTGATCATCCATTGCTGTATTCTCTGCCAGCTACTGGAATCGCTGTTTCCAAAATTCCCATCTCCTCGAGCAAAACGTCCTTCCATTCCATTGAAATCTTATTGAATGTTGATTTGCAGTCTCAGGGAGCTCTTTCAAAAAGCAAAGCTCATGGATCTGGCTCCCAGCGATGAGTATCCAAGTCGCTGCTGGTGGTATGTACATGCGCCATTCTTCTTGCAATTCTCGCTTGTCATCGTATGGTCGATCTACACCCATTTCTATGGCGATGCTTGCTGGAAACGAGACGTTGGAATTGCCATCCGACCCAGCCATCAGTGTTGCGGCAAACACAGTTATGTTGAGTAGTTGCGGAGCTTGAGCATGCCATTTCGTATCATTGCCATCTGGAGGATCAATTCCTAAACGAGACATCAGCATGCATGTCAACATAGTGTCTTGAGAAAGCAGCAGGTAGTATACAAGCACATTTGACTTACAGTACCCATATTCTCGAAACATTTGCTCCCATCTTGGAAGATCTCGCCAGCGGTTGTCCGTCAGTCAAAAAGTTCTCGATGACATCTATGGCTTGGAGGTCCATGTTCGTGCCATTGATATTTGCTGGATACCTTGTTAATTCTGCACGAGCTAAAGTAGCCTGAGCAGATACTTGTGACATCTCCGAGAAGGACAGGGCAGTATGAGGAATCATGTAAGTTCCAGTGTCGATTCTCACGACAAGACTGGCCGACAATAGCTAATCATAATTAGTCTGTCAGACCTCTTCATTGAATCTGCAAACCGGTGTTCCGAATAGGCATTGATTGACCACAAAGGATATAAATTCTACTACAATACGTACGTGACCCCAACATGGTTACGCTTACGTTGAGTCACTTGATGAGACGACCATGTCCTTCTCTCAGTGTTTATGCATTGGCACGTTGTAGTGCGAACAGAATGATCTAGTGAATGCTTTTAACCTCTGTTCTGCTCAATGGCTTCCACCAGGTCGCTGGTAATAATCCAGCTCCTCGATCTGATCAGATAATCAGTAGCTTCCAAAACACCCGTACTTCAGGTCAAAAATCAAGCAGAGATTCAAGTTCACCAGGGCTTTTCACGCAGCGCAAAAGACTGACTCGTGTGGGGTCGAACCCACGACCTTTCCCGAAGTTACACCACGTACTGAAGAGGCTCTAGAAGCTCTAGAACTCAACGAAGCACTACAAATGTAAAGGGAAAATCATAACCACTAGACTAACAAGCCGAATTTCTGCTGAAAAGCAGTTCCAAACAATACCAATCATGCTAGGAGAAGATCAGGATAGGATTGGGGGCTGATGGAACAGATACTGAACGCAAGGCATGCAGAAAGGAAGCCTACCACGTCTCACAGTAACCAGCCAGCTGCAGAGAGATGCCTTTGTAGAGAGTTCGAAGTAGGGCAAAGCTTGTGGAGCTGTTGGCTTCGATCGATCTAGACGAAATTTCTATGGATCCGCTTCGAAGCCTGTCCCGAGTATTAACCGTTAGCAACAGCAAGCATAACCCTCTTGGGCAGCATAAATTCGGCTTGTCAGTTTAGTGGTTATGATTTTCCCTTTAAATTGAAGTGCTTCGTTGAGGCTCTAGCGAGCCTCCACAGCGTAGTGTTCCTTGATGAAGGAAAGAAAAGGAACAACAACGAATGCAACAAACAGAGACGTGTAGAAAACAGATACACACGGTAGATTGAATTTAGTATTATGCAAAGCTTTCAAGGCTGCTGCCTGACCTACGTTCTTTAGAACATCCAGCATGCCACGAGAGACTGACATAGCCAATTATATATCCCCTTCTTATATCAATTCGAAAGAAAGCGAGATGCATAGTCATAGGAAATTCTACTCTCTTACCTGGATACATGTATAAATTGTCTAAACACCCGTAGTCGCGTGGTCGATGAGGGATTAAGGCTTGCAGTTGGAAAGTTTCACGACAGGACGTCGTAAGTATCCGAACGCCGAATTCCGATGTTCTACCTCTCCCATTACCTTCGCATCCTCGTGCGACATCACGTATGCTTGTCAATTCTACTCGAGAAATCAGGGATAGGTGTTTGAAATCGACAGAGGGAAAGGGCTGTAATCTGTGTTGGTCATCTGGGATGGCACTATGAGACTATGCCGGATAAACGAACCTTAGAAAGCAAGCGCCCATACAAACCACGAACGCGCACTGGCTGTATAACCTGCCGGTGAGCTCGATTCCCTGTTCGAGCAGAATATCTTTGCTGATTACTTGTCTCAGGAGTGAGTTATCGTTCTTTTAAGTGTTCAGGTGACAAATCTGATCATCACTAGTCAGGCGTATCAAGTGCGATGAAGCGCGGCCAAGCTGCCAAAAATGTTTGTCGACAGGCCGAAAGTGCGATGGATACGCCGTAACTGGAGCATCAACGCCAAAGCGCCATCAAGAATTGAGTCTGAACGTGTACAAAACCGGAGAGGAATGCAACGCGATCGATTTCTTCCTTCGAGTCTCTATCCCCCAATTCACGGGAAACTCACCATCTGAGTTCTGGAACCGTCATGTCCTCCAGCTAGCCCAGCAAGATGCTGGCACACGGCATGCCCTCGTCGCTCTTGCTCATCTCCATCGAGATTTTACCAACCCTCAAAACAAGTCACAGCACAACCAGCCAGCTTTATATCATTACGATGCAGCAATTCGAAGTCACATCAGCTCGCTTTCTGGAGAGATGCAGGGCATACTTAATTCTAGTTCTGCAACGTCGACTGCCATCGTTTTCATGTGCATCGAGATTATGCAAGGTCATCTTGCATCTGCTGTCTCGCTTTTACAGCGCTCCGTCGCCATACTACCAAGATCTACGAACCAGTACGTTCCGCTATATGAAGAGTTTATATCTCGCCTTAAGATCCATGCCCAACGTGTAAGTCATCTGCTGCTATGTATTCCTCAATGGTTGTGTTAATAAAGATCATAGCTAGTGGACAAAAACATGTTCGGATCGAGTCCCTTTGATCATGCTTCAAAAGAAGTGGTCATGAAGTACCATACACCAGATGATTGGCGTGAGTCGTGCAGAGATCTGCTTCGAGATTGTACAGCGATCTTTGGAGAACTACCCCTGGAAGAAAGGATTAAAAGACTTTGTATCATGTCGGGAGTGCCAAAGACTATACACAACAACTCTCCAATCTCACGCGAGGCTGCAGCACATAATGCCTTACACATGCGAAGGCTTCTCGAAATCACAAACATATTTGACGAGGAAGTCGCTCACACAAGCGATGAAGAAAAAGCGGATATGAACGACTCGTTACTTCCTCTTTATCGCGCCACTGTTTCCCTGGCGGAGGCAAATCTAGGTCTGTCTAGTTCCGACTCGCAGGAAACAACGCCGCTCGCGCCTTCCTTCGCTCTGGACATGGGTGTTATTGGTCCTCTTTACGAGGTTGCCCGTCGTTGCCGAGACCCAAGCCTCCGCAGAAGGATTGTGCATCTGTTACGAATGTCAAATCGACAGGAGGGGCTTTTGAAGAGTTCAACCTACGCCAAAATCGTGGAAACAATCATAGACATCGAGGAGGCTGGCCTGACGGACGTAAATTCGAGCTCAGATATACCTCTGCGATCACGTATATCCCAGCATTGCCTTTCCTTTGATCTTCAACGACTCAAACATACCATATCGTACAAGCCATTGATCAAAGATTCCGAAGACTTTTATCATCGGGACATTCCCACATGATGATGCTAACATGGCTTTTGATCTGGCAAGGTGGCAAGGCCCTGATGCTAATGACTCCATCAGATCTCATAACACTGCTTGTTGCATTACACAGAATCTTCGAGAATCTGGAAGAATCGAAAGTTTTGAAGCGTTATCTGCGCAGAAGACTTACCACGATATGCGACACCGTGGATCCGAAGTCAACTTTCAACCATCTTCAATGGTCAAAGAATTTGCGTCTCCATATTCATAATTCCACAATCTCGTTCTTTAGCCTGTCGCATGGATCGAAGCATAGCCCGATAACATGATGACATATCAAACAAGCAGTCGATGTCGTCGCTAACCTTGATACATTTCGGCCAATATGACGATGCATACTGTTGTTCAATCAGAAGCGGAACCCACGTGCGGGACGACTCCTATACCAAGATCCTTAGAAGTAGTGGATAATTGGTCGGCTGCGAGGTTCACAATCCCTAGAAGAAAAGGAGAGGAAGAGCTGTTTCTTGATTTCCATCAATTGCCGTCATCATATCAGACGGTAGATTATGAGATGATAGACTGCGATGCAGTAAGCCAGCTGCCAGGCGATGCTGTTTGCACATGATGCTTATCTTGAGCGGCTTAAATCGGGAAAGAATATGTCAGTGTTTCGAGGCAGTCGTACCTGGTCAACACAGGCAGGTGAATTTGTAGATTCGTATCTGTTGATAGTGTAGATGTCTAGGATCAATCATTGGGGTGTGTGTTTGAAGGACGACCTATCAACAACACCCGCGCTAACGACGCGTGAGTCATGAAACTTTCGCATCGATGTCATTGGCGGGGCGTAGAGAGTCGTTTCCTTGTGACAATTCCATCTTGCTCTGTTTGCCTTGCCACCTTCTACATTCAAATAGAATCACTCTCGACAGTCCTCGCGCTTTCCACTTTCCAGCGTCGTTTGTCTTTTCCTCGTTCTTTCAGGCCGCTTTTTATTGAGCCTGCCATTTCCTTTTGCTAAAAGTTGCCACGACCTTTTGTGCTTCAATTCATCTTTCACCACGATCACCATAACAACATCACCACCCGCTGACACGCTTCTTGACGCCATAACAGTCATGTCTACCGCCGAAACCGCTTCTATTCCTCAGTCGGAACCTCAGACTGCACGCTCATCCAATCGTCCTCGCAATCGCAGACCACGTAGCGAGAGAAACCCCAATCCACCAACCCCGCAAGACGAACCTCAGTCAGACGCATCAAATCCTGCTCGCAGACGGAGGGGCGGCGGAGGAAGAGGTCGTGGCGCTCGCGACCTTCTTCTTGCCTTGAGACCATCTTCGGTTACGCCCTCCGCCCAACCATCATCCATCGAACCCTCAAGTGCCGACGTCTCAGGCACAGAAACCACCACAAGAAACCAAGATTCACGACGGGGCAGAGGTGGCGCAAGAGGTGGAAGAGGAGGAGCTCGAGGTGGCAGGGCGCGAGGAGAGAATAGGACCGTCAACGGCAGAGCCTTTGGCGGTCAACTTACCTCGGATGGTGAACTCCAGGCCGACGCTACTACTTTCGTTCCCGGACAACCCATCATTACTCAAGGTGCTGCCTCACAGCAGACGCAACCTCGCTCGCAAAGACGCCGACTTTCGAAGTCTACAGCTCCTGACATCGCAACTCGTACTCACCACGATATTGACAACGGCCACTATGAATGCCCCATCTGCACAAGCGAGGTTCTTCGCAATTCCAAGGTGTGGTCATGTCACACTTGCTGGACTGTTTTCCACATGTCTTGTGTCAAGAAATGGTCCCAGAATCAAGGATCTGCCGCTGCTCAGCAACAAGGTCGAGAGAACGGCGAAATACCTCCTCCTCGACAGTGGAGATGTCCTGGATGCAACCTTCCGAAAGACACTTTACCCAAGACATACACATGCTGGTGCGAGAAAGAAGTTGAGCCGCGCCCGGTCACTGGTCTGCCTCCTCATTCTTGCGGAAACACTTGTGGTAGGGAGAGAGTTCGCAAATGTCCTCATCCTTGTCAATTGACTTGCCATGCTGGCCCTTGCCCTCCCTGTACCCATATGGGTCCTACGCAAACTTGTTTCTGCGGCAAGCACGAGTCGACCCGCCGCTGCACCGACACCGACTATGAAAACGGCTGGAGCTGTGGTGAGGTCTGTGGTGATCTCATGCCCTGCGGAGAACACGAGTGTCCTAGACCCTGCCACGAGGGTCTCTGCGGAGCTTGTGAAGTACGTGTCGATGCTCGTTGTTATTGTGGCCAGGTCGAGAAAGCTTCGCTGTGTGCCGATCGTGGCGAAGAAGTTACAAGCCACAAAAAGCATCTTGCTGAGGATGGTCAGGACATTGTTGAAGAGTGGACTGGCATGTTCGCCTGTGCTAACTCTTGCGACCGAGCCTTCGATTGTGGTATCCACCACTGTCAAAAGCCTTGTCACTTCCAGGAAGCCGATCCCGGCCATTGCCCTCGTTCAGCCGATGTCGTGACACACTGTCCATGCGGCAAGACCAAGCTCTCCGAGATTTCACCTGATGCTCGCACTTCCTGTGAGGATCCTATCGCGAACTGCAAGAAGCCATGCATGAAGAAGCTTTCTTGTGGACATCCTTGCGAACAATTGTGTCATTCTGGCGCATGTATGCCCTGTCTCAAGGCCGTTCCAATCAACTGCCGTTGTGGTAGAACAACTTCAACCACCATCTGTCACCAAGGCAAGATTGAATCTCCTCAATGTATGAGGGTTTGCAGAGCCACTCTCAACTGTGGTCGTCATGCTTGTGATGAACGCTGTTGCGAGGGCGAGCGGAAGGCTGCGGAACGACAAGCTCTCAAGCGTAAGGGTCGTAAACTCGAAGAAGCTCACATCCGACCTATCGACGATGGTTTCGAGGCCGAGCACATCTGCACGCGCTCGTGCGGTCGACCTCTCAAGTGTGGCAACCACTTCTGCGAAGACCTCTGTCATAAGGGTCCTTGCGGATCTTGTCGAGAAGCGATCTTTGATGAGATCAATTGTAACTGCGGTCGTACTGTTCTGACACCACCTCTCCCTTGCGGCACTCAACCTCCACCTTGTCGTTTCCAGTGCAATCGCCCCAAGACGTGTGGTCATCCTCAGGTCCAGCACAATTGCCACATGGACAACGAAAGCTGTCCAAGATGTCCTTTCTTGGTTGAGAAGCGTTGCATGTGTGGCAAAAAGAGTCTCAAGAATCAGCAATGTTGGCTCAAGGATGTCAGCTGCGGACAAGTCTGTGGTCGAAAACTCAAATGTGGCTCCCATTTCTGTACAAAGCCCTGCCATCGTGAAGGCGATTGTGAAGATGCTGGAGGCAGACCTTGTCAGCAGGCCTGTGGNAAAGCCCAAGAAGGCATGCGGCCATCCAGACGAAGCCATCTGCCATGCTCCTACTGCTTGCAAGAGGACAAGGCCTGCACTCACAAGATCTTCATCACCTGTGAGTGTCAAGCTCAGAAGCAGGAGATGCGATGCAATGCATCCAAGACCAGCGAGGGCAACCTCAACAAGTCTCTGCCTTGCAATGAAGAATGTGCCAGATTAGAGCGTAACCGTAAGCTTGCTCTCGCGCTCAATATCGACCAGGAAGCACATGTTGAAGGTGGTGACCATGTTCCATTCTCCAACGAGACTCTTAATCTCTATGCAGCTCATCCCACTTGGGCAACAAACCAAGAGCGTGAGTTCCGTGTGTTTGCAGCTGCAGATGACGAAAAGAGATTGAGGTTCAAGCCTATGACTGCCACTCAACGAGCCTTCATCCATCATCTCGCTGAAGACTTTGGTTTGGACTCAGAAAGCATGGATCCTGAGCCTCATCGCCATGTTGCAATTTTCAAGACACCACGTTTCGTCCGTTCGCCGCCAAAGACACTGAAAGAGAGCGCGCGAATCAGAAATGCTCAGCGTTTGGCGTCTGGCAAAGCAGTCGCCAATAGCGAAGCACCAGCAAACCAAACTCGTGCAAACGAAGTTGGTGAGCCATTCAACAGCTTCGTTATTGTGCGTCCACGCTTCGGTCTTATGATCGAAGAGGTCAGAACAGAGCTGGCGTCGTTCGCTCTTCCGGTGCAATTTGATGTTGAGTTCTTGCCCAATGAGGAGGTTATCATCAAGGCTATCAGCCGTACTCTTGATGAGCAGGCAATTGACCAGACACTCAAGAATGCTAAGGCTCCGATTGCCACTGCTATTGCAGCGAAGAGTCTTGGTACACTCCAGCTTTGTCGTACTGACTCCTCGCTCAACATCACCCGTCGCGAGACCGAGAGCGGTGTCAGTGATGGTTGGTCTCGTGTTGCTGCGAAGAGTGCAGCATCACGTCGCCCAGTCGCTCAGACGGCATCCTCTAACAATAATCTGTTCTCTGCTCTTGCTGGTGGAAACAAGGTCACTTTTGCTAAGAAGAAGGAGAAGAAGCCTGTTGTGCCCGTGGAACCTGTTGTAGATGACTGGGAGGCGGCAGAGATCGCAGAGGAGGAGAAGGAGAAGTTGGTTAGTGACCACAATAGTGGTGTGGAGGACGAACCGTCAAAGGTCGAGCCCAGCAACGTTGCTGAAGATGCGGCTGGCGAGGGCAGTGTTGAGATCAACGCTCCTGAGGTCAAGGGTCCCGTAATGGAAATTGTGCCCGACACAAGTTCGGTCGATAACGCACACAGCGCAGTCGATGCGACAGAGCCAGAGTATCTTGAGTCCAATCCCGCAAACGAACAAAGCAAGGAAGCAGAAACAGCATAGGTAGTTGCAAGTCTCTCCATGCGAGACTCAAGATAGATGAAATTCACGGCCTGACCATCAATGTATTTCTTGGCACCATTACATCAACACAAATGCATTCTTGTAATGTTTTAGAAAGAAGCTCTTGTATTGCACGGTCGTTCCCAAATCAACAGGGTGATCATGGAGATGGTCTGAGATCAACGTCCTCTTCATTTTTATTGTGATTGCATGCCAAAAGCTCAAAATATGCAATATCTATATGACTCGAGTGGAGGGCTCGTGATGGTGGACGATACTCATACTTTAGTAAACAGAGTGTAAGGTCATTTGTGATTCACTAACTTTCAAAGAAAAAATGAGTCAAGACATCAAAAAGTGATGGGAAGTAGGCAACAATGTCTCAATAAGCAAGGCACGTTCATCTTGCATACAAGTAACACTTTCACACTTTTCCCCTGCGGTAAGTCTTTGGCACTTTCACACACGTTGCACCAAGATTTAAGTTGTCAAAAGTCGAGACTTTGCTGTTCCTTCCTTGGTTTTCATCACATCGACTCGCAGTGCACCAAAGCAACTTCGAGATCTCCCACTAGACTGCAGCCAAAATGTGTCAACTCTGCGTCCTCAACACCATATCACAAAACTCGCGCTGGCCTAAACCGCTGGAACCATTGATCTCTGACTTGCACTTTCTCGTCACCACCGCACACTCTGAGTTCGCCTGCTACAACCCCTCTACAACTCCAGACACAAAGGACAACTCCCACTCAAGCGCNATCAATCACATCTACCACCATCACAATCACATCTACTCCAGCAAAAACACAAAAACCTCTCTCCTCACCACCCTCCGCGACATCAAAACCCTGCTCGAAGTCCTAGAAGAAGAGAGAGTCACTTGGTGGGACAACAAAGCCAAAGAAAGAAAGTTCTGGAGAGAAACGTATCAAGAAGACAAGATTACAAAAATCAATGTTGTCAACAACAAGACGGTTGAGATGATCGAGGGTCTCAAGGCTAGATTGGGAACTTTCTGTCGTTGGAGTTTGGGGTTGGAGGATGGAGTTGAGGGACTTGATGGTGTTGAGAAGGAGGGCGGTGGTGTCAAGGCGGAAGGTGAGGATGTCAAGATGGAAGGCTGAAGAACCAGGGAACTGAACTCGACACGAACGATTATGAGGGAGTGTGTTGCTGAGGAAGTCACATGGAATAACTGAAACCAGCGGTCGCTTCTTTCAGCTGCAACTGACGAAATCACCAAGGAGAATTCTCTTTGAACTTTACATATGCTGCAATTGCATCTTACATGGATTTCTGAAATTCTTTGCTCCGCTGATTTTCTCCATTGCTCGTTATTACATCCTGGGTATCGTGACGCTGCCAACGCTTTCATCGCTCGTCGTTAGTCATTGATGCTGTTCACTGACTCTTGTGTATCAAGTTGTCGGAGGCCTGGACTCGCTGTGCCCATTCGGTCCAACTGCCATCGTAGACTTTTCTGTTGGTCTCAGGGAAGCCGGCCTCAGTCAAAGCAGCGTCGATGACACTGGCAGTGACTCCTGTACCACAGGAGCTGATGATAGGCTTGGTGGGATCAAGGCCCTTGGTTCTGAAAATGTCAAGGAGCTCGTCTCTGGACAGCAAAGTCTTGGTGTTGGGATCCAGGAGCTCAGGCAGGGCAACGCTGATGGAGCCGGGAATGTGGCCAGAGGAGAGTCCAGGTCTCGGCTCAGGATCGACACCACTCCAGCGACCAAAAGATCTGGCGTCCAAAATCTGCACGCCTTCTCTACCTTCCTTGTTATAGTCCTTTGCAATCTCCTTGACTTCCTCGAAAGCGGCGACCTTGGAGGGGTCGATCTCTGGCTCGGGATATTGTGACTCGGGGAGATCTTTCTGCTCGCCTTGCTCGACCGGAAGGCCTTGCTCGACCCAAAGCTTGTAGTTGTTCAGGATGTGAATGCTTGGGTGGCCGAATACACGAAGCGTCCAGGCGACTCTAGGTGCACTGAAGATGCCGAGTTCGGCGCTGTCGTACACAACGATGTTGTCATCGCGGCGGATACCTAACTTGCGCATAGCTTGGGTGAAAACTTGAGCGCTGGGCAGCATATGAGGGTATGGAGAGCTGGTGTCGGCGACAAGATCGAGGTCGAAGAANNGCTGTTGAGGTTAGTCTTACGGATCTGAAGCGAGACAGGAAGCGAAGTACCGAGCACTAGGGATGTGTCCCTGCTTGAAGACCTCATATCCCGACCTCTTCTCAGGGTCGTTGGGCATGAACCAACTGGCACACAAGGGGATGACTCGAGGCGAGGTAGCCAATCTGGTAGGGGCATTGCCTTTCAAGGCAGCGTTAAGCTCGGCAGGCTTGACTAGGTAGGATGAGAGAGACATTGCTCGTTGCGCCGACATGTTGTGAGAGGTATTGAAGGAACGTCGCAGAGATGAGAAGGTTGAGGAGTTAGCGGAACGAAGTAACGAGGCCATGCTGCCCCACTCGAGCTTGCTGAGTTGCGGAGACTGTTCTTGATGATGTGATTCTGGGAACGATGAGTGAGGGTCTTGTGCAGTTGTGCTCTTCAAGGTGCAGCTAGTTCTCTAACGCACTGCGGACGGAACAAGGCAGAGTGAGATGGTCAACCCAAGTCTAGAGTGACCACAGAAGGTGGAGCCGTCGAGCACGCCTTTTCCCATGTGACTGTCGATCCTCCTACGATAAGCTGCACTTTATCCTTATCGCATACGTCAAAGGGCCCGAGCTTCCGGGGCCATCTGGCGCATGAAAACAAACCACTCCACACTTCGATAGAAGACCCTGGCTCTGTGTATACATCTTCCTTGTAGAAGCGCTCGCCGTGAACAACAAAACCACCAGCACCATGAAGGTCAAGATCCTCTCATACCACGCTGTTGCTGCCTGGCGCTGGGACATGCCCGAAGATGATGATTGTGGTATCTGTCGTGTTCAGTTTGACGGCACCTGTCCGAAATGCAAGTTTCCAGGAGACGATTGTCCTATCAGTATGTGCCTATCTCCCACACGCCGACGGTGTTATATTAACCGTATTTCAGTCATGGGACAGTGCACACATTCGTTTCATATGGTACGCTATTATCATTCGTCTTTGAGAACCGACCAACTAACACCAACCAAGCATTGTCTCGATACCTGGATCAACCAGGAGTCAAGTCAAGGCAGATGCCCCATGTGCAGACAAGGTGCGTAGACTCGGTCTAGCCTTTGCACTTATTTGAGAGTGGTGGTGCTAACGAAATCAGTTTTCCGCATCAAAGGAACAGCTGATCAGAGCGAAGTCCAAGCTGAGCAGACCTCTCAATCTTGAGTTCTGCACTCTCTTCAGACTTCTATCACTACGTGTTCTTGCGTGGTGTTGATATTTCGACCAGCAAGCCATTTTCACATGCATTTTGCCAAGCACTGCTTAGTCAGGGTCTTCGGTCTCAACTCATAACAACCCGTGTGGTCTCACTCTTGTCGATCACGAGCAGAGGATCATGTCGGCTGTCAACAAACGATATTCTCACAGCTTTTCCCAGACCACCGACGAACCCACAAACAACCAGCAAGAACAGGATGATGATACCGCCTCATCCGTTCGCGCGGATCAGGCGGTAAACATCTCCGATGGTATGCTTGCTATCCCAAGAGGCATGTCCATCTTCGATCTGACAGATACACTCACAGGACTGTTTGATGAACCCCAATATCCTTCCACCGCGGCCGGTGAACTACTGCCACCTCCCGACTTCCGTCCATTCTTTACACTCATCGAAGACCCCGAAACGGGCGAACACCACCATCCATCAGTACACTACATATTCTCCGATGACAATCCCGACTTCTTGACTTCTACCATCGTAGATGCGATGGGTCAAGAGCAAGCTGGTACATCTTCGGAGCAGAAGGTTGACAACAACCGCGAACGCATGATACTTCTCGACATGGCACCGGACGGGAAGACGATCAATGAAGTTCAGAGCCTGAGCCCACACTGGCAGATTCTCCGAACGACTATCGGTCAAGCACCGTCATGGGCAGATGAAGGTTCAAGAAAGGACATACCAGGCTTGATGCTCAACATCCAGGGCATGGAGAGTGGCAAGCTGAAATCACAATTGAACCGTCGCAGCAACTCTCAAGAAGATACCATGGCTCGCATCGAAGCCATGATTAGCGGTTACACCAGCTGCTTGTCCACCCTGGAGGGTGTCGTCAAGAAAGACGTTCTAGAGGACGAGCAAGATGTGCCTGAAGAGACAGCCAAGGCGGTCGCTACGCAGGATGATAATTAAGTATGGCTCATGATATAATGAAATGCTCTGGCTAAACGGCGCTCGGTGTATCGATACCTCTATCTCCTTTCCATGTGTCTCGTTGTCTACAATGATGTAACGGTTCCAGTCGCACCGACTACCAGACTATGGGTTGTCCAAATCTGTCGTAGAACTGACCACTGTCATTCTTGTCCCAGCTCTGCACAAGCGGGAGTAACCCCAAAACACTTTCTTCTGCACTGATGGCGCCCTCTTCTTTGTACTTGACTAGTCTTGACTCCACACGTCCTGGATGGCAGAGCACGAATACAACCTCAGGCACGTCAATGCTGAAACTCTTAATCATGGCGTTGAGGGCGGCCTTGCTCGCTCTGTATGCATAAGCAGAACCAGTCGTATTGTATCCAAGACTTCTCATTCTTGACGACATGATCACGACTTTGGCAGCATCCGCGCGTCTAAGGTTTGGAAGAAGAGATCGAATGAGAAGAAAAGTACCAGCAGCGTTCACCTGGAAGGTGTGCATGAGAGTTGACAAGTCCATAACGTCCAGGGTTTCAGCGGCAGCAACAGATTCAGGTTGAGCATTTTCCACAGCAGGCACTAGACCTCGGATACCCACACTGTGAATGAAAAGATCAATTGGAGTGCCTTCCAATGCAGTGGCAAGGTTGTTGATAGACTTCTCCTCAGTCACATCAACAATGTGTGATGATATAGTGGCTGCACAAGTTGCGAAGAGATGAATTTGTTCCCGGTCAATGGCTATTATAGTATTGATGTGTTCTTGCGAGTATGCTTCCAGAAAGGCACGTCCTAAACCAGAGGCTGCTCCAGAGATTAGGATGGTGGGCATCTTGTTTGATTGACGATAGAGATAACAAGATTGTGTTCGGAGTGGCTTGTCTTTGACTCGAACGATGCGGCGTTCGGCAAGTCGGTGGCCCGCCGCGCGCATTCTATTCCTCGACGCAACCTTGTCGTCGTTGCCGCTGTTCAACTCCGACTTGGCCTTCTTTCGAGTCGCTTCCTGTCAGGCTGCTCCAAGTGCTCAATCAAGTTGATACTCCGTTACATCTGGACTAAACATGGTCCGGTGCCAAACACAGTAATACGACCGTCGCTCCTTGTCTCATACGCAAACTCGCACATCCCATACCATCGGTTCTTCGATGACGGCAACTGCATAGAGCACAACACGGATTATGTTCGTCTTGACTGTTCAACTCTCTGCATATAAGACGTTGCTTGCCAACACAACTCCCTGAAGCAAGCCACTATAACCACCGAACATGCGCCTGTAGCCGCAAGAGTCACAAGATTCTTGAATGCCACGCCCGTCGCACAGTCACACTATTGTCAGCACGTAAGCCTTTCTCTCCGAGGCATATGATTGCTGGCACCAACGCCTGTGTCTTTTGTCGCTATCGTCACTTGCTTCTATCCTGCTATCGGCCGCTCACAGCATAGCCAGTACCTTACCGCCACCCAGGCTCCACCCACCATGCGCCGCACTCCACAGCGCCCTCGCCCAAGCGAGCCTCCAGTCGCAACCCCTCGTACCATCGAACCACCCACCAAGAAGATATTCAACTGCATTGCCGACGACTCGGCCTTGCTCGCAGGCGCAAAGAAGAGCACTCGCGACGGCATTCGCAAATGGATTGCCAACGGCCAGATTAGGCTGTTTGTGCCCCTCTACAGTACGCCGTCATACATGCAGAAAATACACGGCTACGACTGACTGTCGCAGCGNCTCGCTCAAACCACTCGCCTGAAGGACGGAAATGGTCGCATCAGCAGCGACGCCGAAGACGCTTTGGTTTGGCTGGACGACGCCACCAGCACTTACCCCCACCTCGTCACACTTCAAGGCGGTTTCGAGAAATTCGAGACATGGGCAGAAGTCGAGAAATTCGCTCTACCCAAAACTCTCTTCTCCGAAGGAGATGTCGATGATGAAGAGGTGGAAGCCTTTGCCCACGAGCTCGCTCAGAACACTGAAACCAAACTCTCCATCCGCGACGCAACCTTGTCCATGAGCTCCGCCGATACTGATGGCTCCAGATCGGCAACTCCTTCTTCTGGACACACCGCTCGTAGCTCTGTTAGCCCAGAACCTCCTGCCGAGTGCCCTCCCAAGAGCCGTGTCCGCTCTCACGCGTCCAAGCCTCTAGCCAAGAAGACCGCGCCCGATTCTTCTTCGACTTCTGACGTTCCTTCGCACTTGCGCCCTCTGTTCAATTATATCCTGTGGCGCATTCACCAAGAGTTGGACCCCGTTGCTGCTTTGGAATCCTTCATCTTNTTGACCGATGACCCAACCAAGACCAAGCTCGCCCAGCGCTTCGGTATCCGCACCAAGAGTCTCGCCGACATTCGTTACGTCGTTGCAAGAGAAGAGCGTGAATTTAAGAATAGACAGCTCGTCCAGCGCAAGGAGATTGAGAACAATGCCGTCCTAGCACGTCCAGATACTCGCGCTACTGCCTCGACAACTGTCAAGGACGAAGAAAAAGTGCGTCCAGAGCTTTTGCCTGTTGATGAGAGACCTGCTGCAGTCAGCGAGGAAGAAGAAGATGAAGTTCTGCTGAAGCGTCCGCCTAAGGCTCCCGCAGCCATGCTTGCTCAACACAAGTCGCCCAAGCCTGGAAACAAGACTATGGATCCAAACCAGTTTTCACGTGGAGCTCAGACCCCCACTCGCGGAAATGCTCGTGGTGGTGCTTTCAGAGGCAACTCTTCTCGCGGTCGTGGTGCCTCATTCACACCTGCATCTGCAGGAAGAGGCGCCACTCCAGCAAAGCTGGATCTTACTCCCACCACTAACGGCAACGGACCGATCGATCCCAATTCCTTTACTCGTCCCGCTGCTAACACTAACAAGTTCAGAGGTGGCCGCAGACTTTGGGTCCCTACGTAAAGAAGTCGAGCGAGCGGTACAGCCGCACAGGAAAACTACACTTCAAAAATCCTTTTGTCAGAAGGGTGTCTCACAACAGGAGTTTGCAGGCCTTTTGCAGCAATACAGCCTATGCCGTTTCAGAGACGCAGAAGCAAAGCATGTTCTCGGTGTCGGGAGATACCCACACATGCGTAGCGCAATTTCAGTTGCCCTTTCGGATCTCGAAGCAAAAATACGGCGTTGATGTTTCCTATCGGCCTTGGGTTACAGACACGAGAGCAGCACCGAAACACTACTAGCTCAAGTATCGACGAAAGTCTCAGTATATGGTTCATGGCAGGTCGGCACTTCGAATCACGCACGAACACATACGCAAAATGCTAGTCGGAGGAGATGGACAGAAGTCGACATTACAGATTGATTAAAGGAAGATGGGGATGAGGTTGTGGAGAGTATTTTGCTTGTATTTCTTATTGATTTTTTTGCGACTCTTGGGAAGGACGTTCTCTTGTTGGACTCTTGGACTGCTGTTAAAAGCCTTTCAGAGTCACCACAGGTGTTACAACCTTGCTAAGAACCAATACATATGCTTTATCGCGATACATCTTTCTTCTTTGACTTGACCTTCTGAGAGAGATCTAAGCCTGGGCCACTTTCACATGCTCTTGGCGTCTGTCATTGTTTACCTGCATCAACAATCTCCCGTCGTGAGGGTCATCGTCGTGATCAAAGAGCATACCTAGCGGTTATCGATGGAGTATAATCATGTCTCGAGCTGTGAAACAAGTTGCAACAGCTTCAAGGCCAGCAGCATCTCAACCAACTTTTAAACTTCCTATAAACAGCCATCTCATCATTACAACTTCTGGTGGCATTTTTTCTTGGGACCGAGACGGAGTCAAGAAGCTTTTCAGCAGTAGCAAGAAGGGTATCCTTGCAGCTAGAGAGGCGAAAGATGGAAGTCAAGTGCTTGCAGTAGCAGACGAGCATGTCGTAGTGTTACATGACTGCAAAAGAAGACGCGAGGAGAGCTGGGGCTTGAGTGGCAGTGAGGTATATCGCTTTGCGCCAACATACCATCTAACGAGACCATCGCTGACTAAATACTGAGCANNGGGCATCGTGCGACTTTTGGAATATGCGCCGGACGCAAAGTCTCTCTTCCTTAGCACTTCATTGACCGGGGCTATACAGCACTACTCGATTCACGAATCACGCTATCTCGATCCTNNCCCTTCCAATCATCCTTCTCCACCGACTGTTCTTGCCATTTCTCCTACCTCTCACTTGATGTTGTCTGCTTCTGAGAAACCGACTGTTGTCTATCTGCAGAACCTTACCCTCAAGACATCCGCCATCCAGCTGCACCCGTCCGTAAGTGGTGCTGCTGTCGCAGCAGCTTCTTTCCACCCAGAACGGCCCAACATCTTCTTACTGGCCTTCAAAGATGGTACAATAGCTGCCTACGATGCAACAAAGATAGCGCGAACGAGTGAAGCTTGTACCAGTACTAAGTCTCGCTCTGTCAACAACGGCCATGCCGGCGAGATATCGCACTTGTCGAATCTACACCGTATCACCAACATTCGGAGCTTGTCAGATCCGCCAGATGCATCACCAAACACGACTGTTGGAAGCAAAAGCGTGGCAATCACAGGAGCGGCATTTCTCCCTGGTTTTCGAAGCCGTGCGGTCAGCGCTGGCGCAGATGGAAGATGTAGGCTGGTAGATTTCGAGGCTGGCGGCAAAATACTTCGTACCTGGCACGCGCAAGCACCTGTGACCTCATTATCGGTTCTGGCGACCAAATCATCTTCCAAGACCGAAAAGACAGCATCCAAGCAGAAACCTGGAGTCACTTTAAGCGGCACTGAAGCCAACACTGTAATCGCTGTGGGTAGGGTCGATGGTCAGGTGCTTCTTTTCGATTCAGTCGGAATACGTCTTGACCAAGTTCTGGTGAACACGCTCGGCGAGAAGATCATCAGCGTGGAGTGGATGGACGGCCCTAGTCCATATGCCATATCAAGCCCTTTCAAGCCTGTGTCTTCAAAGATCGATGCTACATTCGGTCTATCCTCCAGCACACCTAGACGAGGAAAAAGTGTCCAAGCTGGTCTTCCCGATGCCCTACGACTACCACCAGGCGCCGTGTTTGTCCCCACGCAACCAGTGCCTGCGATTGCTGTGGTCGGACATGAAGCCGAAGAGCTATCGACAGTGCGACACATACCAGCTGTCAACATGGTCAGATGCTCACCGGCCGTTGAGACCACCTACTTGGACCTTTTCTCACCAGTCAAGAAAGTTTCACCTCCGCGACAGCAGCAGAAGAGTCCAGTGTCATCTCCACATCTACGCCGTAAACGCCTCTCAAGTCAAACTTTCATCAGGACAAGCAGCCCTGAGTCTACATACATAGCTCTCGAGTCTGTGAATACATCACCCGAGACGCCTAAGCATCTATCCATTCACCCCTTGGACACAAAAATCGAATCAAAACACAAGCCTGCTGTTGGGACTACTCCGGCATCTGCTCGACGTGGTCCTAGATCAGGACGCAAGAAAGCTCATGGCCGAGCTGTGCAAGGCCCGAACCGCAGCCCCTCTGCCTCTACTGGGGCAGGAAGGAATGGAAAGGTCCTTGCCGATTTGCGGAAATTGGGCGTTGAGAATCCGAACCAAGCCAAGAAGAATGGCAAAGCTGCGCTTTTCGCTCCGTACATGAACCGTACTGGTATATCCAACCTTCCGAGAACAGAAATGCAGACCACAAAGAACGATGATTCCTTGCTGGTCGAACGCTTGCCTGAAGAGCCCCTACGTGAACCTCAATATCGTCAATCGGTTCAACCTACAAAAGTACATTTCGAGTCTGAAAGTCGCTCGTCAGATCGAGATATATGGATGTCCGCTGGATCTTCAGAAGACGAGTGCAACCAACGAAAAGACAACAAACGCACGCACTTCCATGCTCGCCAAAGACAGATGGACAAACCTCGAGCACAGGTAACGTTCCATGATAACGGCTCGAACCCACAACATGCGCCTTCCGTTCCGACATCAGAGCTTGAAACGACTCTCGGAGTAGCGACTATATCGCCACAGCCTCATAATGCAGGCAAAGAAGCTGCTGTGCTCTCAATGTCCGAAGAGGCCATGTTCAGCGCAGTATCACACATCTCGAACATTGACGGCGAGTTTGTGCCTGCTTCAAACGATGTGCAAAGGCTCTTTCCTCGCGGTTCTTCTATCTATTCGACTTCTCCGTCTCGCCTATCTACTAAGAGGTCACCACGAAGACAGGTACAAGTCTGGAACGATGATGTACCGAAAACAAAGACAGTGACAAATCCAATGCAACGCGCAAAATTGGTAAACAAGAACTCCAATACGACTGTCAAGGCAACACCAAGAGAAACGGCGGCAAAGAAGCCTGCAGCTGTTCTATTAGGACCCCAGGATGCNAAAAGGACCAAAGCCCTCCCGCCATTACCATCACAGCCATCTGCTATCGTGCCTTCTCAACCTCAAAGTTGTGCTTGCGCTGAGCAGAACTGTCCGGGTTGTTTGGAGCTGGAAACACGGGTTCACAGTTTAGAAGATGAAGTCGCGAGATTGAAGGCCGAAGTTCTTGGGCTTAGGAGTGCTCTCAGGAGGACAGGCGTGTCGAACCGCGTTGCGGAGAGAAAGAGGTGAAGTTGATGGTGCCCGGTGCGTTTATTCTGTGTTTTTATCGTTAGATACCCCCCTCTTGCGCGTAGTCAATGTTATTCCTGTGCCTGCTTACCGAGGGTGTCGACGCTACTTATTGACACTTGACGCACTGGCATCCAGCAATGCCGTTAATCATGTTGTGCAGATGCACAATAAAAGTGGTGACCGAAGCGAAGCAGCCGTTAGGGTGTCCGTAGACGTAGAAGGCACCGACCGGAGTGCTGTTCTTGTTGATCTGGCCGGTCTTTGCCCTCCACCACAAGGTGTAACCGTGCGGCAGGCCGGTGAACCGCAAGTTTCCTCCGTAGGCAGTCGNCTGTCGGCGATACAATGTTAGTCTTTGTTGTGTAGCAGCACGAAGGTGTTTCCCGTTCTTACAGTACTTGTCCGAAAGCTGGGTCAAGTAGTGGGGAGCCCGGGGGTCTTGGTTTCCGGCGATCTGGACGTAGCCGTGGCCAGGAAGAGGCTGGGACCAGGTGCCGTCGCTGCCGGGCACCAGCGAGAGGTCGAAGAAGGGGTTGACGATGGGAGGAGGAGGAGCAGCAGCATTCATCGTGACTGATGGTTGCCTTTTGCAGTTAATTAAGCGAGAGTCCAAGCGGCAGGTGCAGGCGGATTTGGCAATTTGAGCCGAACGTGGGCCTGCCAAGGAGCGCTGACCACCTTCTGGGTGTGACATCGTCTTTTCGTTTTCGCAGACAGTGAGCATCATGTTTAGATTCACGATAACTGAGTTGCTGATGAGCATATCATGAGATATGCCTATGTAGGAAAGTGGTAGTATGCCTAAAGTCTCCTGTGAAAAGGCCCTTCAATCCTTCGATTTGTTCTCTACATGCCAACGATGATCTTGATACAGCTATCAAAATGCACGGAGCATATCGAAATCACTATCTGTCCGGAGAAGAGGTCTTCCTTGCTAGGCTCTCAATGGTCACAACTGCGTTTCTGATTACATCTTGCATTTTGATAAGCTGTATCAAACCTCGTAGGCAAGTTGAGACACATGCTCTTCAAGCGTGCCTGGATTTGGTCAACAACATATCGAAGCTGACTCTTCAGGGACGCACACGTGTAAAAGATGCACATCAAAATGCAGAAATATATTACAGTATAGATGTAGGTCCAAAGAGACATCACTTTGAACGTCCTTTCACTGGAAACGCTGGCATATCTGGACTATATCTTGCATTTTTATGGGTGCATCACAATGGTATTGGTATGTTGGAGAGAGTCTGTTGGGAAAGAAGTACTCTTCTCCACTACAGCGATGTATTAAGGCAGATACACTGCTTTCTAAATGCACAAAATTATCAGGATCTGGATATGTTCAAACAAGAGGGGAACTTTGGCTCCGAGCCAATTGAATTTGTTGTGATGTTGAAGGAATGTGTTCTATGGCAAGATCGAACTTTCGACCATAGACGGTGACGGCTCTCCTCAGTGTCTGCTCTTTCGTTGGTGGAAAGACCGGTCGTGTGTCCTTGTCTTATTCTTTGCACTCTTCCCGCACTGATTAAGCTCCAAGCTTGTTTGTCTTTCATCCGATGACCTTTCCAGATCTCAACCAGGCCTTCCCTTCTGATTTTGACCTGCTTCTTGCTTTGCTTGTGCTCGGCTTTGCCTTAGTTGAGGGAGTACTTGGGCAGGTCTGTCATGTCTAGCATATGTCAGCTGACCAGATCCCATCCACTGAGCATGCATTGAATCTTACTGGAGCTCTGGACAACATAGAGCTGGATGATTCTTTTGCTGGCGTGTTGATGTTCCATGATAGCAACACAGAGTGAGAGTCTGTCTTTGACTACAGCCAACTGACCCGAATCGCCCATGCTCCAGACCACAGACATTTCAGAAGGCGAAACGCTGAGATAATCCCGGATGATCGAGTCGAAGAGAACACCTGCCAATTCGCTGAGCCAATCGTCAAGATGGTCATGAGATTTGGGTTCGGCCACTTGAAGATGCCAGAGCGGGAATTGATAGGTGAAGGTGGAGTCATGGATGCCGGTCTTGTGGCGAGCAATCGAGACGATCATGTCTTTGAAGGCGGGACGAGTAACCATGTCGAGAGTATCGCCTGTGGCGCTGCCAGCGCTCTTCATGATAGCTGTTGTGTTGACCGTTTGTGACGAGGGTTGAGAAGATGGATGGAGGGAGGAAGCCGAGAATAAATTCACATCACGAGAGCGGGATGGAATCTTGTTCACTTTCACTCGAGTTTCCACGTAGTTACTCAGCTCGTCATTGATATCTCTCAACTTTCACTTTCATTTAATAAAATCTAGGAATAGCAGCTGCGGTCAGCTGTTACCGGCTACCGATTGGCAGTTTCTCGATTCTTCTCTCTGGCTCTTTCCCTAGAAGTTTGACCCTTGTTCTTAGTCCTTGCGAGTGCTTTGCGAACTTCGTTTGATCGTCGACAATGCTGCACCACGCGACCGAAGAGCTTTGTTCAGACTTACAAAGAATCACCTGTTTGCTGTCATGCCTGTCTTATCAAGCTTTGAAGATGCTGAACATCCTCTCATCGCCCTGATTGATCAGACAACGCAAGATCCAACTAGAAGACACCAACGCGTTGAAGCAATCAAACCCATCCTGCAGTACCAACACCATCTCCGAATACAAAACATGGCTCAATTCCACCAACCTTGCTTTTCGTCCTCCATCCCGCCAGTACAAGTCGAGATGCAACGCTCTAACCAGCACCACGGCTCTGACCAGAGAAGAAACTCTTCTGCTCACTCTTCTCGTACCAACACTGGCCAGGGAATGGGTCCAGCCCCTACGATCTTTACCAACGCAGGTCAAGCAAACACTGGTTTCGCCTCTGCTTCGAACGCTGGACAAACTGGACCTCCTTCCTATGCTTCTGGTGCCAATGCTAGCCAAACAGTGTCACCAACCTTCCCCTTCAACCCCAACTTCGAGCACACCATGTCATCTGAACGCCCTGAGCTCGAGCACATGATTGTGTCCATCAACCGCCAGAAGCTCGTAAGCGATGACATGGAGTGGACCACTCAGTTCCCTCTGAACGATCTCAGAAACTCGACTACCGGCGACTTCCCTNNGATCAACCAGCTCTCATACAGTCGTCTGATTGGCGAGATCTCTGACAAGATCCGTAGCAATGTCGGAGAAGAAGGTCTATCTGTCGTTTGGGTCATGCCTACCATCAACCAGTTGGGTGTTGTTCGCGACAACGGCTCGCTGAAGGCAGCTGTCTTGGACCACCAGCATGCGGGCAAGCACATCATTCAGCTGTACGTTGTCAGAGAGAAGGGTAAGTCAACAGTGTCTTCCAATTCCTCCACTACTTGCAGAGATCTGATGAGATACNNAGCCGAGGGTACCGTTCTTCCCGAAGTCTTCACTTCAAAGGTCTTTATTCTGCCCAAGGCTCCGGCTGTTCCCAATGGCCTTCTCAGTCCCGAGCCTGGTCAGCAAGAAGACACGCCCAGACCAGCCGCCACTTCCACCTTCGGCAAAGCCTTCGGTCAGTGAGCTCGACAAGTCTCAGCAAGAACAGGCGTTGTCAGGTACTGGCAAGTCGTTGATCGAGAATACATCACCAAGTCTCAGAGCTCGTTAGGATACAGAGAAGTCGGAATTGAAGTCAAGATGTACGCAGAGAGTGGATGAAATGGATGAAGTAAGGGAAAGCAATAAAGAATAAGATGTGGTTTGTCATCACAAGGCAGAAGGGAAGACGGACTAGCAAGTCGATGATAACGATGGTCGTTTGGTAGAGCAAAACGAGTTCTCTTCCTGAATGTCATGTCCCAACTACACTCGCCTCACTGCCGTCAGTGTGTTTCGAACCACTGCTTACACTTGACTCCTTTTATCTTGGCTTCGGCGATCCTTGGCTCCGGCATATTGAGCTTCTTGTGGCATGAGAAACTGTTTGCGATCAAGTGGCTAGCTGCCTCGCAGCATCTGTACAACCTGTTAAATGGATTGCTCTCTGCCCACTAGACGCTCGAAACTTACCAAGCCAACGAATGACATAGAGGTCCAGGGTGTTCTTGTATGCGCGTCTGTGATCTTCCACGGCAGCTAAGAAGGAATCGTCGTCGATGATACGACCCAATCTGCCAGACTCGGACATGCGCCAGACCAGGCACCAGGTGATATCGAACTCGGCAGGATCCTCAAGTGCGATGTCGACGTCCAGATCCCTCTCAATGAACTGTCTGAGTACTCGGAATTCAATCTTTCGGAGTTTGAGCCGTTTCCAAGGTCTGTTTGACTTGTCGTCGAACTGCCAGAGTTGGAATTGAGCGTTCCAGTTGAGTCCGCGATATGGCTGGACACGGCTGACGAAGACGAACATGTTGGTGGGGGATGGGTGCTCCTTCGGTTTGTTGTCATCCGACGCTGTGCGAATTGGTGGCATGAATGCTTGGAGGCAGTTCAAGGCACGAACGATGCTGTCCAAAGCCAGATGCAACATCGTTGGGATGAGATAGAGTAGATGCTTCCAAGAGATGCTTCGAAGCGGCAATGGGTTGACGATTGAAGACATGGTGAAGGCCTGTCGATATTGATGGAGAGCTGTCAGAATCGGCTGGGATATCAATATTGACGATACAATGGTTGCAAGGAGAAAAGGGAATCTCGAAGCAGACCCGTAAAGAAGTCCTCAAACTCCTCAGCGTCGAGATGGAAAGCGCATACACCGACGCGCAGGAGACGCAGCTTCCTCTTGATCCGATCATATAACAAAACTTTGACAAAACAGAAACCCACCTAACCGCCGTGGAGCTAGGAGGGGGAAGAGAAAGCTTTTCAGCTTTCGTCATTACTTTGTTGTGAGCGAGGGTCAGTGAACCCTCTCATGGCTTTTGGTGATGAGGAGAATCGAACCGGTGGACTCTGGTCAACTTCATGGGAGACACGAGCTACTACCGCTGCGCCATTCCACCAGTTCGATGGAAAGAACGCCAATCGGCGAGAAAATAACTCTAAACTGCTGTTGTCACTTCTAAGGAGCTGTTAGTGAAGACGGGGTATTCTCGTGTCATAGTGATCAGCGATCGAAGCGCAAGCGGGGTGTATACAGAACAAAAACACTTTTTCTATACATCTAACTTATCTAGCTGGTTCTCTGCTTGCTAGGCTTGATCTTTCTCTTGCGAGTCTCGGCGTTGCCGTTGGGCTGAGCTGCGGACTTGAGCGTGGCGGTTGCTTCGTCGACACCCTCAACCTCCTGGGTACCCTCGAGCAACTTCTCCATCTCAGCCTCAGAAGTCTTCTTGCCAAGAATGGTACCAACAGACTTGTTGTAGAGGTAGATGGGCAGGCGAACCAAGAAGGTATCGTTGATGGTGGGTTTTTGGATCTCGTCAANCCTGATGGTAAATTAGCATATGTTGTAGCTGATGTTGTAGATTAGACTCACATCCAACAGGAACTCATGAAGTTCGCCCTCCTCGGTACGCTCCTCGAGGTAAACATTGCCGACACTGTCGACGATGAGGACCTTGCCATTCTCGGCGATAGTGCGCTTCTTTGCGCCAACAGGACCGCTCGTAAGCTCAGCCTCGACAGGAGTGCTAACCCCTGAATTCTTCGCTTGTTCAGCAATGGCAGCTCTGGTCGCCTTTGGTTTCTTTGCAGCACGTTTGCTCTCACGCTCGGCAGCACGCTTCTCTTTTCTGTTCCAGTTCATGGCCTGAGGTTCTTCCTCAGATGAGGGCTCAGGGACAGCAGCGAGGGCAGGTGTACCGTTTCCAATACCAATGTTCTGGACCTCGTCACCCCAAGCAATACGACGAGCTTGACGAATGTAGCGCTCAACGAAGTCGCGGTGCTTCATCCAGTTCATGTAAAGAGTAAAGTAGTGAACACCACCGCCGAGGAAGACGAACAGACCGATCATGACGGAGCCGAGACCAGGGCGGAATCTCTGGTAATAGTAGCCGGTACCACGCCATTTGGGAAAGCCATTCTTGAGGAAGTGATCGTAGCGCTGGCGCTCAGGGCCACGGAGGATGTTCGTCACTATACCGAGACGGGCAAAGCGAGCAGAAGCTTCCTTGCTGAAAGCGTTGATCTCCTNTTGCGAAGGCTTCTTGTTCTTGTGGACGTGGACGGTAGGTTTGTCTCCCTTGTTGGTCTTCTTGACTGGTGGGGCGGTGTCGTAGGAAGCGATGAAACGTTGACGGGCCTTGTCGGGGTGCAAGACACGGGCCTTCTTCTTGTAGGCAGCATTGATGGCGTCGCGGCTTGCAAAGTCCTTTACACCAAGGAAAGAGTAGAAGGTAGCATTGCTGCCTTCGTGTTGAGCAACCTCATCCTGAAGACGGAAAATTTCATGGTCTGCCAGCTGTCGTTAGTATTGGTGCAATGCAGTCGAGGCCAAAAAGCAACGGGCTTACCTTCAGGCGACCAAGCGCAGACAAGGGCAACCAAGCACAAGAGCAAAAGCAGGACAGAACCCTGGAGACGGGCCATGGTTGCGATTGTGATGAGAGTGTCGGGCTGCAAAGAAATGTGATGGAGCTGTAGGAGCGGCAGAAAGTGTCTGGACTAGTTTCCCCAGACAAGTCGTGTCACCACCACGTTGGTGCGCTTTAATTCTGCTACTATTTCTCGAAAAGACCTTATATAATCCCAACACCCCTCTTCTTGTTCCCTCTCAAACCAGCTTGAGGGGAATCCAGAATCATTCTCTACATCCCATTCCTTCCTTGCCTGCTGCTACTGTCTCAAGTCGAGAATACGAGATCTCGGCAGGCTTCAGGGGCGGCCACAGGGCTCAGCTCCTCCTGAAGCTTGAATTGTGGCTGACTGGAGATGTGGCTGAACTCGTAAGCTGCACCTCTTGATTCCACGAAGCTGCTCAAATAAACACGTTGCATGCGTAATCATATAACTCCCTTGTTATCTTCTTCTCGAACTCTTGCTCCTCGCACACTCTCTCGCCAGTCGTCTCTCCTTCCACCAAATCCAACGAGTGAGTCTTTCCAACTTCGCACCGTCGAGTCCGCGGCTTCCCGTGTCGACGACGCTCGCGGCCGCCTTCACATGCAAACAAAGAAATTCTGTTGACTCCGGCTGACGTCCCCTTTTAGACTCAACTTCGAGACACTCCTCACCCTCGTCGACTCGACCAACTCTCTGACTCCCTTCACTCTGTCAACTCCTGTCAAAATGCCCATCAACCTTCCAATCGATGCCATCACATCGCGTCTCAACCTCCAGGGTCGCTTTGACAATGTTCGCTCCCAATCCGTCAGCTCCCGCTTCGCCAACCTGAAGCCCATCTCCGAGTTCTTCAACTTCAAGCAAATCTCCAAGCCTCAGAACTTTGGCGAAGTCCAAAACCGCGTCAACTACAACCTTGGTTACTTCTCTAGCAACTATGCCGTCCTCTTCGTTATGCTGAGCATCTACACCTTGATCACCAACTGGCTCCTGACTTTCGTCATTCTCCTCGTTGTCGGTGGTATGTACGGTATCGGTAAACTCGAGGGTCGTGACATCGAGATTGGTACTTTCCGCGCCACTACTTCGCAGCTCTACACCGGTCTGGTCATCGTCGCCGTACCCCTTGCCATCTTCTCCAACCCCTTCGGCTCCGCTCTCTGGCTCATCGGTGCCTCGGGCGTCAGCATTATTGGTCACGCAGCATTCATGGAAAAGCCAATCGAGTCAGCTTTTTCCGAGGAGGCGGTCTAAATGGTCGGCCGCGGGCTCCGTACGATATGCCTCATTGGGGAAGACCATCCGGAGCTTTTGCAGGGGGAAGTGGTGAAGTGTGGAAAGACGAGTTCGAATCTCGGCGAAGGAAATTCTTGGACGTTGGCGACGAGAGCGATAATGGCTATCAACGTGTCTATCTTGATCCTGCCGCTTTCAAATCAAGGTCCGCTGATAGACTGCCGCGAGAAGAGTTCACTGGAGACGACTTACTGTTCACTGGATATGACTTGGGGTCTGCGAGGGGAGAAAGAAGGGCGGATGACACTGTGTACGAAAGAAGGCCGCAACATCCACAGGAAGACGACTACTACCACGACAATACGTTGACACGATCGTCACGAGAGGATATACTGGTTCAGTCAGCCAGAGAGAAACTCAGGAGAGCACGTGTCAAAGGCAAGACGAATGTCAGTCTGAGTGTTGAGGAGATGGCCGCGTTAGAAAGGAGCAGCACTCAATCCAGGGATACATCCGAGCCAAGTACACCGAGCAAGAACAAGACCAGAGGAAGTCGGTCTAGTAGTACCACAAGTCTGACCAACACTCGACCACGAAGAACAAGTATCGGTCTCTTCGGCAGCACGTCACCATCGCACTCTCGTTCACGAACGCCAAAGACCTCGAGGAAGCCATCAAATGAACAACAATCAGTTGCTCGTGCATCTGGCTCAACACCGCCAGCATTCATGATCCGCGGTCCTGATGGTATGCCAATGTACGCTCCTAGTGATTACAATCCTGCTCCGGTGTCGTCTAGAAGGCCATCGGGGAACAGCACTCGCAATGTCACTCCGCCATACGAGGCATACTCTGCTCGCGGTTATGGTTCTGAGCTGCGAGCACATCCTTCATCTTCGGGTCGAGCTCTGTACGATGAGAATGCATGGACTTCCTCCAGTCGACCAGTCGCAGGAGTAGCATATCCCGATATGCTTGGACCTTCTTCCTCACCTGGTGCACAATCCTATCAAGCTCCTGTCCCATCGTCGGACGTGTCGTATGCAAAGTTGAGGCGAGCACCGCAAGGGTCGCCGCTCTACAATGTTGAAGCAGCTTTTGACAGAGGGCACAGGGAAGCTGAGATGGGTCCAGGAGCACGACCAGCAAGCAGTGGAAGCAGTAGTGATGATTCTGGCGGACAAGGCGTGAGGATCGAGGTCGAGCCAGGGTTTGGGCTTCGAAGAGTACCAGTCTCGAGCAAAAGTAGCGGCACAGTCAGGCGCAAGGGCAGAAGATAGGTTAATAGAATCACAGGAACTGGTGTCTTGTCATTTGATACACGACCACGATAGAACAAAAGCTTTCTTTCTTCATCTGTCAAATCTCTCACTAGGCCCCTTCTTCTGAACAATCATTCCTGCTGTATAAGCAGCTCTTTCCCGTGTCTGAGAGGACACCCAGATAACGCCGTAAACTCCGATACGAATGCAATTAACGGACGATGTGTCGTCTTGAGGTGCATTCACCTCGAGATATGATCGCCTGCTCTTTTTGTAACCCTTGGACCCTATGTCCATACTGCTCAATCATCTTTTTCCAGAAGTGTCCAGTCTGCTCTTATCGAATCCAAGTCTCGTCCTTAGGAATGTGTCGTAGACTCGAGTCCTCGCTCAGAAGTACCCAACGATGATGCGCAACAACTCAAAGATGAGACCACCACACACGACGAACAGCAAGGCGACTGCAACAACACTGATCAGCTTCTGTATCTCCCTAACTCCTAGTTGAGAGGGTGCGACTCACANAAGCCAACCCTTGCTAATGGGACTCTTTTGAGGAACAGCCTTCTTGACGGCAGGCTCGGGCTTTCCACGCTTGACTTCTTGTTTCTTTGCAAAGGCCTCGTTTGCGCGGCGTTGTTGGGGTGTTTGGACCTTTTGGGTATGTTAGCTCGTGTGCTCTGTGAGGATGGATGGTTGCAAGTCAAGCTACCATTGTGATGTGATGTGATGTGTGCAAGTGCTGGACAAGTAGAAAGAAGCAGTTCTTATATGCTTTGGGGATTAAGGCAACAGTACAAATCGTTTATACAAAAGTTGTCAACAGAAAGGTGTGGTAAGGGAAGGAAACATCAATGTCTTGCAAGCCCCTTCCTCTTCGAGAACACTTGGTCAACTCTGGAAAGGCGGGATCCCCACATTGCTTGGCCTGATGCTGATGGGCGTCTCCACCTCGGTGATTGCGTCTCTTCACATGCATCATCTGAAGCTCTTTCCCTCGTCCATACAAACCACACTCAAACAGCAATCATGTTGTCCACATTAGCACGCACATCGAGACTCCAGGCCTCAAGGTCTTCGCGCGCCGCCTTCTCAACCCTGAGACCGCTTCGCCAACAACCGACCTACCAACCACCCACACCTTCAGAACCAGAAAACCCGCATGTATGACGATTCTCCCGACCCTTCTATCACGCCACTCCCTGCCTCGAATATCATGCGAGTTGCACGACCGCATTACTGACAATCTTGTCTTTANNGCGCGCCTTCTACAAGTCTTTCGGCCGTCCAATCGCAAAAGTCTTTCTTATGGCTCTCTTCACATATCAAGTGATACACTATGGCTGGCTAAAATTGGAAGCTATGGAGGAAAAGGAGGAAAAGACTGCTGAGCTGCAAGGTCTGGAAGGTCAATTGAGAGAAATGACGAAAAAGCTTGAGGAACATGACATGGAATGAACAACAATTGCAATATTCTCGACCATCGAGGGTCACTAAGACACACCGCCGATTTACACGCTCCAGCGATCATGGCACCGGGCCCATCTATATGCCGAAGAAGCATGCCAGGCTGGACAAACTGCGTCATCCTCGTTCCGAGAGAATCATCCGGGACACGACCCAAGAGGAACGAGACATGGTATCCTCGAGCATTAATTTTGGCTACATACAGGCAGAGAAACATTACTGTCATGTACATAATTACAGCATATCCCTGCACCCAAATCACACTTATCTCACCTTACATACCACCATCAACGTAATAGCTAATGGAGTAGTTCAGGAAGGCGCANNCTAACAACCGTCAGCTTGAATTCACGATCATCAGATTACGTTCAAAACTCACCTGAGGCAGGTCCTGGAAGTCGGCGGTCAACGAGGGGAAATCGAGCAACTTCATCGGGCCTTGGTCGTTGGCAACAGGCTGCCATGGGCCACTCTCCTTGACTCCCTGGGTAGTGTTGGTGTAGCCGCGGACCTGGAGATAGCTGGCTGGTGGGTTGGGGTTCAGCGAGCGGACAAACGCAGCAAAGTAACCACTCTCCAACTGGACCGACTTGAGGTCGTTGGCATCACGCAGAGGATTCAGATTTCCCTGTTCATGTATCAGCACGTCATTCCATCGTCTCGACTCGAAAACACTTACGAAGACCCAAGGCATGTCAGAACCATGAAGTTTGAAGTATGGCTTCTCAGGATTACCATAAGGATATCCTGGCTCGACCGGAGGACCTCCAAGATTATTAGGGTCATACCCTCCTGACGTCCTCTGCATCTGGTAGAAATACGAAGTCTTGAAAGCGCCAGACTCTACACCTGCATATACAGTGGCCTGGTCGATACAACGGAACTGGTTGTCAGTAGCCACTCTCTGTGATACGTTGAACGAATCCAACGTCACATTGCCAGTGTCGTAGTAAGGGAAGAGTCCAGAGTTGATAATGGACTGTGCCTCTGCTTGCGAGATACCAAGTGCAGCCATGATACCTGCCAATTCACTCGTCACAGGAGTTGTAGGGTAGGTCGAGAAAGATGCACCGTCGTTGGCAGTGGTTCCCCAGATTGTGTTGACGTTCGCAGCGCTGCCGTTGCGGTTGTACACATCGAGAGTCTCAGTGTTGACGTAAGTTCCATCTTGGACCACATATCTGGCAACAGTGGCAGCGTTGACGATAGTTTGTGCAGGTGCAGCTCTCAAGCACGAGATACGCTCATCAAGAGTGGTCTGGTTGCAGCCAATTTCGCCGAATAGCGCTTCGCTGCGTGCGTATGACTCGGCAGGGGTCAAGAAAGAACTGTAAGTTGTGGCATAATCNNTGAAGACCATGTCAGCACACCAGCATTACAGTTGCTTCGCGTGGTACTTACCTCCAGTCAAGCCGAGATCGACACCACCACCGAGGTTGGACATGGCAATAGAACCTCTGAATTTGCCGATGGCCTTGGGAGATCCGAGAAGCGTACGTACTGAACCAGCACCTGCAGACTCGCCGTTGATAACGATCTTGTTGGGGTCGCCACCGAAGCTTGCGATGTTCTTGAGGACCCANNCTGCACGGTATCAGCAATTTATTGCCTTGCTTGTACGCAGAACACTTACGTCAAGGCCAGTAACTTGGTCGGAGATACCGTAGTTGCCGGTGATGTTGGTACCTGGAATGGCCAGGAAGCCCAGGGTAGTCAAACGGTAGCTNNGCACAATGTTAGCAGTTAATCACCTTGCATGGACGCAGAATACCGACTTGATCTCCACTACCACCAGGTCCTCGCGAGAGGCCAGCTGACCACCATCACTACCTGCACTAGCACCGGAGCCGCCGGTGAAACCACCACCATAGATCCAGAAGTGCACGGGCCTGAGGTCCTTCTTGGATCCGGCCTTGGGGATGTAAGGAGTTTGGATGTTGAGGAAGAGACAGTTCTCGCTGCTAGAGCTCTCGTACGGCTGCGCGCAGTCAGGACCGTACTTTGTGGCGTCAATGGTTTGTCCAGTCTTGGAGTACAAAGTCGAGTAGGCGAAGCGTTCAGGTTGGTCTGCGAAAGGAATACCCTGGAAACGGAAGGACTTCTTGTTTCTGAAGCCTACGTAGGTGTTGCCAGTGGAAGCAATCTTGATTTCGTTGGCAGCAGAGGCGACAGCATTGCTTGGCATATTGCTCTGGCTAGACTGCGTACACAGGACGGGCAGAACATTGCCTACGCCGGCTTTGCCAAACTTCAATACATTGTTGTGGAGCTGTACAGTCTGACCACTTGCAATGTGCCACTTCTGATCTTGTGTGCAACGACCAGCGTAGTTAATGTACGAAAGCTGTTCGATAAAGTCCTGGGAATGTGCTTGCAGAGCAGACTGCGAAAGCAGTGTCTCGTTCAGGGCTGCACATCCGGTGGCTGCATTGGCAGCAGTGGAAGGATCTAACAGGATAGCACTGATGTGGTTGACATCGTCGGTGAAATTGAGGTTGTTCTGATAAAGCAAGGTCAAGGATGATTGCGAGTTGGAAAGTGCAGAAGGGGAAGGAGCAATGACTGCTGCAAAAGCATAAGGAAGGCAGGCAGCTGCAGCCGTGAGGACGGCGAGTTGCTTGACAGGTGCCATGATGAAAGTCTTGGCCTTGTTGCTTGATGTCTCAGGCCTGGACATGGTTTTATATGTACGTTCGCCAGCCCAGGGGTTGTTGCCACGCTTTCTGTCATTATTGTGATGTTCGATGCATCATGCAACTTGCATTTTAGCCTCGATCAAGCATTTACCCCGTCCCCACATGGAAGGCTCTATTTACGCTGGACACGGCTTGACCGGACGTGCGGCAGTCGCTTGACACCATCCAGACTTCCTCTTGCGAAGGAGTTTACGTATTTGAGTGCATAGGGCAAGACTGTCTGAACCATTCATCTTCTGTGCCCTATTCCGTACCCCACTATGGACTGCAGCTGTCCATGCGGCTCCAAAATAGTCTAAGGATATACCATTTAGCCGTGAGAGATGGTATGTCATTTGATCGCTTGTCCCGCTTTCGGAGATGAACTGTACTTGCCCACGGGGTCCCCTCTTCCCGCGAAACGGGCCGCGTGTGGAGAACGTCGCTCGCGTGCAACCGATCTGTCGACCAAGAATCATGCAGGTACGTTGGAAGCTTGGTTCATACATTTAGCCAAAAGCCATGAGGTCAGGGCGGACATAGCATAACAGAAAATTGCCGTCGAAACCTATGTCGATCATTCGGACAACTGGCACATCATTGTAAGGAGACATAAGGCGACACTCCCATTCACGCCATTGCAATGAGAACAAATAACTCATGTGTGCAAAGGAGACCTTCCAAACGCTACACCATCCAACTCTCATCTCCGCACGGTGCCATGTCTTGCTCAAAGCGTTCAATCCGATCTTGCAGCCAACCTGATCTTACCCCTGGTGTGGCCTTCCCCAATCTTGGATCCTCACGATTCTTGCAATGTCCATCTTCGCTGTATGAAAATTGTCTGCACTCCGTTGCTTCTACACATTTTGACTTGCACTCCTCAAATGTCCCAACAACGGTCTCTTCACCGTCACTCTCGTTGTCCCAGTCAGATAGACCCGCAGACATCCTGGGCCGAACATACTGATGGAAAATGTCCTTGTGGCGGAGAAAGCGGGTTCCTTCGGGCTTATGATCAAGCCAATGTTGCTCGTAGTTCCAGAGGTCGTCAATCATATCGGGTGATACATGGTGATAGGAAACCGTAGGATAACACCATACACGCTTCTTGGGATCTGCTATCGGACGTCCATCTGGACGCGCATAAGCAACGAGTCCTGGGTAGTCTCCTTGCATGATGGGCCAGGCGTCAGTGAACTTCACACCAGCCTCTGTGAACACTTTGCCCAGTACGCAATCACCAGCCCAGTGGCCATCAGTATAAGCTTCAATCTCAGCCTTGTGCGCGGCATACTGCTCCACTACCATACGCATAGCCGGCTGCGATACCATGAAGCCAGAGCCACCGTGCGCAAAAACTGTGTCACCAATGAACATGATGCTTCCTGTGTAATGTGGTTTGGATGGATCCAGTACGGCCAGATACTCCAACATGGATGCCCACAGTATGTAGCTATCTGCTTCCACAAAGACATACCAATTCTTGTCGGGATGTTCGTGGTAAGTCTTGTTGATCATCGGCAAAAACTTCCATTTGTCGAGTTTCCAACCTGGGTTCTCAGTTTTGCCATGCCATTGTGTGTCTTCAGTAGCTGAACCACTGAGCTCATTGCTCTTCAGCACTGTCCTGCCGTTGTCTCTGAGATTGCGATAGAGTTCGAAGTCCTTGTGATGTTCAACAATCTCCGGGCTGACGCCTTCTAGAGCATCGAAGATATGCTCGTCCTGGAAATCCTCTTTGAAGTCAGAGAAAATCATGTAGTTTGGGTAGCATCGCAATGTGGTCGAGAGATGGATCGGTAGTCGGTCTTGAATTTCAGTGGATCCGGTCTTGAGAACTACCAAGGTATCGTTCGCGCCCGGTAGATGTCTGCACGGTAGAGTCGTCCCTCCTAGTACATTCTGTGGCATACTGAATGCCCTTAAAAGACTTCGTAGAGACGATGAGTTCCAGAACACGAAGACAGCAAAACAGGCCACGATGGCCAGAACTCGAGGCCGTGTTTTCTTTGCAACCATCATCTGGTATTATTGACAAACACAAAGGAGTGGTAAGGGTCACAGTGATGCGATGAATCTACACAATGAGGTCTGAATGAGACTCCGAAATAAGACAGCTGGAAGCTGCGATGGACTCTAGCGACCATATGTATGCATGTGTGGTAGCGACGGCACAGAGACCCGTATATTCGGATCAAATGGTGAACGTTGAACATACACAGTCTCATTGTATTGTACGCGTATGCAATACACGAGATGTTCTGGTCCTGATGTCGTTTAAGCGCCCATCATTGCCGCTGCCAAATGTTATTGGGTAAGGTGACATCTCCCTGTGGACTTCGCTCCCATTTGAGAATCACTGTGTATTTCAACGGTTCCAAATGGTTTTCTGTATCATTTTTGAAAAGAGAGTCAGCCGTGGCATTGTGAGAGTTTTGGTGGAAAGTGTGTGTTTGAAAAGTAATCCGGAATGACATCATGATATTGAAGAAACATTCGATGAGAGTGCGACCCTGGCCAATCTCTCATACCAGTAATCAGACGTCCATAGCACACCACTGCATAATTAGCAGGTACCGATGAAATCGTATCAAACAATCAATCGCCTGATATCTCCACCCGGGAACCTCTTTCCAGAGCAGTCGTCAAGCAAAGCAGATACACGGCAGAAACATTATCCTGGCCACGCAACCGAATTTAGACCAGGTCTACTCAGAAACTTGGTCTTCTACATACAAGAAAGTTATTCCATGCCCGCCCAGAAACCCCAGTCTATGTCCTGGAACTCGAGACCGAGAATTTCGTTGAGATCCTCATCAGTCATGACTGGGTCAAGCGGTTGTCCAACAGTCTCAGGTTGGACCTGTGTCGCATCTGAACGATATTCCGAGAGAAGAGGCTCTAATATCGAGATACACACGGGCGTGGACGCAGAAGGATCAGCCATCCGATGAGCCTTCCAAGCGTTGGTGATGAGCTCTGCTGCATGGAGCTTTCTTCTATCCTCTGAAAGCTCAAGAAGATTCTTGTTGTAGGTGTACAGATTTGAGAGCAGATCCCAGATGCGCTGAGCTTTAGGTGAGCCTTTGAGTTGCGTGACCTCCACTATCACACTGATGACTAGATGCTATTAGTGTGTTGCTTTCAATTGTGAAACAAAGACTTCGACTAACANTGCATGCCACTGGAAATAACCACTGATATACCATTGAAAACGCTGTAACTCTGGACGAGAGTTCAAGGCGATGTTGTACTCGAGCGACCTGATTATAGCGTCGATAAGCTGAGAGTGTCGTTCCTCTTCAGTCATGTCTGCACCACCGCTGAATGCAATCGGATGTAAGGTGAACATGCGCATAGTACATATCAGCGCCCTAGACGTGAGTTGTATGATGATATCGAGCGGCTTTATCGGATCGCAATACTGGAGAAATCTCTGGTTGAGACCATCTTCCATGATTTCCAGGAGGGCGTTCTTTTGAGAATGCGCTAGATTCTTATTAGATGCCCACGAGATGCCGAGCTTTCCCTTGTTGTCCCTGAAGAATTCTCGTTGTTGTGATACAATCCAGTATGTCCACAGACAGTATGATAGACTTGTCAGACCTTTACGCTCTGGTGGAGCTTCTGTCATGTCCGGCGTAAGATCATCGTCCTCGATGTTGAGTGGGACTAAAGCGTCCCAGTCGGCCATCAGTGTGAGCGGTGTAGTTCCACATCGAACACCAAGGGCGAGATCCAGGTGCTGTAGGTACCACCACAAGCGACGACGGCTCTCGGTTTCTGTTGGACTTAGACCAAGAAGAGCACCATCACGATGTATGCCTAGTTTCTCAGCATTGCGAATCGTGAGACCTATGAGTGAGAACAAGCTCTGTATACTCAATCTCTCAATAGAGGCAGCCTAAGAAATTTAGCAGGCGTCAATATAGCCTCCCCGAGTGCAAAAGTATGTAACGCGTGTGGCTACAAAAATACACAATACTATTAGAAAATAGGATGATGTCCACTGAGAGGCGACTTCTTATCAGCTCTCTTTGGCCATATCTTAGTTTCCAAGCAAGATTGTGCATTTTTATAATATGTACCTTTCTCTCTGCTATCGTCGGAGTAATGGAGGTTACACCCTCTAGCAATCGGGAAGGAGAGGAAAGAAGCAACTTACTATATATAAGAGAATAGCTCTAATGACGATGACATCCGTGATGCNAAAGATGTTGCTACGCGACAATGCTTGCTCGCAGATTGTCTGATAGTGCGAGAGCAGAACTTGTTTGGGTTGATGCAGGACTCCTACACACTCTTGATCTGGTATTGTGACGATACTCATCAGATAGAGGCAGAACACAAACGCATGATCCTCATCCTTGAGTTGCATTCTCCCGTCAACCGAAGTCGACTTAGTCCGCATTTGCTCAAGAGCCCAATCAAAATCGATCTTCATCAAAGGATTTGAATTGCGTTCGAACTTGTCCCAAAGAAAGTTGGCATCCTGGATAGAGGGGTGTTGCGCTGAGAGGCTTATGGTAGAATCTGTACGCATGAGGCCTTTTAGGGCATCAGGCTTTGTTCTAGAGATGAGCGGTCTACTCATCAGCATATCGTGATTGTGTTCAGTCTGGAGATTATTGTTCTGGCCAAGATCGGAATGCCAGGCACGTAATTCGACGTAATATGATTGTCCGTCTTGTTCCAGCATGATAGGTTGCCCGCGCTCAACCTCGGTGGCCGTGTCGCGAGCATCTTCAACATCCTGCTGTCGAGCAGGGTTGGGTGCAGGAACTGTCCTCGCTCTTTTAGGAGGGCGACTGTTCTCGTCGTTCGGGTCTCCACCGAGGTTTCTGACAAGTGATTCAAGTTTCTTGATGCGATCGATGGGTTGTGTCTCAGGGTAGGTGCATTGGTCTTGCTTCCTTCGCTTGCAATTTGAGCATGGCCGTTGTTTGTCGCATCGCACTTTCCGTCTCGAACACGGCTCGCAAGCCTGGCCGCTCATCCCGACAATCTCGGAGAAATCTGATCAAGAAAGGTCAAGTTGTGAATACACTCGTGGATGTGTTTTGCGACGGGGCTCGGGCAAGCGACCGAGCGAAGAGTTCGGGGAGCGCTCCCCGAGGCAAGCCAAGCTGCCACCAACGACACCATGATGCATTGCAGATAGGTCCACTCTCTTCATTGCCTGACTAATTCTTAAGATCTATATAAAGTTTGTGTTCCATCAGATTTCAATATGTTCATCAAGTCGAAAAGTTGGGCTTCCGACCATGGACGGAAAGAGCGCCAACCAGTCGAACACCACACGCACTCACGATGACAAGACACTCTCGAATCGAGTCCAGAGAGATGATGAGAAGGAATATCCATCCATGGAGATTGTTCTACCGGCTATGGCTGCAATATACTTATCGCTCTTCCTTGTGGCCATAGTATGTCTCAATAAGCCCGGCAGACTTTTGGCAATAGAGCTGACTGCCGCACAGGATAGAACCATCATCGGCACAGCCGTACCTGCCATCTCAATCCAATTCGACAGCTTTGGAGATATAGCTTGGTACGAATCAGGCTTTCTCCTTCCCCTCTGTGCCCTCCAGCTTTCGTTCGGTCTAGTATACACATACTATCCAGCCAAGTGGGTTCTGGTCACTCTCGTCTCCGTGTTCGAGATTGGTTCAATAGTTTGTGCATCTGCTCCAACATCACACGCCCTGATAGTCGGAAGAGTGATTCAAGGCATGGGTGGTGCAGGCATCGCATCTGGGGCAATCATACTTATTAGCATGCTTGTTCCTCTTCAAGCTCGACCTAAATGGACGGGTGGCCTTGGTGCTGTCTTCGGGCTTGCAAGTATACTCGGACCACTTCTTGGGGGATACCTCACTTCAATCACCTGGCGCGGGTGCTTCTGGATCAACGTGCCTGTTGGTGGTGTATCGCTAGCATGCCTCGTCTTCTTCACACCGAACACTCCGCCTGCTGTCAAGGCTGCTCCAACTTGGCGGGGGAAATTGGCCCAACTCGATCCCTTGGGTTTCATCTTGATAGCGCCTTCAGTCATCTGCTTATTGTTCGCCATCGAGTGGGGTGGGTCAAGGTATCCTTGGAATAGCGGTCAAGTCATCGCCTTGTTCGTTGTCTTCGGCATCCTACTCGTCGCCTTCATAGCCTCTCAAGTTTGGCGTGGAGACAAAGCTACATTGCCTGCAAGGATTCTTCGACAACGCAGCATCATCTCTGCATCTCTGGCGAGCGTCGGCATCGGATCTGTGCTCGTTATCAATGCCTTCTACCTCCCATATGGTTTCCAGGTCGTCCAAGGGAAGACACCACAGAAATCTGGCTTGTCGTTGTTACCACTTTTCCTCAGCAACGTGTTTGCTGTCATGATGAGTGGCATTGCGACGAGCATTGTAGGCTACTATACTCCGTTTTTGATTGTCGGAAGCGGCATCCTGATCGTAGGGTCAGCACTATTTACGACATGGTCAGTAGATATTGGCGCAGGGATATGGATTGAATACCAGGTAAGACATTCATACCTGCTTACGGAGGAAGGCTCTGACTCGAAACAGATCGTAACCGGCATAGGATTAGGGACAGTCCTACAAGGCCCAAACATTGCAGCTCAGACGGTCCTCTCGGACCGCGACGTGGCTATCGGATTATCGTTCCTGCAATTCATCAACTTCTTTGCGGGTAGCACCTTCATTACTGTCTCGCAAACACTGCTCGGGAACGGTCTGATTTCTGGGTTGAAGGACATCCTGCCAGACTTGGACCCAAGTAAAATCTCAGGTGGAGGCGCAAGCGCTATTCGAGACATAGTATCTCCTAACCAGCTTCCTATTGTGCTTAGGGTGTACAACGACTCGATCAGGTCAATCTGGTACTTGGGCTTAGGACTGTCTTGTCTTGTGTTTATGGCATCCTGGGGCTTCGAGTGGAGGAGTGTTAAGACGAAGATGGGTGGCAACAATGACACCAAAGTTTGACGCGGGGTAAAAGGAGATTCTATACAGATATGGTTGAGTAGAGCTGTAATGTTAGTGGTCAAGCTGTTCATCTATGAACCTTCCACCTCTTTCTTGATACGAATCTGCATCTTCAGGTTCGGATCGCCAAAGCTCTCGGACTCGTCCTTGGGCTTCTTCAGCGACTCGCCGTACTCTTTCCATAAACTGTCAACGCTTTGGTCGAACAAATCCTTCCAGAATGTGTCGTTGTCGTACTTCTTGTGGTATAATGCCTGGTTGATCATGTAGACGCTACCTGTGCCTCTGGTCTTCTCAATCCAATCAAGAAAGTAGCCAGTGTTCTGGTATCCGGTATCCCAGCTCTTGCCAGCCTCTTTCTTCCAGTGTGGAGGGATGAAGCCAGCGTTCAGACGAACCCAATCGGCGATGCCTTCGATGAGCCCTCCGTTGCAAGTGCCTCTGGCATTCCACTGGAAGCAGTGTACAAGCTCGTGACAGACGACACCAAGGATTTCGGTACGGGCAGAGTAGCCGGCTTTTTGTGATGCGACGTGATTGAGGTAGGACAGCGAGAGGTGAATTTCTTTGTGATCATTGTCGATGTCTGTGCCAGTGGTGTATGCCACGCCATCCATGTCACGTAGGATCAACGTGACAGAGCGGGTACCAGGGATCTTTGTATGCGAGGGTACCGGCAGTCTCGTTGATGCGTCTTCATGGTTGGTACAGGTATAGAGTTGCTTCTCGACGATCTCGACCAGATCGGCAAAGTCTTTGGCGCTGTTGAAATTCTTGAGGAAGAGGTCGGTGGACTTGTGCGAAAGATCGCGAAGTTCGAGGCGTAGTTTGACTTTGGGGAAGCTGGAGGGTGTGGTTGACGTCGGTCCGGCTTCACGCGTTGCTGTCGCGAGCGAAGGAGGTGCTTGTGACGGTGTGGGTTCGGGAGGAACTGGTGACATGGTCTGGAAGTAGGGAGTAGCCGACGACTTGGACATCGAGTGGGAACTTGGATATATAGTATTATTGCTGTTGGTCGTTCCTACCTGAGGCAGAGGCGTGCTCTCCGCATAGACGTTGGAATGCTACAGCCTCAAAATCCAGGGTCTGAAACAGCCATTTCTTCATGTGCTGAGACCAACACTGACCTGCTTGTGAAAATGCACAGATGTTCTTCAATTAGAGTCACCACCAGTGAGACTCCATGAAGCAGCTACTTTCCCTAAGAACTCTGGCTATATCAAGAGTTCTGCGTTCTGCTTGTTACTGCCCAACGAGCTTGGTACTCTACCAAGCTCAAAGAGCCATGGTAGAGCCACCAAGAAGGGTGTAACGTACTGAAGTAAAGTCGACTGAGGAGGGAAGGAGGAGGGCGCTCTCCGGCCTGTTCAATTACATATCATCGCTGCGGTTCACATTCCTTCACTGTTCACGACCTGAGCTCTTGGCTGGAAAAACTGCTTGGGCCTCGCTTAGTAAGCGGACCAGCGAGCACAGACCACATCAAGCTCTATAAAAATGTCTGCTCCCTCGCCCTCCTCCTTCTCTCCTCAGTCGACTTTACTTCAGTACGTTACACCCTTCTTGGTGGCTCTACCATGGCTTCTTAACCGTTTTCACTAACAACCACCGCAGAAGAATCATTTCTTTAGTATGTCAACCTATCTGAACTCTTCAANAGAGCCACAGAACTCCAACCTGGCGGATGAGATACATCCCCGGTGCCTTAGAGTGATACCAAGTGCTTTGGCTCCGGCCTCAGCGGTGATGATCTCGACCCTTTTGAGTGTCTGGCTTCGGTCGGCTTGACTGGGTAGGCGCTGGCGGACTTCTGACAGGCCTTTNNTCTTCTTTACTTTTTTCATCAATCTTTTGGCTCTATGCTGAGTTTTGGAGAAGAAATTTTTCCGTTCACTGCGCAACCACTCGACGCGAACGCGTATACCACCGACTGGCAAATCTCTGCATGCAGATTTATATACAGAAACAAAGCGCGAGGAACAACCGCTGCACATCCAAAGCATGGCTCGATGGCGGTCCACACAACACCCAAGCGCTTACAACTATAGAAACTCGAAGCAGTCGCACGCGCAATGGCTGTCATGCGCTTTCGCATACGATTCGATTGCCTTTGTCGCTCGTCCCTTCCACCACCGCTTTCCTTCAGAGATGCATTCCTGCCCACCTACCAACGACTCGAAATCGCATGCGTAGGGTCTTGCTGGCTTCAAATGAGATGCCAGTCTAGCCGCAGCTTTCTTGCAGCTCTTCCTGGCATTTCTTTGACCACTTGCAGTAGTAAATGCCTTTTTGCATGTGATAATGCAATCAGGTTCTCCATCCGTATTTGAATTGCTGTTGACACCATATTGATGCCATATTTGTCCATTCATCAAAGTGACCTCCCGGCTCCAATATGGCTTTGACTTGCGATGGCGCTTCCAGTCTGTGTACCTCGTTGTATTACTCACTGATAACTGTCTAACAGCGAAGTCGAAGCAGCCGCACGAGCAGAGTCGATCATGCCGATTCATCGCCCGCCACACAATCTCAGCGCTTGNCCTTTTGCTCCAGTTATCAGAGCATATCCCGACCTGACCTCGAGGACCTTGCCTGACGGTTTCAAATTCGCAAGCGCATGCTGGACAGGCCTCCCACCTGCCACTGTAGCGCTCATCGGCTCGGTGTATCTTGAGCTCTATGGCTATCTGCTCACAGCATCTCTGAATCTTGACCAAGCCAGCAGGCGTCTCTTCGGTCCTCGAAATCACCTTACAGGTGAACGAGCAGTCCGGACCATCAGTTTCAGGGCCGCTACTGACGCCATATTGTAGCCAGAAGAATCCTTGAGGATGTTCGATGCGGCGGCTCCAGTATGATGTGCATCCATAACCTGGGTGATACATCCAGTTCGGTATGATTTTTGACACCCCAGACGACGTAAAGTCGAAGCAGCCGCATTGACACAACTGATCATGCCTCTGCATACCGTTCCAGACCAGCTTAGAAAAGCGTTTGCTCCCATTGTCGCAGATTCCCGGTCTTCCCTGTGCACTGATTCGGATGTACTCGAAATCGCATCGATAAATATGGTGATCAGACTCGTTTCGATGAGAAACAAGGTCTTCAGCAATACGCCGGCAGCATTNTTCAATCTCAGAGAACGTGAATTGGTCTGAAACTGGGCCGGACTTGGGCATCATCTTGCAGATAAAAGAGGTCTTCGGACTTCCAGCTGTAATAGTTTCTCCAATGCTGTACTCTAGCCAAAAGCTGCTGTCATTTTGTGGAAGGTTGCGAACGTGAATGGACTTGCAGCTCTCAGTAGTACGTCGTCTAGTAAGGGGCGGCTTCCCATTGACCTCGCGGGTTGGCAAGTCTGACGACAAGTTGATCCAGCTCTTCTGACTGGAGGAATGGTCATCAGGGTGTACAGTTGCGCTATCGTTGCGTCTTGCCATCTTCATGTGCACAGAATCTGTCAAGTTGAGAGGAGACAGAGAAATGATGACCAGAAAAACCACACATATGCGTTACCCAGAGCACACATGAGATGCCCAGAGAGGGGTCATCTCATATACAAAGAGACTAGCTTCAAGGTTAACGACCATTAACAATTCAGGTGGATCAATGTTGAACTCTGTATCAATACGTTAGATCTTCGAGCAAGATTTTGCGTCGAACCACTGGTTGAGGAAAGAGAAAAGCCACACAACACCATGGTACACTTTTCGAGCATTGATGTTGTTCTTCTCTCAATCTTTTGACCATGCTCGATGTCGATGCAGCAAGACAAGTCAAATCGGGAAGTGAAATGCCAGACCGGCAGATGTTCGGGAGAATCTCATTTCGCAATCAGTCCTTCGTAAAGCGCTCGATAGGAGCTATCTGATCTCTGCAATCATTGAATCATTAATCTAGTTCCTTGTCTGATCATCATCAGTTTTGTCGCGCCAATAAAGTTTCTTTCTGGATACGTATATGATTTCAGTCTGAGATGTGATGCTGTAATATGGTGCGAGGACCTTGAAACTAGGCACTACCAGCCACATGCACAGACGGAGCACAAGGCCGCCTGAAAGCACGCCCTTGCGGCTTGGAATCAAACAACAAGAACGAGTATGTATAATGAGAGACCACGGAGCTATAGCACGATAGTGGCTTAGCTGCTATACCTCAAACATTGCGAGTTATCACCGAGAACAATCACAAGCCGATCTAGGGTATATAATAATATTGAACACCGCTTTTCCCACGGCGTCTCGGAAATTTTCAACTTCCAATCCAGCCTCGCCAGCTCATACTAAACTATCACCAAACATCATGTCTCTTCAGGATAAAATTGCTGTCGTGACCGGCGCCTCGCGTGGTCTTGGTGCTGCCATTGCCAAAGCTTATGCAAAAGAAGGTGCACACATCGCAATTGTCTATGCATCGCCCTCAAGCACAGAATCAGCAGAGGCGGTCAAGAAGGAGATCGAACAGCTGGGTCGTAAAGCTATCCTGATCCAAACAGACTTGGTCAAGCCAGACTGCGGAGAAGTTGTCTTGAGAGAAACACTGAAAGGCTTCAACACCGAGAAGATCGATATCCTGGTCTCAAACGCCGGCATTTACAAGGAAAATCACACTTTAGACTTCGATGCAGAACTGTTTGACAGGTGAGTCAAAATCAACGCTCGACAGCAATCACGCTGACTCGTATGGAAANNCAGAACAATGGCAATCAATGTCCGTGCTCCGGCATCGCTGGTCAAATCAATTGCTCCCGTCATGCCCAGAGGTGGCCGCATTGTTGTCATCTCTTCAATGGCAGCTACCTGGGCAAGCCCCAACATGGACATCTACAGTGCAAGCAAGGCAGCCGTCAATGCCATGCTGAAGTGCTGGGCCATCTCATTGGGCAAATCGCACGGCATCACTGCTAATGCTATCAACCCTGGCTTTTTCCCTACAGACATCAATGCTCACTTCTCGGACGAGTTGCTTGAGATGTTCAAGAACAAGCAGGCTATTGGTCACCGACTGGCTGAGATGGACGATCTGACTGGTCTGGCTGTCTTCTTGGCTAGCGAGCAATCGAGATGGATTACTGGCGAGACAATCGAGTGCTCTGGAGGTTCCTCTCTAGGATAGACATCAATCTATGTCTCAAAGTCGTAAATGCAATGGTCTCGGTCTACCTTAGTGCCGAATCATATCTCATATAACCGCTCTCACCCCCTTCTCCATCCCGAGCTATAATGGTTGTTACAAGCTATCGAGATGCATAGCTTTGACTCGAATACAAGTCTGGCCATTGAGATAACCTTCGTTAAGGTACTTTCAATGGAGAGCATAGTTTTCGCGAAAATATAGTGCATTTCGACAGCTACAACTGTGACCGTATTCAACACATGGGGAGGATAGGTGATTATTGTACTTACACTAACCAGAAAGTGGCCGTAGCCCTTTGAAAAACATCTCGGAGGAAAGAGCAAGGGCACACTGGTTGTCTGACCTTCTTCACAAAGACAATCTCTTGTCCTGACCAATTTCTGCAAAGCGTCCTAATAATATCAGATCTCTCTTTGTCGTCTCGCTTTACCGGAAAGTTCTTGATGCGTCTCAAGTCTGGATGATGCTTGTTCCGGATGCTTCTAAGGGACCCGCCTCGACTATGAAAGCCCTGACCGTGCAACAGGTTCCGTTGACGTGACAAGCGCCTGCATCGCTACATACGCGACTCTCCCTTTAACATCTTGTTCAGATCCCCAATCAACTGTGTCGACTTGATCGACCTCACAGCTCAATCCAACCTCACAACGATGGCAGGACAAGACGTAACCCCTGAGGGAGAAGTGGTAGAGCCTGTCAGACAAGGCTCAGCCTCCAAGTCTCCCTCGGTTGGCCCTGGCCCTGATATCCCTCCACATGCTCCTCTCTACCCCTTCCGTACACCCATCAAAGGGTACTGCGACAACACCAAACACCCGACCGAGACCCTCGCCCACAGCACTCTCGTCGCAGCTTGTCAATCAGACAAACATCTGTCGCACATCAGCGATCCAAACACTTCACGTCACATGGTCTGCACGAACTGCCACGACAACCCTCCAGTTCACCGTCTGACGCAACATGAACAAGACCACATGATCAGGGACAAGGGTCTCTTCCCTCTGTGCCTTCCCTGTGCAGAGTGGTGGTGCAATCGCTACGGCATGAGCCCTGATGTCGACGGCAACAACTGCACCTGCCAGCAACAATTTCCTCAGTGGCTCTGTGCTGACTGCTGGGTGGAGATTGCCAAGGCAAGAAGTTGCAGAAGGGATGGTTGTGAGAGATGTGGCTGTGCAAAGATGAAGGTTAAATACCAGGGAGCGGGTCAAATCAGTCAGACTGTGCGCATGTGCTCTGGCTGTCAGGGGCTTGTTATCAAGCATGACGATGAGGACGATGATTATGGTGACAATGATGAGGATTCAATGTCGATCTCTCGCGACGAGCTCTCAGAGACTTCCGAATGATAAAGCGAAGAGCTGGGTGGTGATCTATCACCAACAAATGACACTGCAAACGACACTAGCGATTCAAATGTGACAGCACAAACGACGGTTGATGGTGGAAACGAATAGTCTTCTCTCATTGTGTATCAAAGAATGAAGTCTACAACTACCACAATCAGAACTCTGCCCATTCAAGCCAGCCCTCAGCAACACCCTGGAGCATGCCCCTTCTATCACTACGTATGATTTGCTCAAACTCTTCTAGGTTCAATCTGCCAGGCCCACCACGCTCACGTATATTCTTCTCTTCTTCGTCAAGACGAGCTAACTCTCTCAGTCTCTCTTGTGATGGCGGGTTGGACTGTTCTACCGTATTAGGCCGGAATGGCGCAAACACGGGTGCTGAAGAGTCCATGTCTGGTGTTGAGAAAGGAGCTTGGAGGTGTTGTGTCGGAGGTGAGTGGTTGGTAGAAGTATGTGGCAAATCATGATTCTCGTCAACCGGAATGTCTTCTAGCGCCGGTAGATCCGAGAGCATGTCGTCGAGTATACTGGACTGATGCTCGTTTGTATCTGAGTTAGTACTTTCCTGCTGATCCTCAGACGCAGGTGCTGCATCGCTCGTGGAATCAACAATGTACCCTGATTGTGCCAGAAGATCATCAAGGGATTGTTCTCGGATGCTTGATTCCAGGTCCTCAAGGTTATCATCGAGCGCTTGGCTTTGCTGAACAATATGTTCTTGAAGGTCCATAGCAATCTCTCGTGGTGTCGGCAATCTCGCACTTCCATCGATCGCCTCAAACTGGGGAAGCGTGACTCCGAATGCCGCTGCAACAAGTCTTCGTTCATGATCATAGTGCTCCGTGCTGTTCGCAGCATTCGCGATAGCCATCAAAGGATCCACTTCGGATCCCGCTATAAGTTCTTCTTGACGAGACTTTGCCTCTTGGACGTACTCATCGATCTCTTGACGGAAGCGACGTCGTTCTTCTTGTGTAGCTCGGACCTGTTCCGCCAGTCTTTCCTTCTTTGCAAAGATTGGATCAATTAGCTCATTGAGCCCTTCCTGGACAACCTGAAAGATGACTTCCGAGCCAAAGTCTTTCTCGGCTGCAGGAACCTCGTAGGCACGTCCTCTCTCAAGTATATCGGCGGGCAGAGGAGGAAGCATAGCTTCGCCATCTGAGAGCGGTTCCTGGTCCGCATCACCCCTCACAGCTACCGATTCTCCTCGACTTGCGTCTACAAGATCCTGGCGCCATCTTTGTTGAGGCTCATCAGGTGAAGATCGACTGCGAATCTGACGAAAGTCGGTGTCGACCAAGAATCTTGGTTCTTCTCCCTCCTGTATGCCATCTATCGCCACACTGTCAGACCTATTAAGGCTGCTGGTAAATGCTGTGAGCTGTTCCACCGACAAAGTGTCATTCTGATTTACGTTGTCTGGTAAGGCATCCACACCGTAACGATGAGCTATCGCGCCCACGAGGCTAGAGTCCGGGAGTTCCAGGCCGTCCGGTAATACAGCAGATGCGAATGGTCCAGCGTTTGGCTGTACCTGACTCTCGCCAAACCGATCGATCAGTTTCATGGTCGGTGGTCTCGTCTGTCCAGGAGGAACATCTTCTTGCGCGAAAGCTGCGCTGATGGGCTGACTCGACCGAACGATGTTCGCGGTATAAGTAACCATGTCAATCTCTGCGGCTCGAATTGTGTCTTCAACCAGTTTCTTCTGGATGGCGTACTTAGCGCTGAGCATACGGATAAAATCTCGCCGACAAACATATCCGTCGCCATCAAAATCGTATCCAAGAAAGACTCGTTCCAGCGACTCTTGCTTGTTAGGCCTTCGAAGGTAAGCTATACCTAACACATACTCTTTNNGGAAGCCGATAAGCCCGTTATGGTCAGTATCATAGAAGCTGAACATGCGATCGTAGAAAACATTGGGCTCCGCGGGTCTCTTCCATGTTGGGGACATGGTAAGCTTATTGAAGGCATGACGGTCGATGGCAAGGCCAATTTGCATGGGGTNCCTACAATCATGTCAACACGGTCGGGTTATTCAGAAGGAGATATGATGACATACTCCCGGGTAGGCAACGTTAGCTTTGCATCCGAACTGATCATAGAAGACCTGGATTTCGAGGTCTTCAAAGCCCGAATCAACAGCCAACTGCTTCTTGAGTGAGGTCCTCAAGGCTGGCCATTGCGCCATTGGATCACCAGGATAAGAAACGTCTTGGACCTGGTGGTTCTGGCCAAGGAAGGAGATAGGAATTTTGATCTTCGAGAAAACATGGGTCTTCGGATGCATGGGTTGCGCTTCACAGGTTGAACATAAGTCAAAATCTGGGCAGTTGTTGCAATGCCAGCGGACTCCAAGTATGGGATACTGGCCACACTGTTCACATCTAATACCAGTATGGACGTACAGCTGGCGCATAGTCTTCTCCTCTGCTATGTGGTATACAACAGCCTTGATTCTAGTACAGTCAGTTATGGTAGAAGTTGGACCGGCATGGAGATTTTCACATANCCCTTGTGCAGGTTCTGCGTCGTCCTCACGGTCCGAATCAGCGGCGGTTTCAGTCATGGCGAGGTCCGCATCGTCAGGAACGAGAGGCATACGATCAAGACCGCAATGCTCAGCAAAGGCTCTGGCAACAGCGGCTTGATGGAATTTCCAGAGCCCCGAACATAAGATGTGGATTCTAGCAAGCAGCTCATTAATGTTTGGTTGTCGCAAAANGGGAGCCAGTTCCTGGAGATCTCTAATCGCGTCTGATTGTTGGGTAGATAATTCCTCGGCAGGTTGAACGAGGATTCGAAAAATGTGTTTGAGAGCAGTTTCCTGAATCTTGAGAGTAACGTCGTAGGCATTGTGAGATGGAAGATTCAAAGCTTCAGCAATTTCGACAACTGTAGGTGGCTCGGGTCCATTTGGGAATCTAACGANCAACTGTAGCAATCAGTTAAGGCGTTTTCTAGTTTTACAAAGACAGTGTCAAGGTCGGAATGCTTTATGTGGGGTGTAGACAGCTAGGGGACGATACTCACTGCCTTCGAAGTCAACGTGAACTAGGCCAAAAGGAAGGGAGGGTTCCGAAGAATCTGAAGTCCATATTCTTGTCTGAGGTCGCGTATTATGGCGGCTTCTGACAGCACCACGTCGTCGCAAGTTGGAAGGTGCTTCATGTGAGGGCCAGTTTGACCAGATCACATACGAGGTGTATGCTGCGACAAAGCCCGTGGCCGCCAGTACCCACGGCCGGGATATTGATGACGAAGAGTTGGAGGCCATAGCGGAAGCACGCAAACAGAGAAGCAAATAAGATGGCCTCTTAGCGATCAATCATGCTTGATGCCTGTTGCCGGGCCGAGAAAGATTAAAGATGTTGTATGTGCTGTTGGGAAGATTGCCGTCTTGCATTTACTCGAGTAGGTGACGTTCGGCGTCACAAAACCCAACATGCGGCAGTCACCGTCGAGTCGTCAATATTCTATGACATTACCACTAACAACTCAACATGGTTTCAATCTAGAGTATACTCGAGTATCAAGACGCGAAAAGGACATGCGCGATGAATCCCGAGGCTGGTGCATTTGCTTGGCGCTTACCAGAACTATAAGTATACGGTCACGCGACAGGCACAGAAAAAGGTTATAACGATATGTCGATGTTAGAATACAGAGTGGTATATGTACAATTTTAAAGAGTGGAACAGTCCTAGATCCTGAATGCCGACCATCCCTTAAGCTCCAGACGCCGTATGGTGAATTTGGGAAAGAAAGCAATCATGACCTGGCTTGCCACAACTTCATGGCAGCGTTCAGGAGAGGGGAATCGCATCTGCTCTCACCAGGCTCCAAGACACTACGGACAATGCCGGTGGTATCAGACTGAATCTTGTTCTCGGTGGACCTGGCTTCTGCTTCGGACAGACGCTTTCTCTCGGCGCCTCTGGCCTCGGCCAAGCGCTTCTTCATCGCAGCAATTTCCTTCTCTTCATCATCTCTGGCCTCGAGCTCTCTAATCCAGGCATCACGCTTGTCCTTCTTCTTCTTCTCGTCGAGCAAGTCGTTGTACTCCTTGCGCTTGTTGCGATCCTTCTCCCAGTAGGCGGAACCGGCGACCATGGCGAGCAGGGTGAAACCTTGAGCATAGATACGGCGACGGAACATGCGATTTGTTTTGGCGTGGTCACCAGACTTCATTGATTTGGTGGCTTCGTACAAGGCCCAGACGGTCAGACCGCACCCAAGCGGAATGAGAGGTTCCTCGACGATTCTACGGCGCAGCTTCTGCCATCGGCTTTCCTCGTAAAAGTNCGCTGGTACACATCAGATATTGAGCATATCTATAGCACATGTGATGACTTACGCATCATTGTCGAAAGACGAAGGTGGCGGCGCACTGTTCATGGTGGACGAGTGGATTCTCGAGGACTACAGTGATGTGATGGGAGATTCAACAACTGATTCGGGTTGTTGCCAGGAATCGACTGGATTGAAAGAAAGTCGGTAGCAAGTGGTCTTTGGTATAGCTTGGCTCGATGGACTGATGATGGACCAAAATCGATGATGTCGCTGGGCCGAGCGTTGCGAGAGCTGGAGCTCCGACACCGCCTTCAGCCCTATTACCTGTCTATCGCCGTTTCCCAAAGAGTCACCACCAACACNTTTCCTGCTTCCTCGCGCCGTTCAATCGCTGCTTTCCAGTCTCAATCGCTCCTTCCCAATCCTCCAGCTTTGGAGCACATCAACATGGCCCAAAATGGAACGTCAGACCACAACGGACAAGAGCCTGTCACTCCCAAGCTCAACTCTCTGTCACTGACCGAATACGCCGCCAACCCTTCTCCACCATCTCAAGATCCCCGACAAAAGGCAACTGACGCAGGAGTCCCCGAGGCCTTCCTTCTACCCAACGGCTATCCTGACTACCTCCGTCTCATTCTCACCTCCCGTGTNCACGATGTCTACGATCCCCTCACACATGCCGTCAACCTCAGCAACCGTCTCGAGAGCCAGGTCTTCCTCAAGCGCGAAGATCTCCTACCTGTTTTCAGCTTCAAGCTGCGCGGCGCATACAACAAGATGGCCCACCTGAGCCCGCAAGAGAAGTGGAAGGGCGTCGTTGCTTGCTCTGCCGGTAACCACGCCCAGGGTGTCGCATACTCGGCCCGCAAGCTGAAGATGCCTGCAACCATCACTATGCCTCTTGGAACTCCTGCCATCAAACACACAAACGTCTCGCGCCTTGGTGGTGCTGTTGTTCTACATGGCAACGACTTCGACGAAGCCAAGGCTGAATGTGCCCGTCTTGCCGAATCTCACGGCCTTACCAACATTCCTCCCTTCGACGACCCCTACGTTATCGCTGGTCAGGGTACGATCGGTATGGAGATCGTGCGCCAGGCTGATTTGAGCAAGCTTGAGGCCGTCTTCTGTTGTGTTGGTGGTGGTGGTCTGATCGCCGGTATCGGAGTATACATCAAGAGAATTGCTCCCCACGTCAAGATCATCGGTGTCGAGACATACGATGCAAACGCTATGGTACAGTCGCTCAAGCTGGGCAAGCGTGTCACACTCAAAGAGGTTGGTCTGTTTGCTGATGGTGCTGCTGTCAAGACGGTCGGAGAGGAGACTTTCCGTCTGGCTAGCGAGGTCGTCGACGATGTCGTTATGGTCACTACCGACGAGACGTGTGCTGCCATCAAGGATGTTTTCAACGATACTCGTTCCATTCTCGAACCTGCTGGCGCCCTTGCTCTTGCTGGTCTGAAGAAGTACGTTGCTCAGAACCCTAGCTCTGACCCCAAGCGTCAATTGGTTGCTACCGCTTCCGGCGCCAACATGGACTTTGATCGCCTGCGTTTCGTCGCTGAACGTGCTGCTATCGGTGAGAAGAAGGAGGCTCTGTTCATGGTCACCATTCCGGAAAGGCCTGGTGCTTTTGCCGCTTTGGTCAAGGCTGTGCATCCCATGTTTGTCACCGAGTTCTGCTACCGTTACGCTTCAGCAAGTGCCGCCAACGTCCTTATCGGTATCAACGTGAGCGCAAACACTCGCGAGCACGATCTTGCAGATCTTATCCAGCGCTTGTCCAACGAAGGCATGACTGCTGTGGACGTCTCAGAGAACGAGACAGCCAAATCCCATATCCGTTATCTCGTAGGTGGCCGTAGTAGCGCCTCCAACGAGCGTGTCTTTGCTTTCGAGTTCCCTGAGCGCCAGGGTGCTTTGTACAAGTTCTTGACAACACTACAACCAGGATTCAATATCTCCCTGTTCCACTACAGAAACCATGGTGGTGACATCGGCAAAGTCTTGGCTGGTATTCAATGCCCGCAAGGTCAGGAAGACAACCTGAATTCATTCTTGACCGAGCTAGGATATGGCTATGTTGAGGAGACCAACAACCCGGTCTTCAAGATGTTCATGACTGAGCCTTGAACGACTCGTCTACCGCTCACTTCAACATGTCTTACCACAATGACACTTGTACGATTTACCCAGCGATGAGATCGCTTCTTCCGATACCCCATCTCTTTTTGCCTTACTCTACGACACGACTTCCTGTTTCTTTCAAAAACTTCATAGACTTGGTGTGCTGGCGGTTGCACAGATGTACAAAAGCATTGGAATGATTATAGTCGTATGTTCTTTTCTTCTCACCTTCAACTTGCTTGCTTCTACCGTGTTCACGCCACAGAGCTTGGCTGCTGCATTTGATGTCCATAGAAGGTATCATGCATTGTGCTACTGTAACCGAAGCCCTAGTGTTACCTTCCATTGTATGAGGTTCTCAGCACTCAACCTCCGTAGTAAGCGACGCTTCCTGTGGAATGTCAAAATCACACAACAGTTCCATGCGACACAGACGCTATGAATAGTAGAGTTAGACTGTATGTTTTTTCATTTGATGAGGGCAACAAAAGTGGACGCCTATAAACAGGGAAAGTCCTGTCCGCATCTGTTTGCTCTTTCCAGAATCAGCAGATCCAATCATCACGCCCAGTAACCTGAAAGGATGCAACACAAATGGGAAGTGCAACAATGAGACCTTGTTCGCATCAAGATTGGCAGTAGCATCGTGATATCTATCAACTGCTTTCTATCTCCGGCCTGATATTGACAAGCAGGCAGGAAGAAGAAGGCAGATGTTGGTTTACATGTGTGATTGGCAATGTGGCCATGTTACATGCAGTTGGCGGTCAGTCTATGTCTGACACGGACGCAATGTTTGCAGTTTGGTCGGCTTGAAAGGGTTTTGACATAAGAGGAAGTCAGAGCTGTCGCAGATACTTCCACAGTTATACTTTTCTCTGCCTAAGCCGAATTCCCTTTACTCACCTAGCACTGCATCCATCCCAAAAAAACTCTGGCCCCTCTTTTGACGCTCCATCAACATCAAGCACGCTATCGATTCATCAACACAGCCATCATGTACACACTCCTGACTCTTCTTACCATTGCAGTCGCGCTATTGACCACCGTCATGGCTCTCCCTCACCAGAAACGCATATCCGAGAGCGAACCCTGGCACATTACTTATCTGTTCGTCTTCACAGCCACCCCTGGCTCTCAAAACAATCAAATAGTTTTCAACTTGCTCGACAACAATACTGGTCTGCAAACAGACACGATTTGCGCACGCTCAGTACCCGGCTCTATAGAAGATGCGACCAATTTCTATCCATGTGTCAATGATGACTTCAACTTCAGATGGGATGGAACTACTCTGCGTATCCAGAGGTTCTATACAGATCCAGCGTAAGATTGTATTCATGAGCCACATAGAGATGACTCTGCTAACTTGGTGGTGNNAAGTGTTGGGCCATGTCCTCAGTATTGTTCTGTCACGGTTTATGGCAATGGAACACCCAACTTGACCGTAACCGAGCTCTCTGTAGACGGAAAAGGCGAGACCAATCCCACAACTCATAAGACAACCGAAGAGCGGGGCTGACATTGTAAACTAGCCACCTATCAAGATGCCCTTGATATCCCTATAACCGAGATGGTTGCCTAAGAGGTGTCTATCACGATCAAGGGTTATCATACGAGAATGCTAAGCCTCATCAACAACACGAGCGACCCATTCACCTGTCTAGGATATGCTAATATGACGGGAAGTAACATGTGGTTCTTGTCTTAGTGCTGCTCAAGGCAACAAGGAAGTGGGTTACATTCTTCAGGCCTCGCGGCTAAGGACTGATCATTGGTTGGGTTCGAATATTTTACATATGGACTTCAATGCTTTGAAGCTTCTTAATATCCTGCTTGTCAATAGCACAATGTGTTTTGCCTTTGGTTTGTATAGATTAGCTCCATGCAAAGGTCTCAGCCTCCGCACTCGTGCGGCAGATCTACACCCTTCATGGACTGCCGAAGTCTTCGGAACTATATGTTGCCATGCCAAATGCCAGCTCACGACAACAATAACAGAATCTTGATCTCTCGATACGATACTAACCATATTAAACTCTGAAAGACACCAGAGTATATCAATCACAAAGAAACACTGCGATACAGTCTTTCGCTTTCTCATGCAAACGTCTTTCAGCAAAGCATCTCTTAGCCCCTTCATGAGACTTTGAAACATGAAATTTACCGCCATTGCCCCCAGTGTTCTGGCTTACTCCTCAATCGCATTAGCGTTCATATCTCTAGATTACGTTCCTACCAACGATGGCAAAATCTACATCGGCGATACCGTCAGAGTAAAGTGGTCCACCAATGAAACCTATGTCCGTCGCTTTTCTTCACCCATCCTCTCTTCTCAAAACGAATCCCACAATACGAAAAACAAAAGCAGAATGATACTGACGACATCAAGGACCTAACCCTCAAACTCACCAGAAAAGACCCAGAGGCAGGCTGGACGCCAGAATTGACCGCATTCGAAAACCTGCGCCAGCAAGCTGGTGATGGCGAGTACTTGATCAAGATAGCCAGAGTCAGAACGAAAGAGTAAGTTTGCTTCTGTTTCTCATGATTTCCAATCTCGATGATGGATACTGATGGTGGATATAAGTGTGCATGCATTTACGCTTCATGCTGCGAGTATTGATGGGACTGGGTTTGGGCTGGGGAACATGACTGAAAGTTTTATGGTTGAAAGGAAAGGGTACAAAGAGCACGCTAGAGATCTGGGAGCATGAGGCTGGGTGTTTGTTAGGTTGATTATGTCGAATCGCCCTTTGATGAATTCATGTATTAGATTGGCAATATATTAGATTATGTTGGTGGTTTTTCGCAAGAATGGGTGTACCCAAAGCCATTAAAGAAAGTATGAACGACGGCTCGGAAACTTTGCCTCGTGATCGAATGAGTGACACCATGTCTGCAAACTGTGCCGTGAAGATGCGAAGAATATGAGGCGATGCCGTTTATTTTGGTGAGACGTGGAATAAATCGATCCCAGATTCACTCTGGACAGTCCTTTTATGTGTGTGGTTCGGTTCCACCCAGCGAGACGTTATGATCTCACATATCATCTCAGGATGCTCGGGGTCCTGCGGACTTTCGGCGAACATGGGTTTCCGTGTGACTTCACGCGTCCTTCCTCGGGCGAGGATCTTGGAGAAGCATAGCCACCATATTGCACCCAGGCCAAGAAGGCCAACGCCTATACCAGGTACCAATCGTCTGGGGATGCCGTTGCGACTATTCAGTCCGTTGTTTGTCCAGGATGCCACCAAGGGAAAGACATTAGATGTAGCCATAAGCAATGCTGCTATTATGCTCACCCACTGATTCATCGATGAGATGCTATTCCAAGTCTCTGGTCGGCTCTGTTTGGACTCGTGCCAAGCTAGGAGCTTCTTGAGTATAGGCGTCAACCGCATCAGTAGTATACCGACGGCCAAGCAGACTGCAAAGAAGGCATTGATCACATAACTGTACAGGTTCGAAAGGATGACATAACGATCATGAGGCCTTTTGACTCCGGAGACTGCCAAAATGAGTACCGTCGCGAAGAAGAAATGCAAAAACAGTGCAACAGCGGGTGTAGGTGCAGATTTATGATCCTCGGACCTGTTCCTCTTTTTGGAAGACGGAAAGAGTTTGTTTGAAATCTCATGCGTTACATTGTAACTTTTGGCGATATATCGATGCGCTGGCAAAATGCCTTCTTTGGCGATCTCTTGCTTGACTGAGATAGCGTTAGAGAAGCTTAAGTGGATATAGATCGATACTCACCTCTAGCAGCAGTAAAGGTGTTCACAATCATATTTCCGATGCTTGAAAATGCGAGGAATGCATGATAGGGTTTGCGCGATCCACAAGTAAGAAGAAAGAATTCGCTTGCAATATTCCAGTTCTCGCAGGCATCGTCAGCAACCTGATTTGTGTTCCCTTTCACCGGCACTACCACAAGCTGGAAGTGTTAGAACGCCATAGATTGCAGTCTAAGATATGCTTTACTTACGAACATGACGTTCACCAGCATATAAAGGAGGCAGATGATGGCTACCGTGGATATTGAGGTGCGCCGAAAGTGAACATGAGGCTTGTAGATCTCTCCCAGTACCTGGAGTAATGTCAGCTAATACTGTAGAAGAAGCCGATGGTTCACATACGTAATTTGCCTGGTTGAAGCCGCCGAACGCGAAGATGACCTGCAAATAAGCAGGTGCATATCCAGCTGATCCATTTTTACTTTCAAGGCTTTGGAAATCCTCAAGAATAGAGCTGTGATCCAGATTGGTCATCCAGGTGCTGCTGTTTGTTGCCGTGGATGAAACACTGCAAGCTTTGTCAGACGTGTCAGAAGATCCGCCGTGCAAAGAGTTCCCTCCCAGACCACACAGCCTAACACGATGATCATGCAAAGGATCAACACTTTGATTGTAGCGAACATGTTGTTCAAGACGATACCATAGCGACGGTTGGTAACGTGGATGAGGCAGACGACGATGGCGGCAGATATGGCGACGCCGGTCACGGCCTTCCCGGATGCGTCACTGCCGGATCTGATGGCGAGGAGCAAGTGATAGGCGAAGGAGATGGCGTTGGCAGCTGAGTTGCCAATTATACAGAAGGGGATGCCAAACAAGCAAGCGGCGAAGAATCGGGGATGAAGCCATATCCAGTTCATCTGTCAAAGTCAGTCAGCGTGTGTAGCAGGCGTGGTGAGATGCTGCCCACATAAACAAGCTCTCCGCCGTTGCGAGGAACGAATCGAGGTCTTGCAATATTGTCAAACTTGTAGCGCGGGATTGTAGTTCCATATTCGATGTAGATGAGTGTACCCGCCAACGTGGCGAAACAGCCGGCAAGCCAGAGCATGAGGGAACTACCAATATTTCGATCATCGCGCAGGACACTCGTAGGTGCATCAAAGATACCAGTACCTACCGTCCCATTAGCACAGGCATACCACCAGTGGGCAGCTATAAGCTTACCTATCATTCTGTTGGCAATAATGCAAGCAACGGAAATCGTAGTGAGACGGTTTCGCGGACTCGCAACAGGATTTTCGATGACCTGGTCGCCCTCATCATGTGCTTGAGCATAAGCCTCTGCAATGCGCTGGCGATCATCTTCGGTATAGCCTGTTCCCTGAACTTGGAAGCTCGACATGGTGGTCCTGACTTCAGACAGAAAAGTATTCGAACGCAGAGACTGGGGGAGGGAGCAAGTCAAAACCGGAGAGATTCCAACGAATACTATGCAGCTCCATGGCCATATCAGGCAGATTTGTGGCTGAGGCTTGGGACCGACAAGGCTGCATGAAGCGGCTGCGCCAACACGTGTGATTCGACGCATGTTTATCGATCCGAGCCCCGGCTTGTTAAGATAACCCATACCTCGAGGCTAACCAGGTGCAACTCATGCAGCCTCTTTTGGCCGTTTCTCTACTCGCACGCGTCCATGGGCGACGTCGTGGCCGCAGGCCTGATTGCAGTCGAACAAGTGCGAGCCAACATCAGAAGCCATCGTGGTCAGTGGAGCCTTCTCTCTTCGCAAACTCACTAAACATCGATATTGGTACAGTTCATACCCTTGTCACCATCCTGGAGCATCAGCTCGATGGGTTGAGAAGACAGCTTGACAGTCTAGTGCAGCTCGTCCGTGCCTGTGACATAGTCTTGACTGGCGAAGTCATGAGGCAGCTACCATTCGCGATGGTTGGCAATTTTCTCGAAACTTTGAAAGCGTGCGATCAAGTGCTGTGTAAACCAGATCTTCATGAAGTGAAGTTGCTCAAGGTTATTGACCGACTTGCATTGCACAACGCGAAACTCAAACTGCTCCTTCCTTTCCCAAAGCCCGACATATCCCCGACAAGGTAAACCCACAACTCCGTTCAGCATCACACTTGAATGTTTTTGTCACTGATAAATATCTCATGATTTCAGTCAAGAACGAGAGCTCATCACTCGTTATCTGGAAGTCGAGCTTCGAAGATCAGAATCAGACACACAACCGATCGATGGCGCACTTCCTAGCGTGCTGTATGTCAAGAAGGCTTTCAAGGGCACCGTCCTCGATGTTACTTCTACTGCTACTCCTGGTCATTTCATAGACATCATCAATGCACTTGTGCGTCACACTGAGTGTTTTTCGAACACTGAGATAAATATTTCGGCTGATTGCAAATCTATCTCATGGGTGCGACTCCTTGTGTGCATCAGACTGCTTTATCGACTCGAGTTATGGCCAGCTATCCGCGAAGATACAAAGTTCGCTACAACACTACGGCATCACCACGTCTCAATCCAAGACTTCATGCTGAGAGTTGAATTTGTTCGTTCCTTCACGTTGAAATGTTGATACAGACTGACCGGCCTCAGAATCTATATCGCTTGCTCCAAACCCAGCAGTCTCGATTTCCGGCAACACGTCCGAGCCTTGAAGCAACCAGATCACTGGTACAGGCGTATTCGTGGTCGTTGGCTGATCAAGAAAACGACATGTTTCTTGAGGACGAATATATAATGCGCGCGTAAGTTCGCCAAA